AAAAAAAAAAAAAAAAAATTGCAACGCGTTCACTTGATTCGGTGCTGATTTGAGATCAGAATGGATTCTAATGCGTCAAAGCAGCTATTAGATTGCATCAATGGCGCTCTTTTATGTCCTCGGTCGCTTACGATTCCTGCTCAACAAAAAGACTTGTTTGTATCGTTGATTTTTCTCGGTTTGGTTGAATCTTGACCCTATTCCTTACTGTTAAACCGACAGAACCGATTGCACAGAAGCGATAGTCTGCCATGTGATGTACGATCCGAATGGTCAGGCATATAGTTTGGAGATTATCAGGGTACTTGATCTCTCTTGTGTGTCGTTTACGTTTCAAAACCCTTAGTCGCTCATATCTTTATACTTTAATTTCACTTATGTCTCAAGGACAACTGTAGAATCCTTGCAACTCAGGTTATAGAAGCTTTCAAAATCTGTGCTAATCCTGAAATATTTGATCGTTTGGTTGAAAAGCTTCTTTCATTGAAAGTACATAATGAATGTTAGTGACTTGTTCGTTGCTCAGTCGTGTGTTCGTTCAACATTATTAGCTAACGACATGGCGCTCATTGCGGTCATATCTCAGATGCTTGTAGAAGTATCTTCGTTAATATGCTTTGCGAAGCGGCAAGGAATTCGAAATCATCTGCTCACAGACGATGGGCCATCTCATTGATACGAAGACACTGTCACTTACTAGTATCACCAAACCATCGCCTAGAAGATATTCCGATCCGAAATACTCTTTTTTCCCTTTGTTACGACGTGAGCAAACTATTCTTCGTTTAATGACTTGTCAAATGAAGAAAAAAACTGATCTAACGGAAAACCGACATTTCTAGGTATACATGCATGATACCAGTTCGGATATCAAGCTTCTGCGGTTACTGGAAGCCACTTTATATGAACTACATGTTTCAGTAGCGGATTGGAAAGCAAAAGCCGCCACTGATAAGTCATACGTGATTCGTAAATGGTAGGAGATTTATATACAAATTCACTAAAATCGGAAACATGTTAGCTTACTCGTCCTGCATAGCATCAATGACTGTGAGGAAATCTTGAACATGGTGGTGGATACACCTAGCCATTTCGCGTTGCACGCTCAACGTTTTCAGGAAGTAAGTAAATAATTCCAACCTTTGCTGGTATGAATTCGAAGCTCTTTACTAACATTGCAGTAGCTTATACCCTACAACTGGGTCGTCCATATGCCGTCCCTTTTAATATCGTAAGGCTTTTGACAATCAACTTTTGCTCCAGAAACAGAATCTTACGCTCGCAATCCATGCCTTTTCCAGAATTTGTCTATATTGCAAATTATATCCTGAAAAACTCTACCCATTCATTGATCATTTGAAGAAAGATGGAATAATAATTGAACCACCAAACGCAATTGTAAAGTGAAATCTTTTCTTGACAGATTAATTTTCAACCCGCATACTAATGCTCGAGTTTCCAGTTTTCCAAGCAGATGAATACACTACTTTCAGTGCCAGAGACTTCAATGATGGCGATTGAATGTGCTTGTTTCGAAATCGAAAGTGCTATTGTTCATCAGAAAGTAAAGTCTACAAAATATGCTCCTCCACGGGTACATATCATTTGCTTAGTGTGCTAACCTTGAATTTTCAGGATGACATTTCTATTGAGGCAGACGCATTTGCGACGGTTGATGGTTTGGAAGAATTATATGGTTTTGACGATAATGTCAATGAAGTGCAGACCATGGATGCAATTTCTCAGGAACTGTGTTTGCTCGTCGCTTCAGCACCTCCTTCGTATGTTATTTACCTATGCTATTGCGAGCAGTTGAAAACAATTACTAACATCCGTTCTCAATAGACAAGTAGCAAAAATTTCTTGGGTGACTATAGCTGCGCTCAATCTTTTGGTCTCCTGGAGTCATTCTCGCGAAATGGTAAGGTTACTGTTGCGTACTACTCAAAGCTTCAAGAAAGTCTCACTAACATAAAATCTACTAGGGAGATATAGGGGGGTATCGCTCATCTATTGTTCTAGCAATGGTAAGCAAGATCACAGACTTGCTCAAGGACTTGGTGTTTACTCTCCCATGTCATTACGAGATGGACGATGCCTTGCTGAGACCGATGATTGCTACTGTCTCGGCATATACTGTGGCATTGAGATCATCAGCTTTTCAGGTACACACGCATGAAGATAACTTCCATCAGTTGAAGATGGATATTGAAAAAGTTTGGCGAAATCATAGAAATCAACGTAGAGCATTTTTAGTGACTCATTCAAAGCATGACTTACGAAACGAAGATAATTGTAGCCGGTCTATTTATGGTGTCCTTCTAGTGATGACCCAATCTGTCCCGTATCAGTCATAAAATATAAGTTCAACGATTGAAGTGCATGCAAGTTAATCTCTAGGTCGATAACTATGTGGCGTTCCAAACCAATGGTGATTGTTATAAGTCATGCGACATTGTCGCAACCAAGCCCTCACTTTGGCATTTCTCCCCTGTCAATGCAAAAGGCTTCAATAGGTCTCAGCTGGATTTCGATATGTTTCAGACATTTTATGGGGATAAAAAGGATGTTGTTTCGAGACATCTTTGACTTGTGATCCGCCTATCCATATCTACTTGGTAAATTGTTAACCACCATGGGCCACACCAATAACAATGCATGGGTCGAGAAGCACGACCGTCATGATCAGAGGTAAAAAGCGTAGTTTACCTTCTGTTTAGGCCATATCATTCAAGCTAACAATGCCATTGGAATGATAGGAGCGATGTATCAAACGTTCGTGGTGATATGAAAAAGAACGGTGCTGGAGCTGGTAATTGGGGAACGCTCGGCGATGAAGTTTTGGAAGAGAGGTTAGTAAGGTAGTCCAGTTGTGTAGCAAATGCGAAAACATGTGTTAACCCTCTCCCGCAAGAAGGAAAGAAATGGCTATTGAACCAACTCATTCTAATGATAAGCTTCAGGTCAGTATTTCATCTTCGTACTTATTACTGTTTGCAGCCGAAGTCAGATATCGGGCCAGGCTGTATAGCACAGTTTACTAAAAAGGTCTATCATCGGATGTCCTTTAGGTTCTGAACAAAAGGCAATTCACACGACTTCGCAGATGGTCACAATAAGAAAAACGAGACTCCAATTTAATAATGAAAAAGCCATTGAAGCACCTCCCTTTGCTATCTCAAGAAAGGAATAAATAAAAATTTGCAGTTCGTAAACGCTTATGCAGCAAATCTCGAAATTGGCATGCCTTCACTGTATTCAATTAAATGACAGTCACAACACTGTTTTCACTTTGTCGCAAATTTCACTTCACTTCAAACTGTTATAATTCTTTCCACCATGCGACAAAATTTCATTGGTATGGTTGTCAGCACAGCAATGTCCAAGACCGTCAAGGTCAAGGTCGTTAGACAAAAGCTTCACCCGATCGTCATGAAGGTAAATACTGATTCGCCGTGTGGACGCTCTGCAATACCTTTGGACCCTGTCTAAACTAATCACTTGCCATTCCCCATGACAGACTATTCGCTCACACAAAAACTACCTCGTACACGACGAGAATGCCAAATGCACCTTGGGCGACATTGTCAGAATCGAAGCTTGCAGACCTCTCAGCAAAAACAAGCACTTCAGCGTGGCCGAGATCATTCGAAGTACTGGTGAATCGCAATCAGCTACCAAGACACCTTCAGCCTAAAAACCATACCTTCATTGTACAATACTCTTCTTTTTGCTTCTCCTTCTACCAAAATTTGCCATTATAGACTTTCATTAAAAAAGAGAGAAACATCGCTATTTTACACTACTCTTGAGAGACGCATACATGTACACTGGGATTGGGGGGGGGGAGTCTATGGGTTACTTGTATGTTCCAATTCACCTTCGCCGTCCTTGACACCACGTTGAACATCTTCCATCATTCGTTCCGTCTTTTCTCTGAGCTCGCCCAAGGTTTTAAATATTCTATCTGTAATTTGTATCCTGGCGGTCTCTTCATCGATTCTGCCCGATTTCCACTGGTCTAAGGTATCTTGAAAATCAATTGGGTCACCAAACGCGATGGTGATAGGTTTGAAGAGTCGAATGGGTGGCCCTTGCAATGGTCTGATTTCTGACAGACCTGTATGCCACATGGGAACAACAATGGGGCATCTTTCCGCTTCCATGACCATACGACCAACTCCCCATTTGAATCGGATGAGGGATTCCTCTTGATTGACTCTTGCTTCAGGGAAAACGTGTAGCCATTTGTTCTGGTTGGCTTTATGAATTGCAAAATCCACGGCTGGTTGGTAGATACCATAGCCTCTAACCGTAGGTATAACTTGCCCCATTCCGAAAAAGAGGGATGTGATACTGGAAAGGGAAAGACAGCAATTTAGAAAGGGTTGATGTCTCATAGATATTCGATCGACACTCACGGATTTGTAAAACAGATCTCTGCTGCCCCAAGGACCCATCGCATTTTCTCAATATTACATAAAGTTCGAACAGGCAGAATTCCCCATAATATAGGATCATCAATTACGGAAGCGTGGTTGGCAACTAAAAATATGAAGTATAGCGTTTAGTCACTGTGTGTCCGTGCGCTTCAGAACGATTACCGCCCATTTCATCCACCCTTACCTGTGATGATGGGTCGGTCTCTTGTCTGATCATCCAAAAGCTCCTGGAACGGTTCCTTGTTGAAAACCTTGGTGGGAGCAAAGGCCTTGAGGAAGAGTTTACTGGTGATACCGACCGAGCCAACCACAACAGTACTTCCCAAATTCCATAAAATGCCATTTGGAGGAGAATCAGCGTTAAATCGTGAAGCGACAAACTTTGGTATCCGGTCAAGATTAAATAATGGTTCTTTATGTGCTTTCAGATGATCCATTCCAGGTCCAATGAGAGGGTCGCCAGTTTCGTTAATGGTTGCTGGCTGCACACGGGATTGCTTTCTGGCGACATGAAGGTAACTAATGCCTCCTAGGAAACCGGTAACACCAATGACCTTCAACGGCGTGGGCCGTAAGAGAGAACGTCGCAAGTGAGGCCGCATGCGACGAAGTGCTCTGTCCACACGCTAAAAACCCGATGGGACAAGAATGAGGAAAGTTTTAAAGTAATTAAATAACGGATTATCGCTCAAAAAGCTGCTGATATTGAATCTTTTTTTTTTTCATAGCGTCATTGTCTGACTGTATTTGGGGATGGTTGGTTAAAAGAAGTTGATGCTGGGATATAATGTAAAACGAGTATTACAATGCTTGTCCTTCAAAAGGAACCGTTGTTCGTCCTGTCCGACCAGGGACATTCATGGTCCAGACACTGGTCCGCTCGTCAAAGGATCCCGTCCTTGTAGTGCTACCATAGTCTTCTTCTTCAATCGGGTCTTCTGCGTACATTGACCGCCTTGACTTTCCTCCCTTGTTCAAAGATGGTAGAGAGGAAGACGTTCTAAGCGTGGTGGAAGCGTCTTGTTGTTGTCGATACTGCATCCTTCGTCGCCTTCCTTCTTCTTCCTGGTCATTTTCAGCTCGTTCATCGTCACCTTCCAGGTCAGTTAAGGAACACTTTCGCGCATATCCATCCTTTATCTTTTGAAATGCTTTTTCCATGCTGTGCAGTTTCCTTCGCTCTTGAGCAATGTTTGATGCCACATATGCCTTGATAGACGAGCTTAAATCAGTGTTCATGTACTCTTCAAACAGACTAATCTCCCGGTTGACAATGCTGTCAGCTTTCAAATAGGAAACTCGATGGATTTCTACATCTTCCTTAGCCTTATGATTCGAGCATTAGCATACATGCTGGCATTTGAAAGTATATCTTATCCATTTACCTTTTCTTCTTCCTGCATCGCCACTTGCACTTCCGGGGTATGTTGTGGCATCTTAACTCTCAACTTGTCCGCCTTATCTCTCTTCTTATTTCTCAATTTGATAGCTTGCACGTACTCCACTAAACGATCCGTTCGCATATTTACAACCGCCTTCAAGAGGGGATCGAAGATTTTGGTAAGCACTTTCCAAATGAAAAGCCGGCCCATTGCAAGACATCAATGCTTACCTTCAGTGGGTCAGTTGTGTTCTTGTATTCAGCAATAACATCTCCCAAATGAACAAGGTCAGAAATCTCTTGACGGTTGTTGATAAAACATAATTCATCCATTAGAAGTCCAAAGATTTGCAATCTCTGGTCTAATGAACGTTGTCGCTCCTTATTATCATACTTCACGCCAGGTCCCAGCATGTTTTTACTTTGAGTGGCTTCGATAGCCAAATCACCCATGTGCGTCATATAATTTGACAAAGCTGAAAGACAGTTTAGACAAAATTGCTGATTATCAGTCACTTTCAGTCAACTGTCTCACCTTCTCTTTCTCGTATAGTGTCTTCCATGTTATCCAAAAGATTGGAGAGAAATGTCTCTTGCATTAAAATATGAACCTGCTGTCGATGGTGCGCGTCCATATTGCTCTAAATAAATCATTGCGGGGGGTTGCTTAAATAAAGCGCCATTTGATTTCGTAACATAGTGTGATGCTTACATCCTGAACCGTTTCATTGGTTTTAAATTGCTTGAACGCTAACTCAGTGTTTGGTCGCTTCGCCTTATTAAAGCGAAGAAAAGCGAGTAAAGCATTTTTGTTCCGATTCCCTATCTCTGTCTCGGTCTATAGGAAGAAGTTAGGGGCTAAAAACTCACTACATCGGATGCACTGTAAATTTTTACCATATCATGCGACAGAAAGTGAACGAAAGATGGTGATTCATTAAACTCTGATCGCATTCCTAGCTTTTCCAAGAATCGGCCAATTTGAATTCTTTTTCGCTCTACAATATCTTGGTCTTCAATTTGGCTCGAGAGCGGAGGATCTGGGAAGGGCGGTACCAGCAGGTCTGGAAAGCTGGCTAAAAGTTGCTCGTGAAGCCACGCTATCTGCTGAAATGAGCGAAAGCATACTCCAGATGAGAGATTATGTTTTTGTAGATATTCTGCACTGTCCTGTAGTAAGAAGATGGGTATTAGATTCACTGTTGGACTGCGCACATGGAGATAGGTGAGCATGTGGTATGGATTTCTCCCTCCGACATTGATTGGGGTAACACTACGAGAGGCAGGATCATATATAAAGTTACCTCCTCCCCGAGTACTATTTTGAACTGGATCGTGTCGACACTTGAAGCTGCTTCTGGAACAGTGATGCTTAATGGGGTGGTCATCGATTACTGCAGACTGAAAAGAAACCCCTCCACGTCGCATGGACTGCCTTTCAAGGAAATGTCGGACTTGCCTTCCAAAGGCGCCTGTCCTTCCTCCCCCCAACAAACAATACAATGTTCAAAATTATTCAGTATCAATATTGGATATGCTGAAGAACTGGCTAGAAATGCCATGCTGCTTCATTAGATATCCATCTCATCAATAGACTAGTAGGGTGTTGATATAATACAATTCCCCTTCGCATGGGGAGTGCCTTGCGGTTTCTGTGACGTGCAATTTGTTGTGCCTTTGAATTGATCTTCAACCGGACGCTGTGTATTGAGCTTCAAAATAACAATATGAATCGATCCAAATTGTTTGTTGCATGCAGCAGAATTTCGTCACGCGCAGTCTTGAGGGTTTCTTATCCTGGATCCCGGAGCTCTCTCATGCCTCGCAGGCTCTACACGAGCGATAGCTCAGGGGCCACTACACCGAAATCGTAATGTCCCGGCACGGGTTTCAATACTTTACCGCGACCTGACATGTCCATAGCCTAACACTGCAATTTACTCTTATTCAGAACTAAGCCTGGTCTGCATCCTGGCCAAGTCCGTGGAGCCTTATCGCAAAAGAAGCTAATGGAAGCTGCTTTGCCGTTTGTGGCCACCCATGGCTGGACCACTGAAACCATATCACTGGGTGCACAGAAATTGGGATACCCTTCAATTGCACACGGTCTCTTTCCCAATGGGCCTGCAGATTTGATTGAGCTGTTTTTGGAAGACAGTCGACTCAAGTTGGAGAGCGAAATGGAGCGCAAAAAGGCAGCTGGCGAACTTGACAGGTAAGTAGTTTCTGCGTATGGCGCGATTACGAAGAGGCGACGTACATGCATTAGTACCCTTTGGCTCATATTATCCTTTCACCAGTCTCAGTGCAACCGATATCGTTCGTTTGGCGGTCATCACACGTCTTGAAATGACACGTCCCTACATCAAACGCTGGCCCGAAGCGCTAGCTGTCATGGCCCATCCCACCAACTCTGTCATGTCATTTACCCAGCTTGGCAAGTTGGTGGATGACATTTGGTTCTATGCTGGTGATAAGAGCCCAGACGTAAGAAAAAAAATTCTGTATGGTGGTAAATCGAAGAGAAAATGGCCATGCTGAACGTCCTCACTTAGATGAACTGGTACACAAAGCGAGCTTCTTTGGCGGCTGTGTACACATCCACAGAACTTTATATGACCCAGGACGTTTCTCCCAACTCAGTAGATACTTTGGGCTTTCTCCAACGTAGACTTGAGCAAGCTGAATTTGTTGGTTCCGGTATGAAGCAGGTAAGGGAAAGCTACCACGTAGGCGGATGCATTTATGCGTGACACTTACAAAATTCGTTGTGATATAGCTCGGAACGATGCTTGATTTTGGTGCACGTAGCTTTGTAGGAATGGTCGCATCGGTAAGTAATAGGAAACGACTGGAATAGGTTGTAAAACAGCCGTAAGCTTACTTGCCTGCCATCTCCAGCGTGGAAACAAGATTTAAAAATGTCCAAGATTCTCTACAAGACATCTCATAAGCCGTCACATTCGTCATGTCTAAATCACCACAATTCCATTATAGAACATATCTCATACAATTGCCCATAACATCTCCCAACTCAGTGGAATATATAAATTTACACTATTATTTCGAAAGTTTCTCGCATAAAATAACGAATGATTTTACCTTCAAGCAAAATTTTAACATTTGCTTACATGGATGACACCGTTGTAGCCGCTGGGAGAGCCTATAAGAGCAATGTGTGTTAATGGCCAATGAAATCGTATTATAACACTTTTCTGCACGACCTAATTGCACGGCCAGAGTAAGATCATGGAAGAAATACGATAGAGGAGTTATTGCTCGACTTGATTGGTATCATAAGCATACCGCCTACAATTGACCCAGGTCCCGAACGACTTTGGAAACCGGATAATTAACCACCAAAACCTCATAAATAACGATGCAAAATCCTCCCAAAGACTTGTAACAATGCTTAGAGCTTATAGAAGGTAGAGAACCACAGAAATTCTTTTATTTATATTATATCTTAAACCAACAAAAGTGCAGCTCAAATAGCACGTACCAATTCATTCTTTACATTATATACAATTTTGATTTTCAAGTGAGAGAACGCAAATAATTTACCGCTCTTATCAAAAGGGCGTCTAAACAATAGATTGTGGCGTGGGATCTGATTCAGAGAGGATCATCATATTGGTGAGCACATCCAAAGCATCCTCTACGAATTCTCTAGGTTGGGAAGGAGAGCTGAGTATGTTGAGATGCGCTAAAACAGACAGTACGTATCGAACGGGCGGTCGTTTTTCCTGATGGCGCAAAGATGACTTCAGGGTGTTGGTATATTTTTGTAGCAAGTGGTTTTCTTTCGTCAGAGATAAGATGGCCAAGGTGCTGAATTTGGAAAACGCCCTGATTGTCAATCCCATCGCATGATAAAGGTTACTGTTGATCAATCTCATCTGTGCCATATGTAGTAGTCCAGAGGCGGTTGGATGAATAGCTAGGTTGAGTATGGACCATTCCATGGAAGGATTTGGCAATTGGATAACGCACATGAACCAGTCTTCATGTTGCTGGACATAGATGTTTGCCCAAGCATAATAAATATTAACATGCTCTTCATCCCAGTACGAAGTACTTGGATTCACTTGCCAACGAACTCGACAGTCAGACAGGTTGCGAAGTGCGTTACACAATAATCCAATATCGTCTTCGTGAACAAGCGACATGATCGGTCGATTTAATAAAATGTCATCCATGGCCACATCCTGAGAGAGGCCGCCTTGCTCCAATGAATAGGCCTCAATGACTCCATACTCTGTAACCCGTAAACAGAGGTGGTTCCCCGCATTAAGGTCGGTCACGTCGCTGGCCATAAGTAACATGTGATGTGGAGACGAGACTGGGTGGCTGCAGATATACAACAGTCGATTACTTTCTACCGTCATGTAATGGTGTGGTGATTCGGTAGGTATGAGTATGTCTTTGAGTTGAAGAGGTAAAGAATCGTATTTGGCATTTAGCCATGATGGATGTTCGCCAGTGATTAAAACCGTCATATCCAGTGTGTTGACCAACATCAAGTACCGACATCGGATAGGACATTTTTCGAGAGAATGCCCACCGTGTTCAGGCAATAACATTATTCCAAACTGCTCAATAAAAAGAAAATAAAGGAGTTTCAGAGAAGTGAAAAGTAAGGAAGAAAGAAGAAATAATGTGGGGTATACGCTTCACATTAAATAAAAAAAAAAATGATCAGCTGTGCAGAAGACACCAATCAAGGCATTTCGTTATCCGCTTTCTGATATCACTTGAGATTGAGCCTCCTTGTTCTTCCTACTCCTTACTTACAATGCTTGAATAATGCTTTATTTCTTTGCAACTGAAGCTTTCGATTGTTTTTTAATGGCTCCATGAATACAACCATATTTTGCTATGTCTGCTACGTCAAAGTCAAACATTACAACTCACGTGAGAGCCATATGCGGACTTTGGTTTTAACCCATTTTTTTTTTTTTTAATTTCGATCACAGTCGCTGTTCTGCCTGGACGAAGTTTTCCTGCCCGCGGAGCTTAATGGCATGCTTGTAAATGGGGTCGGTGGTGTTACAGGATAGCAGGCGCCTGGGTATCCGTATCCATTTGCATAGTAAAAACCTAGTCCATAATCAAGGCAGTACTGGTACATGGGTAGGGAGTAGTATAATCCAGAGTGGTCAGGAGAGTTATAATGTGATGAAATGTACGTCATCAAGCTACAAGGGACTAATGAAAGATTAGGCTACATGTGAAAAATGACTGGCTGGCTTGGCTGTAGCGAGACTTACCTTGATATCCATCTGCACATGGTTGTATGACAGACCTAACTTGCAGCTCTGCTGGATACTGACACTAAAATAGAGAAATTGTAAATATCGGCAAATGTAAACACACCGCATAATTTAACTCACCAGCTGGGATATACTATTGGCTAAGCTACCTTTAGGCTATGAAAACTAAACCCATTAGATTTTGACAAGTTCAATACAGGTTAAAGCACTAATACATTCGATCTCATTTACCTTGTAGTCACGCTTCTGTGGTCTTGGGTAAGTAGATGAAGATGGAACCAGGGACGAATTGAGCGAGTATGTCTTGTTTACTATTTGGTCGGGAGTTTTCTGCGAGCGAGCCATATTCAGTTTAGCCATCGAAGACGAAACACATTGACCAGGGGGGTAAGGTTTTTTAAACTTGTCAAATTTAACGCTATCGTTCCGCAGACTCTCGCAATCCTTGAAGAACGCCTTTATCTTATATCCATTCCATACTTTGCCGTTCTGGAAGGTATTATTGGATGAATGATGATGGCCGAACAGCCCATTTCAAATAAACCGAATTACCTCAATTTCTTGCGCTTTTTTAGCATCCTCATAACTCGCATACCGGACAAAGGCACAACGTGGATCATTGTTATTTGCTGCTGTTCTTTTCCTCACTGGAGTTTTCCCGACTAACACAACAGATGAGATATTCCCGCTCGACATAAGGTAGTTGCGCAGGTCATCCTGATTGATGCCTGGAGGCAAGTTTTTGATGACCAATGTGGAAGATGAGGCGACTTCCATCAAATTGTTCATCTTTTTGCTTGACTGGTTCAGGTTAGTTGCCCACTCGACTGTCATAGCTTGGAATGGAGGATCATGATGTAGTACCTAGAGAAAAATACAAAGTACAGTAAACCCTCATTTACCTTATGCAAACGTAAAAATAAAGAAAAGTTATTAATATATTATGTACCAGATAAGCTTTGATAGCATCATCTCTATATTGATATCGGATGAAAGCCCCCACAGTTGTGGAATGCGTAGCGGTGGTCTTGATAATGGTTACGTCTTCAATGCAGCCGAAGCTTTCAGCTAGCTGTTGTATTTCCTGTATGTTGATGGAAGAGCAAATGAATAATAAGGCACACCCATCTATATAAATGATAATGCTTTGTCTGTTGTGAAATCTTTTGTGATTGATGTGATTATTTATTTACCGTTTTACTGGTGTTTTCAGGCATTTGTCCAAGATATATAGTTCTGTTTACGCGTGCGGGTTCGCAACGGATGTATCTGCCGTTCAACAAAGTTCCTGACGCTTCTTTGAGAGCTTTTTGGGCATCTTCTTGACTCTGATCAAAAAGATTTAGATGGTGACTCGATGAGCGACCCCTGATGAACTTTACTGAACTTACCGCAAACTGAACAAAGCCGTAAGGTCTCTGCATCCAGTCTCTAAATACCTTCACATTGAGAACTAAACCCCATTGAGAGAAATGCTGCAATACAGATGTGCTGAGTTCTGAGTCCTTCAGTAGCTTGGACAGACTAAAATAAATGATAAATAAGAGGTTTGTCTGGGGCAACGAATGTATGCATGACATAAGTCGACTTACCTGGCAACAAAAACACACCCAGCAGGCATTCCTCTGGAGTCCATGTTTTCATCGCATGCTGTTTTATCGTCTTTATATTACTTAGATTGCAATGGTCCCAGGTGACTCACTTTTTGTATTTGGGAGAAGGCGATATGATCTTACCTGTACTTCCAGCGTCAGAGGCATTACTATCCACAGTATTGGCCAGACTTTCAGATGCGTATGTTCCCTGATCTGTCGTTTGTGCTATCATGCTATAAGGCTGCGAGTAATTTTGAAATTATTGGTCCAATAAAGCAAAGAGGCAAGAGTAAAAGGTGTATGAACTAAGGAACAGATGAATGTATGCTGAGAAGAGAGCTGAAATCAGTGATTGAACACCGCAAAGTGCCTTTGATTTTCACTGATCCGCTGATATTTTTATGGAATGGAACTCAATTCTTCGCACACTCCCCTTCCTCTTATTTTTAAGAAATTCAGTACGATGCCTTTGGAAAGGTCTGATACAACTAAACATCGATTGAATAAGATTTATCTAGCACTGGTTGGTATCGATTCGGGTCAAAAGCGGCTAACAATGCATGCCAACTAAAGACTACTTTTTAGGCAATCGTTATCCTTCGAAATAAGCCCAAGCCAACGGCAATCAAAGGTATTTTGTATGATGACAACCGGTATGATACATTAGCTATGCAATAAGGAGATGATGAAGTTAAGTGTTTTTTTTTCCTAGATTACCTCGAGCATATAAAGCGTAAAGTACCAAAAGGCGATAGGTAGTCGCAATGACCAACAAATCCAGATGCAATTGTAGCGCCTCAAATGGATAAATTTCTTTAGCTATATCATTAATGCTGATTGTTAGGTGATTCCGTTTTTATCGTATTTCTAGCTTTGCTTCACACTGTAGTTTCAAGTATTCAACATGTCGATATGTATTAGCTAATGCCTTTGATTCTATTGAGATTAAAGTATTATTTGCGCAAATGAAATTGAAAACACAGCTTTCACTAAATATATCAATATGGTGATATGGTTCAATTGCTTCCTCCGAGTACTTTGCAATTAAGGTGTTCAGTAATTTCAGAAATGATTTGCGTCTGCTTCAAATATCTGTCGCAACCAGCCAGGATTATGTACCTTTACAATATCTTTGCAAATTCTCAAAGTTCAATTATTTCATAGGTCCTCACCACCAAATTATGTCAGCATTATCAACTTGATAAAAAAGTAGAACGTTCGACAACATATCTCACCACAATGTCTCAATCTGCAAAAAGTTGTAGCGCATTGGGACAAAGAGATACCAACACAGCAACATTCTGTATTGTATCGAGCAATCGGTGTGAACAAGTGAAAGCCGCCCAGCATGTCTTCAATGCACTACGACCGGTTCTATTGACTTCAACAACATCTCTGTTACCAATGAAAATCTCTCTTATGAAAGGTTCAATTTTCTTTTACGCTTCTTATGATTTTAACAGCACAGTAAATGTTTTTTTTTTTTTAACCGAATCACCAATATCCAAAATTGCCAATTTGCGGAAAGGGCATTTTGCTTTCATTGGTTCAATGTGACTGTCTTTTTATAGCACGCGCTCAACCAGCATATTTTTCAAATAGCGGGCTGGCGCAATGGCCCAAGCTGCGAAATTATTGTCGTTGAAGAAACCCTCCCCACACTCATTCCTCAGTCTTTATTCCACGGCAGCAACAAAATATTTGCACTGGCAGAAAAGTAATGAGTATGCCTAGTGCCATGACTCGAAGATCAGAAGTAAAAATAGACCCAACAGGTAGCAATCCCAGAAAACGGAAGCGACAAGAATCCCAAAAGCGAGAGCTGCCCACTCGGCATTCCTTGCTTACCGATGTTGCTGTTGCTGATCTCGAAGATGCGCATACAAGTAAGTAACTTGTGATTCTATAGAACAGAGTTTGCGCGTGTTGCTGTGAACTACAGGCTTCTGCGCTACAAAAAGTACATCACTAATCCGCCGACTTGCTTAACGACAGAATTGAATCAGCCGCAGTTTAATGGCCACACCATCATACGAATTTTGCGTGATGGAAGTCAACTTGATGGTTGTCAGACTCTTGCAGATGGGCAAGGTATGGCGCAAGCAAGTGCACAAAGCCGATCGGAGCTACAAACCGAGATAAAAGTGCCAGCATTTCGAGTGATCGACCATAAAATTCCTGCTGCTTCTAAGAAGACCGCCCAAAAATTACCGGTAAGCCACGAAGCACCCTTCAAGATAATGCGCTCGCTTACTGACGGACATTTTCATATAGGTGACAGAAGACACGGATGATGAGGCGTATCTCCGGAGACATCGCAAACACGAAATGGCGGAAAAAAAGCTGAAAAATCGCGAAAAGGAGCGGCTGCGGTACGATATGCAACAACAAATGCGACTTGTCGATAGATTAAAAAGCATGAACCGAACCAATTTGTTAGCGACGTTATCGTCACGGCTTCGCCGCGATGGCATTGGCGAGTTGGACGAAGCAGAGATTAAATCCCTTCACCAGCGCATGATTCGAGAAGCGGAAGAACTTTTGATGCGGTATGAAGCGCTTGGTCTGTTGCCTGGCAAGCAAAAAATTGTATATACCACCATTGCGAAGCCTGTCAATGAGACCCACCGAATGCCTGAGCTAGATCCAGCCACACCACCACTTACTCCACCAGCCAGTGTTCCAGAAGTACTGCCGCTCAAACCCAAATCTCAAAGCAAAAAGGGAACGAAGGTACCGGACCAAGCTGATCCGGGAGTTCGAGAAAAAGAGACTACAATCATTAAACCCAAAAAGCCTTTGAAACGAATACCGAAGACCACCGTCACAGACAACCAAAAGCAACAACTACCAGATGAGAAAAAGAAGTATAAACGGAAATTTCGGTTTTCAAAATCTGTTCCTTCCATTAAGCAACAAGAGTTTTCTTTACCTACTGATGACTTTGGGGAATTAATGAGCGGTCGTAATTCATGATGGACGAAACTGCGAGCAAGCCTGGTATGCTGGCCTGCAACCATGATACGATACGGTAACCACAACTTGTAAACATAGCCAAAATACATCGTTTCAATAAATTATTTACTTTCGCAATTCTTTTCTCACATAGACAATGAATGCTAACATGGTTTGTTGCGTAACGTGTTTGTTTTGTATATCCCCTTTTTAGGTATTTTTTCATTTCAAATGAAGTGTAAAGAAGTTAAGTAAGTGATTTGTAAAGGATGTCAAGGCTGAATGAAATAGATGACACAATAATTGGGGTTCCAAGTGGAAAGAAAAAAATAGGAGTATATACAATGACTTGGAAGATATGCAAAAAACGAACAAGAAGAAATATACGTGTCGCCTAACTGATGACAAACACGTAAAGAAATAAAGGCATTTGTTCTAAGAATTAGAGACGACGCTGGGTTGGGGATACAATTGCTGACCATAGGAAAAGAAATTAAATAATTTTCTGGCGTTGTCGACAATGGAGTGTTTATGCTTCAAACCCACTATCGTTGCGAAGGGCTAGATGTCTTTGAGTATGAGTATGGGATTTTGCAATTTTCTTGAGCTCCTCACGCTTGGCTGACCAAGCCTTCAAAAGAATAAGTGAAAAGACATAGGAGAGGGTGATCATGGAGAAGGCCACGGCCACATTCATCAAGAACATGGAATCGACTTGATTACGCATTAACCAGCCCATGGTACCTGCATTAGAAGCCATGAAGAGAATAGCACCGCAAATGAGAGCAAAAGCACCAAGCGCTTCGGTAGGCGGACGGCTGGGCTCACGACTTGTAGGCTTGCTCTTGTACAAGGAGATGTAAGTGAATATGCGACATAGAGCAGCGATAGAAATCAACAGTCCCCATAGGTAATGGACGTTGCTTGAGTATTGAGTATCCTGATGATGGTTGCCCATGGAAATACCTGTCATTAAAACTGTCAAGGCAGGAATGGGATTGAGAGAATAGGTTTGTTCCTGTTCATGTCTAGATTGGATTTCGTTTCTATTAGGGTTGCTGGCGCGATACAATAACCGTCTAAGAGACCTGCTTTCGATAAGGATTCCAGCAAGACCGCACCACCACCACCTGCGAATAAAAAGTAGAGAGGGGCATGGTCAAATAAGGCAATGAATTGGTATGGGAGTAGTTTAAACAAACTTTCCGGGTGTTTAACCACTCAACTTACATGAAGGCCAAAGAGGCGTGCTCAAAATCCTTGTGCGTCCATGCTTCGTCCTGACCCAAGTGCTCTAACCACGTGTTGGTGATGCCATAGGTGAAGATGAGAACGCATTCAATCATTTCAAAGCTGAACTTGCTGCCGTTATCCACATGATTCCAAGCCCAACCTCGGTCGGCAAAGACACCCAAGTAGCGAGCAAAGGTCAAGATGCCATAGATAAAGAAGATGCCTCCCTTGATTAAATGAGCAATGCATCCGAGAACTTCCCAACCTCTGTGACAGGTAACAATGAGTTAATGAAACGCAAAATTGGGTTTCGGCACATATTACATCCGCCGGGAATTCGTCATATCCATGTTTCTTTAGGGCCCACCATCGGAATTTCAAAAAAAAGTGGGACTCTCATACCTGCAAACACCCGCATAAACGACCATACCGCTCAAAGTTTGAATGAAAATTAAGAGAGGGAAGACTCTGCCAGTGAGAAGATGGGCCCAGCGGCACACTGTAACAGTAAATGGATTATGAGCCGTGACAACGAAGGCTCGCTTGATAAAATTGGGGATGAAGGGCTTGATGACATTAAAAGTGCGCATGACAATGGTAGGCTTTTCCTCGAGTTCTTCGAAATTCGATGGGAATTCGGCGTCGTCCATTTCAACAGGAGACATTACAATGCTGTCCTTATTGTACTGGAAGTCCTCTTCGTCGTTCAAAGTGTCCTCAGACGTTTGGCTGCGTTGCTGGTGTGAGTCACTAGTGGACGAAGAGCTTGACTCAGCTCGTCCGACAAGGTGGACGGTCTCCAGACGGTCGTAATGGGCGTTGCTACGGCTACGTGCCACCGCATTAGCTATCTTACGAACAACACCTACAAGCACCTGACCCCATAAAATGAGAAATAGAAGCCATCCCATGGAATGATGGACGTTGCCGGCATAAAAGTGAGGTACAGAGTGGCCATAAGCCTTTGCAAACGAGAAACCAACCAAAGCGGTACCGAAAGCCAAAATTTGAGTAGGGACATGAAGAGACGAGCGAGCGATACCGAATGCAATGCCTGGTCGAGGCGGTAAAGGTTAGCATATTCTTCTATATAAGGTTCATGGAGTGACTAGGCCTGTCCTGCTTACCCATAGGCATAAGAATCCAAAATGCAAGTACCATGAAGGCGATATGTGTATACAACAAGCCCTTATTATCAGGATAGTCCCAATACGACATGGGTTCATCGCCTGTTGAGTTGAAGGCGGGCATGTCCTCCATTTCAGCACCATGGTTATGTTGGGCTGCGGCAAGATGTGACAGACACAAAAGTGATATCGGTAATAGAATGGATAGCTTGCTCTGCATCTTCAAAGATGGAAGGCGAGGGTTAAAAATGCGAATTGATAATAGGGGAGGAGAAGAGGAAGAGAAAGAGGTGTCCTTACTTCAATTGCTGAAGTTTCGTTTTTCTATCTTCTGGTTACTGTGTTAAGTATACAATGCCGCTCACTCATTTATAATCAGCAGTGTCGAATTTTTTTTTTCGAGAAATTTTTTTTTTATTGGCCGTATTCCATAAATCTACGATAAAAAAAAATGATCGTAATTTGCATTATTTTTTTTCCTAGGGGTTGGTAAGCTACCTTTAAATATTCATACAGTTGGACGGCTTCTACTTGCGTTTCGTCATTGAGCCTGCGCAGTATCTTCAAAGGAAGTATAACATTCAATGCTTTTCTCCATTCGCTTCGATTGTTTACAATTTTTTTTTAAGGTGAACGGCAAAACAATTTTTGCCATCCTGCTTCGTTCATGTTACTATCCTTCTTCCCATATTCCGCTTTGCGCAACCCACACATCTCGATTACCACATGATAGTTTCTGGTTGCCTCTGTCATTGTATTTGCGCGTAAAAAACCATGAACTTGAACGATGACTAAAAATTCATTGCGTACTTGACAGATACATCGGCCATAAGTCGGTAACGATGTTTCAGATGAATTAGCATGGCTGATAGACAAAATGTTTTGCCAGATTTATCACCGATATTTTCTGTGTTTGTTTGTGAAAAAGAATTTTTTTTTTTATAAATGTTTTCGACGTGCGTGTTTCCATTTCATACATTTGAATGATCAACCTGGTGAAATTGCCATATCTTCTGTTGCTACACTCCTTGTTGTCACGTTGTTATAGTCATTGGGTGGCGTCACTCCACTGACCTTTTGACCTATCCGTCCGAACAGCACATGAAGGAACCAGCGGTCCGGTAATTATCCGCCGAATGAAAAAAACTCCACTGGGCCTCGCGAAGTAACAGTTGACAGAACTTCTTTGAACGTCGCCAATTCGGTTACAGTTTAGCCGAGCGATCCCCTAGGAATGACCTGCCCTGCCCAATTTAGAGTGTGTTTGGTCAACAACTCCGCATGAAAAAAAAAAAAAAAAACCTTAGCTATTTCCGATAGTCGCTTTCTGGAAGACAGAAAATTCTATAACTTCGGTAAATCAAACTCCTTGGTCATCGACATAAAGAGGCGCAGCTCAGATTGATCAGTCGATGAGAGGGTTATTACTAATAAACATTTTTATTACAACATTATGCCTCAAAACCGTGACAGGGTTTGTGCTCTCATTCTAAAACGTTCAGTGACTTTCGGGAATACAAATGTCACGGACGTGTGCGGGTAAAAATGTAGCGCAGTCATGTCGGCCAAAACAATTTAGCCATGAGTCGCTCGCTCAACAATCAACTCAATATGATCACGAAGCGCTTCAATAGAGGCTAGCTTGTGCGCCAGCATATCGTCCAACTCTCCGAGATAGTCCTCAAACGACCGAGTCGACTTGACGATGCCTCTTTCACGTTGACTGGATAGGTTCAGGGTCAAGTTGGCTAACAACTTGGTTTCGCGCTTAGAGCAGTCATTGACTTCTCGCATCTCAGCTCGGTGCAAGCCAATGAATTCTTGCATTTCATCATGCGAGAAAAGTGGCGAGTCTTGGACAGGTGACGGCGCCCTAGGGTTACTGCGAGGAGATGACACAGCCGAGCACCCGCTGTTGGAACGGCTGGTGTAGCCGGGACGGGGTATGCCCGATGTCAACGTAGATGACGTTGATCGGATGAGTGGTTTCTTAACGGAAAGGGACGGAGCGTTGTACGGATGCTCTTCTGAAGGCGACCTTTCGAGGCGTTTGGAAGAATAGGATGTTTGCAGTGATCTTAAATGGGATGCCTGACTCAGCGGTTGACTAGATGGGAGATCTTGTTCCTGGTAAGGAAAGTCAACATCGAATATATTCTCGGTTGCCATATCTTCTGTGTAGAATGGCTGAGTATCTTGCTCTTCCAGTTTGCCAGAAAAATCTTCTTCCGAGCTGTAATAATCTTGCATGTCCATATCATCTACATCCTCGCCATCGTCACGAGAGGGCATTGGCCGTATGGCCTCCAGTCCCGTAGACCCTTGTCGGTTACCTTTTAGTTCTTTAACTCTACCGAACCATGCGCGGAAAAAATACCGATAAATGAGCCATTTTTCATCCTTTGTTGCTCATACTTCCAATGTTTTTTTCTTACCTATCAGCATAGCGAAGAGTATTCAGTGTATGCTCGCTGTTTGTATTTCCTGGAGAGATTGTTGCGATCATGCAAGTTCTTGACTTCCCCACAAATGAATCTTTTAGAACTTGGGTAAGCTTGCTTTGTCGAAAAGGCGTATGTTTTTTGTCTTGGTCCAATGCTCGAATGCATTCTTTCAGTGCCAGCAAACTCTTGTTGATTTCAGCTCCTTCCATTCTAATCACCGACCATGGCCATAAAGGGGGTTATTTCTTGGTGGGCAGAATGCTTCGTACATCATATTTAGACTCACCTGGTCTTCACATCCGTTTCACCTCGATCAGCACCCCTCTCGCTGCCCGCCAAATCGATGAAGCTGAGCTTACCAAAGATGGTCTTGCGACTTTTTTTGGGCTTGAGAAGGATTTGAAGCACAGCATGAGACCGTGAGGAACTGTCATTTGCTCCAGTTGCACCTGTACTACGGACTTGACTTCCGAGGTCAAATACTTGCATCAAGCTGTCCACATTGCTAATGGCGTACTCATGCAATCCGGCAATGACTACATTATTGTTGCCGTCTTCTCGTGCATGTAATCGCTTCCTCTCATTTAGAAGGTCATAGAGCTGACCTTGATAAATTTCGTAAAATCCAATGGAAGCAAACAGATGTTCATATTGAGGTTGCTGCAGCATGTCAAATATATCACGAGCAGCGAGCACATACAAGCCTCTGCGAGGGTCTAGCATGGTAAACGTTTTGCCTGAACCAGTTTGGCCGCTAAACGGAGAGCCAAGAGGTAAGAATAGTGCGAAAAGATGACTCTCTAGACATGTGGGAAACACATCTATCTGACCGCCACAACTTACTATGCAAAACAAGTCGCCTTGCCGCCAGCAAAAATGTAATTGACCAAGGGTAATGCCGTTCGCTCATACAGAACTTCATTTCGTGTATATTCGTCAAAAACTTCATCGAACACAAAAGAATGTTGCTCCACGAATTTTGTCAGGTCCAGTTTTGTCCTTGAAGTGTTAAACATCATTTAGGTTACACTTGATCATGGGGGCAATTGGTACAAGCAGTAAATGTCACTAACTTTGGTTCGTTGATTTGAATATTGCGATCGCCAGTCACTTGAGTGATATCCTTCTCATTACGATTAATCTCCTTGGTACTAAGGGGACGCTTCCTGACACAAACTCTGATCTTTTGATTGAGATTGCTGCTACGAGAGCTGGGAGATGTTGATGTGACAGGGGCGGAAACTTTAAGTGATGAAGTAACGGCGTCGGTCATGCGTATAGCACCAAGACTGGGCATTTTCTTTGTAGAAACTGGAATGCCATAAGCATTGACCAATTGATTTGCTTTTGTATATTGAATCTCTTCCTCTTCATCTACAAGGTCAAGATCGAGATTATCCAAGTACGCACTGCCGGGGCGTGATCGGGCGGTACTATCTCGTCTAGTACGCTCACCGTAATTGGGTATATTTGAACGTGGAAGACTGGTTCGAGGAGATGGAGGAGACGTATCTTGATTGCGAAGCGCTCGAGTCAGCATCAGAAATTTTTTACGGTCAGCCACGGCACTGATACCTAGTTTGTTGCAGTCGTGCATCGAAAGCTGTGGTATGGCCCCAACGCTAGTGATACCATGGTATGCAAAACTATGGGAAAATGGGAAGGCTGACAGCTTAGTCTACTATGCAAAGTATGAGTGAACATGAATTCAAAGTGGAAATCGTTTTTTTTACTTTTCCGCATACTAGAAAAGAACATAAAGTGGTTAGATTGAGGATGAGTTCGATGGTGTGACAAGATTGACAACAGGCTAAATGCTTTACTCGATCTAATTCGTACTGCCGAAGTACGTCTTCTAGATGTCGACTAGTCATGCGAGATGCAATTCTGGACCTAGGGATGGATGAGGATCGTGGAAACACTGAACGCGCTCTTACACACGACCCAACATTTCTTTTTGCGGACGCGACCCTTTCTCCTTGGGCAGTCACATTTTGATGGGCTTTTGATCTCGCCCTTTCAACCACATAATCACATCCCAGCCCAGTCAAGCCCAAGGGCTTGCAACTCTGTTAAAGTCATTTGTAAGCAGCTCCTGAAGTCTTTCGTATTCTATTAGAATTAATGTCTTTGATTGCAAGTGCTGGACAAGCGATTGATTATAGAGGATGAAAAATGCATGATATACTTTATTTATTATTTGTACATTTTCATTACAAAATGCTATTAACTTCTTCGTTTCGGTCGGTTTTTTTTTTACATAGCGGAAACAGGCTCATCAGTCAAATTACCGCGAAGGTCTTGTTCTTTTTCAAGGCACTCGAACAAGCTCTTAAAGTTGCCAGCACCAAAACCTTGATGGTTCTTGCGCTGAATGACTTCAAGGAACAAAGTGGGTCTGTCCTCAACAGGACGAGAAAAGATCTGCAACAAATAGCCATTTTCATCGTAGTCAACGAGGATATTCAACTTCTGCAACACATCGAGGTCCTCTGTTACTGGTATCTTGGCAGTCTTATCACGTTCAGAGAGACGAGTACGGAGACTATCATAGTAGCTATTAGGGATGGCCAAGAAATCACAACCTCTTGCACGCAAGTTGGTAATGGCGGTAATGATATCAGAAGTGTTCAATGCAATATGCTGCACACCAGCACCACCGTAAAAATCAACGAATTCTTGAATTTGAGACTTCTTTCGGCCCTTGGCTGGCTCATTGATGGGCATTTTGACTTTATCACTTGGATCACTCATCACGATACTACGCAAAGAGGAGTATTCGGTATGGATTTGGGAATCATCCACAGACCAGAAGCGGTGGAATTCTAAGCAGTTTTCATAAAATTCGCAAGCTTCATTCATCTTGAGGTCAGGCTGGTTACCGACGATATGATCGACGAACTGAATGCCAACGGTAGGTCTGATAAATTTAAAATAGCGAAGAGCATAGAATTAGATGAGCTATTAATGCCTGAAAGGTTCCTCTTGATATAGTACATGCTTTACGCTGTTAAACTTACAGGAGGTCTTCTAATGGATCTTGATGACGCAGAGAAAGTTTGGAGTCTTCATAGCCTGGCAAAAAGATACCTTTGTAATCGCTGCGCTGCACAAATGTGTGATTGACATCACCATACTGATAAATATGTGATAATTGAACATATTAGAAATCAAACTGGTGTTTATAAAGTTGGGGTCTCAGCCTCTTTTTGTCAAGTTCCACTTACGGTGGCAATGGTGGCCAACACAACAGTACCATCCTTATCAGTTTCCTCATGAGGTGGAGATATCGACTTGGCACCACGAGCAACCGCCTTTTCGTAGACAGTACGAACGTCAGTCACAGTGAAGGCGACATCCTTGACACCGTCTCCACGGCGAGCGATGTCTGCGGTGATATCGGGTCTTGCGTCGGGTTGAATGGGAGACTCAAAAACAAAGATAGTATTGTTTTGCTTGATAACGTGGGCAGCAATATCACGAGAGCCAGTTTCCAGACCTTTGTAAGCGACATGCTTGAAGCCAAAGCGAATACAGTAATACGTTGCAGCTTGCTTGGCATTGGTGACAGTGAACTTGATATGATCATAGCCAGTGTATCGGCTGGCGGTTGCATTAACTTGTTCAACAGAAGTAGGCTGTAGTAGAAGACATTAGCAATTTTGGCCCATCATGCATAAGCTACTAGACAGGATATTTTACCATGATGAATGGGAATATAAGAGTCAAAGAGGAGGTATGTTGCGGGAGATTTTCTCTCTTATATAAGTTGTAAAAATAATTACAATCAATTCTGCGCGCGTGGGAAACCTAGGCCAAATTGACAAGTTGCCCGCTTTGAATATTCAACCGCTGTTTAGGATGTCAATCATGTTACTTAAATGAGGGGCTTTATTGCAGATGGCTGCTGACAAGATAGCAGGATGTCAAACATATTTAATACAATCAAGCTGCTTATCTTCTCTATTCCTTTACACTCTTTGATGGGTGAGGAATCGATCCTGGATCATGCACGGTGCCCTTCTCCGCATCCACGAAAAATTTGATAATTCCTTAATATGGAGGAATCTCGGGTAATAATTCAACTTCTATGTATCTTGTTCTGCAAGGCTCGGTTATCCACGCACTCCAGTTCGACAATTCTAAACAAACGAGGCTTGTTAGTGGGAAACCTTACTTCCCCAAAAGACAACTTGTTCCATCTACGTCAGTCCCTTACCCGCTCAATAATGTCCGAATTTTGTTCAGCTGTTCTGCCATCTGGTTGACTTGTTCTTGCGTAACAGGAATTGACGTTAATTCCACTAACCACTGGTGCTCGTTATCATGAAATGCCTGCATCGATGAAACGTCCCATCGTTTGGATAGCTAGTGATATAGGACTTAGAATTGATATACAGTGTCTCCTTGATAGTTTTGATCCAGCCTCCTGTAGGTCATCTTACCTTGTATAATTGAGTCACAGATATTCTAACACTATCTTGGTAGGCAAATACAAAGCCTTGTCGGGCAAATTCAAAGGCAAACGTGTAACTCAATGAGCGAACGAATCGAAGGGCGTCACCTCCGACTTTGGCTTGTGTGACTGGCCGTACGGATACCGTTCTTCCTCTCTGTGGTTCTGGGTGACCTTGAAGCACCAAATACCTAAACACATACAAATTTTCCTTTAATAAGTCGCCTACGATTTGTTTATACACATTCGTCATGACCGAAAAACTAAAGTTCATTACCATTCTCGGTGCTTCAGGCTTTTTTGCTTCTCGTTGCGAATATTCGCGTGAAGTCGAAGTAAAACATCATCATTACGCGCTGGTCCGACCGCCGTTTGAACTGGTAGCATGCATTAGCAAAAGTCCCTAGTGGATGGAACAAGACAAAGGCTATGTCATGTTGCTCGATCAATCAAACAATGATTCCTACCGGTTGGACTGAATCCAATTTGATGTTCAAACAAATCTTGTTGTGAATCTTTGCCGCACATTCCAACCAGTCGTCGAAGTAACGAGTCTTTTGCTTCCTCTGTAGTTATGATTCCGTGGAGTAAACATTCATAGTTGGCTGACGACATGGCTGGTTGGAACTTTTGTCAACCAAGACCCAGCAACAATCTCTGGCCCCGCAACGGACGGGTTCAAGCTGTGACTGGTAACCGCTCAGGCACCCTCCTACACGAAAGAATCCGCTGGCACGCTACAACATAGCAATCCATGCAAACTGGCTCCAGTCTGTTTTATTATATGTACACGTTGGGGTTTTTAACGGAGTGTTGTAAAATTTACAGTAACATGCTAGAGGATGATGTAGTGATATCCATCTTTTTGGTCACTCTCAGACCACCTGTATCCATTGGATATTTCCGTTTTCTAACTTGGTGTGAACCATCCTGAAAGATTTGGAAAGCGTCATGTTGAAATGAGTCTAATGCCAGTTTAAACTTGTTGGTATCGATAATTGTCATTGTTCCATGCTGTATAATCTCATTTTGGATCACATGAAATGCACTGCCACTGACAGTGGAAAAGATATGACACATGTCTGTTGACAGCACCCATCGGATAGGTTAGTCACGGGTTTTAATCCTTTAAGAACACATGTAGGCACGTAATATTACCTTGAGCTGATGAAGGAACCTCCACCTTGGAAATCTGGAATTTGATCTGTGATAGCCACTCAGTGTGCAAGAGATATAGGTCGGCACTTGTTATGGTTCGTCCAGCAAATGGCCTTGGTTTCATATAAGGAAGCATATAATCATCATCATGCATATCCTCTTTTCCAAATAATATCACCAGATGATCTATCGCCTTGTTATGAATAGAAACAAGGTGATTTATGTTTTGCACGGTGTCATCAACGGTAGCTGCCAATGGAAAACATAAGTGAATCTTCTGCATTAATGTTTACTGGTGATTTGTAGCACGCTACTTACCAGGCGGAGGTTGAGATAAACGTTGGTATATGTACGCCATACTCCAGTTCATAACTTCCCAAAACTTTTCCATGACCACTGCGTTCAGAACAACCGGTATTAATATCACAATCCTCTATCGAGTCTTGCTATCAATCAATACACTATCCTACCTTCGACCTTGAGTGCCTTGGTCAGCTGATTCGGCTTCCTACCATGTTGTCCTACCCATTTGATGACCTCAGGTAAGTCTTCACAGACATTCTTTGGTGACATGACCACGACTCGATGCTCAGACAACACACTGGTAGTAAACACATTCAGCATAGAGGGGATGTTCTCTTTCAGTTCCTTCTCCAATCCAGGTTGTAGCGGCCAATATAAAAGAACAATAGGTACGCGCAGCTGGGGAGAAGCCTGTTGGATGCGTCTCATAAATGAATGAAATCGTTCTTTTTCTTGGTTCCAGTATTCAGCACTATGTTTAAAATTGAATTATGAATTTTCAGTAAGAGGGAGCCAGTCAATCACTGGGAATTCTGGATAGAGACTTACTTCTTTAAATCGTTAGAATTTGATTGTCTCTCATCAGACAGCTGATAGATAATAGCCCCGGTATTGATGAACAACTAAACAATGGCATAGGTGAGAGATGTCCAGAATCACATGCCTTACCGCAAAGCTTCATTTACCTTTTTGTCCAAATCTGCATCAGAAGCTACAGATTGAAAAGTAATGTTCAATTTGGGTTGTTGGATATGCTTGATCCCGGTCGCCTCGCTGAGGTCAAACTTGTGCCTAATCCATTGTGCAGGCTGACTATTCCAGTATTCGACGCATATCAAGAGCTGCCAAGCTTGCACTGTAGATGGTGAATGGTTCGGAACCGATGACAAGGACGGTAGTAAAGCGGGATAGAGATATTGTGCATAATCCTCCTGTTGCCATAGCTGATCTCGCCATTGTGATTCCTAAGAATACAGTCAGCTACCCATATTTCCCTTTCGTTATACATGAACCGCCAGATATTTACCTGTTCCACCTCTCGAATAAGTTCTTTGCAATATGCATCAATGTCTTCAGGTCCATTGTCTGTCATATCGGTTTCGTTCATGGCATCCGTAGACGCATTCGTTACGTCGCCGTCCAAGGTGTGTATTTTAGCTACAGTGGATGGATTAGCCACTTGCATTTTTGATAATGTATGTCGTATCTTCTCCAATCGTTCAGCCACTGCTTTTCGTTCAGCTATCTTTTGATTTGTACGATATCGCCAAACATCCACGACACGCTTAACCTTTGTCAGTTCAAAGTATCGAGCAAATGCAATTTTTTTCACTTGTTGTTCGATGACTTGTTTCATAATGTCATTGCAGATTTGGTTTTGTAGTTGCGATACAATAACCATTTTACGTGTCTTTGCCAGCACCTTCAAATGCGCTTCTTCATCAGCCTTCTTCTTGGCAATGGTGGCTTCTTCTTCAGCCCGTATACGAGCTGCCTCCAATTGTCGCTGCCTTTCTAATTCAGCGAGTTGTCGGGCTTTTTCTGCTTCCTGTCTACGCCTCTCCTCCTCAATACGAGCCTTTTCTGCAGCTTCTTTTCTCTTGAGCTGCTCATCTGCTTCTTTCTTGGCGAGTGCTTCTGCCTTTTGCTTAGCAATCAACTTCTCAGCTTCACTTTCCTTGCTTTGAGAAGGTTTGTACTTTTGTTCCAAAGCTTCCACATTAGCTAGCGCAAAGAAGCCAGGTTTGATTGCGCCTTTAAAGGGTGATGCAGTTATTGGTAAGGTATTTTTTGACTGCACGCTAGCAGATGTCGATATTGTAGGTGCTGCGGTAGCTGGTGGTATTGAGGTAAATGGTATTGAGGCCCGGGCTGGTTTTGCCGGCAATGAAGGCGCACTGACACGTTTTGATTCGTCAAAAAGTGTCGTGGAAGATGGTCTGAGGATTGGTATTGCCCTGGACGTTCGTGGTAAAGTACTACTACTACCGCCCAAATTTCGACATATAATGTCGCTGAATGTCAGTCCGATCTTCTTAGGTTCCACAAGTAAATGTGACTTTTTGGGTTTTGGGTTGGAAAGAGGTTCTGCATACATAAAGTAGAAATGAATATGACGCATGTACAAATGCTATGTTCACAACTGATCAAAACCTACCGATGAACAGAGGCTTTTTGGTACCGTTCAACGTAGTACCGCTAAAATGAATGACTGGAACAGGGCTGGCGTGGTCGACTAGGATACCATAAAGTTCAGCTTCCTTTACACAATCCTGGACGCTGTCATAGCCAAGCATCTGCCGTACTATTTCTGCCGATATTCCAGAGTACCTTATGTTGTACGTCTTGTTCATAGCCTTCATAGCTCCTTTTCGGATATCGGGAAAATGCCCTTCCAACATGCATGCCATCAGAAAGGTGGTATCCTTGTCTGCCACCATCTTGAAGAACCGAGTGAAGAAGTTTTGGGCTGCTTCACAATTGGCAGGCTTGTTTCGACGTGCAGATGTGCCCATGATTTCGTTATTGCGCTGTGCCAGAGCATGAAACTCTAAAGCCCTTTGAACCAAAGGATGCGTGAAGATGGGAAGTCGTAGAGTCTGTGCCCATCGAACAACATCTTGATCTCGTATATAAGTTAAGATTTGATAAGCTCTAAATTCCGCTTCGTTGTCGCTATAGATACCGACTTTGCTCAAATCGTCGTAAAATTGTGCCAAACTGACCAAAACTGATGAAAAGGTTAAAGTTCAGTCATCCCATCAACTACACACGAAGTGCATGTCCAAATGTCCTACCTTTGCGGAGCTGTTCATTTTCTTGTTGCTCACTAAACTTTTCTTCATCCAATTCGCACATTTCATGGAGAGAGAGAATATGAAAACGTGCAATCCGCTCATGGGCCCGAACGGCATCCATGTTCTTCACATTTTGTACACCAAAGTCCTTTCTCACAGCACGAGTACGATCGCGAATGAAGACATGGCATTTTTCGATTGGATTTTCGCCCAGAACATTGTTGAATAGGTGGTCGAGTGTGCGCTGTAAGTTAGAAGATTGTCAGATCAACAGAGGCAAATTTCTCTGAAAGTACAAATCGGGGGTTCATACTTCTAAGACAGGAGGTGGGCGCACATCCGACGGCAGCTCTTGCTCATTACCAGCAGCTGAACGTCGGTACGTCTTTACGCATTTCGTCGGGTCAGCGTTACCTTGTTCGTCCTATTACCAAAGCGAAGAAGTCAATGGCCATGCATTCATAACAAGGGAAGAAAGCAATGTGATTACTTACCTTTTCCAGTTGATCCAAACCATGTTGAAGCTCTCTTTCCAAACGCTCGAACTGTGGACACATGTCTTGACATGTTCCTGTGAATTTAATAGCGTCTTGCAGCTTTCTAGGTTTGTCGGGATCGTCGATTAACCCTTTCCTCATAGCATCTTCACGTTCGTGAGCGCGCATTTTTTTGAGCTGCATATACAAATGTTGATGAATGATCCCCCAGACATGAGCTTGACCCAAACTCCAAAACGTACCTCTTCATAATGGATTTTCTTCGCGTTGGCATTGGCCGAAAATCTAGCTGCTCGTTCGTCCAACGTTTGTGCCTTGCTCCTCGTTGTCGTTTGGGAAATCACTTCTTCGTCAGAGCCGGGTAGCAAATCGTCAAGCGAATAGTTCAAAGCGTTGTTTTTCTGTTGGACTGGTCGATTGCGGTTGTTGTTACCTCGCTTTCCTTGCTGAGACCATTGAGAGTTCTGCCACGATGGATCTCCATCGCCGGCTTGGCCATTGTTGTGCCCAGCGAAAGGGCTGTTCGATCCAGACTTGGCACGTCCGCGACCCCTGCCTCTATTGGTAGCTGCTGAGGCTGCTCGACCTCTGTTAGGAGGCGTGTTCATGACCAAGCTGATGTACGCTACCTGCTAGGTTTTTTTCCGCTGTGCAATACGACATTTCCAGCTGCTTTGCTTTGGTCACGTGTGGCTTTTTGGCTTCCGTTTGCAGGACGTGAAGCAAAGGCACCCGAAGATGAAGTGAGGCCATATAACATCGAGCGACTATATTTCCATTTGCCTTTGCAAATTAATAAACGATACATCTATCTGAAAGGAAGTTAATGATGGTGAATGCACCAAACAAATGTAATCAGATCGCGTACAAGAGCACTCCATGTGCTGCAGCAAGGACACCGTCTGTATGCAGACAGATAGTACACTCTTCTGAAATGGAAGCTGGTCTATTTACATGATAGCTGTGCCAATTTTGATCTTTAAGCTACATAGATGTATTTCAAGTAATCAACATTACTTCTGCGGTCAAAAGTCGAATTTATCATCCAGCGTAATTTCAATAGCAGAATTTGAGATAATCTTTCTCGCTACATGGACGCCGATGCTGATTGAACATACGTCCAGTTCCACCTGCTTCCCAGTGGAAGTATAGTACTGTGTTCATTAATCGATAGATCACGTAATGCGCCGTCATATACACGATATATTTGGCGATGGTGTTGATTAGTCTGGTGTCGTATAGAAGCAGTCTATTTCAACACACTATGGCATACAACGACGGCCACCTCATTTGAAAATCAGATCAAACTTCATTTCCATATCAACAGGTGTGAAAGCTGTGTTACTGAATATCTACGAATTTATAAAGCTTTATGAAGCCAAACCAAAGCCCAAGAAAAGAGAAAAAGAAAAAAACTCGAAGCGAAAACAAAATAAAACAAAAATCCATCGAGCTTAGGTTACGATATAGCTTTAAAAAAGCAAATGATATTATTGAGTGTACTGTTTGATGGAAATTGCTGCAATGCCTAAGAGAATCACTGTTGTCCTTTGTCTTCACTCTTGGCATTGCCTGGTTGAGAGTTCGCACTTTCCATTTCTGCTATCTCAGCCGCAGCTGAAAAGCAAATGAAAAAAAAAATGGGTATCAGTGAATGAGAAATCAAAGAAAGAACAGAAAAGAGAATAATAATACTGACTCAAAAACCGGCCACCTGGACCTCTTGGTCGACGCATAGCATGTTTATGCCGACTTTCATGCAAATACGGCTTGCGACTTTTAGCCAGTCGATGAGCCTCCTCTAATTTAGCTCTAGCAGCTCTTCGTTTCAATATTCGGTGATACTGCTTTGCATTTACATATAAAGGTTCACTATCTGCTGGCTCAGCATTTGCTGCTAGCATAGAGACAGATGCACCAGCGTCGTGTGTTTGAGCTTCAGCTGATCCTTGTCGATAGGTATTATCGCCGACGGTAGCAGTAGGAAACGCTTGTGCTTGGCTAAAGTTGGCGAGACGACTGTCATACAGTATCGGTTGTTGCGGACGTTGAGTCTATTATAAACGTTATATTAGTGGTTTATTATATTTTTCAACAGTCCCGTCCAGATGGTTTGGAATTAGGTCAAAACACTTTACCATGGCATGAACAATGTCGTCGGTTTGATTATGAACTCTAGCTCCCATGACCCCTTGTGAGTCAGAGTATTGGTTCATATTTTGCGCGTACTGCTGTTGCTGTCGCTGTTGGTGCTGTTGGTGGACGTCTGTCATAGAGCTGGATATTATTGGACAGCTGTATTGGTGGACAACAATAGCGCGCAAAATGATTCGCTCTTTTGCATACCAGCTCACTGAAGCAACAAGTTTCACACGTGATCTTTCAACATCTGAAGCTGGGTTTTAAAACATCTTTTGGCTCAATTTGCCTTTGTCAACCACTTTTCTGCCTTTATGTCGTCTGCTGAAGGATCATCGCAATCCCCGGAGGCATCTGCTCCTACTGCTTCAGCAAGTGCACTCAGTGGTCAGAGAACAATACCACAGCCGAAAATGCAACTGAACTTTCCAGCTGGTGCCCCACCTGATATAAGTATGGGAAACTCTGCCTTACTACCCCACAAAAGACAGTTCTCTTTGTTACTTTAAACTAATTCTGAATCTACATTTCTTAGTTCGCGCAAACCAAAAAGATGTATATTACCAAAACACTTTGCAGGAGCAAATGACGGACGTATTTCAGCGATTTATTGGTTAGTATATGTACACCTGTTGCTGCTTACGAGGACCTGAACTAATGGTGTATTCGGACCATGTAGGTACAAGAAGACAGCACCAATATCAAAAAGAAATCAATGTGTTTTCCGACTTTTGCTATTATGGTCTCACTACGTTACTAGGTAAATTTCAGGACTGATCATGTAAAAGTGTGTATTACGTGTTTGTAATGCCCATTATTCCATTAGGTACTCAGACCCTTGGAGAGGAGTATTGTGATATAGCTCAAATCAATGTCCATTCTCAAACATACCCTGGTTTGCTGGTACGTACTTAGGAATGGAGTTATTATGAAAAACACCTTGGGTTACTGGTGATACTGACAGATGGTCTTCCCATAATGTCCACAGCGACGAAGCACTCTAGTATTTTCACATGTCTTGCTGCCATATATTTATACACGAGGATTTTCTGAATTTCGAAAGCGAAATCGCCAACAAACTAGAACCAGAAAAGAACCAGAAAATAAGCTTCAAGCATACACCCAAGCTTTCTTAACAAAGCATTTGGAAACAATTCAAGATTTTTTCAAGAAATATGTCCACATGGGTCATCTGGCTCTCTTTTACTTCGTTGGATCCTATTACAGCATCTCCAAGCGCATAACTGGTATTCGATATGTAAGTTTGAAAGTCAGAGTTCCGCTCCAGCTAATTAGGAAACATGCTCACACACTACAATGAACAGATTTTCACTCGACGACTAGAGAAGCACGAAGAACGTGCAGGGTATGAAGTATTGGGTCTGTTGATCGGCGTACAGCTGTTCATCCAAGGATACCTCAGCTTGCGCAGATACTTGGTGGAGCGCAAAGCGGCTCAGATTGAACCTGTTGCTGTTGCCTCTGAGACAAAGGAAAAGGAACAGGGAACGGAGGCGGAAAAGGTAATCGCTGCCGAAGACGATTATTCTTTCATGTTTGACGAGGAAGAAGATCAGGCATCTTCAGAACAAGAAGAAGAACTCAGTTATGAACAAATACAGGCATTGAAATGTGCTTTGTGCCTTGAACCACGCACTACTACAACCGCTACTCCATGTGGCCATCTTTTCTGCTGGGATTGTGTTGTTGAATGGTGCCAAAACAAGGTAAAGTATAACACTGTATGAAAATGTCACACAAAGCTTTATCACTAACATTTTCCATGTTTCGTTTTTTGTCCCTTCTCAGTCGGAATGCCCCCTCTGCCGAAGTAGTGTTAATGTTTCCCATCTTATACCATTAGCAAACTTTTAAATAATGGCTGACTGCTCTGTATTGTACATTTTATAAAACCATTTTTCTTATTATGATCAAATAGCTTGTACTGTAGACGTTGCATCTATAATATCTGAATTATCATTGTCTTCAGATGGTGGGATATCCTGTTGACTCTCTTGTGGTTGAGGTTGCTCTTCGTTGTTAGCAATCACTTGAGGTTCTGGGGCAGGAGCAGGAAACAATTCACTCTTAAGGTTGGGCATAAATCCATCCAAGCGCTCCCAAGTAATATCCCAGAGATGGTTATATTCTGGCGGAGTGTCGGCTGGTAGATCATGAGGTGGGATAACTGTGAATGCTCCCGAAGTATACATGACAAGCAGCATATTCTTCAACGATTCTCGAACTGCTTCGGCCTAAGAAGAGGAAATTGAGTAAGCAAACTTGACTGTGTAATCAATGAATCCTATAAAGCATACCAAATGATCATTTTCCGAGGTATGCATGCTACCATCTAGAATATCCAGTATCTCCATCCAAATGTCGATGAAAGCCGTCATCTCAATCATGCGGCTACAGTAGTGTAAGAAGATTTTACAAAGAAGTGTGGATGCTCGCATTCTGGCTTCGTCTGTTCCCAAAGGATCCAGCTCGTAAACTTGCGGTCGGAGCAACTCACTTAAAAGTGGTATCAACACGTTATCAAACATATTGACCCATGGTACTCGCTCACCCTCCTCTCCTACATCGGCTCGTGCTATGTCAGGGAGCAGAACGGTGCGTTGCAGATACGTCATGGAGTGCTGACGCACTTCGCGACAGGCTGTACAGCATTGCTGGCTGAGTGTGGTCAAGATAGGCTGCCAGTACGTTGTCCAAGCTAATCAAAAGTAATATTTAGTTCCTGATAAGCACTTTAGCGTTAAACAAAATTCTAAACACAATACTCACTTTCTTCCGATGCAACATCCTGCGAGAGTTGCGGTATGATGCGATGAAGTTGGAATAGATGCTCTATAGCTTTCTTGCCTCGCTCAATAGACAGTTGTGGACTAGAATTAAATTAATTAACGATGCCAATATTTCCAATAGATGCATATCCTATTCCTTTCAGTACGTACGTTTTCACCTTATGAGAAGGAGCAGAGCGATTTCGTATTGGTGATTCCTTTGCTTGAGGTATGGGAGCTGCAACCGCAGCGAAAGTTCCAAAGATGCTGACTAGTTTTGCAAACTGAGCACTGTTCAGCTTGGCGCCGTTATCCGCAGACAGTATGTAAACGGCAGACTCGAAGCCGTAGTTTGATGCATCTGCGTGGCCAACAGTAGCCTGGACAAGATCCAGTATGGACTCCCAGCTCTTTGACACCCTAAGGATAGTGCATATGTTGGTATATCAAAAAATATGTAAGTACATACGGCAATTTTGTACTTACTGAGTAGAGTTAAGCTTCAGAAGGTTGAGGATGCCAGCCATGGTTTGCTCACCAACAGCTTGAAGAACAGTATTTGGAAGGTTGAGTAATAACTTGAAGCATTTATCGAGCTCATTTTGCATGCTTGGCTGTATAAGTGGTATAGTGTAAGTAAAAAAAAAAGTAAAACATGATTGAATCTTGCAGACATCAATATCGCGTTACCTTATCTGCAACACAAATACAGACTCGAAGAAGGCCAACAACAGTCCTCTCGAGTAACAGTACACTTTGATTTTCGGCTTTTTCAAGAATACCGGCAATATAGCCGTACATGTATGGCCTATTGAATAGTCATTAGCACACGATCTTGTAACATGAATACCTTAATTTTACACCACACGGTTGATGTACTCACCATAACTCATCCATGCGCTCAATGTTTTGAATAGTAATGCTAATCATAAGCTCTAAGAAGAAAACGGTGGCAGGATCGTAAACGATGGGAGTGGTGGATTCATCAATAACAGTCTTGTAACCAATGGTTCGAATAGCTTTCATAAGGTATTCCAATGGTTCTTTGTCCAAATATCTGATAGCAAAAGGTGTTCAGTCATTTATGACTACAGCAGGTAATCCATTTGACCAGCCACTTACTGAATGTTAGCAAAAAGCTCTTCCAAACGGCAAGCAACCACACAATCAACAGCACACATGGTGCTTTCCACTTCATCCTCAGTGGGATCAGCTCGGTAAGATTCATCGCCAGAGTAAGGAGAAAGTAGATAAGAAGACAAAGTTGAAAGCAGAGACGCGTCTTTACGAGCTTGCTGCTTCGGTGGAGTTGATGATTTTGGTTTCAGGGGTATAACGGTCGTTCCAAGTAAGAAATCTTCAACTTGGAGCATGGAGCTTGGCAATAAAGAGTTGACAAAGAGGTTTTTGATCATTCGAAGTATCTAGCAAATGGAAAATTGAGCATTTGTCACATTTCAGTACGGCAAACAATCTTTCCGTACACGATATGCCTACCTTTATCCACCCTTTGCGAAGAACACTACCATGTTCACTTGCCACGGCAAAGGCAACAACAGCAGCCAATTGACCTTTATAGTTACGTCCAAATCGAACAGCTAGCCTGCTGATGACATATTTCTGTCCGGCAACATCAACAATGGGATCCGGTGCAGTAAGCAGAGTATCTTCCATGTCTACCAATCCAGTCATGCTGGCTAAACTGACGATAATGCTATCAAACACATCGTGAAGTTGATAGTGCGCGGACAAAAGTGCGCATTGATGGAAGCCAGTAATGGCTTTTTGCAGTGTTATGTCATCCTGAGCAGTGTTAAATGCTAGTGGAAGCCAGAAAATAGAAGACATCAGTAAACATGAGCAAAAAACGAAACCGGCCAGCGGAGCCAATTCCATTGATGTACTTACCATAAGAAATGGCGGCGACAGCCGGCTTCCAGGCCAACATGAAGATATCTTTGTCGTAAGCAGCAGTGTCACAAACAGTAAACAAGCCAGCAGACTTCGCGTGATGAAGTAGTTGCTTCCAAGCAAAGTTGAATCCTAACTGTCCTTCATGCTCTTCAGGCATGACAATTTCATCGCTTCGGATTGCATCATAAATAGACTGCAAATACTCTCTATCAAAGTCCTTGCCGGCATTGAGACCTCTGACATTACTCTTATATTGATCGAAAGACATCCGATGCTAGGTGCAAAGTTGTTAGCAGTTTGAAGCAAAGTGCTGATGCATAGACATTTTGATGGAAGTTAACACGTCATGTGCACTTACTCTAACTTGGCGGTTATGCTGGTCAGTATTTAACATGATCACAGAGAAAGCCAGAACATAAGCAGCTTCTGCATTAGCAACTTCAGCCGGCTTTGACTCCATAAAGGCATCAGCAAATGTCTCAGTGATACGATCGATTTGTTGAGACTCTCCTGGTAAACGGAAAGTTTCTAAGAGTACCCTGAGTGCCTCATCTACTCGTTTCTATAGATGATAATGGTTAGCCAGAAATGTGGCGGGTAGGATCATATGCTGAATATTAAATACTTGCATTTGAGAAATCAAACTGTCGCATAAATCTCTGGAGCAGTGGAACATTGTCAGGACGACCAAGGTATTCGCCAAGACTCTTTTTGTTTAGTTTAGGAGTAGACATCAAGAAATGCGCAAGGCTGTCCGTGAAGTCTCCCTTTTCATCTTCTACAATAACGCCTTGTTCCTTAAGATATTTGATACCTTTCTTGGGACTGTCATTGAATCGTGAAGCACCTTCCAACAGGATATGCTTCTGTTCCTTACGCTCGAGCAAGGCGGACGGTGGTAAATGTGTCTTTTCGCATGGATTAGTTACGTTGTTTGGAACATGATAATTTCTCTTTCAACCATATTACTTACTGGATCATTCGTGAAATCATCCTCCTTACAAAGTTAAAACAGTTGAGATATCTTTGTCCATTTTTTTTTTGTTGAACGACATTGACCTCCTGACTTACCTCATCGGAAATACGATCTACCATGTGGTTAATGAATAATAACAAAGTATCCAGGCAGAGCATGTGCGAGTTACTTGCTGAATAGCTATTGGGCTCCGGGAATGAATTCTATGACAAAAGCGACGTTAAGACCCTATATCTTTTCTTCATAGCGACTTCCGTATGCTGTTTATAAGATGTCAAATTTACCTTGCTTAAAAAGTGAATAAGTTCCTCAAACAAGTTGCCACAGCTGATGTCACTGTCAAAGTTGACCCATAAGTCGACCATGAAGGTTGGGATTCTTGCGCACTGGGTGAGACATTCCAATAATAGCTCTCTGACTTCGCCAGAGTAAGCGCTGGATTCATTGCCAGATTTAACAGATCGAGAATCCGACGATCTACCACCGAGACCAGGAGACGAGCTTCGTACGTCAACATATCCAGAGTCTCTACCATCCCTCGTAGTATCGAGGTTGGGTAAAACAAAATTGACACTCCCTTCCTCATCTACATTGTAAGTAATACCGGTACTAGTACTGCCGGTTCGAGTAAGTCGCTCAATCAAAAAGAAGAGGAAAAGCTCTTGCTGCAGTTTGAGATAGGGTCGCATTGTATCGAACACAGTTGATATGACACGAAGAGTCAAAGTCAAAAGGGGAATGCTGTCAGTTTTTGCCAGCTGGAATAGATACTTGCAGAATTCGTCCGTGATTAAATTTCTCAACGACTCAAATCGACTGATACTTTTGCCGCCAACATCAAAGGCCACGTTCAAAATGCTTAGAGCCATCAACCTCATTGAGTCTGTATGCTTGTGCTCGTGAGGGTTCAAGAGAGATATAAGAACACGCAGGAGCTCTCGAATAGCTGGTAGTCCATATGGTATAGGTATAATGTCTGGTCACGGAGCAATGTCAGTAACTTACAAGGTGCAGCTCTGTAACCGTACTAAGCGTTTAGCTTACCAATTTCTTCCACTCCATCCTCTACATTTTCTTGGGTGGTGACATTCAAGCCAACGTCGACAACATTCCTTGCGTTAGGTTCTGAAACGTTATTTGCATCCGTCTCATTCGACGGCGTGTGAACAGTCTCTGCAGCCGGTGTGCTAATGCTTCGAGGTGACGATGATGCTGTATTACCATCCAATGCGGTGTAAGCGTCTGGTAGCGAAGGTGACACGGATGGTTTTGGAGTGTTCATATGAGGGTCTGATCGTCCGGATTGTACTTCTTCTATGGTTTGAAGAACGTCGGTAGGATTTTCAGCATCAAGATCTTCGATTTCATTAATGACTTTCAATCTGTGAAAGGCGTAATTAATATACAGTCTACTTATGTCAAGGTAAAAAAATGTTCTTCAAACCTTTCAAACATGGCGATGATCATGTTGATCATAACATGTTCAGCTGAGCGGCGTAGCATTTCTGGTACTTAAAGTCAGTATGTGGATTAATTTGGCATTACATAAGGTTTCCAGTAAACCTACCACTTAATCTCATCTGACAGCACATGCTGAGGCCAGTTTCCATCATTTCACAAACTGCCTCATCGCTCAATACCGAGCCGCATGGGCATATAAGAGCCATTTGGAGAACTTGAAGCATCTTGAGCAATACCACTTCGTCAGAGACAGAATCTGAGGCTTCAAATTTACAGTGTGTTGCAGCAGAAGCCAGGTTTCCCATGGCAATAGCAATGTTAGGACTGCTGAGACCTATGCATTCAAATGGCCGATTGTCAGCTACAAATGGCTCTCTTATTCGTTACTTCAAGCGCCGCCAATATCCTCACCTATGATTCCGTATTGAAGAAACTTCTCTACACTAGACAATGCCGCTCCTGCTATGGGACCGGTGGTATTTCCGGAACGAATGACATCAAGAAAGGGATTGAGCAGCATACTAGCATCAATCTCGTAAATATCTGTAAACCATAAGAACAGAAAGGTCAGTGATCTCGCGTGATCGCAGCTCGTGACTCCAAACTCTATAAGCAATGGCATTGTTTTTTTACCTCTAACAGTGGTCAAATATGAACGTAGGCTGGTAAATCCATGCATGAGCGGGCTCTCCTATTAGATTGTCGTGGTGTTAGCTAATATATCTCGATACCTTCATTTCGTATCGATGACTGACCTGGTTTCGGTAATTGCCGTCTTTTCCACTGGTGAGTCCCGTTCGCAACCCCATGCTCATTCCTAAACTTCCCATGTGCAACCCGCTAACGCTAATGCCAGACCATCGTGAGTTCTTCCTCATGGCGCTTGTTACCGCTAAGAGGTTAAAGAGAGGTATGAGTAAGGGATAAATCCAAAAACGTTGAGTAATTGTCGTCTTCATAGGCATTATTCAGTCATCCAGTTGTCGAATAGGAACATGCTAGTATGATCCTTCAAGTTGGCTGTATAATATCCACTTCATAAAACTCTCACTCTCAGCTCGCCCTATCAGTTGCTACATACCGATGATCTCAGCATGAATCAGTTGTGACCATGTTAATTCGCACTTTAGGTTGTCATTACCATAGAGTGGAGAAGCTGCGTGTTGTGATGGTTGCGGCGATCGTAAGCTTGAAGGGTCGATGGTTGGTGGATTGTCTGTCATGGTATATTATTCCAGTACAATCAGGTATAGTGTGATGTTGGGCCAGGAACCGGTAAGAGAATTTCACAAATGAAGGTTCTGGCTTGGTTATCTGATATCTGTAAAGTGTGCTTTGTTGGTATTTGTAGGCATAGTAAGGATAATTAGCATCAACTTACACCCTGACTGTATTCACAGAATCGAAGAAAAGAAGGAACAAGCTTTAAGCGTCTGATATTCACAAGCGCATTTCTCATTTGACGTGGCATTCTTCTCCGCTCACCACGTTTGTATAATGTCCCACCCGCACGAATCAATGTTCCCACCCAACGTGGCCGAATCAGAAAGGTATGGTGTATAAGGAACACTTAGTTATGATGGCCACTGCCCATTCAGACCTTCATGTTCTCTCAAATCCTCTAATTCTATGCATTCACACCTAACTTGTGGTTTTGTCCGCATATAGTAAAAGCAAGCCAACCCACCCATATAAGCCAAGCAAGCCAATACTTGGGTTTTCAACGTGGTCAACCCAACTATTAGACAAGGTTCCTGGCTATGGAGGAAAACACATACATCCTTGGTTCGGTTTGTCGTTTTCGTAAGAAAGGTAAAAATTGCCAAGCCGATGTATTCGCTAACTATGCCATCATTGCACAGGTTTAACGAAAACAATATAAAGCAAATATCAGATATCATGAAACAACGGTTTCCTGCGTATACCTATATTAACTTGGACTCTGGATGGTATGCTAAAGTCGAGACTTGATGTCATGCTCGCTGACACCGTTTATACTGACAGATCGACTGATTACAGGTCGGATGGTGTCGACGAATTCGGCAGGTGGACGTACCGCAAAGATCTGTTCCCTAACGGGATGAAAGCTCTATCTGACTATTTAGCAAGGAATGGACATAAGCTCGGATTGTATATTCTACCGGGTATCAGATCTGAGGCTGTCGAGGGCGCTAACCGGATATACGGCACAGAAGTCCAGTTTACTGATATTGTTGTAAACAAACTAGACGGCAACGGCTTCAAAGGATCAACTTTCGCGCCTGATCAGCACGATCAAAGTATACAGCAATATTACAATTCTATAGCTGATCAATTTGCTGAATGGGGAATTGGTTATGTCAAGGTCGATGGCTGTGGCCCGGGAGGTGGAGATCGATGGTACCCGTTCCAGTCGCCAGACAATCGAGAATGTCTCACCATGATGTACAATGCCTTCCAGAAACATAACATTTGGATGGAAATATCGTGGTATTTAGATCCTACGTACGCAGAAGATTGGGTCAATATCTGCAACGGTGTCCGTGTTTACGTTGATATTGAATCGTACTCTGCAAGCACTATGACCACACCGTATCGTGTATTTCGACGCATGGCATTGACTGAAAAATGGGCAAAAACTGGGCTTGTTGGAGCCGAGCATGGCATGTTTGTCGACTTGGACATTGTAGCAGTAAGTCAACTCGTTATTCGTATTATGGTTATGCTGCCTCATTCACTGAACATCGGTTTTTTCGTCATTTTTTCTTTTGGTTCATCTTTTGTTACAGGTTGGAATGACTTCCAATGGTCAATGTGTGGACGGCTTGTGGTCTGACGGGATTCGAATGTCTTACATATCCTTTTGGGCACTAGTAAGCTCTGTATTCTGTCTAGGCGCTGATCCCAGAGCGATTCCCGATGTCTACATCAAGATGCTCAATCACCCTGATATCTTGTACATTCATCAAAGTGGCATTATGGCACAACCGATCGGATCTGGCGATGCGAGCAAAAATCGAAAGCAAGTATGGTGGAAGACCTTACCAGACGGACGGATCTGCGTTGGTTTATTCAATTCTCATGTGTATCCTATCATGTATGGAGTGCCTCATGAAGTTTCCTTCACCTTTGCTGACATGGGCATGACTGGCGGCACTCTATATGATGTGTGGGAAGGGAAGGACCTAGGAAATCATAACGACGAGTACAAAATTAAATTAAGCGCGGGCGAATGTCAAGTCCTCTTCATCGCACCTTACAAATAGATTTTTGTTGTTAGTAATGTGTACCATTTTTGTTATCAAACTGTTGCCATAGATCTCGTCATTTCCTATAACTTATTGAGACTTTCTCCGCTGTTTATACTGTCCAAAAATGCCGATAAATAAAACTTTCTACGTGTACTGTCTGCCACCAGCAAACAGCTTGGTGTGATCAAAATCTACAACGGCAAGTCAAGTGGTCTGAAAAAAGTCTGGGTATTTTATGATTTTCACAATGCAATATGATACATGGTTATCTAGAGCGCTTTGGTTTAAATATTAATATGACAATGAGGAGCATAATGACTAGTATTAACAACAAGATCAACTTTCGATTCCTTGTCTTCTTTTGATATTTGGCTCCCTATCAGTATTATGATCAGTATATTGTTATTCGTCTTTGTCAACTGTTTTGCGGGTTATACCTGATCCAACTCCACAACCGCATGTTGCACTTGTACGTTTGTTTGCTCGATATTGTAGTCTATACGATCCAACATGGTACCTTGGTCAATGACCAGTGTTTGTAAATCACGAAAGATATCGGCCAGCTGATAAATGGACTTCGCAATTTGATTAATTTCGCGTTCACGTTGGTCTATGACAGCTTCATTGGACTCCATCATTGCCAGTTGCGACTCGGTGAATCCCTATAAGCAATATTAGCGGATGCGATGATTCGTCTGACATCAGTGCCAAGCCTTACCATATTTGTGTCCTCCGTCAGCAGTAAATCTGCTGCTTCTGTGCTTAAACTGCTCTCCAGTCCCAAAATATCGGTCTTTCGGCTCTCTTGCCCCTGCATTTCTGAAAGCGACCATATAATTTTCAATAGGGCATTCATTACCCATTTCTTTCAACTCATGTCGACTTACTTTGTAGATATGCAGACTGTTTTTTGCGGAAGGAGGAAGAGATCTCTTGAACTTTACTTGCCAAGCTGGTCTGGATATTAATGCTCATTTGTTGTTCATGCTGTGACGTGCCTCGCTTTCCTTCTGTACCAATCTTCTTTATCTTGTTCTTTGCTGAATGAAATTGCTATACCATACCATGAGAGTTAACTATCAACGAGGGAGAGATCTCGCGCAAGGCGTTGCACTTACCATAGTAATACCCTCCGTTAATTCCTCTATTGCAGCTTTATCCGACGATCGATCATCAAATCCAGGAAGTAAATGCTTTCTGTGCATTCCGTCAAGTCTATTGACTAATGTGAAGCCGTTCAGTATTGTCCTTAGAGCTGTAAATTCGTTATGTATCGTCAAACCTACTTTTCTCCTTGATGTCTTTTACATCCTCTTCAACCTCATCCACGATATCAACCCTGATGATATATGTTAGAAAGTTCCATTGATATGCCAATGATGTAGGATATGATGCTTATGAGAGAAGCATTCACTAGACATACCATTTGGGAGGAAGGGTTGACATCTCAATGACGGTGTCGGAGCTGTCGATTAAGCCTTCAGTTTCTGCATCTGCTTGGTATGACGAGGTTATTGGGCCTCCACGATGCGATGATCGCGCTATCGTATTGCGATACTGAAGGAAAAGTAAAGTACGGCTCCTTGTAGCCATTCAGAAAGTGTGTACCCAGTATGACCTTCAGCTGCTCTCGACGTTTAGTTTGCCGCCAGAAAGCCTTGGCCACGACGATCACGTGCATAGGAAAACCAGACTTTAAATTCACAGTCAATTTTTCCTCACTTCCTTCAAAGACGGTAAACACCTCGACTTTACACCATGCTAAGCACCTACCGTCAACTTTTGAGAGAGATTAGAACACAGGTTAGAACACTCAATTCAAAGGGAGCTTTTTTGGAGTACAATTCCTTACCTCTATTTTCTCTTGTCGCAACTACAGTATACCAAGGTCGCCAATCATGCTTCTTTCGAACATGATCTCAAAGTAGCTTTCAGGGACAGTCGCCAAATCACAGATGAAGTTCGCCTGGCTGACATGAAGGAAAATGCAGAGAACATTCTTCTCTTTTTGAAGAGCACTAGACAGCACAAGGTAGGTTTCAATGTGGCCAAGAGTTCAGAACGGCATCCAGAGCTAACCTGGTAAACAATGGATGGTATTAGGAATTATTGGAGCGATACAATCCTGCTTTGATGGATCAGAGCAAGCGAATAGAACTTTCGGCCCATCGAGTAGGTCTCAACTTACCTAAACAGTACAACCCAGCAAACCCTGGACCATTGGAATTTCCTCGTATGCAACCTCAGGAGGCAGCTGTTCAGGAACGAGTCGGAAAGGCGTTTGGAAATGTTGCTACTGAAGATACGGAAGCAAAGGTCTATTGATGTAATTGAGAAGAAGAAGAAAAAGTATATGTAAATATTTGATTAAAAGCGGATAAGCGGCACCCCCACCCTCACTTGCCAAATAAAATTGCTATAGAATAAAAGTGACAAAGAAAGAAATGTATTCGTATAAAGTATATTGTCGAAAGGGATCGTTGGCTCTACAGTGCACTGGGGTAATCTAAGCTATTTTCAGTAACATTTTGAAAAAGAACGGTTTATAAGAAAAATTCAAGCGGACGAAAGCGAGGCTCCTATTGTTGATACATTTCTCTGATTATGAAAGCAGCAACATCCAAGTCTTGCCAGTATTGTGTATGGGCAGTGAATGCGTTCAAGTATGGATTTTCCAAAAGGCCCTCTTGTACACACCAATCCACACGACCAGTTGAATTAAGCATCTTCAACTTGCGAGCTCCATACGAGTAGGAAGCCATATGATGCAGAGACTTATTTCTGTCTTCTGAGGTCGTAGGTAGGTCGATATTCAAAGGCGGGGAAGGATCACTGCTTGAACGAGTTCGTGGACTAGATCCCCCTTCTTTAGCAGAACCTTCTTTTTGCGTTTGCGGATGCAAATCATCATACATCTGTTGTTTCGTCAAGCCTAGACCGCGCATGAAGAGATTGGTAGTGATACCCATCTTGAAAGACTCAAGCATAGCTCCAGCTCGGTTTGCAATTCCTGATCCCACATTATATCCAGCGTCAAGGACACTCTTCAATCCACCTTTGGTGAACGGTACGGTTTCAGGTTTGATACTTGCACTGTAGTGTCTTGAAATCAAAGGCTCCAACCGGTAGGCCACGGGATCGGATTGTTTGAAGATATTGTAAAGATTTCCTACCGCAGGGTAACATAGCGGAATAGGTGATGATGAATTTGCAGACATCGAAATGGTAGAGGACGACATGTTTAAGTCACCAGCAAGCAGTTTCCGAGACGATATTTTACATCCTTTCAACAGAAGCATAAAGCCTAAAGGTGACCCGACAGCGAAAAAGTTCTGTACAGGAAAGTGTAAATACGATGATCTGCCATGAGGCAAATAATTGCTCGCAATATGAGATGCTGTTCTGTTTTCATCAATGGCTGACGCTGATTCGTGTTGGCGAGTGGTAAAGGGCTGGACAGCTAGCACATCGAACGCCAATAGGGACTAGACGATTGAAAAGTGTTAAAAATTTGGTAGTTGAAGTGGCTAGGTAGATCAACGTGAGACTTACACCAAGGGAATGCCCATATATCGATACTTTTCCGCCTCTTAATAGAAAATCAGGATTGCGCTTAATGAATAATAGATAAACTCGGTTGATTTCACTAGTGATAATCGCCAGCATTTGATCACGGTATTTGGGAGTCATATACAATGGTACTAGTTGGGAAATGAGTAAGGATGCCGGCTTGGATTGGTAACTCGACCTTGGAGCGTTAGATACTTACTATCAAGGAGGACGTCGGATACCACCATTCGGATATTGGGTACACCGTCTAAAGTGAGCTCGTCCAGCGTCGGTGGACCATCATCTGCCTCCGGCATACCCAAATCCGCTTCAACCGATTCATCCGTGCTAGCCATACCAAAAACAATATCCTGTCTCCAATGGATTGGAAGGACTTGGATGCCATTATGTCTAGAAGGATTCGATGTTGTCGCTATTGCGCTTGGGAAGGCAGTCTTCAGCGTTTTTCTCAAAACATTTACATCTACAGCAGCGTGGTTACAACATGCTTTGAATGATGTTCGTATTTCCAAGAGTGAAACCAAAGCTTACCATGCACAAAGCTCGATCCCAGGCGCTCAGTCATTTTTTGGCCAATTCCGTGAATAACAAGGACCAAATGATCGATTTTTCGCGGCTCGTCTCCACTCTCCTCGTTTTCATAATCTTGAACTTCTCGTTTAGTCTGTTTTTCTTCTTCTGCCTCGATTTCTTCTTCTACTTTTTCTTCCTTTCCTTCTGCAGCCTGAGGTTTTTTGACTTCATCTGACGTCTTGGCAGGACCAAGCGATGGCGAAGATGTCACTGTCCTCGAAAACGGATTGGTGCTTTGCTTTGAAACCTCTGAGTATCCACGTAGCAGTCTAGTTCCTCCAAGGTTTTGATTGTTGGTCAACCGGGTATATATGCGCTTTGTTATCTTTCCGCTAGGAGTATTCCTAAAAATGAAAGGCAGTGAGATGGTGTGACATGTGAAAGCGATAGAAAGTGTATTTACTTACGATAGTAACCAGGCAGAGTTGGGACCAGTATACGCAATATACTGACCCATGTAGGGACCAAGCAACATCCACTGCTTTTCTACCGGCTGTTTTTCCAACTTCTTTTCCAATTTCTTCTCCTCAGCTGCGGCGGTAGTTGTTGCTTGTGCAGATTCAGTGATATCTGTACTTTTCGTCGTAAGCTTAGCCGGTGGATCCTCTATTGGATCAACCACCCATGGCTTGTGCTTGCTAATATAGGAAAACAGTTAGATAAGCATGATGAATGAAGGGGAAAATCCTTAGATTGAGCCATGAACGTACTAGTATCCAAGCTCTATTTGTTCAGCCAAAGTCTCCTCACAAGGTATCCATTTAGACCCATCACTCTGAATGAACCAAGTTGCACGCCTCACGTCGTAAGTGGGGCCACTCCAGTACACCGGACTGATAGTACGACTTGATACATCGACCTGAAACAACTCGTCTTCATTAACAGCGACAGTGGCGGTCACATCGCCACTCTGATAAGAGTGATGAGTATTCCAATGTTAGACGAAGCAATAAGGACGACTGATCTTTTCCATACCTGATAAGCACGCTCTAGCGCTAGAGAATCTCTGTTTGAAAATGCTATCCAGGACGAAGGTTGAGCCTTGGCTTTCGGAGTTGGTGGAAGGGACGAGTTGGGATTTGGAGACGAACTGCCACTATGGCTTTTGAATGTCTGCGACCTTGCTCTTCGAATCTTTGCAGGATCGCTGATTGGGTTATCCGCGGCATGAAACCTAAAAGGTGTGATTTGGTTTCAAGGTTAAAAAGACAAGTGCCAACGAGCCATGCTTCATAAGGAAAAGGCAGTAACATACCACCGTGCGTCCAATGTAGGCACGTCAGGCTCAGGATTCAAGCTTCGTGGTCTAGGAGGCCTGTGCTTGCCCTGAGATAACGGTATGGTAAGAGGATCTAACGGTGGTGGAGTTGTCGACATGAGCAAAAGCAAACGACAGCAAGAAGGCGACACGTTGAAGTCACGCAATAAGCAGTCTTCAAAGGCAGGAAATAAAAGTGACCACGATGGTCACTTTTTTTTGGGATTCAGAATTTTTTATTCTTTGACTAAAAATTGTCAAAATTTCCATAACTACTGTTACTTTTCAACTTCTTCTTCTCTGAAAACTGTGGTAATCCATCATCGCCATCGCCTATCGTATCACGCTTTTTGCTAGCGTCTCCAATGTATTTACCAATAGAAGTGGTGGGTTTGGCAGTGCCATTTTTCTTCTTGTTGGGTCCGAACCATCCCATGGCATCATCCTGTTCTCGTTGAAGTCTAGCCTTTTCCTTCTTTTCCTGCTCATACTCTCCACTTGCTTGTCTCTTAAGGCGTTTTTCCAATTTGTTGTGATACTCTTCATAAGGATCCACAAATACGACGATATCTTTAATCTTGATTGGCTTCTCAGGTCGATCATCCTCATCTGCGGGTATTGCCTCCATCTTATTTAGTACATCCAATCCACCAACAACTTTTCCAAAGATAGTATGCTTCATATCCAAGTGTGTACAGGGTCGGTATGTGATGAAGCTGCGTTAAAATTAAAAAAAGGACATGGCGGTGGCATTAGTTAAGATACAACAAGGGTGTTTAAACATTCATATTCGCTATGTTCAAACATATACTCACAATTGCGATCCATTGGTATCCTTGCCGCTATTAGCCATGCTCAAAATACCACGTTCATTATGAGATAGACTTCCTCGAAGTTCATCTGGAAATTTGGCTTTCCATATTGATTCTCCTCCGCGGCCAGTGCCTGTCGGGTCGCCGCCTTGAATCTGGTTGAGTTCATGCAAGTTAGATAGATGCTAATGATAATGGAGATGCTCGCATCGCGTGGATGCCCTTTCCTCAGGGTTTCAATTCTGTCGAAATTGACTATTAATTGTACTTACCATAAAGTTCTTGATACTTCTGTGGAATGGAACACCTTTGTAATAACCCGTCTTTGCAAGCTGAATGAAATTATGACATGTGCGGGGAGTTTTATCACTAAAGAGTTCGATATTGAGATTTCCTAAATTGGTCTGCAGGCTTGCATATGCTTTCGTCTTGATGTGTTTGTACATAAACTCCTCTTCGTCTATCAAAGCACTTTCATTGATAGTGACGGGTCCAACTGCAGTCGAGGTCAGTGAGGCAGCAGCATGACCTTGGGAATAATGTGCAGCATTGTAGGGAGTGGATGCTTTGGTTCGGACTGACGCCGCTGGGGTTTTGGGGGTTTGCTTGGCCACCGTCGTACTGGGAGAAGCAGGTGAATCTTTGTCATCGGACGACGTTACGGCTACCTTGTCGGTCTTCCCAGTCATTTCTGCTAACACTCGTCCCGTCATTCCTGTCAGGTTGATCTTACTCAAGGGGTTATTTCGTTCCTTTTCAGCTTCGGCATCGACCACCTTCAAATCATTCTTCTTATAATGAAACGTCGACAAATCTCGGTTTTCCATGTTGTGAGGGTCTTGAATCATGATGATGTCTTTCCGAGTGAAGGCTTCATCCGTAACAAGATCTTTCCAGTACTTTGCCTTGACATTAAGTCTTTCTATAGTGTCGTATGCAAAGACGTTGCCTGAAGTCTTGATAGCAGCGATGGCGGTATGTTCGCTGAAAGCTTTGAATGTTACAGGACAATGGTAGTCACCGTTTTCATTCTTGTAAAAGTTGAGTTTGATGAGATCCTTGGCATCCAACTTTTTGCCTGTGACAGGATTGGTGCCATACTTTTTCAAGTATGGCACAATGTTGACGAGGTCAAACACGATGCCTTCTGACGTGCATACGGGATGTTCGAAAGGTTGTAAGGAGAGCGAACAACAGTAGAAGGGCAATCGCTTGAAGCCATCCGAAGATCGCTTTCCTACTGATCCTGCTGATGCAGAATGCTGTCCAACCTCACCGCTCCATTCCGAGTGAGTAATGTACAATTTATCTGTCCACTTTCCCATTGATGTATGTAAGACGTCTCGATTTGAATTCGTGAAAAGTGCAGCAACTTCAAAGACAAAAAAGCAGTCCTGCTCAGTTGAAAATCTCGAGGCTGCGTGAGCATGCAGTCTTCAGCCGCTTGATGATAATGGGAATTATTATATTTATTATTTACAATTGAGGTCTTGTTACAATAGGAAACAAAAAAGAAATAGGAACAGAGAATGGGAAAGGGAAAGGGAATATTGCAGGATGAAGCAAAACAGTTATCAGTAAGGTTGGAAATTCAGTAGCCAAATGATGATAATATGATGTATCAATCACGAAAGGACAATGAGCAGGCTCACGTTTGTGGCACTGCTCTTATTGCCCGGTTACCTTGGCTTTCCAGATAGTCCAACCATCTACGAAAGATGTCAGTCGCTCAGTACCATACTGGAAAAAGTCGTAGTCAATCTCGCTCTGGTTAGCTTGGATTAATCCCCACAGGCCCCACATGAAATGGCTAGCAAGGACGTAACCTTCTATTTCACGCAAAAGCTGCTGAACATCGTTTTGTCTTTGAAATGAAGAACTCACGGTACCCTGAGCAAGGTCGCGTTCATCAAGATAAGATTCCAAAAATCTAACTTGTTCGGCCAAAGTAGGGTATCTACTTGGGTGTAATTTGGCGGGTTCGTTGCTATGATAGTCAGCAGTCCACTCACAAAAGTGATTAGCGATATCAAATCCACGGGGATTATAACCACAATATTCGAAATCAACCACTACGAGACGTCCTGTTTCATCACGGAAACGCATAATATTACCGTACTGAGTCTGGCGAGGAACATAACAGAGAGAATTGAGCGAGTTAGATAAAGAAAAAAAAAAGGATGATGCTAAAATTGAACTTACATCATTGTGTGTAAAAACAATGGGGCTGCGCAAAGCATCCAGATGCTGTTTGAATAATGGTAGTTCTGAAAAAACTTGGGGCAAGTCAAAGCGCTCGATCATAGATCTATGGTGCTCACTACGTTTTTCCAAGGCAGGTAGGAGAGATTCGACGATGGGAACCCACTTTGCGATATTCTTCCAGACCTCTGGTATATCAGTTCGCTTATTGGGATAGATTTGCGAAATGGCGTGTAGCTCATATAGGCCACGGGCAATTTGGCATGATGTCTGAGGGTCACGAATGTCATCACGTGTAAGCGTTTGACAATCCAAGTATTGTTCAACTCTACCATTGGTGAAGGTGCCCAACAAAAGAGCACCGATTCCATGGCGTGAAAGGATGCTAAGCCAACTGAGTTCTTGCTCTCGGTCGACTAGTTGATCGCATCCAATGCCATATACTCGAAGCAGAACTCGTCGATAAGGATTTTGCGCAGTGACAAAAAATACAGCACTAAAATAGACATTGCATGCAAATTTAAGCAAGACATAAAAAACACATGATAAGGTATCGCCAAGAACTTACTTTGTCATTGCTCCACTGATACGATCCATCACAATGTGATCAACGTCACTCCATTCTGGAACAAGTTTTTTGATGATACTGAGAGCCTTTTCCTGAAGCTGCTCACCTTTTTCGCTCCTATGAAAGAAAATGGGAAAGTTCGGATGGGGGGAGTTTAGAAAAAAAATAAAAAAATTCCAATATGTAAAACTGTGTTGAAAAAAAAAATTGGGGTTCCATTTTAAGAAACTTAATGACGATTAAGTTACTTACAATAAGTCTATTTCATCCTCGGTAGAAGAGACATGATGGAGGTGTCGGGCAATGTCCTTCGCAGGTCGAGCGGCATTGTATCCTTTGTTGTAATTGGAAGCTGCTGAAGTAAAGAGACGGAAAGTTTGTCAGTAAAACAGGTCGGTATGCCGCATTCTTATCTAAAGCTATATTGGAAGTTGACATCTTACCTTGGTTGAATGATGGATTGAATAATGAGTTTGCGATGGTAGGCAATTCGGTCTGCATGGAGTCAGATCTGTCAAGGACTTCCGCTGGCACTGGCATTTGAGTATTAGAACAACGAAGATATGGTGAAGAAAGCCAAGACTGTGCTAGAACAACCTCCACTTTATATAGCCACGATTTCCTGGCAGATGCAATCACATGATGTCGACTGAGTTGTCGGTCGGGGTCTCTGATTGGTTTGGTTTGGGGCAAGAATTGGTGCCTGTTCCCACCTTCGGGTGGTCTGATAATAATGTACGGCCTGTGCATTGGAATAAGCAGCTGGGATATTTTTATTTTTTTTTAATTCGTATCAGACGTACTTTCTACAGCTTATTTACAAGGAAAAACATGATGTGATATTAAATGAATAAGATCGGCTAAAAATACAAAAAATGCAGTTTGTCGTGATGTACATGAAACAAAGATATAATGTGTGATATAACATGTGAGTTATGCCTCTTGTTTTTTCTGATATCTTTCTTCTTGCTTGTATTCATCCAATGCCATAGCATTGTATCGAAACTCTCGTCCATCGCCAGGACTGTTACCTATGGGGACTAAGGGGTTGGTTAGAACCAGGATAAGCATACATGTTTGTTCGTGATTGTAAAGATACTTACTAAACCAAAGCAAGACGTTGGGGCCCATAACGTCTCTCCAGTTGTACCAGACGCCGTTGTTATAGAGATTTTTGCCTGTCAGAGTGAACGTCTCGGGCAATCTGACGGGCTTTTCGGTCTTTTCTACCGCCTTTCCCTTCTTTTCTATCGCTTGGTCCTTCTTTTCTATCGCTTGTTCCTTCTTTTCTACACGGCCTTCTTCCATATCACGCTCACGATTCTCTTCAGCCTTTTCTGCTGGCAATTTTTGAGAATTAGAGCGTTGGAACTTAAAGCGCTGGTCATGTTGGGGACGCGTTAAATCCCAAGCGTGGTATATCTTATTTTCAATTGTAGTTCTTCCCAAAGTAACCAGACCAAGATGAGCACAAGTAAAAGCCCCGACCAAGAAGGAAATGATACCGCTACTGTTAAAGTGAAAGAGACGCCATCAGTAAGGATATCATTTCCACACGCAACATTTAGATGGCTTCTTTTTCTACTTACATGACCATGGCAACAATAGCATAACCATCGAATGTTTGCTAAAAGGAAGTACATTGTATGAGAATGACGGATGCCACGAACGCGAACATATACGTGAAAGGCTCTACCCACCGAACGACCATATTGTGCATAAGCGATTGCTGTGGTAATGAGCATCCACATACCACTGAGTGTGGTATAGCATAAAAACTGGATGAAGAATTTGTAGTTGTTGTATCCTACGCATCCGTTGACCCTATGACACGAAGGAAAAAAATAAACTGTGTTAGCGCTTAACCTAATGCTTTTTCTCGTTACACGGTGGGGTTCAACTCACCATGGACAATGACTATAATAAGAAGGTAGCAACAAGGGTGCACGGAAAAGGGTCAGTATACGACGATCTATCCTCAATGTTTTCGATAAACTAAAGTGCTACTCACTGATCCATCTTCAAGACACATTCGTCACAAATACTGCAGTGGTGGGTGCGATCGGGCTTCCAGCACTGACAAGTCTTGCACCACTTCGTTTGTGGCAAGATGGATTCAAAGTCAATTGGGGGACGCGGAGCTTCTGGGGTCTTTTCCTCCTTCATTGGAATTACTACCGCCGCTGCCTTCTCGTCATTTGGTTCGTTCTCATCTTTGGTGGCTGAAACATTTTCCTCGTCCTGAGCTTCAGGCACGTCTTCATTTTCTGTAGGAGGCTTGATATCTGAATTGGTATCATCTGTATGCTGGTTGTCAAGCTCAGCCACGTTGAGTAAAGCCTGTATGGGGAATGATGTTTCGCGCTCTAGTCTGGCCGACGAGGCAAAATTACTAGAACTCGTGGTGGTGGCCTTTGCCGTTACACCGGGACGAACTCCGCTTGGTAATGACTTTGTCCTTTTTGGTCGCTATTAATTCGGCCCCAGGATAGGTTAAAACTAAGGGATTGTGTGTACATCATCTCCATGAAAATCAAATCATACCTTGTTGGGGCTACCGGGTCGAGTGATGACAATACGAGCGTATGCACATAAGCACATGGAGAGGAAGAAACAAAAGGGTACCAAGTATCCAATAGCTAATGATCGCTGTCCCACGTTGAGTAGTACCACTGTAGCATCAGATCAATGATAAATTAGTGGATAGCCAAAGTGGATAAACAACAAATAGACCCTAATGTGCAAGCTAATTGTTTAGATGGTCATGAGGACAATGAAGATGACTTACGGCAAACTCGAGCAATGTAGCTGTAGGTGGAAATGGCTATGATTCCAAGGACAACAAAAACAGGGAGAAAACCCCAATCACGATGTTGGCCTTGCTTTTTCCCCTTTGGAGGAGGCATAGGAAAGTCGGTAAGTGCAGAGAGAAAGAAAATCAATGGCCACATTCTAGCGTATATGGGAGAATCCGTAGAGCAGCCGCATGCCTGTTGTTGATCTGCAGGGTTGGATGACGGCATAGTAGTAGGGAAACAGGTCTTCAAAGGATGTTGTCCAATGACTTGGACAACTTTGCGGCGGAAAGAGTGAAATTTGCCAGGCATTTGAGCTTATAACGATTATAGCTGAAACAGTGATGTAATTGTAGGTATATTCTCGGCAAATGAGAAGCACGGGATGTCTTCTTCCTAGGATCAAGCTAGATGAGCTTTTGCCTTTATTCCTTCGGTTAGAAAAAGGGGAAATAAGAAAGTATAGAAACGAAAAAAATAATAGACGAAGAAGACGGGCAGGCGGATAGAAAGGTGAAAGCCTATTTTATACCAGACCTTGGCAAATGCATAACAATTATTGTCAGCGAAAATTTAGCTCACGGAGGAGCACACAGAAATTGCTTGCTTGTGCACGTGAGCTCCCAACCATTGGTGCATTTTGATTCATTGCCAAAGTAGGGCAAATTTTCGCAGTCATAGCTCCATCACCAAAATGAAAACAAGCAATCTTGCGCGGTTAGGCTTGGCAAATTTCAAAGCCAAACAAGACGGGTGTCTGTTCCAGGAAGATACTCAAAATATGTGGGCGTAAAAAACATTATTTTGGGAAAAATGTTACTCTCACTCGACGGATCGATTTCAACTGAAATGGCCATATCCTGACAGGCACATGTAAAATTTGGAGCATATTCCGAAACTGTGCGTGCACAGGGATAGAGTTTATGTGAATAGCGTTTTATCTTTTTTATTATGGTCAAGGTATTGCGCGTGACATTCTGACCTGCGCGGGTACGCCGCCTCAGAACACTCGGAAGTGTCCATTCTAATCCTACCAGAGAAGGATTGGTACACTTCCTTTAATGCGCGAATAGTTCTTCAAATCTTTTATACGGGTTCATTACACGTGGACATGAAATATCTCCCATTCATCTTTAGCCAGTATCCCAGGGGTTCAACCAGAAAGCGACGGACAAGATGGCTTGGCGCTGTGGCGGTATATCGGCATAGCCTCGTTCAAGGAACGAAAATTACGTATTAGGTAGGATAAGGGCTTTACGGCCAGTATTTAGCTTTTGCGATCTTTTTTTTATATATATAAGGAGAAATAGTAGTTCCTTTGGCAAGAACGTTCGGCTATACTAGGTTGTTATGTCATTGTTGAAGCAATGGATATTATACGATGCAACCGATTATGATTTTCATCAAGCCGGGAGGCGCAAAATAAAAATAATATATCGCTTCCTTTCTGGCCTTGAATGCACCCGGTGATTACTGACCAAACAATACGAGTATGATTTCTAGAATTTTATATTGTAAGCTCGGCATATACAAAGGAAGTGATGAAAACGTGCGGAGATACATGGTTGCAAACGTAGACAAAACTCTTACACGGCGATGGCATTGACGTTTTTTTTACAGGAACGGGTTTCAGTTGAAGACCTGGGCATAGGTGGTGAGCAATTTCTCCGTTCGCTTGGCTTTGCTTCCTTTGGAATATTTTCTTTCCTGCGGAATCCCGAATTGACTTATAAGCGGTGCCGAAGTGGAGGCAAATAAGGTAGACTTATTCCATTTCACTAGCATACGATGTTTGCCAACCCTTTGTGTGTACGGCACACACACAATAAGAAATCTTCTGTAACGAAGCGACAGGTCTGTCGTATTGTATGGTTTTTATAAGTCAGTATGGTGACTAATTTCTTAAAAGGTCGTTTTCTACTGTTTCTATTTTCATACGACACCACTGTAGCATACCGCTTTTTGTGTACGAAACCAAAGTCAGTCAGTCAATATGAGCACGTTGACACAAAGTGGTAATGATATTGGCGCTATACAGATCACCGGATATCTGTTGAAACGTGAATCCTATGATAGCTTAGAAAGGCTACGATCGGGAACATTACTTTACAGTGATATAACTGTTTGACGGATCCTGATATCATCCACACGTTCAACATCGGTCGATAATGTCCGATGGCTCGAACCACAGGGTGGTCTCAAATTCTTTATCGAGATTATTTTCTGGAACAATTCTTACCACGTCAACACTGAAATATCGACGTCAAAATGTTGGGGTTGGCGTGATAACTTCGCAATTGTATAACAGCATGATGGTGTGGATATCAAATGCAAGTCTGTTGTTCAAATACAGGCCCATGGCAGCGCATGCACCGTTTTGCCGCGACAGCCCGGCCACCTGCAGGGTTTCAAGTGGTGAAATATAGCCAGGCATTTGGACCAAAGTGCCTCAAGGTGCCGAGCGGGCGCTATTCACTGAACAAACAGCATAGGATGTCTGCGGAGCATGAATGGAGGAAAGAAAAAAAATCCATCGGTCTCTTACATCATGCCAAAATTAGTACAACCATGGCTGCGTTCGCGGTGTTTGTTAACGTTCACACTTGAGGGTTTTATTCTTCGGTTTTCCATGATTAAAATGCGTCAATTCTCTCACTCAGTCAAATGTCGACCCCTGAACATGTTAATATAAATGTTATACCGCATTTGACAATATCGCAACGAGTTAGCCACACCTTGGATAGTAAAGCATAACGTGAAATAGTAACCATGTGTCAAGTAAGTCTCTATGCGGGTACCCTTCATTTCATGACAGAAGTGTTGGATTGCCATATTCGAATGGAATCAGGAAACTGGAGTTTTGTGACGTTGCCAAGGTAAGGTTGAGCAAGCAATGACAGCATGGTGATGACGACGGTTCTGGTCGGTCTCGACCACTATTGCGGGAGTTGAATCAATTTCTTGGGGGCACAAGTTGCCAAGAGCGCACCAACCACCAACGGAAACAGAAAACGTTGTAACATCAGGTATGTGAGAAGATTTATACGTTATATTTACATTACATACATCGAATCCATCCATACATTGAATAAAAAAATAGAACATCAATTGGTATATGAGGATGAATTTTGATTATTGGAGGCTTTTTGACTATGCAGTTGGGAGTGGGGGTGAAAATAATATGTGCACGAAGGCTAGAATTGGGGGAAATTGACGCATTTTTTTGGGGGGTTTTCTTTAAAAAACACTGAAAGGAGTGGGGGGTTGAACACACGCACACTCTCACAACAGGAGTGAAGAGAAGGGTATTATTTACAATTTGGTTGTTTTGGTTTTACGGTGTTGGAGGTTTCCATCTATAATGCAAAGACCCTCTTCTTGCTGGATTTGTAGGCCAGGTCAGATGAGCGTTTAGCGTCGATGGAATTCGCTGACATGCCCAGTGAGAAAGGTGGAGGTGAAAGACGGCTGTAGGACATGGTCTTCATGTAAGGTGAAAGGGTTGGTGATGATGTGGTAGATGATGAAGACGCTGCCGTCAGTGTAGGTGAGGTGGAGCTGTGTGGGAAGTCTTGCAACTCTGGATATTGGTAACCAAGCATGGGGTGGTTATTCAAGGCATCCGATCTCAGGCAACCTTCTGAGCAATAGAGAGAGCTCTGTTTAAAGGGGACGAAAGTGAATGGTTAGTTGAACAGGTCGGGTTGTGAAGGTCAGCGGAAAGGATAGAAACGTACCGAGAAGGGACTGATCTGCTTATCACAGAAGGTGCACCAATTCGTATCGCACATTATGAATTTCTTTTGGTTTTTAAAAACTGGTTGTTACAGAGTGAAGAGGGTCCTTCGGCTAGGGCACCATGGTATTTATATCATGGATTGCCTTGTTCCAGATTTTTCACAACCCGAAATGGAGATGACCCGGGTTGAGTCACTGGGCATCGTCAATTTGAGCTCACTATCGCGACATGAGCTCCGATTGGCTAGAATCCATGTCGCAATTGGGATCATCCACAACCACACGTTTTTTGCACCATTTCCTCCCAGCACTGCACGTTCATCTGTCGAGCTTTAAGAACGCACGCACGCAAAACATTCATTTCTCACACTCCCATGAATAGAGTGCATGAGGAGGCCGGGGTGGACCACGGTGTTACTGGATCCATAGATAGCTGCCATCTCCTATCACTGACCGTTTCGGGTGATAACGTGCCCTTCCACTTCCATCTGTTTCCATTTTTTCTTTCCTTCTGCGGGCGGAAGGTTGAGGCGAGCGGGGGGCGGAGGCTGAGGTGTGAGGCCCATCATATTTTAGCACTGCTATGCATAACTTCGACTCATTCCACCGTGCAAAACCAGACCAATTTTTTTTTTTTTTGGGATGATTATTTTATTTTCCACTCCGGAATCATAGACCTCTTTTCTCTGCCGGTGTTATTCTAAAATTATATCACGGTCGACATCGCTATCTATCAAACCCATGATTATCTGACACATTGCAATAAAATATATGGCCTTTACTTTAAAATAAAGTAAGATATGCTTTTTACAAACTGGCAGTGGGCGTGGCATGGCTTGGCTTGGTATGGTGACCTTTTTTGTGCAGACACCGATATCAGCCAAGGTGGGCTCATTTTTTTATACACATTTTAAAAATATAATAATGCTACTAAAACATAAGACGTTGGTTGAAACCCTTTCCACTGGATGCATTATACCCTGCTGGCTGAGCAGGCCTGGCTGAGGTTTTCTTCATCATAGGTTTGCCTTTGAGGTCAAATCCATCCGATCCATTGGTAGAACTTGAAGATACGGTGCTTGTCCGTGATAATGTGTCGACTTCAGTAGGTTTTGGTTTGTTGGCTATTGTATGTCCCATTATTAATATTTAATCAACCCCATGATGATACAACCGAACGGGGTCATTTACCTCTATCAATTTTAGCCTGTCTTTGATTATGGAGCATATCCGCTACCGCTTGAATTTCTCGCACCCATGTTTCTTGTTCCTCTTGGCTATTGGCTGCAAGCAGATGAATGGACACCATTGAGGTACTAGCCACGTTGTTGAGAGACAGTCCATTCGATACTACTGAAACCGCCATCATGCTTTGCTGTTCGATTGTGACTATTTCCAGCGCGTACTTGCGCTCCGTTCGTTCTGGACCTACCATTCTGACTTTAGCGTTAGTCAGTTCGATATGTCCCTTGTACTGAACCGGTCCTCCTTTACTATCTTTAGCTCTTCCCCAGATCAGCATGTCATTGAAAAGGTAAAAATGACGCATTCCGGCCGATGATGAGCCGCTTCCGCTTGACTGAACTTTGTATAATTCTCCGCTATAATGGAGTCTGCGATACAATGTGACGAGGGACGGTGGATTTTGGATCGACGTGTAAACGTCCATAACTCTGGCTGCGCGAACGCTGTCATCGACACTAAAAGAAGAATGACTGACGTTAGTCACTGGTCGGAAACAATACCTACACCGGAGTAAACCAGTTTTAAGAACATACAACATTCCATCCACTTACAGATTTTGGACATCGGCTGCAATCAATTGCATTCGTTGCGCGTATTGAACGATCATGGCGTAGTCAGGGTGTAAATGGTCGGTGTATTTGACCAACAGTTGTGCAATGGAAACATAATGGGGTATACGGGTCAATGGTGCCTGTATGAGATGAAATAAGTTACGACCGAGATGGCCGGATTCGTCTTGGCATGTCTGTGAAAGAGAGTCAGTTTACGTGCAAGCCAGAAAATTTCCATACTCATTACCCCACATCACATAACACGCAGATCACACGAGAAAAGTGGCTTACCTTTGTAAATTTTCGAAATGCTTGCACTTTGTACAACCTCTCATAGGTGACCACTGCGGAAGGAAATGCCTTCATATACGGTGTATACTCCTTTAAAATAGGAAACTATGAAGGAAGGCTCGATTTAGTCAAACATTTCACAACACACTAGCAAGAACTGGTTTTTTCTTTACCATTTGTCGTAGCACATCACTTATCAATTGGGTAGGGCCCCAAATTCGAAATCTGAAAATTGCCAAGCAGTTAGGTTAGTTTCTTGGATAACGTCTCAACAAAAGTTGTCTAGGCCATACCTGTTTTCTAGTTTTGCAAGGTAATCTTGGTGTAATTCTAATAATTGCTCGATATTGTTGAAGAGTAGTCGAAGCTCCTGATCGGTACACACAATTCTACCGCTAAGGAGTCCATGACTGGTCTGCGCGGGAATTTGCTTTCGTAGTGGGTTCAAGTAGGCATCGCGTGCAATCACCAAGTTCATAATGTATTGAGCTTCAGATTGGTACATATCGTAAAGAAGAAGCTCACGTTCCCTATGTCTAGATTCGTTGGCTAATGAAAGCCCAAGAGAGCGTGTCAGCAAAGCGGGACATACAAGAAAGCCTAAAGCTCGGTTTGCATAGTTTTTTCTTTACCGATTTCGTCGGGTTCGCTTGTATCGCCATATTCGTTGTAAAGATCGTCAATGATCGACATGTCTTCTAATAATTCTGCAGTCATACCAGCAGAAGCCTGATTGTTGCTTCCGAAACTGCTCGTATCGAACGAAGACCCGCTGATGATGTGGTGTCCATATGCATTGGCTCTTAAAGAGCCTTCTTTATGATATTCTGATCCAAAACTAGATACCATGAAGAGGAAAAAGTGAAAATGAAAGGGGGGAGGAGAGGGAGAGAAGAAGAAGAGAGAAAATATCTAAGGATAAACAGACTGTTGATGCTTCTTTTTTTTTTTTTTTTCTTCTCGCTTTGGTGATACATGGCGGATGTTACTGTGCAACCACATACCATAAAAGAGATGTGGGGAGAGAGTCCCCCAGCTTTAACTGCCGTGTAACCTTACTCAGCTGATGCTAATATACGGTGTTGGTTCAAAAGGATCGACGAAAGAGGGTAAGTGCCACGGTATTCAGTGGATGCTCAATGTACAGCGATTCCAGATGGATTAGATGACACATCTTCAAAATAATGGGAAACCCAAGAGACAAGCTGTGCTAGCCGGGAATAAAGACAATTTTTAGTTATACCGCTGGGACACAAAGGACCGTTACCGGAAAAGCGGAACATAAAATTGATGGTATCAAAAGGAAAAAAGTAGATTTTTACTTTGGCCGCGCAAGTCTACTAGACGAAAAGGGTACAGAAAAGGACGTGTCAAACATGAGAGATCACGCGTACAAGGAAAAAGTTCAGTACGACGAAAGCCATTGAAACCAGGGTAAACCGAAGCTGCACTTCAGCAAAGACCATGCGCACAGACAAATCAGAAGGGAATACAGAAGCATGATTGACGATGCGTTATCAACCGGCCATCGCTAAGCCGGGAAACCTTTTACCAAAATTTGCCTATAGCTGGGTTGACTTACAAACGTAGCTAAAAAAAATCTTTCTTACATTACACATGAGCGTTTAACAGTTCATACCGTTATTTCCCCTTTCAGAGAAATTTTCGCCCCCGCGGGTGAATTGGTCCTTTTTATTTTACTCTGATAACTCCGCGAACCTCGCGCAACAATCCTAATAACGCCTCGCTAAAGACTTGGCTATGTCTTACGATCGAAGGCTCTGAAAGATGCGACGGTGTGACTGTATCTAAGTTACGGAATGCTGATATAAGTCGGTCTTGGATATCCACCGGCTGTTGTTGGATAATTTGGTTGACGGCTGTAAGATAAGATGACCGGCAACAGTAGATGAGGGGAAACAACGAGGCTGAGGCGGCGTCCAAAAGTCTTGGGTCAAAATCCTTGAACAGTAATAGCTCCAAGTTTAAATGTAAAAATTTCTCAAGGGAAGGCTTGAGAAAATCGATGGGGGCTGGAATGGGGGAGAGGGCGGAAAATTCGTCACTTTTTTGGCCAAAATCCATCCGAATACACATGGTAGCCACATGGTCCCAAAACTTACCTTGTTGCAACTCTTGGGTATATGCCCATAATGCAAGCGGGGCAATCGCTTGAAAAGACAGGATGTTAACATCTGTAATGTCGTGACCCATACCATATTCTAAGCTGGCCATTAGGTTGCCGAACAATCCAGGTGGTATACCAATCAGTTTGTCAGGGAAGAATTCGATAAGATTGGAGATTAGCTTGATGTACTGCTGACAAAGACTGGGGATCTGTTTACAAAGTAATTAATGTTAATTAACCTTCATCATGTTGTCTTACAGCTGACTGAGAACTGACCTTTAGCATCTCCATATTGATATTAGGAATCAACAAGTTGATCCCAAAGAACACTACGTCTGCAACATCGGGGCTTCCTTGAGCGACAGTAGCACCATTTGCCCGGTCTATATACGGCGTGTTAGTAAATATTGCTCTTCCGCGGTTGAACAAACAAAAAAAGTAGACTCAGAACATACTGAATGATTCAAACTCGGATGTCATGATGTTGGACATGATATTCAGAGCAGCGACAATATCTGCATACGGTTGGTCTGCTTCTTCTTCTTGGGTCAAAATTCTTGTGTTGCCACTACTGGATAATCCATACACTTTGAATATTTCAATAATGACATTGTACAACGATTCTTTTCGCTTATCACCCAATGATTCAAAGTCCTAGAATCGGATATTAGAATCGTGTCAGTCTTCAAGCCACCACATTTCACGTATGCAGAAACTGCGACTACTCCACACTTACCGCATATCTGGATATATCCGCAAAGAACTCTAGTATGAGCAACTGTACTTCAGGAACATTCTTGTACAGATTCATCAACTGTAAAAAGCTGTTGAAGAATCGACAACAGAACTCAAAGATAATGGTAGTGTTGAAAATGTCGCATGCTTGCGCAAGGCCGTCAAACATCTAACATTGAATAAGTCATGATCAATCGATTGGTTCATTGAAAACAGCGCTGGTTTCACACTGATGATGGCTTGCTTACCTCGAGTACATTCTGGACGCTGTCGATCACAACCCCATTTTGATAAGCTTGGGTAAAGGTCGGAGCGTGTAAAATGGCGGTAATGCGTTTCTATATGATATATCGTACTGTCAGTACTATAGCCATATCTGCCTCAGTAGAAATAGATAACTGACCTCAACCATGCCAAATATCAAGCTAAGGTACTTGTCGCGAAGCGGAACATCTTGCGAACCACTGGCGATGCCCACGACAGTTTTGATCAAGGGACTAATGTTGCACAATGAATTAGGTGTAAGGGTGCGCTGATCGACAAATCAAGGTTTACACACGATAGCCTTACCTATGGACAACTTCTGGAAGATGCTCCAGGTTTTGTGCAATAAACTCTATGAAGCCAGGGAAATTCTCTGCATTCCGATAAGAGCGCTATTAGAACATGACCGCCACCCTAAGGACTTCCATCACGAAAAGCCTCATACCTGCATGTAGAAATCCGTTCTTGAGATTTCGACTCATACCACATGTATTCAACCATCTAATGATCTATTATTACCAGGAAAAAAAAGTCACCCTCTCTCAGTATCTCCTACTTTCATTGAAACATATTTAGCTTATGCGCCTACCTGGACGAGTACATCTTCGTCTGCATTCCACATGCCAAAATTGGTTTTGATTTGATCAATGAGGAAACTTACAATTCGCTGGCCTTCACCTTCGGAAGGGCCAGGTTTACCAAATTGTCGAGCAATATTTGGGCTAAGAAAAGAAGATAATGATGACAAGATCAACATCTAGGTTATAACGGTACAAACGTTGGCCCCACCTTTGTTACCAACTTACCTAACATATCCATAGTCTTCTTCATCTATGAGAAGATACGACTTACTCCAACGCTCCATGTACCAAATTAGCGTTTCAGCTACTTGCGGACTACAGAATGTAGCTTGAATAGTGGTGGTGCCCCATCCCGACAAGTACTGCAGCATTTCTAAAAATGTGTTGGACAGGTTGACGACTTGATCTTCGGCCAAAGCCTACCCATGCAAAATGGAATGCTTCATTATCAGATATAAATGCTGCAATTGAAGTTGCTCAGAAGCAGTTTTAGCTTACCTGCATGCCTGATAGGTGCATTAATGAATTTGGAATCAGAGGCTTTTCACCCTCGCCCGCATCAGCCAAAATGCTTCCGGATATGAGTAGGATCCAATGGATACGCTCATTAGTGATACCCATCTGACGTTCCATCTCCATGTTTCCAGTATTAAATAGATCTTTGAGTATCGTGAATTGCTCTGTTGCAACATATTGTAGTTGGTGTAAGCTTTGGCACGGATCCAGACGTGCCAAAGTGGCAATACTTATAAGTTGATCGGCATATAGTTCCTATTTTAGAGAAGAGCTACGTGAGTTGGTGTCTATAAGTGACAGCCTCTGGCAACCAAACACGACACTCACTCTATCTTTCATCCCTCCATCAAGTTCTTCATCATCATCCTGTACACTTGAACTTGCCATTTCTATGCGAGTATCAATATAGTTTTGAACTATTGTAAAACTGAACGTCTTGAGGAACTGTGATAATTTTTCTATCTCCTTTCGCTCATTCTCGTTGTTGTTATTTCGACTTGTCTCCTCAGCTTGTTGCAGATTAACAACTGTATATTATATCACAAATTAGTGTGCACCACGGCCTAAGAATCAAAGTACTGGAAACACTTACCAAGTGACACCCAGGTGGCAAGGCATTCATCAAATGCTTCACTAATCCATCCTTGATCCACATCCTCTACCGTACCACGCAAGCATACTGTGGTCAACTTTGCGATATCGTTCAAAAATATGTAGAACTCTCCTTGCTGACTTAACAACAACACTGGCAAATTCTCTATTAAGCGGCGAGCTACTTGAATCACTCCTAAAATTTGAGGCCCCTGTTCTTCGATCGATTGAGCATCTGTGCTAGTGGCCGATATGCTGTACAGCGAGAGGTAAGACGTCTGCATGGATCACAGTAGACACAGTCGATGCCTTACCTGTTTAAGCATTTTTGCAGGCCAAATATCATTGCATTTGCATATTCAACAATAGCTTCATGCTCATGATCGAAAAACTTTTCATTTTGTCCAGAGAGCTGAATGAGACATTGGCGAAGTCGGTGTGAGAGTCTATCGTCATGTTGTACAATGAGGTAAAGCTATACACGAATTAATAAACGGTACAGGTACGCAGCTCCTTATATTTGTTTGACTTACTGTGAAGAATAGCCAAATGATATCACGGTTGCCAACCAGATTTCTCCAAGATCGAGGGAAAACGGTAAACGATGGACGCGCATCAGGTTCATCGCTGTCAAGATCACTATTATCGTTTTTTGAGCCAATTCCAGATGTTCCAGGTAGCGCAGCGTGATCGGAGGTCTCGTCGAACTCCCAATGTAACATCTTTTCCACCAAAGTGACGGTTTCGAACAGTATGTCAGGAGTAGGTGAAGCTATAGCGACATTCTCTCTTCCGTGGCATTGACGATGAAGTGTTTGTAGCGAATGTTGAAAAAGCCGCTGCAACATATGATGCTATGATGCATTTTGTTAGACAGATCAACTTCCTAAAGACGCTTGTCCAGTTACCTATGTTACTACTTACTTCAAACCACACTTTGCACTTGTGATGGAACTCCCAGTTTAGACCTACAGCTCTCGCTTTCATATCTGAAAACTGATCAACATACGCATTGCTCAAAGCGCTGGCCAGCACAGGCTACAAGATGTCAGTTCAGCCAGTTATGTTCGACCGGGAGTGAATGTTCGTATTTGCTTACCGCTTGTTCATTATTCATGTCCCACAATTCTTTAATATTCGTAAACATGTTTTCGCGTTCTGTTTCCGTCCATTCCATGAATCCACGCTTCATGATTGTAGCCACTGCCAAAACCAATTGGTCTCGCACATATTTTGGGAGGCTGATGATGGAGAGGGTAAATCGATTGATCTATATACTCCACAACTACATTGTTGGTCTAAATACTTACTTTGGGCGATGAAGGCAGTAATTCAACATAAAATTTTTCAAGCTGACCAAATCCTGTGTCTGATAAGCCGAAAACTCACGGAGGATGATCTCACATATCGCAGCAGCTGCTTGAAACTGAACCATAGGAGCATCGGTGTTATCTGCGAAATAGACATGAGTTGGATCGTTCTTCATTCTGAAGTGTCCATACATACATTGAGAACGAACCTAGGATGTACTGGCATGCTGGCAAGATTTGAGGAGTTTGTCGAAAGTTAGTTAAAACTTCGTCGGCTGCAGCTCTTGTAGCCGGAACCTGCGCAAAGAGTTGTAAGAATCTGTGTAATTCCAAGGTGCAATCGTCACTGATCTGTCATACCTGTAAATCGGAGCATGCCTCTACAAAGTGTGCATGAACTTGAGCAACATCCATTGTCAACTGTGTTCAAAGCAACAGAGGTTTGCTCGGTGGTCACCAATTGGCGATCATAAAAAAAATTTCGAGCTATATCAAAGCCAGCTCCTGCACGTGTGTTGTCTGGCAAGGTTGTAGCACACAGGACTCCTCCATTTTCGAATTGATTTTTCAGAGCTAAAGAAGAATTTTTGGAGAAGAAGTGTGGAGTACCAGTTCGTCGCAGATATGGGGTGTTTATGCTGAATTTTGCCCTTTCTTGGACCACTACAAGGAATGGTGGAAGATTTCGTACACAGCGACTTTGAGAATCAACTCAGACGGATGCCTCAATTACGAATGATAAAAAGGGAGGGGGCTGGTATAGTAGTAACAACAGCAACAAACACAACAGCAAATGTATAGCAAGGGACACGGAAGGGATGAAATGAGGGGGAGGCGGGATGAAATGTCGCAATGCCAGGAGCTCACAGCGCTTAGATCACCAAAACAATTGCGGAAAAAAGTGCCTGTCTTAAAGCTATGAAAGGGACAATTGGTGCCACTGACGAACAATGATAGTAAGTTGAGCTTCGTTACATCCCATACCAATGGCAACTACGGTAAATAGCTTTATTCACTGTACAAAGTAAAGAGTATAAATAGAAAGTAATTTTATTGTCAATTTGAACATTTTTGCCATCACTCTAGGTCCCCGTAGTTCGAATTCTAATTGTACAATTTCTGGTACTTCTGACGTACTGCTTCCTCTTACATCTCAACTACTCTCACTAGTACTAGTCATCTACTCACACACATCTTTATTATTATGGGGACGAAAGCACCCTCAATTTCCGAAAGTGATGAAAGCAGAAACCGTGTCTCAAATGAGGACGGATTTCTTGTGGCGGGCGAAGACGTCCAAGATTTGACCATGTTGACAACTCCAGACGAAAACGACGTGGCAGTAACCTTGCGAGCTCGACTGTTGAACAAAAAAATGTACACGAGAATTGGTCAATCAGTCCTAGTAGCTGTAAACTCGTTTCGGCGTTTCGATGTTCAAGAACAACACGACTTACTTCAACAGTATATTTTTGAATACAAAAGCCCAATTGATCAAGATCAAAGACTAGAGCCGCATTTATATCAACTGACATCAGATACATACCTAAGGATGCGGAGGATGGCAGAAAATCAAGTGATTCTCTTTAGGTAAAAGTTATTAGTATACTATCATGACACTGCTGGAATCAAACTGCTCAAAATGAAAATATTACAGTGGTGGTCCAGCGAGTGGGAAGTCAACCTGCAGAGATGCTTGTCTAGCCTTTCTCACTGGAGTCAGTGGCCAGAAAAGAATGAAACGGCTCCCAGGAAAGCTCGTAGATGCGCAGGTTGTCCTCGAAGCATTTGGAACGACAATGACACCACATAGCGTAAGAGCGTCACAGTATACATCACTTTTAGATATCTATTTCAACGATCATGGCCACATAGCGGGTGGACATTTGCAATATTTCAATTTCAATCACAACATTGTCACAAACTGCTCCAAAAATCAACAAAATTATAATGTATTTTCTTACTTATTATATGGTTCAACTGGAACGGAAAGAAGACAATGCTACCTACAAACTAGTTCCTCATACAACTACCTTGGAAAAGGCAGTGTTGAACAGCTGGTGAAAGGTCGTGCTGAAGAAAAATGGACGGCTCTTCGTGCGTCACTCTTATCTTTGGGATTTAAGCAAGGCGTGATACTACAAATCATGCAAATTCTGTCCGCCATACTTTTACTTGGAAATCTGATTATCGCCGATGATTCCATGACGAGAGGAAAGGACGGTGTTGGGGTTCGCAATACTGCTGTCTTAACGAACATAGCGAATTTACTAGGGATTGATGAGTCCGACCTTCAAAACATGCTGCGTTATAGGACTAAGTTGATACGGAGCGAACTAACGTCCAGAATCCTGACTTGGAGAGAGGCGATCCGGCAGAGACATTTCCTAGCAGCAACATTATACAAACTACTATTTGAACACATTATCAACCAGATTAACCAAAAATTGACTGCGACCAATTACATGAACTCCATCGCTCTATTGGATATCCCAGCGATGCAAACTTCAGGCGAGGACGAATGCTACAAATTTAGTCTCAATTATTTGAACGAAAGATTATTCGACTTTCGGCAGAAACGAATATTTTGTTTGTTTCAGGATGAATACAAGGAAGAGGGCATTCAACCTCTTGAAGTAAAGTACCACGACAACATTGACCGCTTGGAGCTGTACAATTCCCAAGATGGTATATTCTCCATCTTAAACAATCGTTACGAAAGCAAGAGTATGGTCAGCCAAGTTGAGAAGCACCTGAAGATGCATCAGAAGGTCAACCAAAATATAACCTTCTCATATACTCACGACTTCATTATCCGCCACTACACCGAGAATGTCAGTTATTCAATTGAGAAGTTGTATAGCGAAAATCACGAAATTGATCTGTGCACGGAATTTGCGCCAGTATTTTGTGAAGCGCCGAAGAGGGAGGGCAGCAAAAACTCTCTTTTGGCTCAGCTCTTTTTACCTTACCTCGGTGGTACTAGTCAAGCAAAAGTGAAAACCTGCATTAATGACTTCGGCCAAAAGGCAGCTACAAAAGAGGAGATAACAATTGACGTCAAAGCGACTGGCATACTTGAAGAGGATGCTCCTATACCTGTATGCGAGCGACTCAGACAGCAGGCCGATAGCCTCTTCTTGAAGCTGGAAAATTATACAGCTTGGATTGTCATATGTCTTAGGTCAAACGACGGGAATATAGAAAACTCATGCGATATAAATGTCCTGGAAAATCAACTGCGGGAACATGATGTATGTAATATAGTCAAGAAGGCGAGTTTCCACCATACAGTGACATACGTGGCCGATGATTTTTGTGAGCATTTCCACCAGGCTCTTGATCTGGCCAAGGCAAGCTCGGACATGTCGTTTGTGGAGAAATGCGAAACCTTGGAAGAAGATAGGGAATGGGATGAATCTTACATGCTGATTGGTACAAATAGGGTATGCACCTATCAAGTATTGAAGCTATATGGCTTGTAAAATGGTAATCGTAATCGTTTATATAGGTTTTTTTGTCAGATAGCGCTTGGAGAATACTGGAAAACGACATTCGATGTGAAGAAAAGTCCATTTACCGGCGATTGCGACAAGAAGCTTCAAGTAAGAGCATTTACACCACCATGAAAATCTTATCAGATATCAAGGTTTTAACAACGCCAAACTTCTCGTTATAGGTATCAATGAAGAACAATTAGCTACTATGCGACCACTTTCCGACATGTTCTCCATGTCTGACATCTACAACTCAGAATCCGAAAGAGATGTTTCTTTTTGCGGTTCAGATACGGCAATCCCATCAGGGCCGTCAATCACGAAATGTAAACCAAAAAATAGACAGCTATTTTCCACAAAATCATCTCGATCTCGAAAACTCTGGTTGATCATAACGTGGGCTATCACATGGTGGATTCCTGCACCGCTTCTTGGATGGATCGGTCATATGAAACGACCCGACATTCGCATGGCATGGAGAGAAAAATTCACCCTCTGTTTCTTGATCCTCCTACTCTCAGCTGCCATGGTTTGGTTCATTGCATTCTTTAGTCATATTATATGTCCAGTCAAGCACATATATTCGCAGTATGAGCTTCAATCCAAGACAAGCAGTGCAGACGGCATAGTGAGCATTCGTGGAGAGGTTTTCGACCTTGGTAAATTCGCTCCTCGACATTGGGCCTCCGAAATCATCCCCAATATGGCACTCATACAATATGCCGGACAGGATGTTAGCCATTTATTTCCCGTTCAAGTATCGGCACTATGCGAAGGTGCTCAAAACCCAGTACCACTGGCTATGAATTTGGACAACTACGTGGGTCTCACAGACCCCAATGCAAAATATCATGATTTTCGCTACTTTACCGATGATTATCGTCCGGACTGGTACTATGAAAAAATGACTTATCTGCGAAAGAACTATCGATTAGGATACATGGGCTATGATGTTTCTGATGTCCGTTATCAGGCCAACAATCCGCGTCAATTTGGGGGCATCACCAGTACGCGCAAATGGGCCATACTTAATGGAGACGTTTACGATCTTACCTTCTACTTTATGGGTGGTAGATCACTTAAAGTGCCCAGAAACCAGACCATACCGAGTGACGTTGATGTCAATTTCATTGACACCACAATTGCGCAGTTATTCAAAGTTCTTGCCGGCACTGATATTACTGACCTATTTAACCAACTGCCCATGGATCATGATTTACGTGAACGCCAACTGACTTGTTTAAGAAATCTATTTTTGGTCGGCAAAGTCGATGCTAGAAACTCCCCACAATGCGTTTTCTCAGAATATCTTCTGCTAATCATATCTGGCTTCTTATGCAGTGTGATATTGTTCAAATTTGTGGCAGCCTTGCAAGTGACCCAGAGCTCTGGTGACATAGAGTACAGCAACTTTATCGTATGCCAAGTACCTTGTTATACAGAAGGGGAGGAATCCATTCGAAAGACACTCAACTCTATTGCAACCTTAAAATATGACGATAAACGCAAACTTCTCTTCATAATCACCGATGGAATGATAGTTGGCAGTGGCAACGAAAAGTCGACACCACGCATTGTGTTGGATATTCTTGGTGCAGAAGAGTCCATCGATCGTGACGCTCTCTACTACAGCGCGGTCGGTGAAGGCAACAAGCAGCATAATATGGCAAAAGTCTATTCAGGATTATACGAATACTCAGGTCATGCGGTACCCTATATTGTAGTAGTGAAGGTTGGAAATCAAGGTGAACGACAAAAGCCTGGCAATCGAGGAAAAAGAGACTCGCAAATGGTCCTTATGCAATTTCTCAACAAGGTCCACTATCAGTCAGATATGAACCCTTTGGAATACGAAATCTATCATCAGATACAAAATGTCATAGGCGTCAATCCTTTTTTCTACGAGTATGTCATGATGGTGGACGCTGACACTGAGGTAATGCCAGACTCACTGAACAGCCTTGTTTCATCCTTTATCAACGATGATAAGGTCATTGGTATGTGCGGAGAGACGATGCTGAGTAACGAAAAAGATACATGGGTTACGATGATTCAAGTTTACGAGTACTACATCTCGCATTTCTTGTCCAAGGCTTTCGAATCCTTGTTCGGGACAGTTACATGTTTACCTGGATGCTTCTGTATGTACCGCATCCGATCTGTGGGTAAAAATCAAGCATTACTAGTATCGAATATCGTCATGCTAGAGTATGGCGATATTAAAGTTGACACGCTCCATAAAAAGAATCTTCTGCATCTCGGTGAAGACCGGTACCTTACCACACTGATTCTCAAGCATTTTCCGACCTACAAGACAAAATTCAATCCCAATGCTGCCTGCCTAACCAGTGCCCCGGACTCTTGGTCTGTGTTGGTTTCACAGCGTCGACGATGGATTAACTCTACCATTCACAATCTTGGCGAGCTCATTTTTTTGCCTCAGATGTGTGGTTTTTGCTGTTTTTCCATGCGGTTCGTGGTTATACTGGATCTACTCAGTACATTGGTGATGCCAGCGGTGGTTTGCTACTTGGGATATCTCATTTACGAAATAAGCACTCATTCATCGCAAGTTCCTCTCATGTCCTTAATTACTCTGGCTAGTGTATATGGCTTGCAAGCGTTTATATTTATTGTACGGCGAAAGGTAAGAAATCAGTTTCCGAACGGGTGTGAACCAAGGCGTGTACGGTAATTTGAAACTCGTCAGCTCACCAGTTTTCTTTTAATGAATGGTGATAGTGGGAGCACGTCGCCTGGTTGATTATATACATCTTGGCCATTCCTATATTCAGCTTTTTCATACCCATCTATGCGTTTTGGCACTTTGATGACTTTTCATGGGGCAATACTCGAATGGTGCTTGACGCTGACGGAGACCGAAATGATAACCAAGTCGAGGACTTTGAGTTTGATCCTAGCGCAATTCAGAAGAGGCGATGGCAAGAGTACGAAGACACAGATTGGGAGAAGCCAAGCCAGCCAGACCAGATTCAAACGGATAATAAGGAGATAGCTTTACACTCCCCTCGCTCTGCAAAAGAACCTGGTTCATCTTTCCTGTCGTCACCGCCTAGTCAACATGTGGATGTGCGTGACACTCCCGGTAACGAAGAGTACACAACGACCGAAAACTTTCCAAGTGACCAGAAAATTATGTTTGCGTTGTACGACATTTTGGAAACTGCGGATTTGATGAAAGTGACCAGGCATCAAGGTTAGTTTGAACAGGGTCTTTGCAACTGGCCATTTTGACTTGTTAGCTTGCTTATTATGCCCCTTTTTTTTGTTTGCTCACCCACTCATCCCCGCTCGTACCTATAACAGTGCGACAAGAGCTTTCCACAGTGTTTGCAAGAGATATGACTGCTAAACGGGTTTTCATAAATGAAGCCATAGAGCAGATTTTGCAAGCTCGGGCTACAAGCGAGCAAAAACCTTAACCAGGGATGTGACACCAACGTTTTTTGGTAAAAGTGACGGCAGAAGGAAGACAAATCATAATAAAATTAAAAAAGACGATATCGAAAGTGCATTGCTCGTAAAATCCATCCGGAGGTTCGAATAGAGAGGCTTTGCAATATTTTATATTCTCGCTTGCGGAGATAACGACTATGCAACTTATGCCTTTCATCCGCTACAGATCCTTGACGCCCGCACTACCATCACCCCAACTTAGATGAGTACCCAGGTTCACGGCACATGACTTCCCACAACTTATCTAGTAGTATGAATTCAGTAGATTCAAGGGAACAACCAGTAAAATGAAATAAAAACTTTTTTCCGACCTATTCCACGCAGGCGGTCAAAGCAGCGCTGTTGGAGGGAATATCGCTGGCTCCTTCTGCTTTGGGCATGTGAGATCTTCGCTATCCCTTCAGCGTGGTTTTTATTGACCCCACACTTGTTTGATTCGGGGTCGGTGTGAGATATATTTTTTTTTTTTTGGGTTCGTGTGTGATCAGTTACAGGACTTTTTACAAGGTGGCTTTTGCTTGTGTGGCACTAAATGAAGATACCGACGATAAAATATTACAAAGAATGAAATGAAAAAAGTCGGTGTAATCAATAACTCTGTTCAGGTGGATTTATGAAGCGGCGATCCATAGTGCCGGCGCACAAAACGGAGAGGGGGTTGAGCTGGGGATCTTCTTGGTGTTGATGGACATCGTCTTTTCATTTAAAAAACCAATGTCTTTTGCTTTAAAGAATGCTGATGACGCGAACTACTATAATGGACTTGATGTCATCGATAGCCAAAAAGCTATTGATGACTCGTTCACCAGGGATCAAAAATAGGCATGGCAAGAAAATGTATACAAGGATATGCGGTAGTTTAAACAAGGGGAACTGAACGGGGGAGGGATTCACACGGCGCCACCCTCGCAAGTCGCTTCTCCTCTTATCATCTTTGTCGGCTTGATCCCCAATAGACGTAGCGCATGTGTATTGTGTGTGCGCGGGGGGTAAACTGTTGTGTACTTTTTGCGAGCCATCATCATCCAGCGAGAAAAAAAAAAAAAAAAAAAGACTTTAGAACTTTCCTACAAGCTTGGCCCATCCTATTTTCCCTAAAACGCTACCTACTGTCTAATCGCTTTCTTTCTCTTTTTTCTCTCCTCCCTTCTCTCTCTCTCTCCTATCTTCTCTCTATCCAATTGCCCATCATTCAGTCATCGAACTATCCAAATACATACTCTCACCCGCAGACTTTTGTGGGCATGAGTCAGCTGAACCAACCGACACAGATCGGACAGAACGTTTCGCCTCAAGGAGGACGAAGAATGACGATAGATGAACGAATACAGAAACACGAAGACCTTGGACTGGATGAAGATGACAGTGACGACGGAGACTCAAAACCCGAAAAGCGTACGGGACGTCGCAAGATCAAGATTGAGTTCATTGAAGACAAATCAAGGAGACACATTACATTCTCGAAACGAAAAGCTGGTATTATGAAGAAGGTGATGACATGAAGCCCCCTCGTGCAAGACTCGGTGCAATAGCACTTTTGTAACTAACGACTGGAGTTTTGCAGGCATATGAACTGTCCACTCTGACAGGAACTCAGGTGCTGCTTTTGGTAGTATCCGAAACAGGACTTGTCTATACGTTTACAACGCCAAAACTGCAGCCACTAGTAACTAAACCTGAAGGAAAGAACTTGATTCAGTCGTGCTTAAATGCTCCAGACGTCCCTTCCGCTTCTGCAGAACCCCCTTCACCAGTGAGTCCTTCATTTTGATAGTGTGTTTTCACGCGTGCTCCACTCTTTGATACTGACCGCTCCACTTCCCGTTTACAGCAACCAAGATCGTCTGCTTCTCAAGCCGCACCACCATCGGCATCTTATAGTGAAACGACCGCGCAAGTGGATAATTCAGGTGACGGTTTGTACAGAGATGACCGTAAGGTAAGATGTTGGAGAGAGCATCCTCTGGAGACAGGGGTGTGAAGAGTGGCATAGCTTAGCAATGGCGTGTGTTCCATGCCAAAGGTGGCAGATCCCATTTCCTACTGTTACTAAATTAAACTCTTTTCCCAGATACATAACCCGAATAATGCCGCTTATCAAATGAACATGTCGTATGGCCAATATCCTCCCATGCCGCCAAACTACATGACAACACCACAGTATACGCAGTATCAACAGTCTCAACCAAATGATAGTCAAATGTATCCACCAAGTCAGAGTCAGCAACAACAGTACAACATTGGCCCAAGCCAATATTGGAATTCACAAGGCGCCCCAGGCAAAGGCAGTGAAAAGAAATAGGGCTGAACACGCGTTTTTATTCTCATTATCCCCTCTCTGCCCCTGCCAGACTGTTACATATTTTTTCTGGCCGCAAGTATTTTAGCCCCACCTTATCTATATCACTCTCACACGTTTACCTTGACCTACTGTCGTTTTCTATCAAGAAGCAGCCTCCGGTCAGTCATACTCATTTTTGGTTATTTCGTATCTCTATGCTTCGTCAAGCCCAGCTGTATACATTTTTTGTCATCCATATTATGAGATACTGGATGGAAGACAAGTAACGTTTCCCTTTTGCCGCCTACCCCTACCTTCTATAGCAACACCACACTTATTTTTAATGGTTTTTTTTCTTCTTTATGATCTTCTTCTAATGTCTTCTCACAATTGTTCATGTCCTGTTTCTTTTGGTGGATAGAAGGTCGATCCAGGCCGCTCAGCATGGAGCATTATTTTCATTTGTATACCTTCTTCTTCTTTTTTTTTTCTTGTGAAAGATCCAAAATTATAAATGTGACGCTTTCTTTGATGTCTTAGTGGGCCAGCCATTGTTTTATCGAAAATGGCAGCATGCAGGGTCTCCGCTAGACATTTCCTTTATGGTGATGCCTTTCGAACTACGCAAACTGAAGTCTAATTGCCCATTTTAGGATTGAGTAACCTGGGTTTAACAGTTTTCATTGACACGGTGTATAATATTCTATATGTCGATGATAGTAATTTAAGTAATGATGCTATGTAGATGAGGCTACCTATTGAAGCTTCTTCTTGCCGACTCTAACGCCGCCTTCATCGGCAAACTCCACGCCTACTTCACTGACAATCACCTTGTCATCGCGAGGTTTGATCTCCTGCAGCTGGACGCCCGCCTTTTCTGCTCTCGTCTTTTGAACTTCTTTCAACTTCTTACCCAGTCCAGCGGCAAACAGGCCTTCAATGACAAAGACGGCTACATGAACGTAAAAGTAAACTGATTTCCATACACGAAGAGATCCATTCAGTTCTAGAACCAGAAAAGGTCCAGCAATCATGTTAATGGAGGACTGCGAGGCAATGTATCCATAAAGATCGTAGATGCGCTTTGTTGGAAGAGGATGTTTCAAGTCGGGTGTAAAGAAGAAGGGTCGCACTAGACGACGCAACTTCTTGGCTACATTCTGCACCAATGATCCTGATACGAACGTTACTAAAAGTTATAGGTTGAACCATGATTAGCTTTTTTCGTCTTTAGGTGTGCAGAAAAGAGTGGCATCACTTACAGTAGTATCCAGGATGGAACCCATGCCATAGAGCAGATGTGGCAAAGGTAGCGACCGTCGCACCAAATCCTGGTTTACCCTTAGAAACTCTCAAATACACTAAAACACGAAAAAAAAAAAGTCAATACGAAAAGAAAAAGGGTAAGATTGACAATACATCTGATCATCCTACCATAGTTTTTCAACCACACATTGGTACGCATATTCCAAGATTCCAACAACACCTTGATACTTTCACCCGTCTCATAGGTGAAAGGACGAATGTTACTGACTCTGTTCCACCGAGCCTTGCCATCCTTATCATATCCATTGAATCCAAGACCACAAAGTACACATGCGCCTTCTGCCAAAAGCCAAACGGCATAGTACTTTACACGGGAAGAGAAACCTGCGGCTTGAATGAACAAGAACCGCTTCCAGAACGGCATTTCCAAGTACCAAGGTTTTAAACATTCGAAATAAGAGAAATGAGGTGCAACTGTGGCCAAGATCAATATGAAAAACAACCCCTGAGCAAAAAGTTTCAAGGTAGCTTTGGTGGCCGAGGGGCGAACAATCTTTCCATTGGCATCTCGGAAGACTTCCATAGTCACAAATCGCTTATAATCCATATACTCGTTGGCCGGACCAGCAATAAAGCCACCAAAGAACAATACCCATCCATAGTACTCAATAAGGCTCGGGAACTCTCGGACCATCATTGTCTTGTTGTAGTCAGTCAATTTCTGAGAACATTTGAACAGATTTAGGGTGAATGTTTTCCAGGGGCTGTCGGAGGTAGATCTCGCTGAGCAAAAAAAAATAAAAAATACTGACCTCGGAAGGTTGGGTAGCGTCAAACACGTTGAACGCAAAAGAAGTCAGTTTTATGACCAATACCATTTGAGGACCCGTATGATCAAACTGATCGTCGCCAAGGTGACCTTGTCGTTGGCGCTGGATGTGACTATGTTTTGCAGAAAGGTTAGTATCTAAAACCATAATGCCCCCCAGTCAAGACCTCAGTTACGTAACACGTGCTATCGCCTAATGTACCCCAAATGATGGTGGTATGATGTCTCCTACCTTATAGACATATGAATCATGAGCAAAACAAAGTTAACCCATGGCATACGCTTATCCTTGTAATATTTCGTAACAACCAACGTGATGATAGAGCTGATGATGATATGTGCAAAACCTTCATATATTCGGTGAAACCAGAGCATCGTAACGCATGTCAAAACAATGGAATACAAGTGCTTGATATTTGGATTATTGGGCAGCCGGTTATACAAGTAGGCATACGGGTAAGTCATGAAGATGGAGAAGACAATCTTAAGATGGTCTGGTGGCATCTCCATCACCTTTCCAGCCTGGTCAAAGTATGGATCGAGAAACATGGCTTGTGAGCGACCTCAACCTCTTCAAAAATGGAAGGAGACTTTGGTAAAAGAGCTACAGAAGAAAAAGGGTTTGGAAGCATTGTTCAGTGGCTCTTGCCGGGCTTTGAATTTCCAAAATCTGAGCAGTGGTAGAAAAGACAGTCCCCAAAAAAAGCCCCAAAAATTTTTCTTCTGGCCCTCGTTATAAAAAAGCTTCGCTGTTGACATTGTTTAACCCATTTTTTAACCGTTCAGCAACTAATTTTTCCAAGGTAAGAGCTCATCTCGACAGTGACGCTAGGCAAGACACATTTCATGTAGTGAGAAGAAGTGGTGATGAGATGCATTTAGAGTCAAGCACTGACTTCGTGCCTCTTTAAAAATGGAAGAGAGACGACTGATGCGAACGCAACTATTCTGAGTCTCTTCGAATCTACCATGAACATGTCCTTGTCCTTGCGTCCAATGACTTGTTATTTGTGTTGAAAGATCAATCGTACTAATACGATTATTTCTTTTCCAGTAGGTGAACTTTTAGCTTTAGAGTGAAAACAATTAGGATGTATACACCCATCTTCATTTGTTTTAACTTTGTAGCATTAGCTATCATTTCATGTCAAATTTATGCAATAAAAATCGATTATATACGAAATCTTCTAGTTTTCTACCATCTGTCCAATGTTGTCTTTCTCTGCTCGCCTCACAATCATTTCAGCAATGGCAACGTCTTGAGCACTAACACCGACACTTTTGAATATAGTAACATCATCTTCCGTTTCTCTGACCTGCTTGATGAGCTCGGGGTGCTTGACCAAGGCGCCAACTTCCACCCAATCTGTGTCAGGGTTGCGCTGGCCTTCGTTGACAGCTCTAACGTGCTCTCCAGCTTCTATCTTACAAGCGTCTCGAGAGTCTACGACAATTTTGCGCGGAAGACCAACGGTTGTTTGATCGATTTCCTCCATGTCAAGCGTATACGAGCCGACACTGTTGATGTGAGTTCCCGGCTGGACCCAGTGGCCGTCGAAAATGGGTACATAGCTATTGGTGCATGTGCATATGATGTGTGCGTTTCGAACAGCTTCCTCCAGAGTTGTATCTTGGCCGACCAAACCGGTGAAGGTGATGCATGGATGCTTCTCACGCAACAAGATAAGAACGGGCTCCAGACGTTCCTTGGATCGATTCCACACATGAACGTGGCGGATGGATGGCCGTACAGCTACGAGTAAGTCAACATGTGCAATAGCTTGTGCTCCCGCTCCAAACACCACCAAATTAGATGCATTGGGGGATGCGAGAAGCTTAGTGGCCAGTGCAGAGCCTTCATGTTATATAGAAATGTCAGTAAGTCATTTCAATCATCTTCATAAAGCTCTTTCCCGACTTGCCTGCCGCTGTGCGGATAGCCGTCAACGCTGCGGCATTCACCACTGCACGAAGGTTGCCGGTTTCTTCGTCCAAGACCAAAATATTTGAAGGCAATCCTCCTTTGCCGTTCTTGGGAACACTCACCACCTTCATCGCGGTACCCATACCGTCTACACGCGATGGCATATAGAGCACAGTGTGGTTTGGAGTCTGAATGGTAACTCTATGTGGCGATTGCACCTTTTCCGGTGAAAAGCTGTAGGCAGAAAAGATCTCAGCCATAAGGTTGATGATCTCAAGCTCTGACGAAACATTGGGATTGCTTGATCGCTGCAAAAGGAGATCAACTTGATCTTTGGACAAAACTCTTAGTGATGGCATGGGTGAGAAAAATAGGACGGATAGTATAATTTGACGTGAATAGGGCCGGGGGGTATAAAATTATATTTGCATGATCCGAAGAAATGATAGACTATGGACAGCATGGGAGTGACTGAGTCCCTCGTTTGATCGCCATTCATTTACGCTTTTCATTAGTCACTTCAGTCACTTCCATTCAGTCCACGCAAATATACCTTTTGATGTTGATATTTCGTTCAATTTTCTTTCCACCTATCATCAAAAGCATTAAGAACTCGAAATGTTCTTTTTGCAATATTACTTACAAAGCGTCTTGCATTCGGTCTATGGTATTGTCTCATTGCTTCACTTGTTTAATAATCTTGTAGCATGATATATAGTTTGCTTTGTCAGTTCCATTTCAGACAACCTATACGTGTTTAATTTTTTTTTTTAATTATTCTGTAATTTGATCTGGAAGAACAGAAAGAACGTTGACGTCATGACCGTGCTTTTGACAATCCCGGAAAAGGAAATGTCCTGAGGATACCCGACACAATGAATCGTTGGGTGGTCATGATTTTATCTTAGCTAGCTTTCGGTAAAAAACCTTTTTTTTTTTTTCAAAAATATACCTATTTCTTTATTTCATTTTTGTTACAACATGAATTTCCTACAGCATCAAGATATAAAGATTTAACACAAGGGAATAGAAACAGTCAGTCGTGGCTCATGGGTTAACTACTATAAAGTAATTACGATCTTCTTTGCTGATACGCCCTTCAACAAAGTATCGAATCCGAGCTGAATACTCTCGAGACCATGACCAACGATTTCAGCCTCTGGGGCAGCAATGAACTTTCCAGATTCCAAACCCTTTTCGAGGAAGGTATGGAATACAGCTTTACCAACGCCATCGTTTTTCAGATTAGAGCCGAATACAAATTTGCTAGTTACACCTAATTCTTCTGGAATAGGGGTCGTTACAGATGGGGCCATAACGTCGGCAACGAATTTTGCTCCTTTAGTCTTGCTCAGGATAGTGGCACAAGGATGGAGAGAGTTCATTCCAATGGCCATAGCACCAGCGAGTTCCTTGTCCTTCAAAACGTCGATCATTTTCTGAACCACATTTTCATCATTGTAGTCGAAGGCTTGGCTGGCACCGAGACTCTTCACGTAATTGAAATTTTTAGGTGAAGCAGTTGTGAACACTTCGTAACCTGCAGCGACAGCCAATTGAATGGCATTGCTTCCAACGCTTGTGGAGCCTCCCCATATGACAAGAGCCTTTCCAGTGGATGGTTGAGCAGGCTCTGTTGGAAGTTGCAAGCCAAGATATTCCTCGACGAAAAGACCAGTGGCAGCAGTAGCCAAACACAATGGAAGTACAGATGCCTGCGCGTAACTTAAGGATTCCGGGATTTTGGTGGCCAAGTCAGCAAGGACAACCGTGTAGTTTTGGAAAGCTCCTTCCACAGGGGTGTTGCGTTCTGGTATGGTGCCCAAACCCGCGCCAGTGACTCTGTCACCAATCTTGAAGCGCGATGCTGTTTCACTACCAACTTCGACAACCTCACCAGCCAAATCAACACCAATAACCGTAGGGTACTTGATCCAGTCAAAGACTACATCACCTCTGGTTTGAATAAAAGCATCCACAGGGTTGATGGCTACGGCGTGGTTCTTGACAACGATCTCATTGGCACCTGGAGGAGTATAAGGGGCAGGCTTGACAGTCAAGGGTTTGGCCAATTTTTCTTCTAGCCATGCAGCGTTATTTGAAGGAGACATCTTTTCTTTAGTGTTGTGGATAATGGATGAAAACTCACCATATAGCTTATATATACCTGCATAGCACGGATAAATTCGACCGTCTTCATACCTGTACATGCAGTCCCGTGACTTCTCGGCGGCCGCCTAAAAGTTCGGAACCATTTGCGTCAGCCCTGGAACTTCAATGCCGTAAGCCGGGTTTTGGAAAGTGGACAAAGTTAGAAAGTGTACTCTCTACTATATCCTTGACGTGACAGGTATTGGCACTAATGACATCCAACCTACGCTCCTTTGAGAGCAATGCAATGTCCATCCAACTGTGAATTCCAAACACCTGTACCGCGCGTGATCTAGAGTCTGGTGATTCTCGGATGCTGACCAACCAATAAAATTACAGGACGTTTTTAAACTTTTATCTGAGAGGCGAGGGCGGTATCTTCAAGCCGGGTTCTTGCAATGGCATCTATAACTGATCTCGTTGTGTCCACTGTGTTCTATCTGACGGAGCTGACCCTCCCCATCCCTCTTCCCTACATCAGCTCCATTTCGCTTTTGTCTTTCTTGCACGCTGTTCAAGTCTCCCAAGCTTATAGAAATATCCTCAAGGAGAACCATGTCCGTATTGGTTGGTTCCAGGGTTTGTTCGCTATCATAATGATGGCTGCTGGTGGTGGTTCTACCGTCTGTCTCTTGAGAGGTGAACCAGTTGGTATCTTGCGCAACGATGCTTTTTGGGCGGTTTATGGGTAAGCCCAGGCGAGCGATTGATTCACGGGTGAAACAAAATTCAGGAACATGAAAAGCCGATCAGAACTAATACGTTGCTTTTGCGCTATTTTACTAGTGGAGTCTACTTCCTGACATTCTCCAACGAGTACTTTTTCTCCCTCCTTAACGCTATTCCTCAAGCCCTTCTGCAGCCCATTCTTATCGTTGCAGATGGTGTTTTGCGTGGTGTTGCGGTTGCTAAAATCGGTGTTGATGGTGTTAGACTGGGTGACATTGGACCCGGCAAGTATGTAGCCATGCTCTTGTGCGGTACCCTTTGCGGTGGAGGAGGTGGTATTTGGGCAGGTAAGCAAGCGAGATGTTGATTGTTAGGTGATCTAGGTTTCTAGATATTCAACTATTTATTCCGTTGTAGATGCATTCCGTCTTACTCAACACACATGGTCCTTCTCCACTCCTCGTGTCTTGCTCGCTCCTGGCGTTGATCTCAAGGCATCATTCGTTGTTGCTCTTTTCTACATGTTGAGTACATCTGAGGAGCTTTTCCCACAAGGCATGGAACATCACGTTCTCAAACCCATTGAAGCCCAGGCTTGGAGTGCTGTCCTCATGACCTGTGCTCTAATGTATCGTATGATCAACAACCAACTACAGAGCAGAAACACTGTGGAAGTTAGCGAGAAGACTGCTGAGAAGGAGAAGAATCAATGAGCATAGTGGTGGCGAATACATAGACATTTTTTTTGTAGTCATTTTTAATGCTTTATTTCTTCAGTGGGCATGATATGGCCATTCCATTTGGAAATGCCTGTCGCCGTCCACTTTGTTTTTTTGCGCATGTCATGATTTTTTTTTTTTTTTTTGGGAATAAACTTGCTAGCAAGTCGTGAACCGCGTTTGGCGGGACTGTAAGGTATTGCATGTTTTTAGGATACTCGGATTGCTTATGTTGCATTACGTGAGGAACTTTATGTAGCCGCGGAATAATTTGATTAGAATAAACCAAGGTAGCGGCACTATGGAGGAATTACACTCATGAATTTTCCGTCGTGAGAAGCAGATGTCGGTCATACAGCATGTATCCATTTGATTTATATTTTTCTACGTGACGGGGATGTCGATCCCAAGCACTGGGCAGCATACGCCCGCTAAATATTCACATTGAGATCGGCCTGTACCGAGGCGTGAAATCGCTAAGCATAGAATGTTGTCTGTTAAATTCACTAGGGATTATACACAAAAGGTATTTAATCCGAATTTGTGTGAACCGGCGCTTCCCTATACTTCTGCATATCCCCCGTATATCAATGAATATAGCATTTGGATCTACTCGTATTTAGCTACATGCACTTTGTACAACGCGGACAATTACGATGCATTCCTTTTCCGGGGTAAATCTACGGTGGAGTGAAATAATACATTCTCTCATAGGCAAGTCATCCTAGCTATAAGGCGAAAAGAAGGTTGTGTGTATATTACGACCTCGAAATGTTATGCAAGCAATATCCCGAAGGTGCAGGTACATGACAAAGGTTCGTTCATCACTAGCGGGTGAGCTAAACAGATAAATAGTCTGGGAATGTTTGGCCGGCTTCAGACATCACAACTCAATTTACCTTCATTCACAAGGTACCCTATCTCGTAATAGAATGAAGGTATGTCCCTATATGCTTCTGAGACAATGAGAACGCTCAATTGATTATGTCCACAGTACTCTACTTTAGCTCTCGGCCTCGTATCTTCCTTCGGCTTAGCATGGATCAACACAGTCCAAGCTAACATTTCATTGACCATTCGACAAGACATAGCTGGCAATGTCAGTTTTCCCACATTGTACGGATACATGTATGAGGACATCAATCATTCTGGCGATGGAGGTATGTGAAATTCTTATATAGACTCTACATCGTATTTTTTCTACGTAAGCAAACCCATTCATCCAATCTCTACACCAGGCATCTACGCTGAAATGATCAGGAATAGAGCTTTTCAAATGAATGACACCGGTGGCGCTCCTGATTTGGCACACTACTCATCTGTCAATGGTGGCGGTTCTTCATCCACTATCAAGCTCGACAGTGCGGTGCCTCTCAATGATGTGCTTACTCATACCTTACGGCTGGATATTACCCAGGTTAAACAAGGTGGTAGAGCAGGATTCTCCAACGAAGGCTGGGAAGGCATAAGGATCCAGCCTGGCGAAAAATACATGGCCTCATTCTTTGCAAAATCTAGTAAATACACTGGCCCATTGACAGTTTCCATTGAATCATCTTCTGGTACTGTGCTTGCAAAGGCGACCGTACCATCTATCGGCTCAAGCTTCAAGAAATATACTATCGAGCTAGCTCCATCTGTGAAAACTACCACGACTGATAATGTCTTTGTCATCAGTACCTCCTCCACCAATGCTTCAGGCTCCATCTGGTTTGATGTCATCTCACTTTTCCCTCCTACATTCAAAAACAGGGCAAACGGCTTACGCACCGATCTCGGACAGATTCTGGCAGACACCAAGCCTTCATTCTTCCGTTTCCCTGGAGGAAACAATATTGAGGGTGTTAACGCTCAATCAAGATGGAAGTGGAATGAAACCATAGGTCCTATTGAAACTCGCCCTGGTCGCCTTGGAGGTAAGAAACTGATATTTGCTTCAAAAAGATCATCTTCTATTTTCATGTTACTGAAAATAGTATCGAAGATTGGGGATACATGAACACAGATGGCCAAGGGCTTCTAGAATACTTGGAAATGTGCGAAGATCTTAACATGGAACCTGTTCTGGCTGTCTGGGCGGGTTATTCCTTAGATCAGAAGAGCATTGCAGAAGCTGACCTTGGTCCTTATGTGCAAGATACGCTCAATGAACTGGAGTATGTCATGGGCTCTACCAAAACAAAGTATGGCGCACTTCGTGCAAGCCATGGCCACGCAGAACCTTTTGACCTCAAATACGTTGAAGTCGGTAACGAGGACTTCTTCAGTACCACTTATGATTATCGGTACAAAGCCTGGTATACTGCTATCAAGAAAGCTTATCCTAAACTTCAAATCATCGCCACTGGTGGTGAAACTTCTTCGTGAGTATGAAAAAGAGGACAACGGCTTTTTCAAGCTCTGTTATGTGCTAATGAACATCCTATCTTTTCCATCTAATTATGAAGGCCCATGGAGACTTTAGATGACCATTACTATCTGAGTGGGCCAGATATGGTTGCTGATTACAACAAGTACGACAACCACCCAAGAAACGGCACCACCATCATGGTTGGTGAATATGCTACCAACATTAATGGATGCTGTGGCACATCACCAGCCAACGTGCAAGCTGCCGTAGCCGATGCTGTGTTTGCTTCTGGATTAGAGCGTAATTCCGACCTTGTTCAATTTGCCGCTTATGCCCCAACTTTCACTCGCGACGGCCAAGCTCAGTGGAACCCAGGTAATTTTTAGCCACTATAGACGAAAAAAATACAAGCTACTGTACCGATATGAATTAACATGCTACTCTTATAGATCTCATTGGATTCAATACTGAGCAGGTATGGGGAACTCCGTCTTATTACGTGCAGCAAATGTGGTCTGCCAATCGTGCCGATATGATTCTTCAAGTCGATGCTGCTAATGGCAACCTTGGTCCTTTGTACTGGGTGGCAGGTTCCAAAAATTCAACAAAGCAAGTGTTCCTGAAGGTGGCCAATTACGGCAGCTCGTCTCAAACCGCCTCCATCAACCTCAAAGGTAGTCGTGTACACAGCCAAGGTGTATCGATTGTGTTAAGCGGTGGCGTCAATGACACCAATAGCGCTGCCTCACCCAAAAATGTGGTGCCCAAAACATCCACTTTCAATATCGCTGGCGGAAATACCTTCAATTTCACTTTCCCTGCCTGGTCCGCCAGTGTTTTGTTGTTGCATAACATGTAGTTACTCTCGATGATTTCCTCACACTATTTAGCGAGATTAAATAAAAAAAAAGAAAAAAAAAAGTATACTCCAGTATATTTGCCTAAGCAATTGCTAACTGCTATACTGATTTTACCCAATAACCAAGGCATACCAATTAATAAACAATAGAGAGACGCTTAAAACTCTCAAGTACACACACTGCTCATGTTCAACAACGGAAAAAAAAAAAAGGAGAGCTATCATTTGCTTCACCTGGGCTTTGCTGTAGAAATTGGGTTCATTGATTTTATACAAGTACATCATGATAATGGTTTGGGCTCTACTTTGTTTCCTCCTTAGCCTTGTCCTCTTCCTTCTTGTCTTCCGACTTCTTCTCTCCTTCTTTCGTTTCTTCCTTTTGCTCTTCTCCGTTCGTAAGACTCTCGCTCTTGAGGTTTTCAATCTTGTTGTTTATGAGATTGTGAAGTGCAATGACAGCTCGGATCAAACTTGAGAGGTAGATGACGAGAAGTTGGTCATTGGTCTTTACGCTAAATGATCTGACCATTTCCTGAGTTTGAAGATTGGGCAGCAAATTAAATATGTCTTGCAAGTTGTAAATAATTTGATGGTTGACTGGAAGCTGGCCTGCAACGACTTTTTGAAGGTAGTCCCTTATATCTTCGAGCCGCGTTTGCAAACCCTTGACTGAATTCAATTGATCTGTGACTCGCGTTGACAGAGTACCGACGGCATTATCTTTGATGTCTCTAAGCAAATGTTCTACACCAATTTCTTCTGCTTCCTCCGCCTCAATTTCTGATGGGACATGCAAGAATGTCTTTTGTGTTGCTGTACCGTCGTCTTTGATTTCCTCAATGGCAAAGTAAGCATCGGTGGGAATACTGATGTCCTTGGGCTTGACATCGACAATGACAAGGACAGGGTTGGGTGTATAGCGTTTGAAGAGTTCATTAATCTCGAGGTCAGAGGCACGTAACTTTGGGCCACTGTGGTACCATCCGATCATTTTTTCCTTTGCTAATAGTGAAGAAAGTCGTTTAACACATACAATGAGCTTGTATTCAAATATCACAATTTCAATTTCACTCACCATTAACCTTCTTGAACATGTCGTTCATAGCTTCAACATAGTTGTGGTCCAAGTACCACACGCTAGGATCCTTGTCATCTTCTTCAAATGGGACTGTAACGAAGGAATCATACATGAGTGACGTTAAATTCTCCAAATACATAAACTTGGTTCGATCGCCATACCTGCAAAACTGTTGGCTACGTTGACTGATTTGCCCTTGCTTTGACCTAGAAGAACACCTACAACGCGCTTCTTGGAGTCTTTTGCTGCACGATTATAGTGATCGGTGACAGATAAAAGAACCAGAGGGTGTACAGTGACAGTCGTGGTGGGTGCAATGGACGTGGTAGCAGGCATCGTTTGCTAGCAAGTTGTGATAAAAGGTGGTGTTTCGAAAGAGACCCGTAGGTAGCAGGTACGTTACGTGGGCTGGTACGCTTTGCTTGAGAGTGATGTAACCACAAAATGCAATAGTTGAATTGATTGCTTGAAATACCTAAAAATTGCAATGACCGCTCTGCCCTTTTTTGTTCCCTTGCCCCCAGCTGTGGAACCACTCCTCGTCGTCTGTGGGTCTTGTACACATGTCTAACTACAATTACGATTATATCATCAAGGTATATACCACGCCATAAGGTCGACTGCATTGCGCAACTTTCATAGCTAACAGTACCTTGTATTTCTGCCGTTGTAGTATGTCATTATCGGAGATACTGGTAAGTTTCAAGCCAGATCTTGGTGTGATGGTTACCAAAGGTTTATATTAACGATGTGAATTGCCATGTGCACGTTTTGGGGAAAAAGGTGTAGGAAAGGTACTTCTATTTTACTTTTCGAGCTAGATGCACTGCGGCTACTGCCATGTGTTGTAATTCGATCGCACTCAGCCTCGAGAAATATCGCCTAGGTCGACGTTCTTGTCTTTCATATACTTACCGATGCATTCTAGTCATGTCTTTTGCTGCAGTTCACCGACAAGCGATTTCAACCTGCACACGACTTAACCATTGGGTATGTATTGTCAACTGAATGAGGGCGGCCTGTAGCGAGCCATATGCTTTTTTGTTTCATTTCATTAAGGTTTTGTTAACATGTGGATATCTTTTTATTAGTGTTGAATTTGGAACTCGTTTTGTCACTGTCGATGGAAAACAAATCAAATTACAGATTTGGGATACCGTAAGCTGTGTTTTGGTAATACCTCACTGCGTCGAGTAGGCAGGCGTACTAATCTTGTATCGATGGTTGTTCAGGCGGGCCAAGAGTCGTTTCGTAGTATAACAAGGAGTTACTATAGAGGTGCTGCTGGTGCTTTGTTGGGTACGTTGTTAATGACTTCATGGTCAATTTCTGTGTGACATCAACACATGCTAATGTCGATTCCAGTTTTTGATATCACTAGGTAATGCTTTACAACCGGAAGGCCCCTTACGGCTAGTAAACTTAAAGCCAAAGCTGCTTCACTCACATCTAACACCTCACTCCTTTTCTTAGACGAGAAACGTTCGATCATCTTGTAACGTGGCTGGAAGGTAAGGCGGTACATCCGTGGGGGAAAGTTAATGCACAGCCTCAAGACGCTGAATATTTGAGATTGACCTAGATGTTCGTAAACATGCCAATCCCAATACATCCATCATGGTTTTGGGCAACAAGAGCGACTTGGAAAGCAAGAGACAAGTTACACGTGAGGAAGCCGAGCGATTTGCTGGAGAGAATGATCTTTTTTACTTGGAAACTTCAGCAAAGGCTGCGAATAATGTGGAAGAGGCCTTTGTAAAGACCACTGAAGACATCTATAACAAGATCAAGACTGGAGTGTTCGACGTTTCAAATCAGGTGAGTTCTAAATCTATGCCCCCCTCTTCTGTGGCTCAAACTGAACCCGTTCCTCCATCGATTAGTCCAACGGTGTTAAGCTCGGCCCACTTCAGGGAGGCTCATCATTACCTGCAACCGGATCTGCTGGTGGCGGTGGTGGTTGTTGCTAAAGTTTGACCCTCTTCTTCATACTGCAAGCACAGCCGATGTACAACTAACAACAAGAATGAAACAGAATGATACTTAATTATTGACTTGTTTTTGTTGCTTATAATTTCTGTCTGTAGACATCGTTTTATTTCTATCCCATTGTAATTCCACAGTAATACTACGTTTCTCTTAACTCTGTCGTTCTATATCTTTACCATGTTGATATTGTTTCTTTTTTCTTTTATTTTTAATTTTTAGAAAAAAATACTATGCAACAGAAAAAAAAATCCAAAAAAAAAAGCAAATGAAATGAAAAAAAGCAAGTACGGCAACCACATCTTTCTGGGGATGTGGTAAGTTATTAACATGAAGATGTATTTGTTATCTCTTTCATGGCGATATCCAATACATCGGAATCAAACGCAGGCTTTCCATCGGAAAGTACTGTGCCGTTGACCATGATACACTGGATTCCCATTTCTTCTATAGATGGTACGTCTACGTGGATCTCACTGTTGCTGAGGTAAATGAGATGCGTCATGTATCGAGAAGGAGGGCTAGCGGAGAAAAGGTGATTTGGAAATGGAGGATAGCCTGGAGGAGTATTGGGTAGACTGACGGGAGGGTAATATTCCTGGGAAACTGGCAGCGAATCCGTAATACTGGTAGGCGATGGAGGTCGTTCCGTGTTAAGACACTCGTAAAACTTTCTTCTAGCATCAATTAGCTGGCTTTCATTTAGTGCGCTCGTGATGGCACGAATGAAGTCAATGGCGTTGTACCCTTCTGTCTCACGATCGTTACTGCCGTTGAGGATTAGAATTTTTTGGTTTAGACTGGACGACTGAGATATGGCGGCGCCGACTCCGCGCAAAATGAGGCACGGGATGATAGAAGTGTACAGAGAGCCAATAGAGTATACCAAGGTGGACTTGGATTTGATAGCGTCAAAGAATTTGGCATTGGCGATGGGGTATATTTCTTGACCGAATTCATTCATATAGTAAATACGTCGTATCCGAGAGTTCAGTTGCTGACAAGCCTGTTTGGAGAAAACAAGATTTCCATTATAGTAGTCCTCGATTGGTGGGTTATCAAAAAGGGCGGCTTCTGGTGAAAACAAGTCGATTGGATTGCCGATGCGTTTACGAGCGGAACAGCCGGTGGATGGAGGATGAGATATTTCGCATTGACCCTGTAAGGTATCACCATTTTCTAGAACTGCACTGATGGTAGCTGTTTGATTGGTGTTAATGACCGGTATGACCCTCATGCTCTCCTTAATGCCAGTGATGGCCGAGAATAGAAAAATAGCGGCTTCTAATGAACCAAAGAACAGTCTAGCCCCGGTGAGGAAGAAATTGCCAATACTTCCATTGCGAAAGTTGAATCGTTTGTTGGCTCTCTTGAGGAGTTCATAGTCAAACATGGTGAGAAAGCCTCGTATCGTCTCTCTTTTCTCCACGGTAATAGGAGTCCATAATCTGCAAGTTAAAAAAAACAAACGAGTTTGGCGGCATGTTATAAATATAGAATATAGGGCGAGCTTTAGGTATGCCAATTTGATTATATTTTTTTTTTTTTTACCTGTGATGCCCTTCAACAATAGTGGCCCATTCCTCCTTGATGATGTACTCGTCGCCTTCAGAAGGCAATCGATAGCTCAGGAGATCTCGAATAGCAGTGTGTTCGGCAGCGTCACCATGATGCACATCCATCAGTCTGATGAGGCGGGATCGTAGATCACCAATTGAAGGCCCGCCTAAAACCCTCAATAATTCGCTCTGCAAACGATTGATAAGTACCTCAGTCACGATACAGGGCAAAGCAAAATTGAGAAACATACGGTTGAGCCTCCATTGTCGCTGATACCAAGCACAAAAGATACATTTCGACCGAATACATCACAAATGTGATTGCAAGCGGATCCGCCTGAAATGACTAGAAACGTTGAACACGAAGAGTTCATGTGGAGTTGTAAAAAATAGGTTCAATTATAAGTTCATTTCCTTTGTTTGATGAACAAAGTAAAGGTGAGTCCGGTAATGAAAGAGGGAAAGAGTAAGAATGAAAAGAATGGCCGGCGTGATAGCACATGAAAAAATAGCCGTGCCCTCATAATTTTGTCCGTAGAGATAAGAATATGGATATCGTTATCGTGTCCAATCATAATGCACGTTTGATAATCAAGTTTTGGAAGTAGTCAAGTCAAAATTTCCATCCCCCCAACCCAGCCTTTGACGTAGGTTTAGCGGTTTCTCACCACTCGATGTCTTACTTTTGACGCTGTAAATCAACACAAACATGTTAGTTTGGCTATTAGCTATTTTACCTATCAAAGGACTTGTTTATCCATCAAGCTGGATCGATTACACTGCAGGCGGACTGTCAGCTAAGCCGACGCACCCCAAAAAGGTAGCTGGCCGCAAAGCAAGCCGCCAGAAATATTTCAAATTGATGTGCCCGAGCCCTATTTTGTGATGTGGATCAAAAAAAAAAAACTTCTTCAGCAGCAGGTACAAAACACCCCACATACTGTCTATTTACAGATGCTTGTTTCGATTCCAAAAAGACATGACTCCAAAAAAACGTCCCAGTATTCACCACCACATCCGGTTATCGTGACGAAGTTTTGCATTTTTGTATTTGTACAGGAATGAAATGATCAAAGCATGCAAATATGGTACAAGGGTAAGGTAGTAGAGGGGAAGGGAAGGGAAGAAATCAGGGCTAAAAACTGACCCTTTAAATACAGGCTGCTCCGTTGGAAAAAGAGTGAGGGGTTAGTCTACCGAGTCTATATTGGATTGTTCTAAAGAGTATTGCCAGGTTTGCTTTGCTTTCTTCTGCATCATATCTTCAACAAGTTCTAAATGTCGTTGTAAGCCGTGACCAGTAAGCGGAATGTCATTGTCGCGAGCGTACATGATCCAACGATGAGCATCGTCCCAACGTCGCTTTTTCACAGTCGTATCAATGAGATACCACATTGTGCGTTGGTCGGCTCGGACTCCCATATCTTCAAATACTTTGAACATGGATTCCGCAGATCTAATGTCTCCGTACATCTTGGCGAGGCCTCTGACCCAAATGTTCAAAGTCGATGTTGTGAATGGGACTTTTTGTCGCCTTCCTTGTCGCAAAAGTGTGTAGACTTCTCGAGGAATCGTATTATGGTTCTTCATCCGATAATGAATGAAATAGCCATTCATCATAGTATTGTACAAAATAGTCATAGACACAGTCTGCTTTTGGCTTGTATCGGAAGATTGGTGTTCGACAATGGTATTAAATAGAGATCGAGCTTGTGAGATGTCTGAAAAGTCGGTTGTAAGAAGCCCTTGAAGAAGGATACTATGGACCACCGTATTCGGTTGGATGCCAAGGTGAACCATGTCTTTGACCATGGAGTTTGCCGTGTTGATATCAGGAACGCCGTCAGGATTGCGCAAAACATAGCCGTTGATCACGGTGGCAAATGATATGACGTCCGGTTGGGGGTAGCTGTCTTGGCCATGAATCATCTTATCCAACATGTTGCGAGCTTCCTTAATATCGCCTGACATGGTGATTGCATGAAGGTGTAAGTTGCAAGTGCATATGGACAATGGTCGAGGAAGCTGGTGGGAATATTGTTGAATCAACTGCGTGGCGATGCCAATGCGATTATGTCGAAGTAGAAACGTAAGATAGCTGTTGTAAACCGCGTCGTCGTCGATGTTGTCTTTAAATGCTGGGTGTGTCACCATACGCTCGGCAATCGATGCAATAGACGTACTATCAGGATTGCTTGCCAACGCGTAGGCAAGAATACCAGACGTAAACCGGTTGATGGCCTTCGGCGTCGAGTTTTCCAACGCAATATCCAACCAGCGCTCTGCCTCGACCCAGTTTTGCTTTGATAGATGATATTTTAAAAAGCTGTTGCAAAGAGCGGGAGTAGTTGATGTAGCGTCTCGATTCAACTGTTGGTACAATGCATTGGCAGTGGTAGGGTCGTCCTGAACGAAAAGTTCATGTTGAATCAAAATATTGTAGGTGACGTTGGTAGGGGAGATATTGTGTTGCTGCATGCTATCTAAAACCGCTCGAGCTCCATTCGCGTTGACTGTTTTTAAGTATTGAGACAGAACAACATTACACAAACGTTGCCGTTGCTTCAATACATGGACAGTATCGTGAATATCCTGAACCATTTGATTGAGGTCGAATCCATCTTGCCATACTAAACGACGGACCAGGTGCGATTGAACCATTTCTTCCAGTTCAACGTGGGTATACTTGCTAGACAAAAACACATCCCTTGCCGTCTGAAAGTCCAGCTTGTTGATATAATGCTGCGTAGCTTTCCAAATGGGTGATCGTTTACCATGGATGCTATCAGGATGAACAGATTGTAAAACAGATATTATATCGGTGACAGGAAGTTTGGAGGCATGGTCATAGATGGTTTTGGATATTTTGAACGGTGCTGTAATGTGCTTGGCAGCATTGTCCAGCAGTGCTTGGATAGCCTCTTGATAGTGACCCTGGTCAATGAGCTGTCGCAAATGTTGGCCGAGTAAAACTTGGTCTTGTTGGCTATTCGAAGCTACAGCATTGTTTTCGGTAGTGTGTAAATTATTGACTGACTTTCGGTCCAATAGTAATTGGTCTTGAAAAAGAGTGTTTAAATCGGTGGTAGCAGAAGATTCTTGCTGAATGGATGTTCGAGCATTCGCTGACGACTTTTCATTCAGTTTGACTGATGATGTTGAAGTAGAATCTCGATCAACAGTAGCAATATTGGTTATACTCCGGTGTAATGGAAGTGTGCGGCGTGGCCAATCAGCTGGGTGAAGCAGCCATTTAGGTGCATGTGGATGGTACAAGGGCTTATTATTAGGGCATCGCAAAGCCAACAGTGCTATGGAAGACCCATTTCTGAATCTCCTTGGTATCATGTGTTGCAGTATATTTGCATGCTACGCAAATGAAGGCTGCTAAGAAGAGGGCTAGAAAACGTGCTCTGCCGGTAAGGTGTGAAATCCGTAATGTAAAAGCAAAGGTGATTTAGCTTTTGTCGAAAATGTCGCTGACAGTCCTCTCACGTACAAAGAAAAAAGGTGCCCTGGTAAGCTGGACCAGCTGAGTGGCTTGTTTTTGGGGGGAATGTGACAATGAAAATTAAAGTCCTCTTGTTTTTTTATTTTTTGCTTCCAACAATCTTGAGCGTACCGTTAGGCAGCCATTCACCAATATCACCAGTCATGAACCATTTATCACCATCAAGTACTTCGCTGGTAGTGTTGGAGTCACCCCAGTATCCACTAAATACATTATTGCCACGTACGCAGATTTCACCTCGAGGATTGGGTGTGTCTGTAGCCAGATAGCCTTCGGGTAAATCGATCAATTTGACTTCATTACAAGGTGTCGGTGAACCTCGGCTGGCAGGATTGGCTGCATAGTCAAAGAACATAGACGCAGTAATGGTTCCCGATGCTTCAGTTCGGCTGTAGGTTGGAACGGCTTGAGCGCCGAGTACGACGCGAACAAAAGTTGGTAGATCTCCTAAGTCGCCATCTTTAAATTGGGAATATGACTGTCAGCACCAGTTTTGGATGCACTTGAATTGAAATTGGCGTCACTTACTGTTGTCAAATAGAACCAATCGAAGAGATCCGCCGAATGTCTTTTGTCTAATATCGCGGAAAACAAGCATATCATATCTGTTATCAACCACCAGACGTCCTTCGTTGAGAAGAGTACGTTTCTTTGCTTCATAGCCTCTCTTGTACAAGAAGCTGTTGCCATAATGGCTCTCGATGCGATCTTTGATCTGGGTAAAAGCCAGTGATCCGCTGCCAGAAAGTTAGGCATCGTTCATGAGTAATGTTAACAATCTCTTTCCACTCACCTGGCGATTATGGTTGGCATGGCTTGCTGTGCACATGTTTGGAGTCTGGTTATATCAACGACCTCTTCGTCCTCAGCAATTTCACATCCATATGCAATGGAACCTCCAACATAGCTGAGCATGCCAGTGAGTACCCGACTCAAGACATTTCCTATTAAATAAAGGAGGGAGACAAGAAAGGAAAACATTGGCGGTTAGTCAGACGCTCATAGATGTGTCTAGCTGCTGGGAACCTACCAAGAGGGTAGCTGTATATCAGGCGATCGGCTGCCGTCACTTTTTGATTAGGAGGCATAATTGCGATGTAAGAAGCTGAAGCAAAAAATAAGGTTGAGTCATTTGATATTGGCGATCTTGGGTAGCAGGTCACCGACTATTCCACAGCTTACCGATATTGGCGAGAATATTCTAATATATAAAGGGTTAATAAATGCGCATGCGCCTTCCAATACAGAATTTAGATATACGATTCTCACCTTATGCTTCAATACAACACCAGCTTTCTATAGTGTTGATTTTTTTGAGAAATCAAAAACCACATTAGTTGACCCTTATACAACTATATACCTCGTCCATTTTTACTGACCTTTCCAGATGCTTTGGTGAAGTATATGCTACAAATGTCCTCGGGTTCTGTGTAGGAATGTAAATTAGCCAAACACTAATCGGAATCCACGCAAGCTTACAAAGAACTGAACAATAGAATCCCCCCCCCCGCCTTCTGCCGTACCTGGAACAACGGGACTGGTAGGATGAGCAGCACCGATGGCTTCAACATTCTTAAATTCCTCCAACTTGATATTCTTTTCGTTGGCAGAAGCCAACTCAGCATGGCTTGGAGTTCCATCAACAATGACATATTTAACCGAGGTGCCTTCAGCGACTGAAAGTAAAATAGGCAGAGTTTCCTTATCGACAACGACAGTCGTCAAAGAGGTTGTACTCAAAATATGAGATATGAAAGTGGTGCGTGCGCTAGCAGCGATAGGGATGGTGACATAAGAATGAGAATTGGCAGCTGTATGGCGTAGAAGTAATGGATATAATTATGAGTCAAAGTCATACACGTGGAAACAATTTGGTGCAGTTTACAAACCTTGCTCGGCAATAAAGGTTTCTGATTTTCGCGAAAAAGACGTTAGCGGTGGTAATAAAATCACAAAACCACCAGGGAGTGTCACATACCAGACGATGACTTTGCGAAAACACCCACGAAAGAAGATGCATCGTTTGTCTTTGGTGTCAAGCTAGCAAAAGTGGCCAAACCGCATCGAAAGTTGTCAACTCTTCTCTTGACTTCATCTACAAACATACTAACCATCAGCCACCAGTTTAAACGCAATTGAAATTACCCTTTAAAGCTAACATACCATACGTTTGCTAATACGAGAAAGAAAAAAAAAATAGGGGATTTCAGTTGCCTAGAACAAATAACTCAGGTCGGCAAACGGACACCTACCCAGACAACAGCGGAACCATTAAAATTGCCAAGAAATTTAGCATTGAGATTAGATTTGGCGCCACCTAGTTCAAAGAGATCGTGCAATGTGCGAATATTGCGATCCATAGTTAACATCAAAGGCGAACCATTAGGATGCATTCGAGATCTGTAAATGGCGGTCTCTCCCACATGTCGCAGGCGAGAGGGGTCGGCTTGAGCGTTGAGCAAAAGTGGATGGACATCAGGACCTTTGGCGTTACGAATGGACAAGAGCGCAACAGTACTGATAGATCCTAACAGAAGGAAGCTCAGGGTGTCAAGGTCAAGGCTCATTTTTGAAGAATAGAGGAATGGCACTATTGCCCGCCCAGCTATCGCTCTTTACAAGGTCGGCGGACTGTCACGCGCAAAAGGCACGCTGCCCTGGCAGTGTTTCCCCCCCCCCCCCAAAAAAAAATACAAAAAAAATTGGAGGCTACAAAATTGGTGTAGCCACTGGATGGCTACCTTTGCTAGCAGGTGGAAGGAATCCGGCCGAACTGCATGATAGTCATAGACCTGAGTTACCGCCACGTTCTCCTGACCGTCACGACGCGTTATGCGGCCGACGGGGGGCGGGGGATCGACAGGCCAATAAGGAAGATAAATGTATCGGCTACCTTCATGCGAAGGTTGTCCATATTTTTTTTTTTGTTGTTGTTTTTCGTCGGGTATTTCGGCATGGCAAATGCAGACTGAGGCGGTGTTGCCGTTGCCAGAATGAGACATAGCACTCCATATTGATCTTTGATGTTAGCGTCATATCACTTTGTAGCGAGGCATATCAACAATTGAGTGGATACAGACTAACGAGAGCTGCAAAGAAGTCCGGTCATGAATAAGGGACAAAAATTCAGTAGCGGCTTGTCTTCACGATTTTTACTGCTGCGCCTCAGGGGTGTCTGCACTTCAAGGTGTTTGCGTTACGAAACGAACAAAGTCTATTTGGTCGACAAGGAGGCGGTTTTGGGCTGGCTGGGCCCGTTCGCTTTAACTCTCGCTCGGCCTGTCTCAGCGATCTTTTACTTTTTTTTTTTTTTTCTTTTTATAATCCTGTATCCAACTATCGCACCCCTCTTTTCTTTCTCTACTTGTTTGTGTCTTATACCCCAGCCTGTTGCTGAAAGTACTTTGTGAGCGGCTGGCCCCACTTCGATCAAACGTGAACATTCGTCACCAACAACAAACGTCGCAGCCAAATTATGCGACAAACAGCATCCCTTGATAATTTAGGACTCTCGCGAATCAACGTTATTGAAACTATCTTCATTACTCCCAAGCGGAGGTTCAGTCGGCGCTCGAGAAATTCCACTCCACCAAGCGAAACTTCAAGCCGACGGTTCACCATCTCGTTCAACCCCTTTTTAAGTCACAGCAGTCATCACGCTGAGCGTGATCAAGAGAAAATTGACGCTAAGAAACGTCGCACCATGGAACCGGAGGCATCCGATAGCCTATACAGTGATCTCCAAATGACGCAAGTTATATCCGTCATGCAAAAGACGAAACAGGCTGTATTTCATAAATTTTTTTCCACAACACCAAGTGAAGCACGACGTCAGAAACGAGCCATCGCGCAATGGAAGAACCTTACCAAGGAACTCATGTTCTGTGATATAATGAATACTGAATCCAGTGATACCCTAACAGAAGAAACGTATCGTCTTCCCGCCAAAAGCTCTCTGATACGCCAGTTCATACTCAATGAGTTGATCTCAACCGAAGAATCCTACTTGAGCCACCTCCACCGTGTAACAACGGCTTTGCTGACTTTACCTTGCGCCATCCAGCCCATTTTTGGCGATTTTCCGAGGCTTGTCCTGCTGTCCAGATCTCTCATCCAGGGCTTTAAAAATACTTCCAGTGTCGCCGATGTGTTCCGTCAACACGAAGATGACTTTGAGATATACATATTGTATGCTTGTAACTTTGAAAAAAATCGCAAGCGTATCACCCGGACTGAGGTTCAATGTCCCTCGTTTAGCGATATGATACAGCAATTGGCTTCAACGTCCGATCGCCTCGGTCTGGCCGACTACATGATCATCCCAATTCAGCGGATCGCTCGCTATTGCCTCTTGCTGAAAGGTGAGTTAACCGAAGTCGCCTGTACTGTTTATCCCCTTCCTAGATTTTAACTCCCGGCCTTTTTTCCCGGTTAGAACTCAAGAAATATACACATCCTTTGGATACAGAGTATTCTAAAATTGAAGTCATGTTAAAAAGCCTGACCGGCTTAGCTCTCGCTATGAACGATGTACAAAAGAAGCTACGCCGATGACAGAGTAGTTCTTCATAATATAGCTTTTGCACCATATACCATATCTGTACTCATCCTTTTTTTTTTCCCGCATATTTGCTTTGCTTTGCTTTGATCACTCACACTTTCACTTCTTCAAACCTGATCGTGCACGCTGCTAACCCACACACACACACAAATAAGACAATATAATAAATAGATTGGAAATACACTATTTCTTGGCTGATTTTTCCTTATACATAATATTGAGTGAGTGTTTTTTTTTGGGGGGAATGTTGGGTGGCACCATTGTTTGCATTCTCCAATGGAGAGAGCATGTCAAGGGGAGCTGGCTGATTTACATAACAGAGTGTGGATGAGGGTGTATTTATAAGAGTGTATGAAGCAAAAAGAACGAAAGGATATTGTTTTTTTGGTTTTCTGTAAAGGTGGGGTGGGGACAGTGAACGAACGAACGAATAAAATGAAAAAATAACAAGGTAATTACAAAATTACGACTGGGGAAGGTGGTTTTTTTTTGTGTGCGTGGATCTTCGATGGAGAGAAACACCCAGAGGTACCCTAGTAGAACATTTGTTGAAGTAAAATGTCATTGGCATAACCGTCACTTAAGCTTGTATCCATTGTTCCATCTATAAAAGTGTCTATGTCGTTGGCAATGTCTTTTGCCATGGGGTTGGTCAAGAAGCTTTGTTCTAACAGGGCTTCATCCATATAGCTCATGCCGAATGCTGACATTCCATTGAGCGCGTCTTCCGTCATGTCGAAGGCCAAGGTGGACGGACTGTTGCCAGTGGTGCTGCTAGAAGATTCTTCGAGCGATAAGAAATCTATAGGGTCTTCTTCCAATTTGACCATCATGGGGTCATCCACCGAAGCTGAGCTGGGGGCATCGAACGAGAAGAGATCCGATGCATCAAAGCAGTCTCCGAAATCCAGGGTATCCGTAGAGCTACTGGAGGAAGACATTTGATCTACGGGATGGATCGTTCCACTCTCTGATAATTGAGCATAGTGCTTGTTCTGAGCAGCCAAAGCGGCTACCGTCAGCGGAGTAGGCGAGGGCAGTTGTGATACTCTAGCCACCGGGGCAACGCGTGAAGAAGCCTTTCTAGGGCACAAATGACCGCAGAACTTGGTACGATATATATCTAAAGCTCTTTGGAGGAGGTTCTTCTTGCCAGCTAACTGTCTTGAATTGAGCCACGCCAATTTCCAACCCAGTTCGTTACACTCATTTTCTTGTTGCCATTTTGCGTGGCTACCAGGCAGGGTTGAATTATGGCCGATCAATGCCCTTGGGTACACGGAATTCTGTGTCTTGAAGCTGTCTTCAATCTCTGTCATATCTACAGATTCGATATTGATACGGATTCTACATCGCGAACTCGTGGCTGGATCATCAATGGTAAATGTCTTGGGATGCCTTTCAGTGATGGTCGAGTTGGCGGTGGTGGTAGCGGCTGCTGTTTGTATACGTGGTATTTTTTCTGGGCTGCCCATGTCGGGTGATGTTGTAGGCTCATAAGGTAGCACTGCCTTATCGTCGTCATCTTCGTCCCTGCTCTTGCGCTTTCGCAGTGTCCCGTTATTGAGTTTAGCCTGTCGTGCGACCCGGCGTGATCGCATACTTGGGCATCGATTTCGGTAAGAGTCAACTGCACGTTGAATTAAGCCACGTTTGCCAGCAATTTCTTCAACGTTCAACCAAGCCAACTTCCATCCTAATTGGTTGCATTCGTTCTCATAAGCCCATCGATTACCATGGTATTCTTCGCGCGCTATATTTGCTCTTGGATACACCTGGATAGATTGATAAAAAAAAAAAGTTGAGTTATAAATTTATCACGAAAAAATTTTGGGCTCCACGATGAGATGATTATCCATATCTAGGTTGTTGAAATTGGGCGTTCTGAAATTTGTTTTTGGGAGGAGGTGTGGTATTTTCCCTTTTTCTGTTGTCAGTAGAACGTAACTAGGCGGTAACCTTCGCTGGGGGAGTGAGCGTTGAATATAATAAAAAAAAAAATTGCAAATCATCGTGGTGTCTCAGATTCTTGCGCGGTAGTGGCCCGTGGCTTGTTTCTTCTCTTGATTTCGATTTCACAGTGCAATTGCGGTTTTTATGGGCGTGCAAAGAGAAAACCCCGCCGGCTCTTTCGGCAAAACGAATAGAAATTATCGACTACTTACACAATTGGCACTTTTAAAGTCTTCATCCATATCAACAATATTTACAGAGTCCAAGTCGGTTCGACAGGTGTATCGCTTTAAAGTGCGGTTGTTAGAGTAAACAAAGCTAACCCACTCAACCCCATTCCTGATTTCCACAGTGGGTTCCAGTGAAGCAGCTGAGTTATTGGGTTGATCGAAATCGTCGTTGCCAGATTTAGGCGTGGGTTTCTTGAAACATTTTTTGGCGACGGTATTCGTGAGGCATGTTTTAGGCGGCACTTCAGAAGATGAAGTAGTCGTGTTCGTGTTGCTATGGTTGGGGTTGGCCCCGCGGTGTTGCATAGTAGATAGCGCTACGATAGGTGAAATAGGCCCCTTGACGGCAGCAGTGGCAACCACAGCTGCCAACACGTTGGCTACGCTGTTGGCTGTGCTGATCAATTTATCGGAAGGGCAATTTGGAACGAGGGCGATTTCAGAAGATTCATATTGTACTTGGGGTTTGGTAACATTGATTTGCGGGTCGATGGATGGGCTAGGCAAGCATAATTTGGCCATATCATCAGGAGCTATCACGTTCGTAGTGGATGGCATGGAGGGCGAATGCTCAACGCTACGCGGAGGCGTCAATAACCAAGATGGAGTAGCACCATGATGATCATCGTCAAAGCTAGACATGGATTCTACGTCCGTTTCTTGCTGCTTAACCGATGGATCGAGTGTCAAACTACACGTCTGCACTGAAGAAGACTCTATGACCGTGATACTTGTAGTCATGAGTCGTAACTGGTACTTTGTTGAATAAAATTGGGAAGCGCCAGCGCTTTCTGCACTTTGTTGAAGGGGAGAAGAGAAGAGAGATATTCGGAAAGAGGGAGAATTTTATGACTCGGAAAAGGGACCCTCACTGCTTTAGAAATTTTGGAGGACTGTGATTGAGATCTGTCAGATGGATGCAGGCGGACCCAAAATAAGATAAACGATGTTGTTTTATGCTTGCCTGGAGTTATTTTGGAGTGAAGTAGAAAGCAAAAAAAATAAAAAATAACAAAGTGAAGAAGAGCTGGAAGAGGAGTATATCGGTTGAAGAGATAGCTGTCTTACTGCGGGGAATATCTGACAATGTAATATTTTTTGGTCGGGTTCTTGTTTCTCTTTTTCCACTCACTTTACACTAGCATGAAAGAGCCTGCGACGGAAGACGAAAAAAAATGGGTATCACTAGATGTCGGGGCTATGGATAAACCCACATTGAATGGGATAGAGGAATGGCGGTCCGACTAATTTGCACGAGCGCAACGTAAAAAAAATTATGTAGCCTTATTACACACTGCCTGTGAAGATTATCACTTCTTTATGATGACACTTCTTCAAAACCCTCCCCCCTTTGTTTAGATGGACGAAAATATCTACAGGAATGAAAAATAAAATTTCGGAAAAATCGAGTCATTTTTAATTTTGGCCACCCGGTCCGTATTGCACAATCATGATGGAGCCTTATGAAGCCATTTTTGAAATACTGATGGATAGTTGAATTTTTTTTTTTGTGGGGACAGCCCAACACCTCGACGCCTATGGAAAGGTTTTCGTGAAGGAAGCGTCTTACGGAGCGGAGTGTAGAAGCGTTCCTACCAGCGGCTAATGATTCTGATGCGCTGAATTGGATTCCTTCCCCTTGAATGGCTGGTGAATGGTGGATTTTCTTTTCTTTATTTTTTTTTAATCTTGACCTGCCCTAGCTTATTCAATATCCCTTGTAGTTGCTCCTCGAAAGGGAATTAAAAACTGCTTACATCTTTCATTCTATGGCTCCCCAAAAAGAATTATCTCCATTCCAAACTGAGATCCAAAATCCTCCCGTATCTCCATTTCACCCTGACATGTGTCCGTTGCTTTGCAATTTGCCTTTACGTGAGGATTAATGCTTGAAGTCAGTCAACCAATAGCCATCATGCCTTGCCATGTTGCTTCGTTCAGATTGGTTAGCTGGGTTCAGTTTCCCACGGGATGCTCTTTGCAAGCTGAACTTTCGTCTGGGAAAAACTAAATAGCCTTAATAGCCTTTAGACCCACCTCGTCTTTTTGAGGCATACCAAGTCGTGCATCGAACATTGTGCGCTTTCTTACCTCATTTTTGTAGGAAATGACCGCTGTGGAACTAAAAAGGTCACAGCGCCCCTGCGAAGATCGAGCGCTGATTGTACTTTGGTCGCACTGCTCTCTTTCCCATCTAAATCGCGCTTTCGATATTGAGTTCACCATGAATAAAAAATAAAAAGTCCATTAAAAAAAAAATTTCACGATGAAGGCAGCGCACCGACACCCAAAAATTGCCCAGCCGAAAGTATTACACCAATAAGAACATAATAAAAAAAAAAAGTCATAATACTGCCAATACAAAAAAAAAAAAAAAGTTCAAGCCTAAAATACAGTGTACACAGTGTACTGAGAATACTCACTGCCTTGATGAGATCGAATGGTCGATCTAATTGCTTCAAATTTCAACCTGTTCCAAGAACTATTACACCTCACCATGCTCAATTAATAGCATCGGATTTGAAGGATCGCAACGTGGCAGATGTGCGATGGTGGCTGATGGTAGGTGTTCGAAGCCCACACAGTCCTCATATTACGGCTTGATCCAAATTGGTCCATTCTGTCTTACACTCTGCCCCAAATGGTTTTAGCATCCAGCTAGTTTGAATCGCTTTAGCGTTAAAGAACTTCAAGCTATATCCAAATTCCTCTCCACGTACCAGATCACAGCTAATGCACCATGCATTAGCAAGATAAAACCAAGATTAATTCAACAGCTTACACACGTTCTGTTTCCTGGTTACATTGCTAACGAAGCACAAGAAAAATGGGTTCAGCGCTTGGATAGGAAGTACGTCGTCGCTCCCCGCTCCTTTATTTGGAACATTTTATGCAAAAGATCGTGTCATACTAAACAATTGTCCTATCCCCTACCTGACCCCTGTAGTGGCCAATTGAAGAAGATTTTTCCTCGAAATGCCTCAGTGGAGAAATCAGAACAAGGAATACAATTTGCCTATGAACAATTGCCCAGGTGCGATTTTATACAGGATCGAGAAGAAGTCTTGCAGGTCAAGTTGGACGCTGGCTTGACTGCTACATTTACTCCAGCTGATTTGCGGTCTGTGCTCATCAAAGGCAAGCTACGACCGCAAGTACAAATCTATGCATACATTTGGAGATATGATTGTCGATCCGTGGATCCCGATAATTTAGAATCTATCCGCATGGGAGACAAAGCATGTAATCTGAGTGATGCGTCGCAGGTAGGATCCATAGAGAGTGTCAGGGACAAAGGGCATGCCCCAGCGTATTAACTTGTTACATGTGTAGACCGTGTTCAAGAAAGGTGGTCATCATATGAATATCACAGATTGTCTACCTTGGGGGATAATCAGAGGAAAGGCACCTGACGATGGGTCCCAGTGCACAATCTCACTACATCTAAAGCATGATGCTGAACAGCCAGTGTACATATCACTGTGTTCGGTGTACCGAAAAACCGCTTCACAGGTAAGGAAAAACAGCGTATCCTTTTTCTCTTCTTTGCTATCAAAGTCACCCAATGACTGACTTCGTTTCCCCCCATTTCATCTGTTTGCTTGCGGGACGATCATGTTTAGTTGGCTGCAGGTCTCATCATGCAAGATATTTGCCATTGCATTAACCAGTCATATGCCAAACACAAACAAGACACTTTGTATAAACTGCCGAATTTGTACCCTATTTTGGGTTTGGGCGACTCCGTCACTGCTAACGAGCTTGACGATGCAAGGCAAAAATACAATACCACTATAGGCGTCCTAGGCCACGATTGCTTGGACCACTCAGCTACCGACGACGACTCTGACAATGCAGATGTTTGTATAGTGGGCGATGAAGTCGTTTCATTGCGAGACCCGGTCACATTAGTCCGTATTGATATTCCAGGAAAAGGCCTTCATTGTATGCACTCCGGTTGCTTCGACATAGAAACGTTTTTACGGTTTCACGAACATGCAACAGAATGGAAATGCCCTCATTGTTTTGATAAAATCACGGGTGTCCAGGTAAGAAAATGCAAATGCCAAGGGTATTATTGTCCAGTGGCCAATTCATCAACAATCCATGTAATGGTGGTACTCATTATTATTCATACAGGACATATGCATTTCTGGGACATTCTTACAATACCTCAACCAATTCCCGGAGGAAGACAGAATCGTCAAACGATCTGATGGTACAGTTCACAAGTCCATGGTGTCTATACAGACGCGAAAAAGGACGATAGAAACAAGTCATGTCGAAGAATACAATCCCAACAAATTCAGAGTAATAGAGTGTGGCGATGGCGATGGTGACAACTCGACTACTCCCGAGCCAGTTGAAATCGCCACAGCAACAAAGCTATCAACGACATGGCGGGTATCGTCAGATACTGTGGACATACTGGACCTAGATTAGACTATTATAAAACCCTTCATATACCATTCAAAAAGCACATATTTCCTTCCATGTATTCACCTTTCTCAATGTGACATATTAAAACTCATTCTACTCAGTTTCTCTATTTGCAGTATCACTCTGACCATGCCTAAACACTATGGATTATGTAAAGTGTTATTTCTTACTATGTATTTGCACCTTGCTGTGCCAAAATCAGTTTTAGTCGTTTATGAAGAGGAAACAGAGTGATAATGATATGATGCCCATCCTTTCAAAAGAGTGACTGTCCACCAAGGTACATTTGTGTGGGGACTGCTTTTCCTCAGTGGCTAAGCTCAATCCTTCTCGAGCCCTTTTTTTTTTTTTTTTGACGATCCAATTGCAATTCCCTAACCTAGTGATCTACCAGTTTAATCGAGTATGGGTCGCCGCGCAAAGAATAAGCAAGGACCTCCAGCTCCTCTTCCTGGAACAATAGAAAAGAAGGGACCTTCTCGAAGACAACTTTCTAAGACCAGAAAATTGCAGCGAGCTCAGGATTCGAAGAAGAGAGCTCCCGAGAGCGATGAAGAATCACAACCCCAGCCCAAGAAGGTCAGAGCCGCCGCTAAGGCTCAACCCAAGCAGAATGGAAAGAAGACTTCATCTGATAAGGTCGAAGATTCTTGGGACAACCTGCCTATTGCCTCAGACGACGAGGATGACGAACTTGATGATGATGAATTCCCCATGGGCTCTGATATGGATAGCGACGACGACCAGCAAATTGACGATGATGATGAGGAGATCGATGAAGAGGATGATGCTCCGGACAATGATGGTGTTTTCCCACAAGTCGACAACGATTTCTTGGCAGGATCTGATTCAGAAGCAGAGGAGGAACAATCTATCGACGAAGACGAAGATGATGAAGACGAAGGAAGCGATGAGGATGACATTGCCGAGGTTAGTATTGTCAAGCTGGGACACTTTGTTAGAAGAATTTTGATCACCTATCACAATCACATGACACTAACATTCGTATGGGATTTCAATAGTTTGCTGGTCTTGATGAGCGTAAATCTCGCAAATTGGAAGCTCGTAAGGCTCGTGAGGCCGCCGATGCTGAGGCTGAACTGTTAGAATCAGCTATGCAAACCAACATTGGTGAAGATGGCGGTGACTTGGATATGCTTGAAGATGAGGAAGACCAAGCAGATATCAGCCAAATCAACCATCGCATCAAGGAGGTTGTCAACATCCTTGGTAACTTTAAGGAACTTCGCGACCCCGCCAAAAGCCGTCAAGATTACTTGGATCGTTTGTTGAAGGACATTGCTACATACTATGGATATTCTGACTTTTTGGCGGAAAAATTGTTCAATTTGTTTGCCCCTGCTGAAGCCATCGAATTCTTCGAAGCTAACGAAGTCCCTAGACCCGTCACTATCCGAACCAACACACTTCGTACTCGACGTAGAGATCTTGCTCAAGCTTTGATCAACCGTGGTGTTAATTTGGAACCCATTGGCAAGTGGACGAAAGTTGGTTTGCAGGTATTCGAATCTCAAGTCCCAATTGGTGAGTACGAGGAATCGATAATATGGTTTTACAATCTTCCTTAAAATTGAATTTAACGTATGCATCCCGATATAGGTGCCACCCCCGAGTATCTTGCAGGCCATTATATGCTGCAAGCAGCATCCTCATTCTTGCCTGTTATGGCTCTGGCTCCTCAAGAACATGAACGTGTTTTGGATATGGCCTCTGCACCAGGTGGCAAGACCACTCATATTGCAGCTCTCCTTAAAAATACTGGTATGGTGTTTGCCAATGACTTTAACAAAGATCGTCTCAAGTCGTTGTCTGCCAACATCCATCGCTTGGGTGTTAAGAACGCCGTTGTTTGCAACTATGATGGTCGAGAATTCCCCAAGGTTATTGGTGGATTTGACCGTGTTCTACTCGACGCCCCATGCTCTGGTACCGGTGTCATTTCCAAAGATCCTGGTGTTAAAGTGAACAAGGTAAGACTATTATTGGAAGATTTACACCAGATCAACTGGACATGTGTTTCTCATTGCCTTTTTTTTTTTGCAGACGGAGAAAGACTTTATAGATATCCCACATTTGCAGAAGCAGCTCGTTCTGTGTGCCATTGACTCAGTCGACGCAAATTCAAAGACCGGTGGTTACATCGTGTACTCTACCTGTTCCGTTACAGTTGATGAGAACGAGGCTGTTGTTAACTATGCACTTCGCAAGCGACCTAATGTCAAACTAGTTTCTACTGGAATTGAGTTCGGTCGTGAAGGTTTCACCAGGTAAGGATTAGATCTAAGTATGACGCGATTCTAGCAGTGATACGCATTGTTTTCTCACATTTCTTGATAGATATCGTGGCAAGACATTCCATCCATCATTAGATTTAACTAGACGATACTACCCACACATGCACAATATGGATGGTTTCTACGTTGCCAAGTTTAAGAAATTCTCCAACAAAATTCCAAAGCAGACTGGCGATAATGTCGATGAAGATGAAGATCAAGACGCCAATGAAAGTGGTCCTGCTACGTTCATGGAAGATGAAGATAGCACTATTTTGAAAGGTAATGATAGTCATTGGGTTTAGCATGAATTCACATCAGTGGAACACCGTGACTAATTGGGTGTGACTTTTTTTTTTAAGATTCCATGCGAAAACTGCAAAAGAACCGCAAACATAAGAAATGATTCCACACCATACTGCCTACCAGTACCTATTTGCATTTGTAGAAATATCCTTGAGCATCTCGTTTTTTTCCGCTTCCATATTCGTTTGTCCTTTTTCCATTATCTGAAAAAGTTTTTTTTAAAAAAAAAGTTTATACAATTCTCAAACAAACATAATGCCAATTTAAGTTTTTTCCGTCTGATTTGCCCGCATTAAGCCAAAAGCGCTGTCTTTAGCACCGTCACCAGCCAACAAAAGGTGGAGTAGAGGAGAGTGTTTAATACGCTAATTACAAATAAAAGAAGCTCATTTGACAAGCAAGGAAACCTTCATTCTAAGTTGACAGCATGAAGGGTGTGTACCTGAGTACAGGATACATAACGGCTAGGTCAGTGAGGGATTAGCGCAAAACTAAAGCACAGGTGGAATGAGCTCATCGATGTCAAACAATGTTTTTGCAAGTGGAATAAACCCCCCATATTTTGCCTGACATGAAGGACGCCCTTTACTTAAAACTGGATGGTTATTCACTTTTGAAATCAAATGATATTTTCTCTCTCAGATGGCGCTAAGGGAGCAGGAATAGATTGGTTATTAAATTTCTGAAATGCATTCTTATTCCTCTCCACTGGGGGGGGGGAGGGCATCGTCAACGGACTGGAGCCATGGCAGTGGAGGCTCGTTGGCAAGGATTGGCCTTTAGGAGTTAATCTCATCGTATCAATCCATCATCTCCATATCAAACTGGTTTTGGGACATCCAAAAAAAGCTCATGACAGCGTGGCCGAAATAAGCAAGCACCGGCAACACAGACACGAGCTGGATAAAGAATGGGAGCAACGTGACACTGAAATCCCAACCCAGTTCGACCCAATGCTTTCATACTTTTTACTCACTTTAACGGGTTGGGTTCCCTTGCTTGGGACCGCTGACCCGCCTTGTCCGATAATCTACATCCAGTGATTTTTTTCTTTTTTTTTTTTAGCCTCTGCCTTAAGCTCCCTGAAAATTTTACAATATTTCTCCTTTCCATAAAGTTTTGATTCTCTTCCGTATTTTTACCTTTCTTTCCACTCTCTACTCTCTCCTCCCAATTTTTTTTCTGCCACCCTCTTTCCCCTTTACTAGTTGGCTATCTTTGATTGCATCGAGTAGCGTCACGCTGCTCTACTCCTCGTAAAGGTCGCCGCCATGACCCACGCTTCCATGGCTTTCAAAAAGCGAAACCGATCCACTAGCAATGCTTCATCCATACAACCAGACCCTAGTCGAATACTAGTCAGCAAATTGAACAAATTACGATCCACCAGTCTGGCTATTTTCTCCAAACTCACCAACTCGGTCAATATCAATGCAACGTCGACACGTTCAACTTACTTGCGAAGAGAAAGATCTTTTTCCTTGGTAACAACTGGAACGGATCACCGAAACTTGGATACATTGGTACGAGACCCCCGTTTACTGGATCGGGTCAGCCGATATCGATCATCCCAAATCAACCTTAGGTCGAACTCTTCCATTGATGAAAAGCATATTCTGACTGTCTCCAATGACCATTCGGATATGAAACGATACGACGAAGCTATGCAAAGAGCTGCGCGTGATGCCTCCATGAAGGCTGATAGGCTGCAAGTGCCCACTCCTCACTTTGCCCTTCAAAGGGCTGGTCTATCGCATAATGCCAACCCTGACTTGACTGTCAAATCCGAGGAGCTCACTGCGCGTGAGTTTGCTGACATGACGGGAATAAAGATTATCAGCGATGACCAAGACGATGACAACTACCAGGTCATTGACAAAGTGGAAACAAGAGGGAGTGGCTTGACTGCCGACGTACTTCATCAATCTTCTATCCTATCGGGTAGTAGTATTCACAGTGCCGAAACACATGCTTGGTCCATAAAATCGAAGCCTCAAATTTGGGATTCTGGATTCTGGCAAAAGCCTGATGGCTGTCACCAGCAACTCCCAATTCCTATTCAAGCCGACTGTACAAAGATTGATGATAAACCACGGCCGCCAACTACCAAAGATTCATCCTCATCGTCTGAGGACACAACTTCCACTATGTTATCCGTCTTATTCTCTTGTAAAACATCCTCATCTTGTGCCTCGTCCATTGATTCCGAGCCACTTTCCTGTTCACCAGGTCGAACTGCGGTGAATGATGCTGAAGAGCCACCGTTTATCTCACAGTTACGTCGTACATCGTGTACCTCCGCTATAAAGCGTAATGACCAAGGCGGAGTTGTCATAAAAAAAGGTCGTTTCCATATCTGCCTCGGCGACACCCAGGATACCCAGATTCCTACTACAGACGAGGAGTGCATAAAATGGAAACGAAAATCCATGGCCACTACTGCTTGTGCGGATGACAATACCCATGCTTAACCCCATTCCATCATCCTAAAAGCCAACTATAATGCATATTCCCCTCGCCTTTCAATATGTTGATGAAAGTACTTTGCCTTTTTGCTCTTTCCCTTACATACTCCTTCTACTAGCTTATTTTCACTGTAAAAAAATCCTGTCTTTTTCTTTTTGCCCTCAGTCGTTTTTTTGCCAAAAGAAAAAAAAAATACATATATGAACCTTACATTCCCAGCTGGCCGTCTTAAACATGGAGCGTTCTGCTTTTTTTAAAGAGAAAAAAAAAAAGCCGCATGATGGCTTGTAAACGACAAAATATCCTTTATCCTTATGAAGAGCTTGATCAACTGAGGTAATTCCCAACTGTCTCGTGGAGTGTGTTGTTTGTAACTGGGAAAGGATGCAGGTCCAAACTTGGCAGGGAAGGAAAAGAACAAGTGTTATGGAGAGTAAACAAAAGCATTGATTGAGTCCTATCTTTCAGTTTCCCGAGAGTTTAGCAACTATGCTCTTCTTTCCATTGCGCTTGCTTTGTTCGTGACATAACCTTGAAATCTGGGGGCTTGACTTGTAATCCATTCAATCTATTGTAGCTGCCATACATGCATAAAAGTCCACTGTCAGGTGCTGGCTGTACCAGTCAACGCCGCGTCCCGTCTCATAGCCACAAAATATCACGAGCTTCTATTGATAAATATAGCTCCGTTGCATCATAGCACCCATCTGCGTTGGCCACCCATGAGCTTTAACTTGGAGATACCATGGCCACGTTAGGTGTAGGGGAAAGGATTCTCCATTTGTTGTGTTTTTTCCCCTTGCTGCATTTCATTTCAACATGAACAGATCCGCAGGGGAAAGTGTTGTGTTGCCCTTGAATTATGGCTTTTCTGGTCAAGTGAAATGTATTGATTTTCATTCGTTGAAGAAAAAATATTATTGAGATTTACATGGTTGCCTCTGCTTTCACGGGTGCACCGAAACATTACAGCATATACGTAATTAAAACGATAAACAAGGTCGTAAACGTCACAAACAAGTAATGACTAGCCACCGTTGAAGACGCTCTACTATTCGTCAACTGCACAGGAGGACCTACTTGCAACTGAATGTTTTTGAAAAATGTATGCGTGGTGTTGGGGGTAGCCCATGCTGAAGTACTACCACCAAAAAATGTTGAGAACATGATGCTTGAAAGCTGAATCATGTTGTTGGAACGATATTGTAGATCGCTTCGACTGATGACCAATGAACCATCTTGCCATAGTTTGAGTATACCATTGTTTTGGCCGGCAGTACCCGTTTCAACATACATTTGAAGTTTGGTCCAAACAGCTGGCTTGAATTGAATCAAACCACGCGATATCGACACGCCAAATTCATCGTTGCACATGGTTAAAGGAGTCGAACACAAGTCAGATGAATGAGGTATATACGCATATGCTTCACCAGCGCCGGCAGCTCGCCACATCATTCTCATGGAAAAGCAGTTCGTGCCATCAGACTGCGATCCACCACTGCATCCTGATCCCGGAGGTCCTGCATGGAAACGTTCTTGTCAGTTTACAGGAAATGCACCGAATTGAGTCCAACAGATAACGTCATTTCCTTACCACCATACAATCCAGGTAATTTACCACCCATCACCCAAGCAAAGTTTTTATCGAATGCGACTTCATAGGTGAGGAGTGCCTTGTCAAACGCTTGATCTCCAAAGGGTTGCATGAAGAATTCTGCGCCTCCTGTTTCTGTGCTGGCTCTGGGTGAAAAAGACCCTTCATTATAAACGATTTGTAAAACGCTGCTAGTTTCGCTTTGATTGAATGGGTCCGTTACAAACGATACGTCCTCATTAGCACCAAAGAAGTTTGGGTTCGTCACACTCCACTTTTGAACCATGTCGCTGGAAGATGTAACTGATGAAGACTCTGGTGGGGGGAAGGTAGCTTGCCATGTTTGGTTGAGATTAAGTGAATTCACTGTGTTTTGGCAATAGACGGTATGCCATAAGCTCGCAATCACGCAAAGATGGACAAGAGCCCATTTGATTACGTTCATTGGCGCAGTCTTAGAGCAACAAGATACTGCACCCCTATCTGAAATATGCACTTCGACTAAAAAATGTTTCCCTCCACATCGTTTTTTTTTGAAGTTGTATCACATCGACAGACGGTCTTTCTGTACTCCCAAACCGTTCCTACCATTAACGCTCCTACCAAATTCATAGCATACTTCCTATTAGCTTTCATCTTCAAGTGATTATGCCTGAGCAACCCTTAGCCATACGTTGAACCGTATAAGCGAGCTCTTTATCATCGACATATGGGTGGTTCAGTTATTGAGTACGTGCACGCCACTGGTGCAGTCATTGGCCAATCATTTATAAATTTCTAGTTTTGCGGTGCTTCCTATCGTATTTGCGCATTTTCATGACGAAAATAAGCATTCTTCAAGATCGTCCTTTCATATGATACGCTGATTGGCGCCTACATAATATCTGTGTAGAACAACAAACGCAACATAGAAAGCATTATTTGCCCTGATTACATGATGGGGTCCCGTTTCACGATGTATACAGTACCATATCTGCTTGCATCCCTTTAGCACTCGCCATCAAACGTTACCAGGTAGGTAAGATCGACTGCTGCATGACCTTCTCGTTTAGTTAAGAGGTGAGTCGCTCGTTATCATATCAGAAAGAGCACATGAGGCTTTGTTTTCGGTCTTCCCTTCAATAGTCGATACCTTCGTAAACTTATCGAAAGCTTGAAAAAAATAGTGCTAGCTGAATGTAACTAATGAAGAAGTACTTAATCTCGCTAGTAAATTAAACATACAGTTGCAACGGTATGAGACATAAGGCATGGTGGCTCGAACAAGCAAGGTACCGTCAATGACAAGCATGAATGCGATAAACGATAGCATATTAATACGGTTCACATGAACCTCCAATTTTTTTTTCATAACTGTATAGTAAGCAGGTGTAATTATTTGCGTATTGGAAAGTGAAAAGTTGTTGCGCATGTCGATCGCTATTGTGATCTAAAGTTCAGCTCGCGATCTGTTATGTCAATTGCGGATGGAATAAAACAAACTGTGAATGTATCAACCTCAAGTTCAACTCCAAAAGCATTGTGTTCCATCCTTCTATTTTCAAACCTGGCTACCATACTGCAGTCAGTCAGCCTCTCCATTGTCGATAAGTCGACTCATGCACAGTGTCGCTGTCTCTAGCGACAAAATTTCAATCAGATGCCGCCCGCCCAAATTATTGCTGGAAAATTTTGATGACGTCGAACAAAATGTCCACCAAAATAAAAATATGCCTCTGACAAGGTGTGCTGTTGCTTTAAAGGTATCCAACAGTTCGTCTATACGACTCCACCATGTCTTTCACACGACTATTCACTCGTCGAATTGCAACTGCGGCTCCCAAATTTGCCATCGCAAAGCCTGCAGCAGCTGCACTTCGCTCCAACTTCCAATGGCAAGGTGTTCGCGGCATGGCTGCCGCCGCTGAGCGTGCCGCCGATACCACTCCCATCACAACCATCACTGAGGATTCTCACACAGCATTCGGTGGTAGGTGTTTACTCCAGTGGATGTACCACGGCAAATGGGTTAACAAACACATACTGACCTTGTCCTTTTGACTCATCTTTTTCTTCGCTCGCTATTGTTTCACCTAGATGTCCAAGACGAAGACGAGTCCAAGTTGAGAAACTTCACAATTAACTTCGGACCCCAGCATCCAGCCGCTCACGTTAGTTCTCATTCACTTTTAAGCTATCTGTCTCGCTTGAAAATTTGTTTCGGTCACACCTATGAAGGGTTAAACAGTGGCATTTGACTATCGAGATAGACAGGGCGGCCATTTGACTTCAGCCATGATAACTGACATGCTCTCATTCATTTAGGGTGTGTTGCGATTGATTTTGGAATTGCATGGTGAAGAAATTGTTCGATCTGATCCTCACATTGGTCTGCTTCATCGTGGAACTGAAAAGTTGATTGAGTACAAGAACTACCTTCAGGCCCTTCCCTACTTCGACCGTCTCGACTACGTTTCTATGATGACCAACGAGCAAGCTTACTCTCTTGCTGTTGAGAAGCTTTTGAACATTGAAATCCCCGAGCGCGCCAAGTATATTCGTACCATGTTCGGTGAAATCACTCGAATTCTTAACCACATTATGGCTGTCATGACTCACGCTATGGACGTTGGTGCATTGACTCCTTTCCTTTGGATGTTCGAGGAGCGTGAAAAGCTCATGGAATTTTACGAACGTGTCTCTGGTGCTCGTCTCCACGCCGCATATGTCAGACCTGGAGGTGTCGCCCTCGATCTTCCCATGGGTCTTTTGAACGATATCCACCTGTGGGCCGAACAATTTGCTGATCGTGTTGACGAAGTTGAAGAAGTCTTGAGTGGAAACAGAATTTGGAAGACCAGAACTATTGGTGTTGGTCTTGTCACAGCTCAGCAAGCGTTGGACTGGGGTTTCTCCGGTGTCATGTTGAGAGGTTCAGGATTCAAGTGGGATTTACGAAAGGTCCAACCTTATGATGCTTATGACAAGGTTGAATTCGATGTTCCTGTCGGACAAGCTGGTGATTGTTACGATCGTTACTTGTGCAGAGTTGAAGAGATGCGTCAGTCTCTTCGCATTATTGGACAATGCATCAACGACATACCTGCTGGTCCCGTCAAGGTTGATGACTGGAAGGTAAGATTTTCTTTAAAAAAAAAACAGTTTTAAATGTGGCTCAACAAGTGATGTTAATGATTTTATTTTTTGCCAGATTGCCCCTCCCCCTCGTGCCAACATGAAGGAGAGCATGGAAGCTCTTATTCATCATTTCAAATTGTACAGTGAAGGTTACTCTGTGCCTGCTGGTGAAACCTACACTGTCATCGAAGCTCCTAAGGGAGAATTCGGTGTCTACCTTGTTTCCGATGGATCCAACCGACCTTATAGATGCAAGATCAAGGCTCCTGGTTTTGCTCACTTGCAAGGATCCGATTTCATGGCTCGCGGGCACATGTTACCAGATATGGTCACCATCATCGGTACCATGGATATTGTGTTCGGTGAAGTTGATCGATAAATACGACGTGAAGGATTGTATTGATTTGAACCATCAATATATTTACATAGCCACTTGCCACTTAAAAAGTTGTATGTGAACGAGATAACACATTTTTTTCAAGCTGAAGCAGACATGCCATAGCCATACAGAAGAAATGCTAAGAAAAACATAAAAAACCGAAAGAAAACTTACAATAAAGAATACATTCTGTGCCTTAGTACTTTGTGCAAGACGGTATAGGTGCGTATTATAGGATGATATGGCCCAGAGCAGCGAGCATGGGAATTGCTGCCCATCTTCCGTGGGGGGTGGGGTCTGACACTCTCTACAGTGATTGTGTGTACATTATGATACTGCTTACACCCACATACAATAATTGTTCCGCATTATCTCAATGACTGATTACAAATTGCCAACGATGTATTGATGACCTAGTCTGAATGCAACCGTACATGGAATATGCTCTAATACATCGATTGACTTTGACAGTCGGCATCTCGTGAGTTGCTAAAAACAGGACAAACAAATCACCCGTCAGTAGCTTCATCTAAGCTCGTGTTGAACTTTTGGTATGTTGAACATAAATTATCTACAGAAAGTAACATCGTCGACACAATGACCTTCACTTTATGCTACCTGTTCCATGTATTATCATGTTTAAGAAATGTGGCTCACTTTAAACAACACGGGCGTTGTAATCAACAATCTTGTATTAATGTCGTGGACATTATGTTTCAGTGCGCATCATTCGATCAACAGTCTCAGAATTTCGTTATTTCAGACTGGGTTATCGATAATGTGGTACGTGCAGCTTTGTGCGGAGTCGGATAATCCAAGTTATCGGTAATGAAAAATGGGCAGACTTGTATTTGAATCAGTGCTTGCGTTTGTTTTGTTTGTTCGTGCCATTATCTTCATCTATTTTTTAAGGCAGAAACCAATTAAGCTACCACAATGCAAGCCGCTAACATGGGCTTGTACTGCCTTCATATGCACGGAAACCAATACAGAACTGATGTCAAAACAGCAAATAATCTGAGGTGAGCTATCAAAACAAGAACACTGCATGCAAATTGTTTCAAGTAGGCATGGCTACTTGGCCCTTTCCATTAGATCACGTGCTGTTGAGCAGCAGAGTACTTGCCAGGGTTCTTGGTCTCAATGACGTGATTCTTTATGCAGTGTGCGGCGCATGAATAAGCCATATGGCAGAGCTCCTTAGATGGGCGTTACTTCAAGGTGGACAGTGTCACCAAAGGGATTATTCATGAACATCACTGTGAATTTTACTAGCGTTATCTAGTCATCACTAGTGAAAGACGTCCGGGTGCAGCTAGCTGGTTCCAGTAGCGCATAGCAGCGTCTAGAAATTTTTCGAAATTTTTACTGGTGGGTTCCAGAAGAAGAAATTGCTCGAAAGTTCGGCCTCCGGAGTAATATTTTTTTGATATAAATAAGACATCATATCGCAAGGGTGAAATTTCCCATCACTTGTCTTTTAATCTTCTCTCGCATTAAACGCCTACTAGAAAATGACAAAAGCTGTTGGTATCGATTTAGGAACAACCTACTCTTGCGTTGGCGTTTGGCAAAACGACCGCGTTGAAATTATCGCCAACGATCAAGGAAACCGCACTACTCCATCCTACGTCGCCTTTACAGACTCTGAACGTCTTATTGGTGATGCCGCAAAGAACCAAGTGGCCATGAATCCCCACAACACCGTGTTTGACGCTAAGCGTTTGATCGGTCGCCGTTTCAATGATGCCGAAGTTCAGTCCGACATGAAGCACTGGCCATTCAAGGTTATTGACAAGGACGGCAAGCCCATCGTCCAAATTGAACACAAGGGTGAAAAGAAGACTTTCACTCCCGAAGAAATCTCCTCCATGGTCCTGGTCAAGATGAGAGAAGTTTCTGAAGCTTACCTTGGTGGCAAGGTGGACTCTGCAGTTATCACTGTCCCAGCTTACTTTAATGATTCTCAACGTCAAGCTACCAAGGACGCTGGTCTTATTGCTGGTCTCAACGTTCTCCGTATCATCAACGAACCCACTGCCGCTGCTATTGCCTATGGTTTGGACAAACAACCCAAGGGTGAACGCAACGTTTTGATTTTCGATCTTGGTGGTGGTACTTTTGATGTGTCTCTTCTGACCATCGAAGACGGTATCTTTGAAGTTAAGGCTACTGCTGGTGATACTCATCTTGGTGGTGAAGATTTCGACAACCGTTTGGTGAACCACTTTGTTCAAGAATTCAAGCGCAAGTACAAGAAGGATATCTCTGACAACCCAAGAGCCTTGAGACGTCTTCGTACTGCTTGCGAACGTGCCAAGCGTACTCTCTCTGCTTCCACTCAAACCTCTTTGGAAATCGATTCTTTGTATGAAGGTATCGATTTCTATACCTCCCTCACTCGTGCTCGCTTTGAGGAACTTTGCCAAGATCTTTTCCGTTCAACTATGGACCCTGTAGAGAAGGTACTTCGTGATTCCAAGATCGACAAGGCTTCTGTTCACGATATTGTCCTTGTTGGTGGTTCTACTCGTATCCCCAAGATCCAGAAACTTGTTTCCGACTTCTTCAATGGCAAGGAGCCCAACAAGTCCATCAACCCCGATGAAGCCGTCGCTTACGGTGCCGCTGTCCAAGCTGCTATCTTGACTGGTGACACCTCTGAGAAGACTCAAGATCTCCTTCTTCTCGATGTTTCCCCACTCTCTCTTGGTATCGAAACTGCTGGCGGTGTTATGACTGCTCTTATCAAGCGTAACACCACTGTTCCTACCAAGAAGTCCGAAATCTTCTCTACTTACGCTGATAACCAGCCTGGTGTACTCATCCAAGTTTACGAAGGTGAACGTGCCAGAACCAAGGATAACAATCTTCTTGGCAAGTTCGAACTCACTGGTATCCCCCCTGCTCCCCGTGGTGTACCCCAGGTTGAAGTCACATTCGATATCGATGCAAACGGTATCTTGAACGTCAGCGCAGTTGACAAGACCACTGGCAAGTCAAGCAAGATCACCATCACTAACGACAAGGGTCGTCTCTCCAAGGAGGATATTGAACGCATGGTTTCTGATGCTGAAAAGTACAAGGCTGAAGATGAAGAAGTGGCTGCTAAGATCTCTGCTCGCAACGGTCTCGAGTCCTACGCATACAATCTCCGTAACACTCTTCAAGATGAAAATGTTGGAGGCAAGCTCGAAGAAGCTGACAAGACCAAGCTCAAGGAAGCTGTCGATGAAGCAATCAAGTGGCTCGACGAATCTCAAGAAGCTTCCAAGGACGAATACGAGTCTCGCCAGAAGGAACTCGAGGAGGTTGCCAACCCCATCATGATGAAGATTTACGGTCAAGGTGCTGGTGCCGGTGGTGCTCCAGGCGGTGCTCCTGGTGGATTCCCACCTGGTGCTGGTGGTGACGCTGCACCTGAAGGTCCTACAGTGGAGGAAGTCGATTAAATCTTTTAGACGTTATCTCTACGAAGCGTACGATTAAATCAGTTGTACATATTTGAAAACCTTGTATATGGAACATTTTATTGGAAGTGAAAAATAAAACATATTGTATTAAAAATAACATTCTAAACCTGAGATGGTCTGAGAGTTCTTAAGCTCCAAAGTAAAGTCGCTGCAAATATCTTTCAAAGTCAAAGGAAAAATATAACATTTTGAATACATGTTATCCACACATTTTTATTTTCGTTACTTGATCAAAATTAAATGTTACAGGGATAGGAATGTGGAAGGTTGTATAGACAATCTTCAAAATTGTATGAAATGAAAGAGAACAAGCTGCTTCGGGCTCGCGAAATGGTCAAAGATACCTTTAGAAATAATTGCCAGGCGAGGAGTTTTGTGTGCCGCGAGGTAGACGGGTGGTGGGCAAAGTTGGCGTGGCAGCGGCATACTGCTGGCGTGGCGAAGTGTGAGACGAGTCGGCCAGCGATCTCGCTCGTACATCATGAGGCTCAAAGTAAGTGTGATTTTCCATAGTATAGGCTTGAGGGGCAGGCACCTCGTTGTAAAGCACTGGAGCTGATGCAGGTTTGGGACTGGTATGGTATGTGGTCATGGCGTAAGCTTCACCACCACCAGTAGAACGCTGTTCTGCTTGATGGTGTTGATAGTAATTACGGTCGTCATAATATCTATCTTCACCAGTATATTGATATTGATCCATTCCACGCATGTCACCGCCACGCATGTCACCACCGCCATTGTGATAACTAGCTTCTTGCTCATACTGATGGTGATAGCCAGGGTTCTGCTGGTTGTAGCCACTGTCTGCGTGATAATACTGGTCATCGTATTGTTGTTGATACGGTGAGGAAGTATTATATTCTGAATACGGTGTGTGATAAACTGGAGGTGGTGATTTGGTGGCCATATGCGGAGTTCTCATGTACTCGTTGTAAGGTGTTTTTTCCGAGATATCTGTCTCATCAAGGACAGGTAATGTAGGTCGAGCGATCGGCGCAGCAGCTACGCCTTTAGCACCATTGGCAGGTTTCTGTCCACGCTGTTCCATTCTTTTACGAATCTGCTTCTTCAAGAGCTGTGCAATTCTAGGTACCGGGCGGAAAGTTGAGGTGGGCGAGGTGAAAAAAAGGATAAAGAATGAAAAGGAGACATTGAATATAAGTAAAGCTAGAAGAAAAGCATTCAAAAGCACCCCTAAAACGAGCTTCTTACCTCTTGTCAATCTTGTGGCAAACATATTCCTTCAAATTGCCCTTAATATGACAAAGTAGTGGAATATAGATGATTGCAGCAATGAACATTAATATCATCGAAAACACCCAGAGTAAGGAGGTGAACGTCATGAGAATCAACTGCATTTGAGTAGTTGTGGTAAGGCCATAATCGCTCAGCTTTGTTTTGAATTGGAAAGCCTGTGTGCCTGGGAAACAATGATTTAAATGAGGATTTTTACATTCACGTTTTGATCGCTTGGAAAGCGGCGGAATGCATACCATTTGTTGTCCACACGTTGTATAGAATCGTTTCGACAGTGATAATAGCGACCACTTGACGTGGACCTTCAGCGAATAAAAGGCGTTTCCATCCTTTTAATGTGAAGAAAACAAAGAATGCAAAATCGTCGGTGGTCTTCTTTGAAGCTTGAATCTTATCGAATAAGCAGTAGTGAGGGTAACTCTTGATTGAGTAGTAACGATATGCGGTAATAGAAGTGAGTGCATACGAGATGTCGCGCGATGCAATGACCAATCTGGCTTTTCGAATATCCAGAGCAAGGAGTAAAAAGGAAAGAGCGATACAGCCAACGTAAATCCATTTACTGGCTGTTGGACTGATTTTGTAAATCATTTGTGGATCCTACATGCGAAAACAATTAGAATTCAAGTACTGGGTAGCAGGCGCTCATATAAGTTGGCCCTTACCACTGAACTAAGCAAAATGCCGGCAGTCCACAAATCGGCAAGATATGTTAAGGTAGACTTGATGACACTAAGGAAAATCATCATATATTTCGTCTTTGTCCAGCAGCTTGGGTCATAAAATTCTTCTATGTCGATAAAGTCGAATTTGTGATCAGAAACTTGCTCTCTTTTCCATTTTGGCCCCTTTTCCAAAAGCATAAAGCTATTGGTTTTAAGCTTCTTATTGCCAGACTTCTTTGCCATGGCTCCAAGTCGATATATATATATTATTCACACAAGGGTATTAGAGGCTCGGAAAAGAAGTACGACAAAGAGTGAAAGGAGAGGAAGGGAGGGAGTTTTCAAGTGGAAAGAGAAGGAGCAAGAAAAAAACAGGTGTGGGTCTCCTTGTGAGAGGGCAGAGCTGCGATCAAAAATAGTCGCAACGCCTATTTACTCCAAAGCAGTGTGCAACGTGAGTTTGACCAATGAAAAGACGAAGTGCTGCTATCAAATGATGGTTTAATTGCGGTGATAATGCGGAAGGCGATCATTTTTAGGAAGCTCGGACAAAGACAGCATGGTCGTTTACGGTTATAATGGATTGTGTATAGTTTTTGTCTCGTTTTATTACCCAATCGCCATTGTACTGAACCTACTTTTCCTTGTGGCCGCAGGCAATATGTTGGCCCCGATCACCGCACCATGCTGCACTGGGGTTGACCTTTCGGAGTCGAGCGGGTCTGTGCAACATTAATGGGTGCTGCATCTGGTTTGGAACGTAGACCAGGAAGCAGTGTGTACAAATAAGCAACAAGCCATAGCAACAACGACATACTTCACGTTATAGCGACGTGGGGTAAATGGTATGGATTTGAATGGCCGTATAATTTAAACTTTGAAAAACAGTAAACATTGGCACTTTGACGATCAATGAAAATCAAGTAGGCTCCCTCGCCAAGACAAACATATCATGTTGTGTTGTATTTACAGTCTTGAGAGTGTCAAGCAAGCCTCTTTGGTCCATTGGTCATATTCTGAATGGGCTGTTCTCACGTAAGATGCACCTCTCAAGCCATAACTTAATTAAAAAAAAAATTGTTACTGTTGCTTAGCTTTTTCCTGCAAGCTGGCTATATTATCTCAGCCAACAAATGGAAACGACCAGGATGACTTGTTCCCAATGGTGGACGGTGCTTTCCCCCACGTCTTGATCGTTTAATAAGCCAGCAGCTATACTGGTCTACTTCGCTCTCTCCGGTGGCCGCGAGTTTGGCCAAAATATTGTATGTCAAAATACTTGACAGCTTGCACTTGCGAAATTAAATAGATATCCTCTTACATGGCGTATGATCAAGAGGAAGCACTAAACACATGGTATTGTGTGAAAAAAAAAAAGCCATCGAAAATGACGATACTGTGATAATAACCACCTAGATTGTGATGATGAAGCAAGTATGCATTTAGCTCACCCCAGTTCATTTGAATTGTAACCAACAAAATTATAACTGCAGTTTAGTATATAAAGTCAAAAGAAAACTTTCACCATTCGCTAGCAAGAAAACGGATTTATAGTAAAATTGATTTGCGTTAAAGATCAACATTAAAAACCAAACTCAAAAGATCAAGGTGTAATGTTATTGACGGCGCAACAAGCTCTGATACCTGCGAGCAAACTGAGCCGTAAAATAACTTTGGATGGCCAAAGTTTTACTAGTGTGAGGCCGATCATAAAACGTAAGTACAACTTGAAATTATATCTATGCAACTATATCATGCTAATTTATACATTTTTTTTTATTAATTAGATGCGGACAATGAGGCCGCCTTCACGCTTGCAGAGTCCTACACAGGTGTCTATACGCCCTACAATGCGAAATCATCACACCAAGAGAGTCGGGCACTAGATACCATCAATCAAGAGCTGTTCAGGGCCATTATTGGTGCAGCAGCTGCAGAAAGCCGTGACTTTGCTATACAAGTAGATGGCTGCAAGGGGATTTTATTGTGGTCAAGTTCAAGGTTTGCAGATCTCCACAAAAATGTACGGTGGAAACTACCAAAGATATTCGGGTGGTACCAAGCGATGGTAAGCAAACGTACAATGGTAATTCATGATTGGTCAAAGCAAGAAAATTTTAATATTACCTTTGTAGCGTGTACACTTAGCGCACCAGTCCATTGCGAAACGAGTTCAACGCCAAGTAATGGGACAGCGAGAGCATCTAACAATATTGTATCTTGGGGTCCTGCCTCAAGAACGCAACAAGGGTTATGGTTCCGCTCTACTTGAGCATGTGCTTAGAAAAGCAGATGAGGCAGGCTTGCCAGTGTATGCAGAGGTTACAAATCCAGCCGCCGCGGGTCTACTTGATCGTTTTGACTTTGTGGAAAGAGCTGTAAACCAGCTTGACAAGCGTTTACAAATGCATATAATGGTCCGTGAGCCAAAATATAGCGGATCTGTTTCAAAGAGCCTCGAAATCCGACCCGGACGACGGTGTTCTGCTGAATCGTCCAGCGGAATTTAGTTCAGTCCGGTTATAACATCATAACAACAAATACCGCATTGATTGTCGGTATATTCAACATAGCCTTTACTCCACATGCTACGCATTGTATAACATTATTAAATCTCAAGGTACAAGCAAATATTTCATGTTTACTGCGCTGCTTTTGTTTAATGGTGATGTGATGTGAAGTGAGTGAAGTCTTGGCTATGTAAGCAATGCTGCAGTCATAGATTGCAATGATAGATAGGAACGATCTAGAAAAAATCGAATATGCATAATGTAGATTTTAAATTAAAGGTCTGCTACATTTTCCAGTAGACTGCCCGCCTCCTCTGTCTCACGTGGGGCTTTGGAAATACCGCTGCCACTGCTCATCAGATACAAGACTACCAAACAAGTCCTTCATATTGGAGCTCATCTAATTTCGAAAAAGAAAGGTTAAATACCATGCTGTACGCTCTTATCTATAACATCCTAACATCATTACCTTGTCCATTTCACGAATGACATCCTCCATCATCACCACGTAAGCAAAGTAGAAGATATATGCCTCGTCCCTATCCAGAAGTGCACGCGACTTGACGGCTGGCAATTGTCGTAGGCTAGACATCAAATGCTCCCACGCCTGACGTGCGGGTGGCATATATGGTGGTAATGGGGTTTTCAGTCGTAGGGCACTGGCCAGCATGTATAGATATAATAGAACATTGCCGACCATTTCCTTACGCTGTGGATTGACAGGATGTATGAAATCTCGACGTACAAGGCTAAACCACTCATCCTTGAGAATCACAATGCGCATAGCTAAAAGCTTGTCCAAAATGTTTTGACAAGAACTGAGCATTCCAGAATATGTTGCCACAGGAAACGGTCCTTTCAGACGTGGTTCGTTTGGTGTCTGCGCTAAAAGGTCTTGTAAAGATATAAGCATTCGCTGAAGATTTAGCTCAAGGTCCATAAAGGTTTTCGTTGCTACATTCTTATGCTCCTGCATAGCTACTACTTGGGTTTCTGATATATGGGTATCAAGATGCTGCAGCCGATATAAGCCACCAACACTTTCAGAGGAATCCGAGTACATGGAAATCAGCTTTTGATAGAGTAAACTGACCCGGAGGAGGAAGTCAGACAAGCCTTTACGAAGTTCAGTTCTGGCTTCGTACGGCCATACATATGCGGTCATGAATAATCCAAATACGACACCAACGGCAACCGCTCCAAATCGATTTAGCGCCAACCTGCCAACCTCAACACTTTCGTTGTCTCGGTAATTGTACTTATTGAGCATAACCAGGTTGTATGCCAACAAGGTGAATTGACCAAACTTCCCATGCTTGTGGTTCAGAATAATCCAAAAGTTGGGAATAGAGAAGAGCCAAGTTAACACGGGTAGCACATAGACATTACCAGGGAAAAGCGTGTAAAAGGCGAATGCTACATAGCAGCCAAGCATGGTCGAGAAGATACGATAAATCGCAACCAGATTTGTTCCTCCAACGGTAGGAGTCATCACCACCATTAACTACAATGAAGGATTAGTATACATATTAGCCCTTAGGTATATCACAATGCATGCACGATACTCACCGTAACTAGAGCCCATTCCATTCGAAGTTCTCGAAACCTTTCTCCAGTGGATGGTAGGAATGCTGGTGTAGCTAAAATGACTGCTGCAGCAGACGACTTGATAGCATATCTTACATGTTGTTGCTTGAACCATGAAAAGAATCCCCAAAGAGAGATGAAGAACCGACGCCATCTTGTTTTAGGGAGTGGTGTATGCAATGTATTCGAAGTATTATGATTGTTTGGGACAAAAGACACTGACGATCTCCTCCTTACTGAGGGACCATCTGTGAGTTTAAGGCCTGTGCGTCTGTGTCAGTAGTCCAATCTACTACCGATTTCAAATTTTCTGTTCCATACCTTTGAAGACTGAAAACACGTCCGAAAACCATTTTCTAAAGCCTGATTTTTTCCTCAATGCTGGATCGAAGAGCGTTTCAACCAACCCTACCAGGAAGGTCAACTCGCGCGCAAATTCAACGAGGCAGAAAATAAAAAAATAGACCAGAAAGACATCCTCTCCTTGCTCAATGACTGAAATTTGGTCATCCGAAGGTTGCTGTTCCGAGGATGATTGTAACTTCGAGCGTTGCTGGTACATTCTAAAAATGGCTTCCTTCTGCGAAGTTTCGAAGAGCGCAATGGCTTTTTCCAAGTTCTCCTTCATCATGGCAAACGATGGTCCATCCTCTGATGCACTATCGGTAAACTTTGCTTGTAGATTAATGATTGTTCTTTTGCAGGTGTATGCAAAAGCTTTCATCGGCTGTCGAACATTGCGAATGAAATCAACTAGCGCGCCATCAGCTTCGCCTTCTTGGCCCTCATGACTAGAAGCGGACCTCGATAGCGCATCGTCGTAAATAGTGGTGGATGAAGGTAAGGAATCCTGTACCATAGCAGTCAAGCTTCTACTCATACTATGCTCGAATGGATTTTGTGTGTCATAAAGCATTGTACTTTTTGACCGCTTTTGTCTTTTCATCTCATCCTGTAGTTTGCGTCTTGAGTAGCCTGCCCGAACGTTCCATGTATCGTTATCCTTTGGCTGCGATAAAAGCGACAGTGTGCGTCCCAAAGTTTGTGACCTTTTCAGTGGCTTTTTACTACGATCACCTTGTTCTAAAAGGCTATCAACAGACTGATTGCTGGGGGCTGGTGGGACTTGAATATTTCCATTTTTCATTTTTTCAAATTGCAAACCGCAACTACTTCGTAGTCCTCCTACATGCTGAGCAAGTCGTTGTAAACTTTTTACAATATCGTCGTACGTTGCCGCATTGTGTCGCATTTCACGGTTGAAAATCTCTAGCTTCGCATCAGAAAGGGACTTTTTTAGAGTTGTGAAACTGGATCGATGAGATTCGATGGCCGATTGCAAGCTCTTGTTTGCGGTGAATTGAGGTAAATCGTCATCAAGTAAAAAGGTCTTTGTGAGTAGTTTCAGCAAAAGACGGAAGGACAACAAAGTTGCACTAATGTCGTTCCTTGAATTTGATGAAAAATGTAAGCTGCCAAGAAATACGCTCATATTTGACCGAACCATAACCTACTTGAGTTTCTTCGCTGCTGATATTGGCCATACTAGAAAGCATGTGGCGAGCGTTATCACAGTTCCCGTCGCTACTGCCGAGGTATATTGTTGAATTTTTAACGTATCAAAATCGCCTTCATTTGCTGAACCCTCTCTGACCAAAATGATGAAGATGATGATGAAGCACAGACTGGATGCTAGAGCGTACAAGCTTAGTATGGACAACAGATGGACATACATCGTGACAAAATATTGCTTTATGCGCGCTACCTGTTGAAACCGGAGGCTTGTTCCAATAAGCTTTCAAAAATGCGACAATAAAGGCGCTTCCAGCCAACCAAAATCCCAGACTGATCACATGAGCAACTGTTTCCATGTCTCGATCGATATAGTAGTCCGCCGTGAGCATACTACCTAGGCATACCTTTGAAATAATACACTGTTAGCAAGTTTCTTATCTGCCTCAATAAGTTTTTAGAGTTGATACTTACTGACAGGGCAAACATCACATAACCCCAACCATATCCAGCCGCCTCGATCATGCCTCCTATGGTTTTCGCTGGATTGAAAAAAACAGTGGTGGTTGCAATAATGTGGCTTGAAGTTCTATTATGTCCCACCAAAGAATTAAGAGCTGGTATGAAGGTAAACAGCGATCCAATACAGTAAGCAATGGAGCACTTGAGAACTTGTTTTTGCTGGTGCGTAAGCTTTGGAATGGTTGGTATCCTCTGCTTGAGCCGTTGGATAAACCCAGTTACAGCATAGGGGTCATGAGCACGGCGAGAGTTCGAACGATTTCCTCTATGTTTGCTTGGTGGAAAGAATGGAGTGTCAGAGTCGGTATCGGATGAATCACTGTCTGTTGTATCATATAGATCATTCGTTCCATTATAGCCGTGTTGAGCAGCCGCCGCTTTCAAAAGTGGAGTGTTCTCTGATATTGGTTGAAAACTAAAGGCCAAAGTATTACAAAATGAGAACCGACGAAAGTTTAACTGGCATAAACTTACCTATCTGAGGACCGCGAAAAATGAGATTCGGCATCGGTTGGGACATCATATAAAGTCGATAACGAAACAGTTCTTCTCTTCAAAGTGCCATCATCCGTAACAACTTGATATCCATCAAACTTAGATAGCGATTTGAAATATCGATCACCAATATTCTCAGGCGATGCAACTAGACCTGCCATGTCATTTGCTGCTGGTTTAGAGGAGGTAGATACTATATCGCGGTGTGAAACGCCATTTTCTGCTTCCAGAAAGTCAGATCTTTGTCGCTGTCTAGATTCATCCATGGCGCCTCTTGATGTTGGAACAGGTGACGCGATGTATGAGCTAGTCGATCGCGTCAATATACTGTTCGTTCTTGTTTGGAACTGAGAAGGATTAGGCGGTGTTTGCGGAATGTCAGCAGATGAATTCTGCCCGCTACCAGCCATTGTGGGTTCTTGTTGTTTGAGAAGTCGCAGTTGGTTATGCTGAGATTCAAAAAGTGAGTCCGAAGCCATTATCAGCGAAGTCACTTTATCTCTTCCCGTGGAAAAAGACTGTTCATCTCTCTCATTTCGTACAAAAAGCCTCATCATGCCTGGAGAATATATGCAAAGTATCAAGGTAGCCCTAGCTTTTATAGGTTGCTCTTTTGCTGCCGGAGTAAGTCGTTTTTTGTTTTACTTGTATACTTGGATCAAGTTTAACTAAATCAACGTCAAAGACTGTTTGGTCTGATTGGATCTATGATTACCCTGTTTTGCAACATCAACCTGGAGCTGTCGAAGCTGCTGCTGAGCACTACTACCGAAGAGCTGTTGTTGGTGGGTTGAACTACGAGCGCTTGCCTTTGATTCCAGTCATGCTTGCTGTCATTGGACTGAGTGCCGGTCTCACTCTTATGGAAGAGCACAACTTACTTTTCGACGGTGTTTGTACATGTAAGTGTTATCTGAACATAGTTTATCATTATTTTGGTTTACTGATATATAGTTTAGTGGCTCTCATTATGGCTGTTTCAACGTACTCGACCTCCATTGCACCAGGTAAGTCATGGTTTACACCCATTATTCGGCAAATGAACAATATCTGAAGAGGTGTAAAATCTAGGATTGAAGTCATTAGCTGAAACCGGAGTCAAGGGAATGACCTCTGCTGAGGATGCTCAATCTTTGTTCGAAATTACTACCAAGATAGCCGCTGGTAACACCATTATCGTATACATTGCAGGAGGTTTGTATACAAATTGTCACCGACTATCTTCCAACGTCACTTAAACTAACACTGATCCACTTTTAGGTATTGCATTATTGCAGTTCATTCATTTCGTCCTTCTCAAAGTTTGGGCCAACAATGAAAAGAAAGCCGCTTTGCAGGAAGGTACTTCTAAGAAGAAGTCTGAGTAAAAGCTTATAGACTTGGCTACGTGGAGAGACCCATATATGAAAATTGTAATCTAACATCGTCTGGGGACTACCCATTCGTTTATCAGAGCCCTGCTTCAAATAATCATTTAAAGCCCTAAAAAAAAATATGTTGGAAATGAACTGTGAGAAATTCGTTACATTTTGACAAGTGATTGCGGGTGCAAACTCCGCAGATCCTCGGTCTTTCTAATTGATGCAAATGTTCCTGCTCATGCTTGCGTATTTTATTGTGAAGCTTTTTTCCACATCTACATTCAAGTTTTTGCTAAATGGTTTTGATGATTGATGCATCTATAGTGCAAAATTTTGGAGCTTATACCGACCATACCCTAAACTTTTAACATGTTAAGATAAACAAAAAAAAAGTGAATAAAATAGTGTTGTAGTAGCTCATATCTTCGTTTCCAGATCAGCATACACTTTCCAATGCGCACCTTGTATACGATGTTGTTGATACGGTATCTTGGCTTTGTACTTTTAGCAATGGATATGTTTAATCTACGAAACTGAAAATAAAATCCTTCAGAGTTGCGTTTTCCCTGTCTTATCCACCATAAGCACTGTGACCGCGAAAAACCATGACAGAAGCAAATTCAGCCTCTGCCACACACGTTCCTATGAATGAGCAATTGAAGACAGTCTGTGAAAAGTTAGACCAATTGACCGTCGAGTACATTCAAGAAGCAGATGCAGTTTCGAAGCTGAAAGAGACTCTAGGGAAGGAGATCGCGAAGGTAGTAATTGTTCGCTTGCATTCTTGCCACTCATAGCCAAAATACTCAGACAACAACGCAGGGATTCTTCGATTTGGGACAAGCTAAGTACTCAATGGGAACCAGCAAGCTGTCCCGATACTCATACGACGAACGCATGAAAAGCTTATATAAAATGTGAGTACTACTTATATATCGTGCTGATGGCGCGCTCAATGTCCTAGACCAATAACTCACAACGGTCTACAACTTGAATAGTCAAGTTGACGAACAAGGCGAAAATGGCAATGATATCTTTTCCATAAGCAACGTTGAATTCAAAGACGAAAATGATGGAGAGGAAACTGGTCAAATTAAGGATGAGGTGACGGAAAAGCTGAGCAATCTGTCTTTAAGGCAACGTAAGCCGGCGCATGATACCCCTGAAAAAGAGCAATTGGAAACGAAAGGCGAAAAGGAAACCACCGAGGAAACGAAACCAAAAACCAAGTCAAAAAATAAAAAGACGAAAGAGGTGCGAAAAATTGACCGCAACCCCTTACATTGGTTTGGTATACTCGTACCATCGTCTCTACGAACAACACAGCAACACTTCAAAACCGGTAATGAAAGCAAATACTATCGCTAAAGTTGACAGCATTTCTAATTAGCTCTCTGTAGTTGTAACACAAATTGTGGAGGAGGCCAATCTTGTAAACAGGTTATCAGTCCTCGAGAAGCGTTTTGAAGAGCTACAAAAGGAAAAGGAACGAATATTATGCGAAGTGTTAGATTCTGCTAAACAGCCCTCGCAGCCTTGTTCAGTTCTTGGAAAGGATGTAGAGAGCAACGGCTACGAAAGCGAGCCCGGACATGAAAGTGAGAACGAACTGGATCAAGTCGTTCCTGAAATAGATGCGTCGGACACCGCATGAATACAAAAAATTGATTCACCTTTTGCACCCTTTAATCGTATCAAACTCTTTTCGTATAAACATCTGCACATTCCTCAGCGTTTACTTCAATGGCCTTTCTTTTACTTTATTGATTGTTTATATTGTTTCTTTTTAGCATGCGTAGGGGTGGATTGGATGAGATAAATGTGTTACAGGTGCCCATGAAAACTTGGTCAAAACTATGTTTCTTCATATTTGGAATTTTCGCTCTCGCCTGACAATGCCATCAAGCCTGTGGTCATCTCCCTCATCGTCGGAAGATGAGAAATGATGGATCTCTTCGAGTTCTTCTCTGATGCTGTATTCTTGGCTACTGGAAAAGGTGGTCTTAACCACTCGCTGTAGTATTGCCTCTAAGTCTTCTTGTGTTGCATTCTCCAGATTTTCAACATAACCAAAGTCAACATCGCCATTGAATAGTCTTTCTACGGTTGACAGCATCTTATCTCCATCCATGTCAAGCTGTGTACAACTTTCCACCTCTGCTCCCACATCATCCCAAATGGTTTCGCTTCTTTCTGCAGCAACAAGATGCTGATATTCAATTTCAGCATATGCACACCAATCGCTATAAAAGGAAGTTTTTTTGAATATTCTACTCAATCAAGTTTGTTGCAACGGAACTATCAATTCCTTACCTCATCTTTTCTAAAGATTGCCCTTGGGCTGGTCTAGACTGGAGTTGGTCGTCCATTTCAATTCGTTCAATCCCGCTCAATGCATCCAAATACTGACGCTTTAGCCTTGTTGAGTTGTGTGAAGATTCATGGATCTGCAACCGATGGAAATTGATAAAAGTATCAAAGAATCTTTCGGCCAACTTTGATTTTCGCAAGTCCGTCAATGTAAACTGGCCAAGTACTTGTGGTTTGATCAAATCATTGCTATTTGTTTCAAAAGAATTAATACGGGTACTATGATAGTCATTTTGTAAAAATTTATCTCTGATACTCACATTTGACAGATGACATCCTCAAAACAAATAATCTCTGATTCGCACACTCCATACAACGTTTGCCTTTGGCCGTTGTTAGTTTGTCACCCGATTTAATTTTAATCCAATCGAATTTTCTTTACCTCTTTTCTTGCTCTTCCCAAAAGTATGACAGTTCATAGCTGGAAATTATTCCATCACCATCCAAATCCATGCATCTAAACCTGCTTTGATTTTAGCATGATAGCAACATGTAAGCCAGTTACTTTTCAGTTGCTTACCAGTATTCAGTAGACATTCTGGTTGTCTTGTCAATTTCTGAGATCAGGAACCCTACTATGGTTTAATTCGTCGTCATCACAAATAGTAATCAATCGCACAACTTACAAATAAAGTCCATATATGTCAAGGTTGATTCTTCTGTATCACTAAGAACTTGCGTATCTCTAGGGAAGGCCATTATTTTTCCGCATTCCATCACCCTAGCAGTAATCCTCGACGTGAGCACCTGGTTATTGTACTGCAGCATGTCATTCTGCGAAACAATCAGGTCATGGTCCTGATCCAACAGCCAAAATTTACAGTAGAGTACGTAAAAATGTTTGTAGGAAAAACAGTCGTGTGTCTGCCGAATTTTCTCAGTTACAACCAAAACTTGTCGAAATGGGTCAAGCGGAAAAATGTCTTACGGAATTGAGATCGATCCTTCGTTCAAGTCGTGCCAATAAGTCTCCCATATTGTACCTTTTGAATTGAGATAATGGGAGCTTTCCTGAAACACATCTGTTCTCATAATAAATGCGACATATGACCGTCTCGACTAAAATAGCAGGTTGATTAAAAGTCCTTACAAATAACTATACAGAGCCTAATAACTTACTATACCGTTCTTGAAACAGGACGTTATCAGCTAGAAACTCAAGTCCTGGATGGTTGCATACAACATCTGAATGTTATAAGATATGGTTAATTGTAACTGGCAGAATAATACTACTTTGATCATATTATACCTTCCAGTACTGGCAACAAGTCCTCTGGCGACATGTATGAACGGTCTACCTTGCATAGTAAATTGAACATAATTTCGTCGTCATCTATGCAGTCTTTTGAGATTTGGGACCAGCAACTAGATTGATCTTGAATATTAAGTCGTAGGAAGACAATAAAGCTAATTTCGTAATTACACTTACCGCAAAAATTCTTCTTGAGAGACACGCTCTCCATCGCCTCCAAAGCACTCTATTTTTCGAAAAAGTGCTAATGTCATGTACCGTGGTAACTGGCATGCTTTCGAGATACTGAGGAAATTTTCTTCAGTGAAGTATTTCTTGATGCTAAAAAGTCGGCTAACTTCATTCTAAAATTAAACGGTTAGCACTATGTTTTCGCTTTAAGCAAACACAAACAAGAAACTTTGTCTAGATACCATCCGTTCTCTGTTTCTTTCGCATGCAAGACGTTTTGCATTTGGTTCGCCCTTGCTGTAGTAAAATTTGGGTATAGCCGACTCCTTTAGTTCACAGCACTTTTTGTTTTTCGTCTTTTCCTCAGTACGAATTGTATCGGATATCGTACTCAATTGCTGGTCGTCTGGCGTTGACGGAGAAGCAGGGAGACTGATCGTTGTATTTGGTTTATCATCTTTCAAGTCATTCCCTTTCAACATGGTTTTCAACGGTATCGGAAGCTCTATTTTGTTGTCATCATTCAGTGAAGGTGACGGTGACCAGCATTCATCCTCGATCTCTATGTCCTTCAAGCGTTGTTCTAGTGATATTTCGGGAGTCGGAGAGCTCGGTGATGCCAAACAGGAAGTTGTAGAATTAATTAGCACGGACATAGGCTTGATAACTGGCTTCAAAGATGGTTTTGAAGGAAGTGAAAGAGTAACACAATTAGTGACTGGTGGATTCCCCAGAAAATCTACGAGAAAGTGGCATGAGGGAATTGTAAAATTCAAATCTGTTCTGATATATGCAGGTGCTACCTGCAATGGAAGTCTCTTCATTGTCGTCACTCTCAATCCTCTCCTGAATCAACGTTGCATCGTCAAAATTCGTCTGACATTCTTCTGATGTGGGAGCCAAAATAGCTAGCGATTTTTCAGGTCCATCTGAGGGGTAAGAAAGGTTTGCCAGCTTCTTTCGTCCTGACGCGATGGAGAAGGCTGATAAAAGCATGTCAATTGTTGAAATTGGAAAATTATCTACTAAGTGAATAGCAATGATGCCTGCAAGAACCAAGCACATTGGCATATATCGAGGAATGACATAATGTGTCACTGATCTATGAGGGTGATGCATTTTCCAAGCTATGTGGGTTACAAAACTTGTCAGTCTCAAAGGAAGGGTGAGATAGAAAAGGACAAATGGCTATTTAAATTTACAAGGCATCAAGTGGGCACAATTTCAAACAACTTTGTCAATCTGGACCAACGGGAATGCAAAGACTTATTTTGATATCAGAACCAAAAAAAGAAAAAAAGAAGAAGAAAGAGCTTAGTGGGTGTATATGGATCTAAAACTACCAACATTCCAGTTGCCAAATTTTTAAGCCAGCTTTTATTGTCCCAAATTTTTCTTCTCTGCACAACTATAACTCGCAGTTGATAAGGAAGTTGTCAATAAGACGGGTTTTACCCAGGAAAACTGCAATGCTAGCGATGAAACCACTTTCTAGATCTGACATTTCTTCATCCAAGGTCCTTGGATTGGCAATGCTAACGTAGTCTAATTTCATAGTCCAGTCTTCATGCAAAGCTGCAACTTGCTTTTCTTCTGCATTGAAGATGTCCATAGCGTCAGCAAGGAGCTTATCTCTTGAGCGTTCTCCATCTTTGTAGTTCTTTTCTATGCTTGAGAGCATCTTGTATAGAACTAGTGAGTGCTTTCTTTGTGATGGAGTAAGATAGATATTGCGTGATGACATGGCAAGACCATCACTCTCCCGCTGAGTTGGACAAATATGCAATTGTAGTGGGAAATGAAGATCCTCCACAAGTCGCCTCAAGCAAACACATTGCTGAACTGATAAGATGAAAGTTAGATGAGATATGCTATTCATATCTTCGTAGGGAACAAACAGTCAATAAAAGAAGTACTTACCATCCTTCTGACCAAAGTAAGCATGTTCAGGTTGTATCTTTGCAATCTCGTTAGTCTTTCGAATGAAATTATCTATTTCTTATTGAATGGCGACTTACAATGTTGAAGAATTTTGACACAACCGTTGCAACTCCTCTGAAAAAGTGTGGCCGTGTTCCACCTTCCAATTGATGGGAGAGTCCCTTGATTTCAACAAAAGCACCAATTTGCTTGGATACATCCAGTTCAATTCCATTAGGATAGATTTCGCTAACCTGCGGAACCAATACAGCTGTTACAGTTCCCACTGGTAACCTACTTATTTGGTCCAAATCTGCTTGAAGTGTTCTAGGATAACTGGAAAGGTCTTCATGTGGAGCAAACTGAGCAGGATTGACAAATATAGTAAGCGCTACATGGTCATTGCCTTGACGAGCGCGTTCAGCTACATAATAAATGAGATAAATGTCTTTAGCCAAAGTGGTTAGGAGAAAACCGATTATTATTTGGCAAAGAAATATACCTAAACTTATATGCCCAGCGTGGAGGGCACCCATAGTTGGAACATAACCAAGAGTTTGGCCTTGAAGTAGAATGCTGCGTCGCCAACGACGAAAATCTGCAATGCGATCAAAGACTTGAACTCCTTCCGGTATGTTGTCTATAAATTGTTTAATGGTTGAGTCATAATGGTTTCGACGGTGTATAGTTCTTACATTTGTCCATTTTGAACGGCCAAGGTGTCAACAGTCGGGGTGCCTTGACAAAAAAATTAGAATAATGAAAATAACACAAAAAAATCAGATCATACGGAGATTGTCCTCTTACCTATATAATCTTCAATATGTTACTTCAAGGTTGCCGGTCCGTTACGAAAGTCTCAAGCCGTTCAATGCTGACTGCTGGAACAAGTCGGTTTAATAGAACAACGTCTCTCTACCGTTCGTCATTTCAAGTCATGCAGATGAGCAGTAAGGTGGAAGGAAATCCTGTCATTTACACCGGTCCACTTGCGACAGTTGCTAAGCGCCTCAAGCTTTTTTCCATCGGTTCACTTGGCCTTAGTGGCGCTATCTCACCCTTTGTGTTCATTCTGGACTTTCCAGTTCCAGTCGTTGCGAAGACTGTTCTGGTAGCATCGGGTAAAGCTTACTCTAATGATGGATAGCCTTTCTCTGAACACTCAACTAATCTCTTGTCGTCTCAGCTCTGTTCACAAGTGTTTCATCCACTGCCTTGATCAATTGGGTCATGTCTCCCTACGTTACCAAGGCAACCATGTCACCATCTGACGCAGATTCCATCAACTTACATACGCTGAATGTTTTCGCACAAGAGCATATCACTACTGTGCCTATCCAGGACTTACAGCCATCCACTCGAGTATTTACAACAATCATGATAAACGAAGGGAAAATTGGCGAAGCTACAGGCAGAGTTGGTGGAAAGATTGTCAAGCCAAAGCAAGTTTTCTACGTTCATCCCGAGATCTGCCACGACGGGCCCTTGAGCAATGCATTGATAGGTGCAACCGCCGAACACCACCAGACACCCATGTCACAATAAAACCGCGTAAAATAGACATCCATAGAAGTGATATGAAGCTATAAACTGTGTATATATTTGCCAAAACGTCCCAGCATAACAATAAATTGAATGATCAAATTATGAATGAACTAGTGAAATCGACAAAATCATATTGAAACTTATCACCGTTGGTTTATTCCTTTTCGATGATACTTTCCTTTCTACCAGCATACTCTGTCCAGGAACCGTCATAGACAGAAATATTTTGCGCTCCAATGCGCTCCAAGGTGAAATAGAGGATTGAAGCGGTAATGCCACTTCCGCAGCTGGTCACAATCTCCTGATTCAAGTCAGCGATCTTACCACTCCACTTTTCCTTCAGAGCTTCATCGCTCAAAAATTCAGTTCCAGACATCAAATCTTGGAATGGCATGCTGACACTTCCAGGCATATGGCCGGAGCTGAGGGATGCTCTGGGTTCTGGAGCCTCACCAGTAAACCTGGAGTGAGATCTAGCGTCAGCGACTAAGAAGCCACTGCCTCCATTTTTGAACTTCTTCGCATTGTTGATAATGGTCTCGTAGTCCCGAACCAATTTCTCATTCACCTCCGTGACATTGTATTCAACAGGCGAAATTGACTCGGGTTCTCCGTTTTCAACAGGTCGACCTTCCGCGATCCACTTCGGTAATCCACCATTAAGCACAGAGACCTTTTGATGTCCAAAGACTCGGAAGGTCCAATATACTCTGCAAGCGGAGATGACACCAAGACTATCATAAATCACGACATGGTCACTGTTGCTTATGCCTAGTTTGCCTGGGAGCGCAAATGAATGCGTTAATTTTCAGGCCGATTGTGGTGACTCATCGGCATTCAATTGTCTTACCTACAGCGCCTGCAAAGGCATCTTTTGATGGCAGCATATGAGGGAGGTCTGACGAATGATCTTTGATTTCATCAATGCCGAAAAATTGTGCCCCTGGAATACGTTTCTCGAGATATTCCTTGTATGGGTCTCTCTGGATATTAGGCATATGCCAAGACCCGTCCAGGATCTTGAAGTTGGCATTCTCCGAAAGTTCTGAGGTCGAGACGAGAGAGCTAGGGCGAGAAGACGTTGCAAAGCCTATATCGCGTGAGAGAACACTGGTATCAGAACCTGTCAGGGTGCGCGCTTTACGCTTGATGTCCACGGTCACATGTACCTTTGGCCATATTTATTGACATTTTGGATGCTGGGCGAATGAAATTGGCAGCACGTAACATTACTTTACAATGACAAGGTCAACTGATCACAATGTTAGCTGAAGTTTATGACACAAATCTGTGACCAAATTTCTATTGGATGAATTTATCAGGCCCGGAATATTTTGTTCGATTTTGGCCCGTGCATCTTCGATACCTTGAGGTGAGTATTTACAGCCTGCAATGAATTCTCATTAATTGACTGCTGTTTCTCTTAACATGTTGGATAGCTGTATCGACATTACCTTTTAAAGCTTCCTCTAGAGCCGCGATAACCATCACCTCTTGGGCCTCTGAGACCGTCGATGTGAGACTTGCCTCAGTAACGCGACCATGCCGCGATCGAATGAAGGCAGTCTATGAGATATGGTACGCAGTGTTACAAACAGACACCCCAACACATGAATCAGATAAAATGTAACTTACAACAGTTCCCCAGCTCATTTCCATTTCAAAGTCGTGCGTAAATTCTGGTGTTTGGCCGTAAATCCAATCCCAAGATGTAAGTTCGTCTCTTGACTTTATGACTCCTTCTGGTAAATGAGAAATGTCGTCTTTTGAAAAAACGGTTGGCTCTACCGGCTTATTATCATTATGTGTGTATAAAAACTCTTCTATTACTGCTTCGCAAAATTGTTGGTGGTCTATAGTGTAGGAATAACTTCGCAAGTTGGTGACGGGTGATGGTACTGAGGCAACACCTTTGGTAACTAGGCGATCTTTGTTGACCTTTAACGCGCCGCGCAACTTATCGACGTCGGTGTCTATCAGCATGGTGCCATGGTGGTATGCTCTTTGGTTGGTCAATTTGTAAGCACTTCCAGAGACCTTAAACCCGTCTACTGCTATGTCATGTCGGCTGTTTATATATGCGGGAATATCTAGCTGATGAAGTGCCCGAGCCACGAGTTCTGCATTAGCATCCCTCGTAAACGCTGTGCGAGGCATGAAGATGGTGTAAATTGAATTTCCCATATCCTGCATTGAAAATTTCATGAGCTACATTGATTAGAAAGGCATACTTCAATTTCAATTTACTTGCGTGGTATACAGTTCCACCTCCTGAACGTCGACGAACAAGTGGTATATTATTCTCCTCCATATATTGAAGGTTGCATTCTTTGAAAGGGTTTTGGTTGCGACCAACCACCACACAGGGTTTATTTCTCCATAAATAGAGAATATATTTCTCAGGATCCGTAGTTTTAAATAGGTGGTCTTCTATTGCGAGATTGACAAAAGGATCTGTATGAGTCGAGATAAAGCATTCAACATTCTCTGTTGGCGGCAAGCCTGTACTGTAAGATCTGTAGACGCGAGAGAATACGGGCATAGGCCGTCTACAGAGCAAAGAGGCGGTTTTTGTCGCTTTGCCAAGTAGATTAGATGCACCGAGGCATTCTAATCGTCGAAGCATGCTGTGGAGTGATGCTAAGCGTGAGAAGGATCTGAAAGCCTTTGTTCTATTCAAAGCCGGCCGGGAGGTACCTTTGTGAATATTTTTTGGAACTCCTCCCATCTCAAAAAATAAAACCAGTCTTCCTTAACGCAGGAAAAAGTGATCTGTCAAGACATGAATGTAGACAAAAGCCTTTGGCCATTCCAACAGGTTCTTTCTGACGAAGAAAGTAGGGATCTTGGGACACAATCTGTGTATATAACGGATATAGATCCCAAAAAGACTACCATTTTACTGAAGTAAGTGAAATGGCAAATAACAAACGAACATACCTTCCACCGCTGATCTAAAGCAACACACGCTATGGCATAGATTCATACAACGCCAATGGCCGCAACAGCAGGGCTTAGAGCACTGTAAACGGATACGAAAAAACCTATTGCCTGAAGGACGAATCACATTATCTGTTCTGTTATGTCCAACGTCCGCTATGGGTGAAGAGGAATTGGAACGTCTACTCAACGAGTTCAACGTTGGCGATAATGCATTTGATAGAAGCCCAGTTCAAGCGATATCAGTTCCATTATATGCTCCGCTAAATCGAACGCAATTCGAATCTTGTAAACATTTGTGGCCTATAATATATCGTGAAGACACGAGACTCGATCCCAAGTTCAACGAAAGCCAAATCAACGACATTACAACACACATGCAAGCTTTGATAACGAAAAGCCAAAATTCGCTCTCCGGAGAGCTACCTGTATTTGCGCGTGTAGTAGACCCTTCCAATAATCGAATCATCGCTGAAGGTTCAGATACCCGAGCTGCTGACAAGCATCCGTTACATCATGCTGTCATGAATTGTATAGATAATGTGGCGCTTAGCGAGCGAGATAGACGGCAAAGTCATAAGAGAAAATTAAATCAGACAGATAGCCTGAGCGAAGAAGATCCTGATGTCTCCAGTCGCGACTCAACGCCGAATTTGGAAGAAACTGTTGAGAAGGTGGCCTACCTATGTACTGGTTTTGACATTTACACAACCCACGAGCCGTGCACTATGTAAGTACGATTTCAGGCTTGGATTCGAATTTCAATTTAAAATACTCTTACTTATAAATATCTATAGGTGCTCGATGGCACTTCTGCATTCTCGCATTGGACGAGTTTTTTACCATAAGCCAAGCCGGACCGGTGCTCTCGGGACAGTGTATAAAATTCACTCTCACAAGAGTTTAAATCATCATTTCAAAGTCTTCGGGGACGTTTTGAGACGCGATTTATCTCAAGCCGAGGCAACGGATCCGTATCTGCAGCTCGGTAATGACGGTAACGAAGTAGATGCATAGACCTCATCTTATTATTACATACACACCAAAATAGAATAAAAACAGCCTGCTGTCAGCAGGGGATGTACATTCATTGTTATTTTTTTTTTGTTTAAATAAAGGAAAACGATGCTTTGACTTTTTCTACTTAAATACATCACCAATAGTCAGCGTTACAAAAATTTTCAGAATGGTATTTAGAGTTATGAACATCAGAACAGTGGAGGAGTAAAGTAGAAAATGCTTTAACCGCGGAAGGGGAAGTACATAGAGCCACCAGCAGCATATTGTTTGGCGGCAATTTTTTTGTTTTGTGCATTCCTTGAGACAAGGTTTGTCAAGGTACTAGATTTGCTAGCTTTTGGGGTTGGTGGAGGGCTTCGGGCACTCATACTAGGCGACATGGGAGGCCCATGGGCAGAAGGCAAGAATTGCTGTGGGACCGGCCCGACAGTATTCGCTCTGGTCATACCGGGAGGTAATGGTGAGGATGGTATCATAGCTTCATCAAGCATTGACATTCTCGATCTATCTGGAGCATCATCATCACGACTAGATCCATTGTATTCTCGTCGACTAACAAACTCAGATGGATTGACACCGCGCTGCATCATCTTTTTCGCACTGATCATGACCTTCAAAGCTCGCACCTGTAGTCCCATTTGTCCGGTCAGAGCAGCTGTTTCATAAATTTGACTTGCTGTCGACATGGTCAGCATTTGGTGCAGAGCATGAGTTGCTAATTCCTTTAGCCTGGCGAGATTGTAAATATCAGAGAGTAATAACAACTGACAAAGAATGTGGGGTTGATGCTGTTCCGATGTCAACAGGTGATCTGTGTAGATGAACTGTAAGAAAGCTAAGGTTACAGTATGGGATTCTGGGAAGAACATGGTGCGAGTTGTTGGGCATATGGTGGCAAGTTTGCGGTGATCATGTTCCTGTTTTTCTTTTAATTCTTCGTCTTGAATCTCGATATTATCCAGCGACTTTTCCATGAGCTCACGGAAGTGTGGCCATCGCTCTGATAGTACAAGTGAGTTTACAGGGAACATCTCACCGTCATTAGATAAGATCTCAAAATCTGCCATGACGGGATCATTCAGTACACTCAAACCGAGTTCCTGGGCAATGGGAGCACAGGTAGACGCAGGTGGTATATAGATCCCGAAAGCTTCAGTGTCGACAACCGCAAGATGATCAAAGTTGACTTGTCTATGATTATAATCGTCCAAGAGTGAACGATCTCGATTACCAAGGATAAGGAAGCGACTTTCATTTTCATGCAATATGCCTCGGTTCCATGATCCAGATGATAAGATGGCTCCAGAATCAATACGCGTCCACACCAGATTAGCCAAATTGAGGGCCCATAGCTGGAACATTTGACTTGTAGGTGTGAGGCAGGTACCTGCTAAGATCATATGATGACCTAAGATGTGACCAGTAGGGAATCGTAGCCCAGGTGGTAAAACAGTACCAGACATTGAAGTCGAGTGGTCTTGTACTCTGTTGGGTGCACTGTTAGGCGAACAAAATAGCTGAAGTTCGCGTTTAACATCAGTAAAGTTATAGTTGGAGTAGATGTATACTGGATTCTCAGCGTTGGTGGTAGCTGGGGTTGTATAAGACAAACGGAATAAGACATCATCCTTATTCAAGATGGATTGTCGGCGCTGCAAATTCGGATTTCCTTCCACCTCCGTTTGCATCTCTTGATCCCAGGATCGACTGCCAAAGAGGGGCACACTACATCCAGATGACGCACTAACGGAGACTGATCGGTAAGCACCGCACTGTCGATCAAAGGGGCACACTTGTACCCACTGAAGTGTATCCAAGTCGAATACATTAATCTCGGAGATGTATTGGTTATTCAGGTCTTGTCCGCCAACAATGATAAGTCGATTTCCTGAGATGGTTGATAGATGGGCATAACGAGGACGTGCGTTAAACAAGGTAGGAAGTGACTCAACATAGTGCCACTCCATCTCTGCAGTGTCCAGCCAACAAACGTCATCCAGAGCACATAAACCTTCGGACGAAGTTCTAGAATAACCCATGCCTCCAAAGAAAATGATCTTGCCTTCATACACGCTTGCAGAGTGGAAATACCGAGGTTTAGGCGCAGGCTCGGAATCAGGTGGTGGGATGAAGCGTGACCATACATATGTTTTGAGATCGAGAACATAGAGATCGTTGGTCATTCGACGAGAACTAACGGTTCTGCCAGCAAAGACATACAACGAGTCGTTGACTACAGTGGAAGAAGCTCCCACCAACGGCGGGGGTATATCACCCGTGGTGGTTCGAATCTGCGTGGTCAAATCAGCAATCGACTGAAGACCAGGCATCAAGTTTACACAGACAAGAAAGAAAAAGAGGTATAGTGGCAGTTCTTGGGAGCTGTAAGCTTCTGTTTTGGTGATAGATTTTTGACTTTTGTACAACCCTCATTTGTATAGCCGACATTTGATGCACCTTTTTTTTTTTCTTCAACCTCAATACACACAACCTGTATGAACTGAACCTTTCGGCTACAGCTTCTAGTTTTGCTGCTATTAGTGCTCAATTTTATTAATCTGTAGGATAGATAACGCCGTATTTCGGCATGTTAGTTTCAAGGTGGGAAGCTGGGAAAAAAAGCGAACAATATAAGATTTTGGATAGCCCATCAATTGTTCCGCCTCCGCTCCCCCAATGCTTTCCATCTCGGCGATCAAGGATCTTGATTATAGCCCTAAACCACTCGACTCGCGAGATCCTGAGCGTGAACTTGATATATATTCTCCAACAACAAACAATGAAAATTTGCCTGTAATCCTCTTTGTACATGGTGGTGCCTGGCGGACGGGGGATAAATCAGAGCACATTCAACTTGCAGAGCGCTTGTCCCAACAAGGATTCGTTGTGGTCGTGAACAATTACAGGTTAAGAAAGGAAATGATTGAAAGTTGGAATGACTACGCATAACATACTGACACTGAAAATGTCAATAGACTTAGCCATAAGTCGGAAAACAATGGACCACCTGTTATTCAACACCCATCCCACATTAAAGATACCATGGACGCGGTGCGCTATATACAAAGCCGTTATGAAGGGAGAAAATTGTTCCTTGTCGGTCACTCCGCGGGCGCGCATATTATTCTTTCGATCGCGCTAAAGCCCGAATTTCAGCTCACCGGCATAGATGGTTATTTAGGAATAGAAGGAATTTATGACATTCCTCTCTTACTCAAGACTTTCCCTGGATACCTCGATTTTATACAACAGGCTTTCACGGACGATCAGGCAGAATACAATAAAGCTTCTCTGATTGGGTTTACCCCCGCTCCTACACGTTCCCCGATTGCTCTGTTGTACAGCCCTGAGGACGAATTGATAGACCCCGGACAACACGAATCCATTTATAGTTGGCTGAAGTTTCACGACATACTAGCCACGGTAAATGCCAACCTGCATGGAAAACACGACGAATGTTTGACCACTTCCGAGATGACTGATGCCATCGGTGATTTTGTCAGGAACCAACTCTAAATCTTACCGTATATTCAGAATGAATTATAGACGATGTTTACTAGTTACCTTGATTGCTTAGAAATCGCAACAAATGTCGATGAATTTGTTTACAAATCCTAGTAAATAAATTTATTTTAACACTGTAGAATGTGAGCCCCCTTCAGATTGTCATCATGCTTCCGGCGTCATCTTGAGTTTGGCTAACTCTACAGCTATTTGAGCTCCCATTGCAGCATTATTTTTCACCAGGGCAATATCTGACAAAAGGCGGTTTAGAACAGCGTATTCTTTCTTGTGCACGCAGTATTCGACGTAAACCTACTAGCTTTAAGACTGTCTCCTTTTGTAATTTCGGTTATTCTCTTCAGTAAAAATGGGGTTGCTTCTTTTCCGTGTACGCCAAAATCACTAATTGTAAAAGAATAAGATCATTTGAACACTTCTATTTTCCATACACCGTCTTTTACCTAGCTTCCTTAAGAGCTGATCCAATAGCTTTCGCAATATTACGACTGTCAGCTGCATGTTTTACAGGTATAGGGACTGCAAATACCATGCCATTCTGTAATTGCATCTCCTGATTTGCATCTTTCTGAAGGGTCAAGGATACGTTGCTTGTTCACTCTGAATCAATGTATTGACCAAACTTACGGATCATTTTTGCAGCCGCCAAAGCGTCTGGAACTTGACATGGGCTCTGTATATAAGTATAAATTAGAGAAATTCCCAAAAAGTGCTGTAGTCATAATGTTTACCATGACGCCGCTATCAGGAGTATAAAATGCAGGAAAGGCGGCACTCTCTCCAATTGTTGTGACCGGAACACCTTGCGTTTCCTGCACATTCAACATACGGTTAATTGAGAACAGAAAGGCTAGAGCAGCTATAACGAATTTTAAAGAATGAAACAACTGACCAATACTTCCAGAGTCTTTGGTATATCCAAAATGCTTTTGGCTCCAGCACACACCACCGCTACAGGTGTTTTACCAAGCTCCATCAGGTCGGCACTAATATCCATGGCTGCAGACAGGCTGACGATGAGAATCATAGATAAATCACTTTCTGTATCCCATCATACTCAGCATACTCTTCTCAGCACCGCGATGGGCTCCGCCAATGCCACCAGTAACGAAAACTGAAATTCCAGCAGCATGTGCTAAAACCATAGTACCAGCCACGGTAGTAGCGCCAGTAAGTGACTGGAAAAGTGGTTAGCACCAATAGTTAGTCGTGTTAAAGCAATGTGGGCAAACTTACATTGGCTAATACGAAAGGGATGTCTCGTCTAGACGTCTTTCGAGCATTCTTCCCGAAGCTGCCCAGCTGCTCCAGCTCATCCTTCTCAAGACCTCAACATGCTGTAAGCTAATCTTTTCCCATTACGCAACGTCTATGGCATTCATGGTATTTTCTCTCACCTATGTGAACCTTCCCTTGAAGTATAGCAATTGTAGCAGGAACAGCGCCGTTCTTCACGATGATATCTTCTACAGCCATAGCAGTCTCTACATTCTGAGGGTATGGCATCCCTTTAGCGGTGTTAAAATTAGTATACACCTGACTTCCTTCACTTATTTACGCCTGAATGTTTACCATGGCTAATGATGGTGGATTCCAACGCTACAACCGGCTGGCCACTCTTCAGCGCCGCTTTAACCGAGTGCGAGATTTTGAATTTGCTAGAAGCAACACTACTCAATAGCCGAGCCTTAGCTGCAGTTGTCACGGGTACTGTCAGTCGAGAAATGTGCATGCTCTGAATCTTTTAACGAAAGGAATATCTGTTCCTAGAACGCGTATGAGTTCGTCTTGAACCGTTGTCAACTCGCATCACGTGTTTGACTTGCTTGAACAACTCCAATTCAAATTTGATACTGCATCAGATTTATCGAAACGAAGCATAACGCTACAAAGCTACCTTTATTCATTAAATGGTAGATTTTAACGATCTCAAATGTATAATACATGGTATTTATTGCCAACTCACATTGGCAAATTCAATTGATCCAGCAATAAGTAATACCAAACATGAACCATCTATTTCAGTTTGTGAGGTCAGTCGCTTTCGCTATAGTGATTATTTCTTCGACCTTAGCACGTATTGCCTGGGTTGCTGAGACCCATAACTCTAGTTCTTTTTGTTCTCCATACACGGAAGCGTGAAACGGTACCGTCTTGTTTGGCGATTGAGTCAATATGCCTGATTTGGCTAAAAAACTGACATGTTCGCGTAATGTCCGCTGTATTTCCTACGTATCGGCGCCGTCAGCAGCAGATCTTCAATGCTACAGGGTAATGAATCACTTACTTTGAGAAGTGCATAGTAACTCCGTGATTCGTTTGCGAAAGCCGCTGCCCTATCTTGTGTATATTGTTCTCCCGTTGCCTCGTCTGTGACAAGTTTATCAGACAGTACACCAATGGCATTGCCTGCTGTTTGAATCAACTGTACAATTTGCTGTTGAGAGCGATGGACATTAGTTGGAGTACAGAGAATGGTAGGCAAATCGGTGTACGTACCTTTTCGACAGCGTGTAACTGTTGGATTCTCAAAGCGCTTTCTGATGTGCCCTCCGAGCTCTCAGAACGAGGAGCTTCTATGTCTAAGGCCATTGTCATGATATCATTATCATTGTAGTTGTTGTTGTTTTCTCCAATATCAGCCATTCTCAAAGCAACAAGGTCTACAGATTTCAGTCCAAATCAAAGGAAGAAAATGGCCTGTAAGCGTGGATATCTGCTCTCAAAGATTTTTCACGTGACCTGTGAGTCGCAAATTCCCTGCAATAATGCTATCTTCTTCAAAGGCCAATAGCACCACCAGGATAGAAGAAGGCTCAATCTCGCAACCAGGATACATGATATGCTACAACTAACTATTTCTCATAAATTGGCAGATATTTTTTAACACGGAGTAAAGTCCAGAGTTAGTGGTTAATCTTTGGGATTTTAGCATTTATCAGCTGTAATGATGATACAGAAAATAAACTACATATCATGTTCTTTCATTTAGGGCTATGCTCCTTTTTGTTTCTTCATTACTCTCAAATCTGCAACAACGTTGCCTGCTTCAAGCCAAGTGGCATCGTCCCATGTGGAAGTGGCGGGATCAATAGCTGGGTGACCCTTACTTACTTGACCACCAAACGCAGCCTTTTGTAGTTCGCCTTTTGTATGTCGGGCGGAGGCGTATCGTATATCTTTGCATAAATCAACCGTTGAATCAGGAATTTTCAAGTTCATAATTTCATCTGGAAGACTCAGAAACTGCATAGAAAGCCCTGCTTCCAAGTGCCACTGTCAACTATATGTCAGAATTTAAACGTCTCATGGCAAGTTTAGGCCCATAGCGTAATCTTACATCCATGTGGCAATGCAACGCCCAGACTCCAGGGTTATCGGCAATAAATCTAAAAAGACGCAGAGTTAAGCATCGTATGTTGGTCAACATAATGTATTCTTCATTATTGACTTCAACTTACCTAATGGCAATCCATCCTTTTCTAGGGAGAACAGCTACATCTCTTCGAGTTGGATTATGGTAATTGAAATTTGCCTCATGCTTTTTAGGGTCAAACGTTCCCTGTCCAGTACCGACAATCATGAATGTATGCCCATGCTGTAAAATCGGTATAAGTAAAAACGTTTACAAATTCGCCAAGTGCGTATCGCTACAGTACCAAATGGAAGGGATGCTCTCCGCCGTTAACTCCTCCTTGAATCACGACTTGAACGACTTTCGGCTTATTGATGACATGAAGAAAATTGACTGAATTGATGTTGCTTTGCCCACTCCACCAATTCATCATAGTAGGTCGACTGGAATCGTGTACGTATGTTTGATTATTCAGGAACCCTCTCAATCTGGTACCGTTCTTACCAAACCTGACCCTTACAACAATCGATTCGTCATACGGAGGCGCAGCAACTGGATAGTAATTGACAAGAGATTCTCCATTCATGTCTGCACAGTGTGGCATTGTATCCTTAGCAGCAACGGACCCGTCGAATGTGTCCTCTCCGTCATTGTAGCTGACTTCAGCCAAAGCTGGTGGATAGTCTTCCAAAGTCTCTGCTTCACCATGGAAGCACTGAGTATCTAGCTCTGCTCTCATGTAGTAATTTTGAGGAGTTTGGTTTGCTTCAACAATTACTGAATACCTTTGGGCTACATGGAGTGTCAGACGGTCTACAGTGTACTTCTTCATGGGGACTCCATCTGCCTGATATCCAGCTTTTGGTCAGAAACTTGTAAAATTCAATAACAGTCATTTATATTAAATACCTCGATGATGGTTAACTTGTGGTTATCAATCGAAAATCGAATGTTTGAAATCGCTCCAGCATTTATCAGCCTTAGGCGATATCTTTTACCAGGCTCAAATTTGAACTGAGGAATAGACTGGTCGCTTGTGCATTCATCATTGTCATCAAGTTCAACAGTATCACAATCGAATGATCCTCTTCCGTTTATCAAGATGTTATCTGGAACAGCCTGTGTGTATATCATCCCAGAATTAATTTACCTACAAGCATTCGGTGTCAGATTGGTAGGTCCAAACTTACCTCCAAGGCGGGGATTGAATGCAACTTCTTGACCACTGAAGCTGATGCTTTGTGATACCTGCATTGTGATTCAAAGGTTTAGTTGCATAGATAGACTGACAGTACAGCTTGGAAAATGCTTACAGGTCACTAACTGTGACTTCAAATTCTTCGTCATAGTCGTCAACATGTGGGTCTTCCTCTGGATTGTGAATAATGAGTGGTCCCATTAAGCCTACCATTAGCGAATTATTTGACGGTTAGTTTCAGCTGTTAGCGAATTTCATTGTTGTGTTTTTGCGACTTACCGTCCGCAAGCTGGCCCTTATGATGAGAATGCCAGTAATATGTTCCCCAGTTTCCAGTCTGAATTGAAACGTAGATGGGTAAGTTGATCAATATTTCATATTAGAGAATGAATGCAGTTTCTACCTACGGTATTGAACTCGTAAGTGTAAGAAGACTGAGCAGGGATAGGGCAATTGGTCATTCCGGGAACGCCATCCATCCAAGGAGTACCCCTCTGAAACATTCCATGCCAGTGCAAACTCGTTGGCTCATCTAAGTTGTTACGGACAATGACTCTCACGACGTCGTTATGATTAACTTCAATCGTTGGGCCCGGAAACTGTCCGTTGACAAGAAACATCTTGCGTTTGAAGCCATCTGGCGCAATCTCGTGCTCTTCTAAGTTCCAGTGATATTCGACGATTTTTGGTATAGCTTCGGCCAAGCGTAAGCAACAAGCCGCTGCGAATATTAATTGACCTACACGCATCAGTATCTATTGGCGGGTCTACTATAGGGGTGATTTAAGTCGATATATTGAATAATCCAGGTGAGAGAGAAAGAAAAATCACTGAAAAAGAACTCGTGCGGAAACAATGGAATTTAACGAGAAATCGCATTTATACTGATTGTTCCTACGTGGAGCAGAAGCTATTGGCCTTTGCGGCAAGTTGGTTGCGTTTGAAAGGAAATATTTGGATTACGGCTATTTACTGTCAACAACTTGGCTTCAAGAGTATCATTCAGCAAGCAATTTAAACTCCTGTTTCCCTGTTTTCATTGCAAGGATTTTTGCCGTCGCTTTTATTTTATGAGATATAAGCCGTTAGATGACGGAATACAATCCGCCCTTGGTACATTTTCTTAGCTACAGCTTATTTGGTCGTAAAATATTTTGACTGAGAAAAAATAATTTGTCCGCACAAGCTTGTTGTACCACTCAACACCATGTTAATAGAGTATTCCGATATACTTGAAGGCGTAGTGTTGCAGGTATGAATGAACTAACTTGAAGCATACCTTATTACTGTTATTCTTCCTCTCTTCCAACTGTGAGGTGGCAAAGTAAGTATGTAGGTTACCCATAACAGATCACCCTATCGGTTGCATCATTTCACACGATTCCGCAGCACTCTGTGAAGCAGGCTGCGTAAGGGCCGCCACAAAATGCGATGTTCCAACTATGGCTATCGAATCCCTCAAATACAATGCACTTCATAGGTTCTTATACCAAAAAGAAAAGAGAGAAAAAAAGGTAGCAATCTATTACTAGTTAGCAGATAGCATGAACATCTTGTAGCAGCATTTGAATATGGGAAAGGAACTAACTCACTGGACTCAGATTTAGCTGTAGATCAATTTACCTGAAGCATCGACGATTTCAATACTCCCCGTGAATCAAACTCTTCAAGATTCCTGGATCCATCTAAGCAGACTATGATCAGGTATGCGCTTCTCATATGGAATCCTTTCAGTCATTTATGTGTCATTCACGCTCTGTGAAAGTCGTCTATTGGACCTATCATGCTTGGCCGCTCCATGATTGTCGTAATCTAAAGACCGATTATTTCACACTGAAATAAATGCTGTTTGCTTTATTCTTTGAAGCACGTTATTATTATCATGCATATTCTCCACAATTAGGATTTCAATGTACAGATTCTGCATGAGCTATGTATAGTTGTTGAATGCTGTGTAAGTAAATAACTGAAACACTTGGATATATAAAAAGTTGTATCACAAGGTATCAGGGAAGTACTATTATTGTAACGCATTCCACAAATAAATCCTATTTTCATTGTAAAGGTAAACAGACAAATCCCAGGTATCCAATCTTTTTTATTTTACCAAATGTAGCGAGTGCTTCTACGCCTTACCTTTTAAAGTTGCCTTGTATCTCGGCTATATAAACGTTCTACACTCGCGTCTAGTTGTGAACTGATTATCAATCTACAAATGAAGGTATGCCCGTTTTATCTTTTAATGGTTAACCTATTTTAGCATAACTTATGGTAATTCTTCTATCACATCAGCTCTCGCTTGCTTGCATTGCCCTTGCTGCAGCATCTCTTGTCTCGGCCGCAGAGTTTGCTTTTACTGAACCAAAATTAAACACTACCTATCATCCCGGTGATACTGTTAACATCCAATGGCACGACTATGATGGAACAAAACCGACTGCTAGTCTCTGGCTGGGAACTGGTCAAAGGGCATTGCACTGGCATCCATACAAAATCATAGCAAATCTTACCGAGCCATTCCCAACTAGCTATACCTGGTCCATTCCAAAGAACTTCAAGAAGCAGCGTTACTACTTGGTTATTACCAACGAAACACCGTACCAACCTAAATCTGACTATTTCTTCGTTGCGTAGTATACTTTGTCGCTAGTCTTTGAAGTCACAGGCGAAACATTATGCTTTACTGCACATTTGCCCTATGAAATTTACTCCCAAAAAATGGTCAAGTAATAAAATGGGCTTTTTGCAAATATGAGATTTCACTTTTGGAATCTACATCGTTGGACCATTTCCATTATACCGCAATGAGGTTACATGGAAGAAAACAATCTTGGCAATGGCGAATACATGTCTCCTACATTTATCGAATGCTGTCCATTTATTGTCCTTCCTGAATGCTGTACACCTAGGAGAGATGCACTTACTCGTGAATGTCGAGTAAGTTGTGATTACGGGGGTACAAAAAACTCGATCCGAAAGGTGGAAATGATTAAAAAAAAAATTATGATAGAATTAAAAAACTTGCTCTACTTAATGGTTCGTCACACCTATCAGTTGATAAGCACCGCGTACCAATAGTGTTACGATCTTGTTATTCTTCTACCCTACATCGTCCATATGCATTATGGCCATGGATATTGTGCTTTAATATTGTGAATATTTCATAGACCTCCAAGACACCTCCTGCTTGGTACACTACAATATCAAGGGTAAAAATTCAAACAGGATCCTTTTGGTAGTGAATCACTGCACCAGAGCATTTCTGACTGTGGGACTTCAGTGCGCTTCGTTCAAATGTACACAATTTTTTGATTATTTTTGCTCTATTAGTTAAATTCCATACTTCTATCAGTCTATAAATATTTTATTCGCGTGCTACTGCTCTTGATTGACAGCCGCGCTATGACCGCGTCATATTGAAAATACGACAAGATCACTGACTGGACCTCAAATGCTAATAATATGCCTGACATTTATCAGTCTTTTCATAGTAAATGCTCTAGTAAAATAATAAAAATTGTTTTTACCCTCTTCAGAATCTTCATGTGCAGAAAAGAACACTTTTATATGTTAATTGGTACCTGATTACCGTTATTGCCGCTCATCGTCGAACTTCAGAGTGTGATTTTTTGAAAATATTCGCGATTCTGAGCGGCTTTGTGGTGCAGTGGTAGCATTCACGCTTCGGATGTGTGAGGTCCCGGGTTCAAGCCCCGGCAAAGCCCTCATTTTTTTTTGTTGGCCCTTTACCATTGAAAGCAAAGCTGTTTAGACAACGACTTTTAAGATGAACCTTTGGTTACATTTTACATGGTGCTCAGTAGACGCTAATATAATCAGTGATCACCGTATTCACTTGTAAATGACAGAGTAATCAATATATTACTGAAGCGTTCAGATTTCCGCACATTCAAAATTAACGATAGGAACTCAGCACCGCAATTTCACTTTTAAATCATACCAGATCCCAAAACATTTCAGAGGGCTTCACAATCAGTAGCACGAGAAGCTACTGTTATTTCTGTTTCTACTGGAGTGGATCCTGGCATTTTCGCTATGAAAGATTCAATTCGAAATGTCGAACCAGAAGAGTCGGATTCTCAAACTCTTCGCAATACTAAAAACTGTTCACAAGTGCGAATTGACTCCTTGAAGCTGCAATACACATTGAAAAAGAAATGGAAGGGCGATAAAATTTATTGATACTTCTCGAAAGAAGGTAAATTATAACTCATACATCAAGTTTGACCATCGAATAACTTCAATTGAATATTGATGCTTATTGCAACCTACGGCTTTCCTGAAGTAAGCGCCATCACTATACGATTGAGAGCAACTTCAATAAGAAACGAACTCCGGTAAAAATATAATAATATATAGGGTTTAAGATGGTGCAGTATCATTTTCGTAAATACACCGTCTTTCTAAATGGTCTATTTAGCTGTATCAACAACCAAGCAGATCAAGCTATCATTATTACTTAACCGTTAAATTGTGAACCCATTGTACAGTGTCCAAAAAATACTTCCACATTGGACTCAGACATCATCACATTCTAGTGATGCCGGAATAATAAAGCCCATAATACACTCGATATACGGAGCACAAGCATATAGCATATCATCCGCCATGGCGTGGCTTCTAATACTTTTCACATTAAGCGAACTAGACCTAACAACAAGTAAAAATGGATTATTACCTGCAACAATAGCACTACCGTGGAAAACCTGGGAAAAGTAGATTGCATAGGTAAGAATGTGTTATTAGGGTTTCCGTTGTGAATAAATACGTGGTTATACCTTTGAATGAAGTCCAAAAACAAAACGATTATGGACTACCGATCAATAAAAAACGTATGTCCTAAGTTGCAAATTTGCACCAGTACACTGAAAAACCCTCTGTTAGCAAGGAGTAGTGCTGATGCTCGATCCCTAAAGCCAAGCTGATTTCATCTGCTATTCACTACATCAAGAATATTCAACCGTAAGCTAGTAAACACATTGTACTTTTGTCAAAAATTAAAGGTAAAGGTCTTCTTAACTTGTAACAGCAAAAAAAAAAGATTTGCGGAACTCCGCGCTAAACAGCGAAGAAAAAATGACAAAAGATATTGCGCAGTCCGGGAATCGAACCCAGGTCTACCGCGTGGCAGGCGGTAATTATACCACTAAACCAACTGCGCGCTTGTTGTAAACGAGGACAAACAATAAAGTTATATTATGTAAAGTAATATAACGTTTAAATCAGTCATATTATGCTAGCATGCTAGCATAATAAGTACACTATTAATTATCCTACTTTTAATATTAACAAATTCAAAATTTTGGAATATTGTACAAAGCAGAGATTCAAAGCGCTACTACTGCTTTATGTATAAGGAAACCAATCTACATGCGTTGCGTTCTGAAAGGTTTTATATTCAAACCTGATACCTCCTTACTTAGCTCTGATTCCAGATGCTCTTTCCATAGGAAGAATTTTTAAAAAATTATATCAATGTATGTTCTATTCAGTAAATCTTTACTTAGTAGATACCGATCAATTTCCCTCGTGCGTTAGAGATTAAAGTGAATGCCTCGTTCAAATGGGATCGTACTTTTGGATGCAAAGCTGCATGGTAGAAGTAAGTTATATGATCCATGGCTTCATATCTAACAGAATAGTCATCATAAAAATTAACAACCCCTTATGCATGATAACTAATGAGAAAGAAATATAATAAAGTTAAATGAAATTAAAATAAAATAAAATAAATTAATAGCCAAAGTACTAATCAAGAGATAAAAACTAGCCAGGGTAAAAAGTGAAAAGCGCACAACACAAGACCCGGCCATAATTAGTTAAATAAAGATCAAGACGCGAAGTGGTTGTTTTTACACCGTTGACGCGTATACGATAATCAAAGCAATATTATATATTGATAATGAAAATGAAAATGAAAATGAAAATTTCGCCTAGAATGTTTTAGCCATCACGGAAAGGAACAGAAAATTTATTCCTCTCACAACTACCTCAGAATGAAGCAGCAAAATGGACCTTAACTTATTCTGAGTAGTGAAAAAATGTTAGCATGAAAGAAATTAATTTTGGAACGACATTCAAATATAACCATACCAAAAAAGCGAACAATAATGACCAGAACATATAATGAATGTCAGAATAAGCACAACGAATGGGTAAAAATAAATAAAAAAATAGCACAGATAGCTGAAATACTGCCTATGAGATGTTAGTGTTCTATAGCAATCACTTTTGGTTCGATGCGAATTAGCAACGCTTTTGTTGAAAATCTACTTGAAGTATTCCTTTCCCTTATTTGAATGAAACGCAATCACGACACTGAGCTTGTGTAATTTGCTTCCAGACAATGTATATCATTCCTGTTAAGACACTACTTACAAACCCTATCAGAAAATATCTAAAGGAAAGGACATTTGACTTTTGTCGCATGTGATCCATTCGGTCGATTTAAATCTTCGGTCATTGCCCATACAGAATGTTGGACAACTGTATTACTCAACTTTATTAAACAGTGAAAACATGGGTCGCTGATATCACCTGTGAGTGAAGTTCTGCACGCATGAGGTCTACAATGGTATCAGGTGTATATGATTGCTTCAGTCATACAGATTATATTCATTTTTTTCCCGCCATATCTTTGTATGGCCGCTTGGAAGTGGATTCGTCTGCACTGTGGGCATATTAATTTATACACCGAGTGCAATGAAAGTTAAAGTATGAAAATCATGCATACGTTTCATAATGCTGAAAAGACGTGACTGACAGTAAACAACAAACGGGGATAAAATGGTTGTTACAGGGTAAGACGCAAGTGGATTTTTGCTCAGACAACTGAAATGACCGAGAAGGCAAGCAACTAAAATAAGAAAAGAAAAAAAAAATTTCAAGCGCGCTGACCCAACTGTCCCATCTTTAACCTCAAGTCAATCATGGAAGACGATCTATTTTATCTTGGTAACCTACGTTGCTTGTATGTCCTCAACAGTTACAGAGTACTATTATACTGACAGAGATCGACACAGAGCCCGATTTTATGCCATCCACTCTGAGAGCAGTGGATCTGCGCTCATTGCTTTTACAGCACAATGTCGCGTACCCAATGCGCGCTACTAAGCCAGAACTTGTTGAGATTTTTAAGGAGCAAGTCATTGCAAATGCTTCCGAGATACTGAAAAACAGCAAGAAAACGAATTCACGCTCTGCGTTCTCTCAAGGGATTCAAGATGTCGACGATACATGGAGCTCTGGAGATGAAGCGCCAGTCAATCTAATCAAGTCGAAAGAGGAAATCTCGAGAGCCCAAGTGAAATCACCAAGGCGGTCTGTTGTCAAAGAAGTTACTTCGACATCACCAAAGCGTACTAGGAAGCCAAAGAAACTTCAGCTGACAGAAACGCCGAAGGATCATGAAGTAATTGCTAAGCCTGAAGAACCAGAGCAACCATCTCAGCATGTCGAAGAACCAGCGACTGGTGAAACTGGTGATGTAGCGACACAAGAAGAGGATAAAGAAAGTAAGACCATCGAAATGGTCGAAAAGGTAAATATAAATTTAACAGATCCATGGTGACAATTTATGATCAAGTGGTATCAACCATAGCTTTGTTTGTCTTGTATAGAAGGATACGTTCGTCAAGCCAACAAAGCCTGCACCACGAAAGATTAAGGCAAGAAAACCTCGTGCAGACCGATCATGGATCAAACCAAAAGCAGTGCATTCAGGACTCACATCGGATTCGGACTCTGACTTTGGTGATCGGCAAAAAAGCGGTGACAAGTCAGCTGTGGTGGAAAGCAGCTCTGTAAGTATATGAACTTTCAAGCGCATTGATCGAGAATTTCATGTTGTTGACCGTTGTTTGTATATTTCTACCCTAGCAGTTTCCAAATTTTATGGATAAGAGCCTACTTGCATCACCAGAGACCGACAACGCAGTTGTTGACACCGCTGTGCTCAGTCAAAATCAGAGTGTAGGCGAGCCCATGACTCCTGAGAGTGAGAAGGAACACATGTTCTCGTCATCTACGGCCGAGCAGGTAAACACTTCTTATACAAAATGTCCGTTCAGTATCAAGGCTAGAAACTAATGATGGGCACGCGATGATAGCCGCGAAGGTCTCTCAGAATCCGACGAGCAAACAGTAAAGATGTTAATACTTTAGAAAATCAATCAGACGACTTAAATGTTGAACAGAATGAAAAAGAAGCGGAACATGGAGAGGCATCGGCCGTCAGCTCATCACTGTATCCGGAAACTGTGACCACTATTTTTGAGGAAGTTGTCACAGAGGTTGAGGCCGATGACGAAGCAGAACCTTCGGCGATTGCTCTGGCGAAAGGCAAACAACGAGCGAAAAAAATGAAGCAGAAGAGAGTGAAAAAGCCATCGCCGCGCTTATGCCAGTTGCTTGCGTTCATCTTAACAATGAGCGCCTTCTGGTACTTTATATCTCAAATGACTTTACCGAAAGGAAACTAGTGTCAAACATGCCATACTTAAACACAGATAATCTATGAATATTTCAACCTGTGAACCGGTTTATCCGAGTTTTTACGTTTGTACAAATTGCTAGTAACATATTGACCATAGTGTGCAAAAATAGAATTTTGAATTAACGAGCGAGGGAATTAGCTGAACTTTGGTGACGCTATAGTATTAGAGGCAATATATGTTGGGTATGACAGCTGATGCCCAATAATTTAGCATTAGACATTAGGCTGACGAGGTTTGTGTCGGGTTTTATCGGCATCTTGTGTGGGCTGATGCTGGTCTATAAGCTTCTACGTGCTGCATCTTGCATACAAGCTACTTATGTCATGCAACTTTAGCAAAATGTAGCATGAATATGTTCCTGTATTCATATCTTATATGTAAATGGATAATAAACCATGCTAAGGTGTTGCGTATGTGAGTTTGCTGCTGTAGAGTAGTTCTTACTTTAAAAACATTTCAGGTGACACAAGTTAGAACCGTCCGGTAGTGGCATTGTCGTTGGTTATATGCAATGTCATTTATGACACTATATTTATTGAAATTTTGACTATTCCTTAATAATCGAGAAATACTGAATATGTCATAGGACAAAAGAATTTTCAACTCGAAAAGTCTGACAGTAGTACTTACATTAATGGGTACTTGTAATATAAAATGGTCCCGAAAAAACAAGAAACCGATCTTAGCTCAGTTGGTAGAGCGGGAGACTGTAGTGAGCCCCCAATAAGGGCTAAATTGTCATCTCTAGGTCGCTAGTTCGAATCTGGCAGATCGGAATTTTTTTGCTTTTGAATCAAATATCACTTTTTTTGAAGCCGACAACGTACAACTTTTGCTTCACCACCAAGATTCCTGCAACAAGCTTTTATTGGATAGGCTGGCCGATCAACGAGCGAAGTAATCATTATGGGAATCGATCAGCACTAAAACAGCTACCATAGCACACGAATTTAAATTAACGCTCAATCGACGCCATTTTCACATTGTGGTATAAAGAGTTTGCACTATTGGAGCCATCCTTGTGGGAAGACCCAAGTACCATCCTCAGCTTTATTTAGTTTTGCAACATCAGCTACATCGGCGACTGAAAATGTACCAAACAAATGAGGAAAGCTGTCATTTGAGCCGTCATCACTGTGGGTGACCATCTCCCACTTGATTTTGGAGTCTATGTGAGCAGACTTAATCTTGAGTACCCAGATGGCTTCATTCGAGCTGAAGAATCGATTTGCAGTATTTGGGGTTTGTTGTGCTGTCGACAAGTGTATAAAACCGCTGGCTACATCGAACGGGGTAGGTTCAAATTGCGATGCTGGGGATTGCTCAATGAAAGCGTTGTTTGGCAAGATGATTTTGTACAAATAAGTTTGGTCAACCATTGTGTTACAGAATAGAAGCTGGTTAAAAATTGAAATGGGCCCTCCAACGCTTGCATAGAAATTATCTTGAAGACACATGTCATACCTCTCGATATCAACGTCACTTCTCGTTATAAATACTACTTTGGCTAAGGGTAAACATCGATCATCGCATGTATACTTTTGAAACAAACCCGTAAGAAAATCAAAAGAAGTTGTATTTTTTAAATATATGTGTTCATTCGTGACGCCTATATCACGATTGGTCTAATTACAGAATATGGGGAGGAAGGACAAAGATTATAGTAGTAAGTGATTAAAGTGGCATGAAAGCATCAAGCCCGCTTATTTCGCAAGCCATTGGATGGTTTTGTTACTCGAAACAAGTCGGTAAGCATGCCTTGCTGCTTAGGAGTTGGCTGTCTGCTAATCTTGTCGGAAAGGCGATCGGCGTCGGCAATTTTAGGTGATGATGATTTAGCTACAAGGAAGGGGTTGTCTGCGGGGTCCGTCTCAACGTGCCGAGATGGAATTGAGATAAAACGAGGCGAAAGGGAGCCTCTTTCGAATGAACGTTCGCGGAATGGCCAATCCTTAATATCCTGTGGTTCAATGTTAGTCAATTTAGATGGTTGTCGTTCATGCGTCGGTTTTTTCGTGAGTGAGTATGGTAGCGTAGGTGAACTTGAACCCATACGTGGAGACAATGTCCCATTCACAGGTGAACGGGCGCTTGAGAGCTTTGGAGTTCCACCTCCTGAAGATAGCATCAGAATAGTTTGAGCAGCTTCTTCAGATTCATAATCGTCTGAACTTGATCTCCGTTTGAGCGGTAGACTAACGTTTCTTGGCGGAGAGTGAGGGGTCGGAGGTAGGTCGACTCTCTTCCTAATGGCAGCCAATGTGTTAGCTGCTTCGTGGGATGGAGAGAGATCGTCTGTTTGATGTTGATGAGGTGCGAGGTGAGGAAAGGATAAAGCAGCTTCAATTTCCGAAAAAGTATTTTTAACGAGGTCATGCTCCACTTTATACCGTGCATATTGCAGGCGCGTCTTCAATAACTTAGCATACTGGAAGTCAAACGCGTTAGATATTGATTTTCATATCTATCCCGTAGCTGAAAGGATTGCTTACCTCGGTGACTTCCTGCGAGATTTCTGAGGTCGCTTGGTGAGCTGATTTTGTTTGAGCATCCATGGTCGCGCTGTGAGTAGGACTTTTTGGCCGTCAGGAGCGCAATGGAGGCGATTCAAGCGACAAAACACCTTAATCTTAACGGAAGATAGGTTGAATTATTTTCGAGCTGTGGGCGGCAATTGTGTCCGAGTTGAAATCTCGCATTTACAAATGTGCGAGGTTTCAGACAGCAGTAGAAACAAGTCACGTGCCAATCCGTACCAAAATGGGAAATAAGCCAATCGTTTAGACATAACGGCGTCTTTTTTTGTAGTTACGACGCCGTTGTCAAGAAAACCTTGTAATGGTACTCAGGATGGTACTAAGTGACAAAATAGATATAGAGTCATTTCAGAGATGTCTTCTATCACTAAAGATAGATGTGCGCAGTTTTTGGTAACAGCGGAAGCAACCCTGATTTTCACCCGTAGCCTGCATCAAAAAAAGGAGCATGAATGTGACCGCGCTGCATAGAAAGAGCAATTCTTCTACGCATTCCACCCATAAGGGTGAATAGTGCGCAGTTTTCCCACAGTACAAGATGATTTCATACTACGGATCAAGCGAAATTATTACGAAAATTTTAAGCTCACTACTGTATTAAAACTTCAGCCTAAATCTTCTGCCGTTGAAAGACAAGGCTACAGTAATTAGATAGATATAAAGAATTTGAGTGAATGAATAATTAGGTTACATAGGTTGGGATCCACTAGGTTGACCAAGTCTCATATCCATCTTGTTCGAAGCATCGAGTGGCATGAAGATAGTCTTTGGTCCCTGCCCGTTTTTAGCCATGGAGCTTAGAGTTTCAAGATATCGAATTTGCATAGCAGCTGGAGTATTTAAGATGTTGGCGGCATCTCGCATTAATTTGGCGGCATCTACTTCAGCCTTCGCAGCAATGACACGAGACTCTCCGACACGCTTAGCCTGTGCCGCTGAAGATAGTGACGCTTGGAGTTCAGGAGAAAACATGATGTCTTTAATAAGGATGGATTCAATCTTGACACCCCACAATCTCGCGGAGGGTTCGATAACGTCTTGGATCTCTCCAGCAATAGCTTCCCGGTTTTCAATAGCATCCTGTAGCACCTTGCCACCGAGAATGTGTCGAAGTGTCGTTTGTGTTCTAAACACCAGACATATAGTGAATACAAAATTTATAGCAGCCAAGATGAACCACAGATCAAAGCACTGACCTTTCTGTAAGAGCTCTCTCAACATCTGTTACTGCGTATTGGGATTGGTAAGGATCCATAACGTGCCAGAAGAGGACAGACTCTATTTTGACATTGACATTATCCTAAAAGGTGATATTATTAGAATTAGTAAATCAGCCACCAAAAGGCTAAACGGACACAAAAGCTTATTGTCCATCCAGCACCAAATGAATAATATCTAGGTCGTTTTTTTTACCTGTGTCATAATCTCTTGCTCCGGAATTTCGCTGATTTGAATTTTGATATCAACCTTTCTGACTTTCTCGGTAACGGGATTGATCTAATAAACAATGTGTGTTATTAGAGAAATTTTTGTAAGCATACCATCCTATGCATGTACTCAGCCCTGTGAAAATCTAAGGAGAAACATCTGTACATACCTTGACCAGACCAGGGTCCACACACTTGTAGAATTTGCCGAAGCGGGTAACAAGACCAACGTAGCCTGATGGATTATGGATATTAATACGCTACCATGGTTCATAAATTCTACAGAAGAATTATTCATACCTTGTGGGATACGTTTATACGGATTGGGACAGCAGACTATACAAGGAATCTATAAAGGAAAATGGTGAGGAAAATGAATCGGGCAAAGCTGACATCGAAAATTAGGGATGCATCATCTTTGCACATACCGATCCACAGAATCCCAAGACTGCTCCAATTGTATCTAAGAAAAGAAAGAACCCGTGTTAAAAGTATTTCGCATATATTTGAGGTACGTAAGATGGCGTAAGCTACTTACTCATCATTGTTCCATAGCAACCCTATCGAAATTTCAAAGTATCATTGAATTATTAGTTATCGTTGTCGTAACAGGATCAAGTCTGAGCCAAGTTCTTACATGTGGAATAGAATCGAGGCCAAGTTCCATAGCGTACGTTGGTTGTAATCCTTGTTGACCTAGGGCAGCTTCAGTCTCAGTGTGCATAAGCGGAGTGGGTGGGTAGTTGGACGAAGAAGCTCGGTCAGTTAGCTCTAAAGCTTGTTCAGAGCGATTGTTTTGGTGCGTCATGGAAAGTAAACGGTTACTGGAGAAGATGACACTCAGTCGAATGTGATGTTATAAAAGATTGCGGGAAATTAGAGAGCTGCGAAGGGTAAAAGTTCAGGCAGGTATGACCAGGACTGCGATCTCAGGTGTACAAAAACTGCGAATTTCGCACACAGGTTGAGCGATTTTTCTAAACCTAGTCTGCGCACCAGTATATTTGATTCTTCAAGAAAACTGTCTTAAATACTTTTATTCGAAAGAGAGTAACTTTTTTTTCGAATAATATATTACAAGTCTTACTCAGTACGCAACGCCGCTACCTGAAGTGGATTCTCACACGAAAGGAAATTAATCTGCACTATGTCTTCAACTCCTTCTAATGACTATGTGGCCCAGGATGCTCTAAAGATTCAAGACATTCCTCAAGGAAAACTTGCTCAACAGGGCATGCAACCGTCTTTTGCCACAGAACTGAGTCTGGATACTATTGAACATGTAAGTCTGAAGAATAGCTTCGTTTGAACGTCAGCCGCAAACTAATACCTTTGTTCGTGCTAGGGCTTCTATGGGTGAGCATTCTCGAGACATTCTCGAGAACTTCACTGTCATTTGTTACAAAGTTGTTAATGTATGAACATTTCAGGTCTATGATGAACGGCTTGGGCTCCATTGCTGGAACACTTGGATCGGTATGAATTTATATTCCATTGACAACCTTAAACACTCTTCCTGACACTTTTTTCTACTGAAGGTCCCTTGTATCGTATGCTGTCCAAATCCTTATAAGCGAATTGATCAAGGCTATGTCGGTCTCATCAGCCGCTTTGGAAAATTCTACAAGTGCTCTGATCCTGGTTTGATCAAGGTAGGTACATCGGAGATCCAGCTAGAGTGGTGTCCGCAATGCTTATGCCATATCGTACCCTATACAGATAAATCCCTTCACAGAACGTATTGACCGAATTGATGTCAAAATTCAAATTCAAGAAATTACTCGCCAAATTATTATGACAAAGGACAATGTCAATGTCTCTTTGGATGCTGTTCTCTACTGGCATATCATCGATCCCTACCAAGCGACGTTCGGAGTTACTGATGTTCAAAAGTGCCTGATCGAAAGGTATTTCCCCTCGATAAGAATATAATGCCATACCCATATTTCAAAATGCTGTGATGGACTAACCAACCTGAAATTAGAACAAGAACGACCCTGCGTCATGTTTTGGGCTCTCGAGTCCTTCAAGGTAAATTTCAAAACTCCATTGTATGACTATACGAAGGCTGTCTTAACCCATTATACCTCCAGATTGTATTGAAAACAGAGAAGCCATTGCCAGCGAGATTGAAGACATCATTGGCCCAGCTGCAAAGCTATGGGGTGTCAAGATCGAATCGATATTAATCAAAGATCTATCCTTCTCGAGAGAACTTCAGGAGTCACTATCCTCAGCTGCTCAAGCGAAGCGAATTGGTGAATCCAAGGTCATTGCTGCCAAAGCCGAAGTCGATTCTGCAAAACTTATGAGAGAAGCTGCTGATATCCTCAATACACAATCTGCTATGCAAATAAGATATCTTGAGACTCTGAACGGAATGGCCAAAGCCCCACACACGAAGATCGTCTTTTTACCAAGCTCTGGGAACAACCAGCCTGTCGATGCCTCACAGTCAGTTATTTACGACTTGATGAGTCAAAGAGCATAAACCTTTGGAATACTTCAGCTGGTGATAATAATTTTGTGTAGTCCTATTTAAGCTTCTTTATCCTATATTTTTAAAACCTAAAGTACTCCTCATTTTTAAAGTAAGCCATTGCAGTTGCGTGCACTGGCCACACTGTACCAGGTTCATGTAATGACAATAAACTCTATTCACACTTTGTCGTGCGATGCAATATGGAAGTTATTTGTATACTGGCCATTGCTATATAGAGGGATCACACAATTGTTTCGGTTGATTTTTGTAAACTCACCTAAGGGACCTGCTTGAAATGAGTCGGAATATATAATTGTACATAGGGAGTTGAGGGACCAAATAGCGTATAAAAACTGAATCTCAATCTTTGACTCCCTCTTCCTCGTCATCTCCTGAGTAAAACAAAGGTTATGAAAGTATCAGCGCTCATATCTACTGCTATCCTGCTGTCAGCCAGTCAGGTCATAGCTGAAGATGGTAGTGCCATCGATTTTACAGCTATGGTTGATCCATTCATCGGGACTGGAAGTGGCGGGTATGCTCTTTACGAATGGACTGACAATATAGAACATCAGCTAATATCAAATTGGCGTCAGGCACGTCTTTCCCGGGGCAACCATACCTTTTGGCCTTGCAAAACCAGGGCCTGACACAAATTCTAGTAACAACCAAGCTGGCTATTACCCCACAGGACACATTAAAGGATTCTCCCAGCTGCATAGTGATGGTGTAAGTTGCTGAACATTCGTTTGTTATGAAAAAATATTGACTAATTCATGCGTTCATAGACGGGTGGTGTAAGTTTGAGCTTTTTATAATCCAATTCTTGCAAATGCAACACTTTCCATAACTGGTTCCTTTTATTGTCTCATTGGGTCAATTTTACAGGGTTCAAGGTTTGTGGTGATGTCTTTTGTTGGTAAACATCTGCAGCTGTTTTGTTACTGAAACTATGAGGTTGAAAAGCTATGGAAACTTCTTGTTGCAGCCAGTGACAAATTCGAGCTGGACTTACAAAGATTATTATTCCCCACGAGTTGAAGGGTCAGACAGTGAGTGAATGCTGAAACCCGTGCCTCAAATTTTTTTAAAACATCATCACTAACAATTATACCATTGTCATAGCTGCTTCCCCTGGTTACTTTTCCATCAGACTCGCACGATATGAAAATACCCTAGTAGAAGCTACAGCTACACGTAGAACATCTCTCTATAGAATCACTTATTCAGATCATACGCAGCCGGCTGTTTTAATGGATGTGGCGAACGATCTCTACAACAGCTTTCAAATGGGACAAGTAGCCGTCAAAGGTTCAAACCGAATAATAGGCTCTGGAACGTACAGGGCGAGCTTCGGGCCAGAAGACTCCTACTTTACTGCTTACTTTTGTGCAGATTTTAATGCCACTTTCAACAACTTCCAAACATTCAATCAAAATGGTCTGAGCAATAGTAGCCATGCTGTAGCTGAAGGTGAGAAACAGGTCGACTAGCTAACATATTCATAGGGATGAGAATTCTGATAATATAATTTATTAGTTGGTCAGCGCCTTGGTGCAGTGGCTTACTTTAATAGCGAAGACGTTTCGCCATTCAAACCTGTGATGGCACGTATTGGAATTTCTTTTATATCAGAGGCTCAGGCATGCCAAAATGGCGAAAATGAAATTCCGGATTCGAACTTTGATATGGTTCGGCAGGCTGCACAGCAACTTTGGAACAATGCATTATCACGCATCATAGTCGATGGCGGTACTACAGACCAACGAAAACTATTCTATTCAAGTGTAAGTGTTAAGTGATGTGTCGTAAAGCATAAATGATATTAACTTCGCGATGTATGCGCTCAGCTCTATCGTCAAATGATATCACCTGTCGATAAGACAGGCGAAAACCCGGACTATGTTTCCGATGCTTACTACGATGACTTTTATTGCGGCTGGGATATCTGGCATGGGGTAATTCCAATGTTGACCTTGCTGCAACCTGAAGCAACCTCCGGAATGGTACGAACACTGATCGATTTAGCTGAAAATATTGGCTGGATGCCTGACTGCCGAATGAGTGCGCAAGGCTGGACGCAAGGCGGTAGCAATGCCGATAACATACTAGGCGATTTCTTACTCAAGCTAGGACAATACTATGGTGGCGTCGATTGGGAAAAAGGCTGGCGAGCTTTGATGAAAGACGTCAATGACGTGAGTGTCTAGGGATGGGATAGAAATCTAATTGCCATAACTGACTGACATTTAACTCAACAGCAACCTCCGAATGACAATTGGCGTTGGGAAGGCAGAGGAGATGTCGAATTCTATAATAAACATGGATTCGTGCCTTCACATCCGTTGACAACTTGGTCCAAACCCATCGCTTCAAGACGGTCTGCTACACGTACTGTCGAATATGCATTTAACGACTTTGTTATCGGACTTGTGGCGAGAGGTAAGCGATTTGCACTACAAAGATATGGTTGTTCCCAATACGATTACTTACGTTGTAGCATTAAAGAGCTTGGAAAATCTTCCGAATACCAAAACTTTACCAGTCGTGCTTCTAACTGGAAGAATTTATGGAATCCAAAGGTGAAGGATTCCGGGCACTATGGCTTTATTCAACCAAAATACGAGGTAAGACCATGCGATTATGATATGGTTGCGCTCTTACTATGGCTTATTAACACAGCGAGACAGAATGGCACTTGGAACTATTATCCTCCTCAATTTTGCGGGCCCACAATGTGAGTATACGTAACGTCCTGTTTCAACCTTTAGATGCAGTTGCTCACATTTCGCTACAAACAGGAATCATCTCAGCTGTTTCCTCAATCCCACCGGTGGCGAATTTTATGAAGAGTCATCATGGGCTTATAGTTTTTTCATACCTCAAGATCAACAAGGTCTGATTGATATGGTTGGCGGTCCTGCAGAATTCATTTCTAGACTGGACACGTATTTTGACAAAGGATACCACGACATGGGAGATGAGCCAGCCTTCATGACGCCATTTCAATATATCTTTGCAGGGAGACCGGACAAAGCGGCTGATCGTGTCCGACGATTAATGAACATCAACTATAGCACTAACATCGCCGGTCTACCTGGTAAGTAATTTCATAATGCATGATATGAATGCTGACAGGGTTTGTTTATTTTTTATGATCCTTACTGTATGTATGTATATAGGTAACGATGATAGTGGTGCTATGGGCAGCTTCGTCAATTGGGCAATGCTTGGCCTGGTAAGTCACCCTAAATAATTTTATCCTAATTTGCAAAGGCTTTATTGACTGAGCTGTGCATGGTAGTATCCGGTTGCCGGGACTGATGTCTATCTGGTGACAACACCTTATTTTACATCCTATACTATCTCTTTGGTTGCGGTCAACAGTACCTTTACTGTTCAATGCAGTAACTTCTCGAAAGAAAACAAATACATTGCGAGCATGGAATTGAACGGACAGCCCATCAACCGAGCATATCTTCGTCATGCCGAATTTGCAATTGCCAATGTTCCTTCTACGCTAACACTTATAATGAGCAATACTTGGAATGGATTTGGAGCGAATACATATCCGCCTAGCATTACCAAAGGATTAGGCGTTGCAGTATGGTGATAAGATACAATCGACATCACATACAGATTCGAACAACATGTCATTCACTGTATATACACCACCACGATGAATAGCTCCGAAAATAATAAATTAATCATAATGCGTTTTTGAATAATGATGATACAACAAGGTTTAGAGGGTAAATGATATCAAAACAATCCTGCAGCTTCCCTCATCTCACGTTCCCAATCCTCCATATCCGCTGGTGCAGACGGGGTATCTGATGGACTTGAAGCGGCATTTTTGCTTTCTTTGGAAACCGATGATGGTGAAACAGGCGTTTCGTCTGCAACCTTTATGATCAGTCGACGTGGAGATGATAGGTTACAGCGAGTATTACACTTTACGTACCGGAAGCATCCTTAGCATCATCCATTTCTTGATCGCCTTCCACATCGTTGAAATTAAATAAGACGTCTTCCTTCTTCTCCTAAACGAGTTTAAATCCTATGTTAGGATGAGTCGAACAAAGCACACAATTGTCAGATCCTTTGATGTACCTCTTCCACATCATTTCCTTTGTATATGTCTTCGCAATTGCCATCGTCTCCATCAAATACTGATTTTTTCACTAGCATAACGCGGTAAAAGTAGTTATGCCAAAAGCCAGGTTCTTTGATTCTATTCCCAATACGTGGCGGTGCACAGCATGGTCAGAGCCTGAAACATGTTCACCTTTTGCTTTTGGTATCTGTAACACTCACATTCTAGGCACAAGCTCAAAGCGCATCTTCGACAGATTGGGATCTTCTTTGAGCGTCGCGGCTGCTACTGGACCATAGATACCTAGATCAAACTGGTAAGCAGCGCCTTCTGGTGGGTCAATGAGAAAGTTACGCCTATCCTGAAAATGAAACGGGGTCGTTAACGACAAAGGCAAAGTAATTCAATTAACCGAATTGAAGCCTTACCTTTGATAAGCTCAGAATCTTGCTCTTTAATATTTCTTCGTATTCACCAAATCCAACCCAAGCAGCCACATGTTCTACAGGTTTCCAGTATCAGTATTTTGAATAATGCGCAACGGATGATGATTTGAATGGCGGTAAGACATCTATGATACTTACCACTTCCTTTTCGAGCAGTCTTTTCTGTGTTTGATTTACTTTTAACAAATTGGTCTCTTTCTGTTTCAAAGCTCTGTGGTAAGTGCGCTATATCTGTTGGCAGATGTTGTAACTTTTCAGATATAGAATTCCACGACGAGGGAAGATCTTTCGCTTTTTGCTGGAAGGTTTGCGAAAACGCATTAACGGAATTTGATACGTTTCCAAGTAGCTGTCTAGTTTGAAATGACGAGAAAAGTCCACCAGGGACTTGAAATCGAGATTGTTTTCCTACATTGGCATAAGTTCATGTTCACTTGCAGCCACTAAGCATCTTTGAAAAGTCTTTACCTGTAGATTGCTGTGGAGAAGTTGACGGTGCTTCGGACTTATCCGCACTTTCTGTTTCAGAGGTCAAGTTGCTCATTTTCAAAAGGGACCTTTGCTGGCTTGCAAAGCAGATCCTGTTAAATTGAAGTCCGCCTCTGATGCGGACACACGACGGGTCCGAGTCATAACTTAAAACAGCACAATGGTGAATTTCTTCTTCTACAACTCCTACAGCATATCGCATCTTTAAACAAAGTTCATTCTTTTGAATCGAAGATAGGAGATTCTTCTAAGTGTAACTGATGTACAAGGTAAGGTTTGGTCTCAGTGAGGATAGACAAGGGACGCTAGTACAACTTGTATGTATAATTCTGCGCTTTTCGAAACATTTAGACGCTGCTATGTATATACTAACGAAGACATGCTTTTCATATGTACTCTATTCAGACATACATCTGTATGTAAAGCGAAAGGTGGCTCTTATGACAAAACGGTTTCCGCGGCGCGAGTAGCATGATGTCTTGCCCTTTGACCAGGTCCGATCACGCGGCCGAAAAGAAAAATTTATAGAGCTTGTGCCAAACTGTGAAGCGCCTATTGGTAGACATGGAAAACGTATATGCAGTCAGTGCAAATAAGGACTGGTTGATGCGTTCAGGAAAGCTTTTTTGTAATTGGCTTCTACAGTAAACCTATATTTTGCAACTGAGGATCTCTAATTTGATCGTGATGATTTACATACTGACTTGAAAACAGACACTTTTCAATTGCCGAGTGGCTTTTGGTATGGTGTGAGAATGAAGTCGTAGTTTACAAGCAAGACGATCAAGATGATGGTAACTCCTCACATAAACAAAGAGTAAAACAGTTACCGCTCGTACGTTTGTGATTTTAATATGGAGTGCAGCAAGTGCCTCAGAAGTCATTTCCAAAACAAATAGATTAAAGAAATTGGGCGTCAAGACTGGCTGCTTATGACGATCATGCCTTCATGCTAAAGGCTATAAATCAACTAAGAAGGTGCTTATCATGAACTATTGCTCCATCAGCTGGTTTCCAAAATCTACAAAACAAAGTTCTCAGAAACACAGCGTGCTGCAATAACGGCCAATCATTGCGCTGAATGCTTTCTTTTAAGCCAATCACCTGACTTGCTTGATCAGGACTGTGAAAATGGCCTCACTGACAGAAGTCGAAATTCCGAATATTCAAGTTTGATTCACTGCCCCTAAATCCTTTCTGGTTTCTCACTATCTCCCCTTTGTACTTGCGTAAAAAACACATAGATAGCCAGCATGAAGTTCTCTCATCAGATTCACTTCAATGCTGTGCCTGACTGGGCCGATTATTATCTACCATACTCCAATATCAAAAAACTTATCTATCAATTGGAGAAAGACAAAGTTTCCGGATCCTTAACGCAACCAAGTCATGATGATCTTGAGAATGCAGGGGCTGATGAGCGTACAAGTCTAATGAACGCTTCCCAGGCTGGCAATAACAAAATCATCGCCGTTTTGGACAAGTCATTGGACAAGATCGTCGCTTTTTATGCCAAGAAGGAAACCGAGATCTACACAGAGTTGGATCAGCTCATAGAAGCAGTCAATGAACTTCAGTCGTCGGTCGATACGATTCCTGAAGATGAAGAGATATCATCGCCTGTTCGGCCAACTATACCACGACGTCATTCCCGTAGAAGGTCCTCCATTAGTCAACCGTCTGGTCGTTTTGCTCGGAGAGAATCGACCTTGGAAGGAGAATCTGACCTGCCGCCCACTATTATCACTCATAATATTGCAGATGAGCAAACAGGGCTACTGGAATCAAGTATATCGTTAGACTTTGAGGATAATGAAGTTGCCCTAGTGGAGTTGCGCAAACGTGTCGTCGACATTTTTGTTCTTTTATCCGAACTGAAGTCGTTCGTTGCCTTGAATCTGACAGCCTTCGGCAAGATTTTGAAGAAATATGACAAAATTACAAACAGTGACCTCAAGCGTACTTACATTGCCGATATCGTCAATAGAACATATCCATTTTCCAACACTACGAAGACTGCTTTGAATGAACGCATCCAGACGGTTGAACGCATGTATGCACGATTAGCTACTGATGATAACCTCGACGATGCTATCAATGAGCTCAAGACCCACCTTCGTGAGCATATTGTATGGGAGCGCAATACAGTTTGGAGAGACATGGTGGGTCAAGAAAGAAAGGCCGTTTCCATTGCTGTGCAGTCAGGTACTCCCACCAAGATACGAACTCCGTTTGGCAAGTTTTCCGTCACTTCAGCCCAACTCAAAAAGACCATCATCGCTATCATATGCGTCTCTGTCTTTGTTACCCTTTTGAATGTCAAGACATTTGCCGGAATAGAGGAGAGCAATTGTTTTGCTATATTGATTTTCGCAAGTTTGCTCTGGGCCACTGAGCTCATGCCGCTATTCGTTACTGCATTAATGGTTCCCTTGCTCGTCGTAATGCTTCAAGTCATGCGCTCTGATGACGGACAGGACACTCGTCTCTCAGCACCCGATGCCACAAAGCGCGTCTTTGCCCAGATGTTTTCTCCCGTCATCATGTTGTTGTTGGGTGGTTTTGCTATCGCTGGTGCCCTCAGCAAGTACGGAATTGCCAAGGCTATGGCAACCTTCGTTCTTGCCAAAGCCGGAACTCGCCCTAGCCGAGTCTTGTTGATGAATATGTTCGTTGCTACCATTGCAAGTATGTGGATTAGTAATGTGGCTGCACCCGTCTTGTGCTTTTCTTTGATCCAGGTCAGTAGGGGTCATGGTTTAACAGTGTTACAAACGACTCCTAACAAAATATCTGCTTTTTTACATAGCCCATTCTCCGAACCCTCCCTGTCAATTCAACCTTTGCACCATGTCTCATTTTGGGTATTGCATTGGCGTCGAATATTGGAGGCATGGCTTCTCCTATATCCAGTCCACAGAACATCATTGCCATTCAAAACATGAGTCCTCCTCCAACTTGGGGCGAATGGTTCTTTATTGCTATTCCCATCTGTTTGATAGCTGATGTTTTGACTTGGCTGGTGCTTTTATGGACCTATAAGCCCGAGCAGACCACAGCTCAAATTCATAGTATCCGGCCTTCCAGCGATCCCATTACATGGACCCAAGTCTATGTTGGCGGTGTCACCCTAATGACCATTGTCCTCTGGTGTCTATCACATGCTTATGAAAATGTATTTGGTGATATGGGTGTTATTGCTATTCTGCCTTTAATTGCTTTCTTCGGACCCGGCTTGCTGAACAAGGACGACTTCAATAACTTCTTATGGAACGTCATCATGCTTGCAATGGGAGGTATCGCTATGGGCAAGGCAGTGGAGAGTTCTGGATTGTTGCACACTGTCGCTATTTATATCCAACAAGCTGTTCAAGGAATGAGTGCCTTTGAAATTCTATTCGTGTTCGGCTGTCTCGTTCTGGTCATCGCTACCTTTATCAGTCACACTGTTGCTGCTCTGATCATTCTTCCCATTGTTGCTCAAGTTGGTGCCGAACTGGACGATCCTCGTCCTCGCTTGTTGGTTATGGTACGTGTATGCAGAGAATCTTGTTCAATTGTCTTTGGTATTAATGTATTGTCATTTAGGGTTCCGCGCTTTTGTGCTCTGGTGCTATGGGGCTTCCTGTCAGTGGATTCCCCAATATGAATGCCATTTCCATGGTGGACGAAATGGGTCGTGAATACTTGTCAACCGCCGACTTTTTGCGAAACGGTGTTCCAAGCAGTATTCTCGTTTTGCTAGTCGTGACAACTATGGGTTATCTCTTGATGTCCATTGTTGGATACTAAGAAGTGACTTCAAAAGCGCATTTTTTTTTTCTTTTCAAAACCCTGCAGATACGAGTTTCTGCCCAGCAGTGATTGCACCATTCTTTATCCATATTTCATTTCTTGTAAACACATTTTCTTTTTTATAGTCTTCGTTTACCCGCGCTCCTTTCCGTTACATTTGTGCCCAAATGTATTTATGCTGCAATCATGCAGCTGCCAACATTCTTCAGTTTGAAGACATTGACTTTTAAATCATCAGAACAGGAAGAGAATAACATATATTGCTAATTTATGATACTTTTAGCAATAAAGCACTAGAAAGTGCAAAAGCTATTTTAGACATACCTTAGGTACTGCATCAAGTATGGAAAACATTTCGTCGTCGGTATCGTCCATGGCATCATTTCCTCGTTCCTTTACACTTCTAATTAGCTCGAATAGTGCTGTTCATTAGCATCACAACTGCACAATATAAGGTAGAGGCATTTCAATATAGCTTGTTGAAATCAACCAAAAGTTATATATTTCAGTCCGCTGAAGAAAAAAAAAAGGGAAGCACTACGGAATGGTAAAGACAAACAGCAAAGGAGATAAATTGAAAAAAAAGCGTGTAAATAGAGAAGATGTGTTTAGGCAGCCATTTCAGCTTGTTCCTGCTCTTGAGTGGATCGTTGCTTGAGGACAAGAGGTTGGCCAGTGATACGCTTGTACAAATCATGGACATCGTCGCACACAGTTTCAAAATGAGAAGTGGCATCGTATGAGCGAGAGATGAAAACTTGGTCATCCTTGCCATCAGCAAGAGGCTCCTCCAAAGGAGAAACAGAGACAAACTTCTCCCGAATAGGACCCAAAAGCTTGAAACCAGCTTCCAATTCTTGTTCGGGGTTACCGTTGCCTTCGACAATAGTTGAAACAATGGCGAGGTACTTGTCCTTGGCGCAAACATTGTGAGCTGAGCTGACGCAGGCAACATAGACATCGTGCTTACGACCAATCTGTCCTTGAGGAATGACAACCTGAACTGAATCGGCATCGCTGGTGTTGGGTATGGGGTGGTCCAAAATGCAGATAGCACGGACAACACTTCCAACAGTGCGAACCTTGTTGCTGGCATATGAGGGATCGCAAATGACAAGCTTGGTCTTTGCGACCTCATCCCCAGATCGAACTCCAGAAACCTTGCCCTCTGAGTCGTAGACAATCTCGTCAACCTTCTTATCGAGCATGTAGGTACCTCCATAGATGGCACTTAGACTGATAGGATAGCTAGGTAAGCAATTTAATCAAAACGTGATTTAACATACGCAGAACACTTACCGGGCAAAGCCTTGGGGCATTTCACCGAGACCGTAAAGAGGGTAGAGGTAAGGGCTCTTACCGTAACGGGCCATGGAAGCGGCGTAGAGGCGAATCTTCTCAATGGTTTCACGAGCGGGTTGATTGATATATCCATCATCCAAGTGGAGAGCCATGGCGTGACCAAGGAACTCTTGACTGGCAGGAGCCAATCCGAACTTGGTGTAGACATCAATCATTGTGTTCTTATCCAAGTTCAAACCTTGGTGGGTGGAAGGGTCGTCCTCTCTGTAGCTTTGAATGAACTCAAAGAACTTCTTGGCACGGCGCTTTTCAAACAAACCGAAAAGAGATGATGTGACGGCCTCAACTTCAGTGGAAGGGACCTTGTAAATCTTGCCACTGGCAAAGACATATGAACCAGCGATCTGCTTGAACTCGAGGTAGCGAGTGACATCGGTGTGGGTCAAGAAGCGGATGATTTCACCGTTGGCCATCATGAACTTGGGGACCAAATCAACGTTGTAATCACGATTGCGGCCAATGGATTCGGGAGGAGTCTGTCCGGGTCTGAACTTGTTCCAAAGCTACAACAAAAGGGAAAGACATCCAGCATTTAGCTACAATTCATGCATCAAATGACGAATATAAATTTCTTCACGATATATCGCGTCTGCAATGCTTGCTTGTAGGCAAATGCTCCCAACGACTACCTGAACCTCCCAGTTATAACGTAGCACATACCTGATCCAAGTTAAGCGAAGCGCATTCAGCACCATAATAGTCGTTGCGATCAATGTGAAGCACTTTCTTGCCTTCAACGGAGAGTAGGCCAGAGAGAATGCACTCGGTTAAACCAGTGCCAAGAACAATGCAGTCGTATTCTTCATCCTGTGAGAGTGTAAGTTGTTAGTCAAGGTTTATTGTCAGCGTTTGAGCCTTGACAACCAAGTAGTTACCATGATGACGGGGTCAAGTGTAGAGAGATGTGAGTGACAAAGGCGGTTCTTGAAACTGTGTGTGAAGGCTGCTGATGAGTGGCGTGACGTAACAGAATCAAAAAGGCTTTCGATTGCTTCACTGAATGAGCCTTATCCAATACTCATTAGTTTATTAGTACTAGCTATTGATATTATGGCCCTAAGTTCACACTAATAAGTAGATAGTATTTCATTAGAGCCACCTGCTACTATGTTCGTTTTTCACCGTTGATAGGCGAGTGTTACCATTGGTATCCAGGTTGTTACACTTCATGCCAACACCGCCAGTATCGATCAATCTCATATTATAAGATAGATATGCAATACAAGCATAGAAAAGAACTAATTTTAAAAGCTTCAAAGTCCACACAAGCGAACCCAATAGGCAAGGCTTGATCCACTTACGCTTTTATTTGTCGGAGAAATGGCTTACCATCTTATTTTTGCTCGGGAACTGCCAAGGCAGCCCTACCTTCCTTTTTGAGGCTTTCATTCCATTCCATTCTTCTAATCTCAAATGCCTAACAAATGCTGTTGCATTTTCCCGTTACGGGGCGCCACGATCGCTATTGGTCTTGCAGTAGCAGTTAGTATATTCTCTTGAAGCAAAGGGGCAGTTCGGACAACTCAATCTCACACAACGGTTTCAAAACTATTTTAGGCAGTTTCTATTGCATTGCTGGTAGCAACCTTCATACATAAGAATCGTAAGTGGAATATCTCATTATATGGGAAATGTTCATAACGACTCACATGTATTCATCTTAGCTATGATAATACACTTATCCATAATCAGCCCGGTATTGCCTTGGGTGTATATAATCATTTGTGGTAATGTATCACTTTCGGGCGTTCCTGATGTCTACCCAATTGTATACTGACCAATGATGTTGTTATATCAGCTGTGGGAGCCCTTGTTGGCATATATACAACTTTTGCGTCAATTGTGGTAAGATATATACACTGCTCGAGTCAAGACTTTTAGAATGGTTTGAGTAGAATTTTAGCACAGTGGCTTAACTCAGCCTCAAATTTTATAGGGAAAGCTTCCACTGATGAGATTGGGCAAGCTTCTATTCTGGCTTTTCTTCGCCATTGCAACTATTTGGGAAACAGCAAGTTTTGCTTTGGCGGCGATCAACAGGAGCAAATCAGTCGATACCTGCGAGCAAGCCAATCCCTCCAATGGCGCCACAGGCAACACTACAACGACCGGATTTTTGGGTATGAGTATGGGAGACACCTACGGGTTGGCTAATTGCTCGCAAGCTGTCCAAGCCGGTCTTATTGGTATTGGTGTCATGCTGTTTGCTGGGTCCTTATTTATGGTACGTATCGTATCCGTCGTGAAAGCACTATATCAGATGGCTTTACTGACTTTACCACTAGTTCTACTTTGCCACTGTTGTTTCATCTTATTGCACACGTTTGCGAGAACGCAAATTGGGTCATCGTCTCAGGGATCATTCGGACTGGGATGACAGTGTCAGGGATTTAACAGCAGCATATCGTGAGGATGCCGAGTCAGCTCCACGCTACCAAATGAAGCCATTGAACCAACAAAAGAAGAAAAGCAAGTTTGGGCTTCCAAAGTTCAAATTCGGACGAAACTGACATATAATCCATTAATGTCATCACACCAGCATCACCATCTTTATCATCTCTCGTGCTAATTTTTTGTTGTGCAAAGAGTGCTTCATTTACAGAACAATGCCATTTTACGGCCGTACCAATAAATTATCATCGCACATAAATACAAGTATTGTTCGGATTTAAGTTGTCAAAATCGGTTGTACCGGATGGGCGTCATCGTAATCCTCATTAGTGTATTATCTGACAGGCCCTTGGTATTACCTCAGTTCAGCCGGATGTGGCTCTTTGGTCCGCCCGTGCATTGTGAAGAGATCATTTCGGTTTGGCATACGTTGGAAAATAGTGATAATGACACTGTCGTAGCTAATAGATGACGTGCTGCGGAACGTGAAGTAAGAAAGGTACAGTCTTCTCTTCCAAGATACCGTAGATCCAAAAAAGAAACTCCTATTGGCCAGAGTGTCAAGCTGTGACTTCGCTATGATGTGATTGACACCCGAAAACGACGATATGGTTTAAATAAGCAGTTCATCAGCATTTTTTCTTTTTCACTTATCAACCTACCGAAATGCAAATCTCCAATCGCATTGTTCACAATTACTCTGCTCTAGCCAAACGTTCAGTGGTAGCAGCCACTCATATTCGACCTTTCAGTATCTCCGCGTGCCAATACGCAGAAAAGAAGTCAAACGAGGATCAGCCACGCTCAGTTACACACAATTATTTTGAGTCTTTGAAAGACTATGACGAGGAAAACAGTGAGTCTTATTCCAAAGACCGAGTGGAAGGAAGTTTCTGGGGTGGAGACCCTGGTCAGACAAAGCAGCCGGGAGATGAGAACGATGTAAGTATATCATTCATGCATAGTCGTGCACCTTCAAGCGCACACACTAATCGCATTATACATCGACAGGCTGTTAAGGAAGGAAATCCAAACGTGCACGAAACCTACAGAAAGGATAGTAAGACGGAAAAGGATAGTGTTCGTGGAGTAAAAAACTGAGTTCAGCATTACTGTCAAGGAAAACGACCATGCAGCGCAATCCAATTTGGATCGACTTTGTACATAGCATTTGAACCAATTTCCTACCATTATTAACGGTTCTTAACAGCTATAATAGCTGGTTATCTTCTACTACTTTCCTGTTGTATTTGATTTGATTCATGAATATATCCTCCGCTTCAAAAAAATGTATATCTCAGAAAAATATCTTTGAATCGAAACAATCTAGCTTGAGGGAGATATCAAGCAAATGATAATTTTGCGTAGGAATCCTGCAATAGACTAGTAGCAATAGAATAGTAGCATGTCATTTTACTTGATGGTGGTACTTCATGGCAAGAGGGTGCTGCATTTTGCCATGATAGCAACAATGGGCGCATATACCCTTTCTTAGCCACTGGGCATGATTTTTGGCGAATGGGAGTACTTTCCAACGCCCAAGCTACAGATCTGTCTGTCTTTCAAACGAATTGCTGGTAAACCGCTATCAATGCCAATTGTCAGTGCTGGAGAGTGTATTGGTCATTCGTTTCATTACAGCTAATTCGAGAAAATGTTGAGACCACACTTTGCTCGTATCAAAACTGTCTGTAGATGTGAAAGAAAGAACTGATCTTGGTCACATCGGAAATAGTTGAGGTATATGAAATCGAATGCTGTTTACCAATACGCTTTATATCGTCTTCACGTGAAGACCTTGAAGCGTAAGCAGTTTGTCTGCAGCGACGGTATGGTTTTGCAAAAGATGCCACAGATTGAATAGAACGAAGCAATTGGACTGTAGTAGCTTGAAGCCAGCCACAATGCCAGTCAAGCTGAACATGGGATGGAAAAGCTGCTGATCAAGCGTTATTGTAAGCGCTAACAGAAACAACGGCAACGCTTATGTCGAAATATCTATTCCCCTCCTTTGATTGTACAGAAGTTACAGTTACTACTACAATCTACTCATTTCATATGTTGTCCGAGCATCCAATTTTTACGAACCTTCTTTCAGGAATGCCATGTGATATGATATATCTGCTATATGTCTTCGGAACCGGCGTAAATGTTACCCCAGAATTTTTCATCCATGGCTGAGAAAACGCACCTGTCGGTATTCAAAAATAATGATTTGACTAAGGCTTTTTATGACTTCGACCCCGCCAAACATTAAAAAGGCTGTCAGCTCCCACACGCTAATCGGTATTCTTTACTCAACTCAACATGTCCATTGCTACCGATCGTCTTAACGCCATCAAGGGTCACTTGTCCGGAAACCACCCTAAGGGACTTTTGGCTGGTGAGGTTGCCATTATTACTGGTTCTGGGTAAGTCTAGTTCTCGCTTTCTTCGGGTTGAATACCTTTTCGAAGCATACTCACGAAAGCTTCCTATGTACACAGCCAAGGTATTGGCAAGAGCTGCGCTGAGCTCTTTGCTCGCGAAGGTGCCCACGTCGTCATCACTGATATCGATGCTGGTATGTATCATTTGAGTTGTTCTCTCACGTAGCGTTTGGTGTATGCTGATGAACACACTTTTGCTTTGTATGATAGGCAAGGCTGACCAAGTTGCCGCTGACATCAATGCTGCCGGTGGTAAGGCCATCGCCATTGCTGGAGATGTTCTCGACCCTGCTTTCCCCGAGGCTCTTGTCCAAGGCACCGTTAAGTAAGTTCAGCAAGCTGCACATTACCAAAGTAGTGTCCAAACATGTAACTCATCAAATTTGTTCCGTCATTTAGGGCCTTCGGCAAGGTCAACCATATTGTTAACAACGCTGGTTTCACCTTTGACGGTATGCTTCACAAGATCACCGACAAGCAATGGGATCTTATGCTTGCTGTTCACAACACTGCTCCTTTCCGTATTGTTAAGGCTGCTTCTCCCTACTTGGTAAGAGAGATCAAATTTCACCAAAGATATCTGCAAAACATACAACTAACCCAATACTTCTGTGTACCTGAAACAGCGTAAGCAGGATGGCGAGAACAAGTGCATTATCAACGTAGGTGTTTAGAACATTAAAACTTTGAAGTGCGTGACCTCGATAATAACATTTGTTGTGATTCCCTAGATCTCCTCTACCTCTGGTCTTCACGGTAACATTGGCCAAGCTAACTATGCCACTGCTAAGGCCGGTACCGTTGGTTTGACCAAGACCATTGCCAAGGAATGGGTAAGTTATTTCTATCTTGTTTGAGGAACTTTGGACTTATGTTGCATCTTGGTATTGATTGTGATCTATTTTTTCAATGTAGGGTCGCTTTGGAGTCCGCTGCAACACTGTTGCTTTCGGTTGGATTGACACCCGTCTCACCCGTGCTAAGGAATCTGGTGCCTCCATCGAAGTTGATGGACAGAAGGTTGCTCTCGGTATCCCACAAGGTGCTGGTAACAAGAAGAGCACCGTCAACCCCTTCGCTGACATTCCCCTTGGTCGTGCTGGTACCACCGAGGATGCTGCCGGCGGTGTCCTTATGCTCTGCACTCCCTTCGGTGCCTACATCACTGGACACACTCTTGAGATCACTGGTGGACGTGGTATCTAAATTAATACGCTCAAATGCGCGTAGAAAGTGCATATGATATCCAATAACTAGTTCTTGTAACGTCTGCTCCTTTTCACACATTGTATAAACAACAGTAAAAAATGTTATTTTCCATCACAGTAACTGTCCAGTCATGATTACGAGCGAGTAAGCAATCAAGAATACTCATGACAGTGCAGCGTAAACCACTGTGTAATGACACAATTTCCTTCCCAACACAACAAACACATTACATACAGAACATGGGTAACGAATGGCCTTAACGGTAAATTCAGCTTAATTCTTTGATTTTAATATAAGAACAAGATCCAAAAAGATGCAAAAAGCGTCTTTCCAATTCTTCTGATATTTGTGGATGGAAGAATGCTAGAAAGCATTTACTCGTCATCGACAACAGCGGTCTCCAAGCCTATACGACAAAGCAAAGTCAGCAAATGGAAACATTTTCATCTTACACACTGACGTTCAAAAATGTCAAAGTCACTTACCCTTGAAAGAGGTGACGGGAACGAAAGAAACATAAGAGTAGAGCTTCTCCTTGGCGTCCTCATCATCGTTACGCTTGCGAGCAATGCGGACACGGATGCGGTGGGGAACCTTCTTGATACCGTGGGACCAGACAGCCTTGTTCAAGGAGGGGTCAAGACGGACATCAGCGGTACCCATGGTCTTCTGAGCGAAGGTCTTGATGGCCTTGACGGCATGGGGAGCACGCTTCTTGAATTGTCTGGTTGAAAAAAAATAAAAATACAAAATGCCGTTAGCCAATGCCTCACCCAATTTTTTTTTACCCCTTGGAACATGAAAAAAGAAAGGATTCATTACCTGTCGTGGACGTGCTTGTGCAAGTGGATGGTGTACTCGCGGGTAACAACGTCGGCAAGAGTAGAACGCTTCTTGGACTGATCCTTGGCCATTGCTACATTAAGGTAAAAGTTGAAAACATTTGAATTAGTCGAATGGTTCGAACGAAACGAATAGGATTGAGTTTTGGTGCAGGTGTGGTCGATTAAGAGAAGGATCGATGAAGATGCAAGCAATAGGGTTGCAGTGCTCTCTCGAACGGATGGATGGATGTATGGGTTACTCACCGATAGATTCGAAAAGAGGGTTTGCTCAAGTCGCCGCAACCGATTTCATAAATTGGAGAGTCTGCCTGTTCGGAGCAACAATTTTCTTTAGGTCACGTGAAGTAGAGACGAGAGCAATTTTTTTTTCTTCCATTTGCCAAAGACAGTCATTCTGATTGCCCTACCATTTGACCTCCTTGCCCAAACGTGGAGTGTGCTAGGTTAATAGAGATCCATTAGTTGTCTAAGAAAAGATTGAGTGGGCATAGATTAGGTGACTGCCGGTGAAGAACTTGGCAGTACTCCTTTTTGTGTTACGAGCTTTACGATTGCTTTTTTGTTCAAAGGAGAGAGAAATAGTTGTGAGATAAGATGTCAGGCTGATAATAAAGGCTTATTTAAAATCCTTCAATATTGCCTCCTTACTCCATACAATCGTCATTCGTCATTATGCAGACTAGCAATTTGCTCCCTGCTCTCATTACTGCGCTTTGATGGGCAGGTTCGAAATGCCATTTTCAGAGCCCGACCTGTCGTGTGCTTGAACGTTGTCTTGGCTCGCAATTCACTTTTAGCGTCGTTCACTTAACATGTCATCCCCAACAAAACTATACGGCTTGGACAAGGGTATGGTTATAGTTCTATTTTACACATAAAGCTATATGTAAACCTAATGGCCGTTGGTCATTGCAGACATCCAAGAAAGACTGCAGAGCAAGTATTCGGTAGAACGCGAGCAACAGGCTCGAGAATGGATCGAAGCAACCATTGGTGAATCATTCCCAACCGAAGACTTTTATGAAAGTCTCAAGGATGGTGTCATTCTGTGCAAGTAAGTGGCTAGTCTATTTTGAACTACAAATTGGTAGTTCTTCCCATATTCACCCATTGTCATAGATTGATCGGCAAACTGCAACCCGGTTACGGTAAATACAAAGTGTCCAAGATACCATTTATGCAGATGGAGAACATAGCACGGTTTTTGGAAGGAGCTCAAAAGGCGGGAGTTCCTCAGCATGACCTTTTCCAAACTGTGGATTTATTTGAGGACAAGAACAGGATGCAGGTCGTCGATGCCATATGGTCACTGTCAAGACATGCGTACAAAAACGGTGCAGTCAATACTGTAAGTTTGCTTTGCTGCAGGTGAAGCCTATACGGAAAAGGAAGTACTATGTCATGTTACTTACTCCAGTATCCTAGTATCTTGGTCCCAAGCTTGCAGATAAGCATGAGGTTGAGTTTTCACCAGAGGTGATGAAGAAGGGAGAAACAACCTGGAATACTGTTCAATACGGATATAACAAGGGTGCAAACCAGGTAGGTTGAACGCCCAGTGGTACGTGGATAAATAACAGACCTCTAACAACTTTTTCTTTTATCAGTCGGGCATGTCCTTTGGTGCACGAAGAGAAATCGGTGGATCGTATAGAAACACTCCATCGAACTCAAGCTAGCTGAATTTTAACTTCTCTGATGTACTTGTGATGATGTTGACGTTATGCTTTGATTGCTATTAATACTTACGATTTCAAAGATTTGACTAACAATACAAATCATTTTGTTTTCCTGTTCATTATTGTGCAATAGCTTTTTTGTTATTAAAAATACTCGTCTGTGAAACCAAAATGATAGCCCCTCAGTTATAAACAAAGCAGTCGGTACCAACAATGACTTCATTTCCCACCAAAACCGTCCTGCTTTTCATATACACAAACAACTGGGTCAACCTACTATCTGCCCTTCCGAGACCAACATCACATCAAGAGTTAAAGTACCAGAAACTATTTTCTATCGCGTTGAAATTTTTAATTTGTTTTTGTTATATGTCATCATATTCTCTATACATAAAATATTACAAGGACACAAAGAGAGAGCCCAAAACGAGACCAAACAACGTCAAATAGGAGAAAGCAGTGGATGCAGAAGCACCATTGTTAATGGTAGTTTTACCAGTTGCTGTAGCTGCAGCCGTACCCAAGGCCTTTGACACGTAGGCAACATTATTCAAACTATCCACCACCTGGAAACATGATCCCTGCTCATAAAAGTCCACTTCGATGAAGTTGGGCTGTCTGCCGAAGGTGGATGTACATTGCGTGGCTTGAGTTTGGAGAGAGTCTCCGTTGGTCACGTTGGCCGAATCAGGCTGAGGGACTTCGATGGCGGTGCCTCCAAAGTTGACTACTCCATACAGAAAGTGGTTCATCACATACATCATGGAATTAGGCGAGGTTGGGTTGGTAGGTCGGTCTATGGTACAGGTGAAAGCGGTCAAGTTTTGGTTGTCGTAGGGGGTTTCGAACACATAGTCGAATTCCGACATCAGCCTAAATGAAGGGATGATGAATTAGAGGATATGAAGTCATTGTCGGGTACACTAAACCCTACAACAGCATCCGCTGAACTATTATAAGTAATACATACCAAGGAACAGAGGTTTGATCGGCGCCGGTATCGATGAAATTGACCAAGCGCTTGCCAGATGAAATCATAGATTGCAAAGTTGGCCATGTGAGGCTACCAACAGGCTGGGTATAAACGTAATTCATGATACTACCGCCACTTGAGTATGCGGACTGGAAAGCAGAAATGGGGAAGTTTCCGAGATTGTTCCACATGATAGTAACGACTTCATTGGGGTTTGCCTCAAGCCATGAAGCAATAGAAGCCAAAGTGTTGCTGGCTGTACCAGCGTCGAGTAAAGTACAAGAAGTGTGACATAACTCAATAACACCACTTTGATTGCCCTGGACAGCAGAGAGTTTTAATCCGCGGACACCGTCTGTAAGTTGTGTTGCAATAGGGTAATGTTGGTTGCCAGCAGCGTTGCTTTGGAAGCCATATGAATTGTGTGTAGTGAGATATGTAACAGAATTATAAGTCTTCGAGCACAAGCTAGAATCTCCATTACAGGCTGTTTGCGCATAAACGGATGAAGCAGCTGCTATCAGCAATGCGGTGAACAACTTCATGACGTACGAGTACCTATAAGCAAAGGTGATAAAAAGAGAGAGAAAAGGAAAAAAGAGAAAAGCAATAAGCAACGGCACGCTGTAGAAAGATTTAAATAGAGTAGCCACATTTGAGGCTGTGATGCAAAAAAAGACAAAATGAGGTTTTGTATTTTTAAATTCTGCTGCTTATTTGATTTTTACACTGGAGCCTTTTTTTTTTCTTGGCAAGCAAGCTTTTCGGCCCTAATTATCTGATATTGGCTACTCTTCGGCCGCTTGCTCTAATTGCTCCAGTCTGAGGTAAAGTTGCTGAGTTCCAATAACACATCCATTAGATTATTTAGAAAAAAAAACACGAGTCATGGAGATTGAGTGTTACCTGAATTCGAGACCCGTCGCGCGCTTCTCTTCCTGAAAGTTCAATCACCTTACTGGTGTAGCGAAAAAGAGACTCTTCCATATATACAAGGCCATGCGCAGGCCTAATCATGATATTGATCGGTCGCTGGTTATTGTTACGACCACTTTGGTGGATTTCAATGATAGACGCAGCCCGAATTGCCACATCAATTATAGCCGAACTAAGACCTTCCACCGTACTAACTTTGTCTCGATCGAAGAATTCCATCAGTTGTTCCTCGTTGCTAAAATAATCTGTACTTGAGTGTTGAATTTCTTGCATGAGCTGGATAGCCGCTAATATTCTTGTCATATTCTCAATCTGCCTCATGAACTCAATATCCACTCGAGCAGGCTTACGACTCTTCGCGCCTTGATCGACAGCCATGGTCATACCACGTTGGATATTGAGTAGTGGATGTTGATCTTCAATCAAGGCTTCCAGTTTACTTGCCACATACGTTCCATACGCAGTGCCAACCGCCATACAGCCTGTAATTAATTTGCTAGAGCCCAATCCGGTAAACGCCATTGAACTTCCGATGAACTCCAGTCCTTCCAAGATTGCTTCCATTGTCTTAAAAAAATTAAATTTCAAGGGTCCTCACATGAGTATCGCTTCCTAACTGCGTCCTTGGCAAACGAGGTTACGCTTACTTTATCATATTCCGCTTCAGTACTGCGCTCTCCAGATGTTTCACGTTGACTGTTGACTGTGGCATAAGCCAGATGCAGCTCACTAACAAGACCAATGCAGAGACTATGAAAGTATCCTTTGACAGATGCAATCAACTCCTCCTGTGCGGGGAATCCCATGGCTTTCCACTGTAGACCACCTTGCACCAAATGATCATCGTAAAATCGAGTTTTCTCGTCCAGTTGAATTTGCAATCTTCGAATATCAGTCAACAAATCATCACTTCGTTCGAACGGTGTCGTGGTTAGATGTGACATATCCTCCACCATCTAAAGAGAATATGGTAATAAGCACACGCAATTTCATGTCAAATGTGTTTTCTCCTTTTCTCCTTACATTGACATACGAAGCCACTTTTTCAACATGACTCTTGAAATACTTCCATCCACTGAAAAGTTGCTGTACAGCGAAGCTTTCTTAGTATACACGAAAGGCGCTGATAATATAATATTGTCGGCTTACTTCGATGGGCCATTGGTGATCATGTTCAATCCATTTAATAACCATGGATATTGCTTCCAAATGGGTTTTCATATGCGCATATTCTTTACCACGCCCATCACGTAAGTCATGACTTTGTGACAATCCAAGTAAAGCGGCTTGTAGTTGTTGCTCTTTTAAGCGTAGTTCCATCTCGAATTGTGGAAGTGTCATCCCTCGACTTAGTGCTTGTGACATCATCCAATGTTCCATCTGCATCGTATCACTATGAACGAGTAGTGACTGTGTTGAAAGCAATTCTGTTATAGACCGCATTACAGGTGGTGCTGGTGCCTCAGCTTGGTGTACCAGACCCAGGTGGTTTCTAGGATGAATAAATGAAGACTTTTTAAGGGTATCGGATGAAGTAGAGTCTTTGGTGTTGGTATCGTCGTCAACGAACATTTCTGTATCGTCAACCATGGTGCTTGTTCGTCGCTTAGCCACCTTCGAATCACTAAGCCCGTCAGCCACTGACAAGCTACGAGCAATGTCATTAGCAAGGCTGAGTGAGATCTTCTGCATTTTGCGTTCTCTTGCTTCATCCGAAAAACTTCTTTTTCGTTTCGGGGTGCTTACACCACTTCCGATTTGATATGAATGTGAAGCTAAACGTACCGAGTGGGTTGAACATCTTATAAATTAATACGGCTAACGCCACTTGAACATTATGCAGTGGTATGTTCCTTACCATTGTAAACCTTTCGATCTGAGTTACTACGTTTTCGTTGTCGGTACTGAGGAGAGTTTTCGTTATTCAGCGTTTCCTCTAGTAAAAAGAGAGTTTATTGTCAGCAGCTTGCTCAGCAGCTTGCCCGGCTATGCGAAGGCTGGGATCAGCTGTTAGATTCAATAGTTTTGGTGTAAACTTACCTAGCAAGCCAAGAAGAATGTTAACACAGTTCGCCCAGATGTCAATTTCTGACTTCCAGCCTGGTACATCCCTTTCACAGGGTGAATGTACTAGCATGCTTGAGTAGTAATGTGCATAAGGGAATACGCTCGACTTTCTCCAACCATGCGCAATTTTAAAGCCTGTGACTGTTAAAGAAAAATCATTGTATGGCTTTTTTTTGCGGGGCCGTCGAACGAAGGAACCGGCTATCTGGTAAACGTTAAACGAGAATGATCGAGCTTTCGATTGCTATCAGTTACTGAATCTTCAAGAATTCAAAGAGAAGAAAAGTCACTTGAAACGTGAAGAGACCGCATGAGCTAATGTTTGATACACAGAGTACCCAAACGAATATACAGAAATAGCAGTTATGCTATTGCTGAATCATACTTTGTGCTATCCAATATAAGCAAGAACTGTTCTGGTTAAGCGGCAGTATTTTGCTAGATTTGGTCAAAAAAGAAGCACAGTTAAGTCCTAACGGACAAACAACACAACGACCTAAAGTCGATTAGGCCATGAATGTTGACTGCCGGTGCACAATATGTCAGTGTGAGTGAAAGCAGAGCATCTTACATGTAAAAGATCAGACAGATAATTCTGGAGAGACTTGTACTGCCACCCATAATCTGTAAAAGACATTCTAGCTACAGCTTGGATCGTCTTCCGTACGTCACTCAATATTGAATTACAAACGAAAGTTGAATTGCAGACACGAGTGAAGCCAAACAATTATCTCTGTTGGCATAATCAATATAAACAAATCAAACAGCCATTTCGCACCAGACGAAGCAGTCGTTGCTACCTGTCAGTCTCCCATATAGTAAATTACATACGACCACAGAGATTCAAATTGTTTTTTATTGAGGCTTGTAATATGAAGATGCCGCCTCGTATATGCACACATGTCGTTCTGTATTTTCTTTGTTATACGGCCAAAACTATACTCTCTTTGCAGCCCGTCTATCCTCCTTAGTTTGAGCCTTGAAACCAGTCTTAATGGCAGTAACTGATCTTGAGGAACCGCAGGCTTCACATTGTACAAAGTACAATCGGTTATCCTTGTGCAGGATAGTATCTGGGGATTTGCAGGTTTTGCAAGTAACATAGTCTACAATATAATGTCGAAGAACGTTCTCAATTTGCTTCTGTTGGAAACGACCCTTGATGATAAGTCGTTGAGCACCATCAACGGATCCGCTGGTACCCAATTCAGCGAACAAGAATTGAATGACGTGTTCTGGATTTCGGTGCATTCTGTTGGGAATTGGCAAAGTGAAGGATTAATATAAGGGCAAGGGAAACAAGATAGCATTCAAAAGAAAATCATACGAACCGCTTGGCAATATCAGCGACGTTAGCAAAGATAGTCTTCTTGTTACCTTCACGATGAATTGATGGTGGAACGATGGTGTATCGCTTCTTTTCACCTGCAAGTTCAGGATTGTTCTGTCGAAGTGTCTTGAATGCACGGCTGAGAAGCTATAGATGAGGAATCCGATGAGTAAAATGAAAGTCGTTATCATATCTGCTGTGCCTTTACAAAAAGGCAGCTGCTCTTACCTCGCTATAGGTGTAATCGCGATCGCTGTTAAGCCATGATTCTTCACCGTCCTTAGCTTTGGCTGTTTCAGCAGCCTCACCAGTGAAAACATCTTCACCATCGGCATTGTCACCAAGTTCTGCCTCGAATTCAGCCATGTTCTTCTTCTTTTTCTTCTTCTTCTTAAGCTCACCAAAGTCAAGGTCCTCATCACCAGCTGCGGCACCTTCTTCAGCTGCCTCTGGAGCATCCTATCACAATGACATTGACCATTAATAATTTGATCTAGCATATATCAAATTGAGAGAAGTAATGCATACCTCGGTCTTGGTCTTCTTCTTCTTTTTCTTCATCTTTAAATCAGCAAACATTTGCTCAGGATCTTCTTCGTCAGCATCTAAATGACCAATGATCGCTTTTTTAATCGCTATTCAAAGAACGTAATATACACTGATCGTCGCTCTCTGTTACCTTCATTGACTTCATTGTCGGGAGTAGCTGTGCCAGAAGGTTGTTCAAGTTCGTCTTCAAAATCAACCTTCTTCTTTGACTTCTTCTTCTTTTTCAAGCTGCTAAAGTCCAGCTGATAACAGGGCAGGTTCAGTACGTAAAGAATCAACAAGACTGTTTACAATAAACAGTGACATACCTCTTCTTCATCCTCGATGGGATCTTGAATTGGGTCTCTCTCGTTGTCAGACATTCTTAGTTAGAGATGAGTGTTTTGAAAGATCTGCGCCTTTTATGAGTCAACTTAACACAATGCGCAAAAGGGAAAAAAATGCTCTTCACGTCATCTAATTTTTGTGAAAAAATTTAATTTATCGAAAAATTGATGGGTTTCGTTCTTTGGTGGCCAACGAGGACGAAAGAATTCGACCTTTATTACCATGAATGACGAGCGATCACCGGTTGAGAACATCAAAAAAGTTGATGCTCTCTTAAATACTGTATGAATAACGAATGTTGCATACTTATGAAAGAAGAGTCTGCCTAATCGTTCACTTATTTAGCTTACTGATATTCGCGCGTCCGTGAAACAGTTGTTCCAAGTAACAACCGAAGAATCACGAGCAATTGACTTTCCACAAATATTCAACGAGAGACTACGTGTAGTCAAAGGTGTCATTGGAAGATTTTCAAGCGAAGCAGAAAGTGCACAAGGTTTGTAGACTTGATGGCCATCATATTGAACCTTCTCTTCGATAAAACTGATATGAATTGATTGCTCAGGAGCTTTAGAATACGCACACAACCTTTCAGCAACAAAGACTTTCGATCTTAGCACCATTGTTGGGTACTTATATGATCAATTGAACAAATTTGAGAGAGATCATGTCGCTAAAACTGTTGTTCATGTGTCGCTAGAGATGAGCCTGTTGACGGCATGGACTTCTTGAACGATGAGATGCAAGTCAATGATGCTGGAGAAAGCAACAAGGAATTTGGTATAGCGCTAAAGAAAAATGCGTCATATCTTTTAAGGTGCGTAAGCTCTGTCATTTACTGTATGAACAAGGCAATGTAACTAATGAAGTCTCCTACACCAGAGAAATGACCACTTCCACACCATATACTCTGAAAAGGCTTAATGATATAACTGACGACAGGGACGCAAAACGAATAGATTCAAAGACGGAAGGAAGCTTGGTATCAAATGGGTACGTTCAGACGGACCAGAATCATCGGATTACAGCAGTTTGTACTTACGGTATATGCTAGGTTGATCAAAGCATTTGTAAATGACTGGATCAAAACAAGTCCAATTTCCAAATATGCGGATATACAATATGCAGTAGAGGAGAGCACTACACTGACTGGATCAGCATGCTGTCTCAAGGTAAATGGAGGGTGAATTGGCCTAAATTAACAAGATTGAGACTGAATATAGCGCTTTTAGATATCCATCCCACACGTTTTATGTGCATATCTGAGCATACAATTCGACGAGGGAAAGCATAGTGTTGTATTCGATAATTTTTGTGTTGTCGCTTACCGGGAAGATGTAAGTTAGTTCCGGCCGGTGCAGTGTACGCTGCTATGCAAAGTTCTCATCCAAACATTTGTTTTCTTTAGAAACCATTATGGGAGCGATCTGATTACGCTGTGTTTGAGAAAATTAATATTTTAGCCATGGAAAAGTTGGATGAGATGGCAAAAAGCAACGCACAAGATGCAGTTTACTCGGTGCTGGTAAGGATATCCGGATAGATCAAGTAAATTTGGGTATACACTTTCTGACGAATACTGTTGCAGAACTGGATTTCAAGTTATAACGATCTGTTCACCGCCACATGTCATAAATGTCAAAAACGATTGCTTTTCAACTCTCCACAGTTTAAGTATTTACCACCAACCCTGCGTATTCTTAAGCAATCGGAAAATGATGAATCAATTGAATGGCTATCATACCATAGTAAATGTATTTAAATAGAAGCACTATAAAGCACTTAAACACCATATTGCGAACAACGAGGAAATGCCTACTAAATGCGTAATACCTTTCAATTGGTTGAAGTGGCCACTTTAATATTATTTTGTCTTTGGAGGCATATCATCCAACCGGTGAACAATATGCGTATCATATGTGTACGCTCGCCAATGTACTGGTTAAATATTTTATTGATTACTGCCAGCCTTTTGTTTTTTGTAAATGACCTCTTCTTTTCCTTCTTTCTGCGCTGCATAGCGAGCAGCGTTAAATAGGAAATCGCTCAATCTGAATATGACCTCATTAGCATAGTACAGCATAAACAGCCAACTTTTCACTCGTCCTTTACCTGTTAAGATATTTTCCTGTGGTGCTATCGGCATCATCTTTATCAATCAAAGGGTGTACTCGTCTTTCTGCGCGACGACAAACTGATCGCGCAATATGCAGACTGGACGCAGCACGTCCACCGGACTGTTCCAATTTGAAATAAATATCAGAACACTATATTCAATCGAAAGTCTCAGCGCGTAAAGATCTTACCGGAAGAATAAAGTTCTTCAATGGTGGAAGTGTTTCGTCCATGTCATCGATCCATTTTTCAAGTTCAGCCACTAAACCACCATCTTCATCAAAGGTAGTTCGAGCTGGGAATACTCATAAGCATAGTGGGCAATTAACATCTCGCCACAAGGAATGGTCCGAACCTTTTCTAGCATCGTTAGAGTGGCCTCTAGGTGTTGCGATGTTTGAGCCAATATCTTGCAGCAAGCATTGGATCTAGGTGAATAACATAGAGTGTCAAAACGCGATGTTGGAGCAACCTTGAATGCTGCTTTTCTGATTTACCTTCTCTAGCTTTTCAGACAAACCATTATTTTGCTCATCGCAGTACTCTCTTGCCAATCTAGATATAAGAATACGTGAGATATATCGTCTCATCATGCCAGACGACAAGGATTTCTTCAACTTACCCAAGATGGGATGTGAGCTCATCCGTAGTACCTACATCAATCAACGTATGAATCAGTCAATTCAGTCATATCACCATAATGGCTTCCAGTGAGTTGCTACCTACCTAGTGCTTCAAATACTTCATCGTTTTTGGGACGACGTTCACCAGAGAATAGCGCTGACGTGCCTATTATGCTGGGTCAGTTCATATTACTCGAACTGGAATACTATTGAAACGTTTCGTCAAACCTTTATCTCCTGTTTTAGTGTATATCTTCATGTTATAGTGACTAAGACACCAAGTAGTGTCGTATGGTGAATAATTCGGACAAGTAGGGATTCCCGAAGTATGAAGATGGTACTACTTACAATGTGCTCGTATGAAATGCAGATGTTAAAAAAAGACGAGGTGGTGGTGCTACAGGTGACAGGTAAATGCGTTTTGAAGAATTGTTTGATAAAGCGACAAAGACAGTACGAGCGGCTTTTATAACATTCATTAGAGGAGGTTATAGTAAGTAGAACACTGCTCCAGTATCTTACTTTTTGACTGACTGAATAACGTGTGGTCACTTTTGGCAAGCGTGCAAAATATTTTTTGTGTGATGGCACACAATACATCTAAAATATTCAAGCGTATCGCGAGGCACCACGGCTTGTCACTGAATAACGGTGTTGTTGCGCTTGCATATCACCATATCAATTAGTGACATTATGATCACTGGTACTGAGAACAACACACTGTAGGAGCATCTAAATTCTATCGTATTGAACCAGGGACCCAAGGATTGGTTGCTGAGGCACATACGTAAATTCATTATGATAGTTTGGAGATACACCAGGGCAGCATTGATACTGGATATTTCGTAAAGAGTACCGCTTTTCATCGATCAGTCACTCGGCAATCTACTGGAACCGGCAAACTTAAAAAACCTCATCACACTCATCCATATCGCTATCCTTTCGCATCCTAAAATTGACAGTCAAGCTGAGATTGTCTTGTCCCTGGAGCCACTTTTTTTCGTTGCTACTCTGACATGTTGCGGCTGCCATTGAGACAAGCTTCAAGACTACCTACGTTGCGTCGGATAGCTCTGGAACGATCGCTACCTGCCACAGTACTGATCACCCACCGACATTCTTCCACTAATGCATCTCTTCCTGACGAAGCGGTATCTCATACTCCGGAATTGATCAACGCTCTGCTGGCAGCAAATCAGCACTTTGTAGAAACCTTTCATGGAGCTGGCCTCCCATGGTGGGCATCCATCATTACCGCGACAGTCTGCCTTCGGTCTGCGTTGACGCTACCCATCGCCGTATACCAGCAACGTGCTGTAGGTCGTATGCTCGCGGTCGCTCCCATAGTTCAAAGTTGGGGTGAGACGCTGAAGAACCAGCTTGCTCGCGAAGGAAAGACGAAAGGATGGGAGTATGAAACGTACAACATAGAACTTCAGAAGCAGGTACGTGTATTGGGATATTTTTCACCTGATGAAATTACCATATTGAATGTTTTCTTCTAGTATCGGGCAAAAGTCAAACAAATTTACAGGCAAAATGATTGCCTGCCAATGAAGAGCTTCTTGCTCCCATGGTTTCAAATCCCTCTTTTTGTTTGCATGTCATTCAGTCTTAGGGGTATGGTCATATCACCCGAGCTAATTGATAGTCTTTCAGCCGGTGGATTTGGATGGGTCACCGATCTGACAACGAGAGATCCAACCATGATCTTTCCTATAGCCATTGGCATGTCCAATTTCTTGAATGTTGAGGTAGGGTAGTTTTCCTGTCATGGGGCCGACTTTTCGTCACTAACACAGCCATGGCTCCCCAGCTCAATTCTATGTATATGCGAGACAAACAGTCATTGCGCCAGAAGGCGCTTCAAAACATATTTAGGGGCATTTCCTTTGCCATCATCCCAATTGCGGCGCAAGCTCCAATGGTAAACAATGTTCCACCGAGCAGAAAGTATGTTGCGTGACCCCAGGTTTCTAACTTCAATTCCATAACAGGCTCTGTCACTTTACTGGACCACTTCCTCCCTCTACAGTGTCGCTCAGAATGTTCTATTCCGAGTCCCAGCAGTGCGAAAAGCCCTCAAACTCCCAATTGTAAATAAACCATCTAACAATGCAACATAGAAATTTTCTGGTCTGACAAAATCAGATGTTATAAAAAAAGTTATTACATATTATGACTGCGCTATTTCTGCAGAGACAGAGTACATGAAAGTAACGGCAAATGTAGCTAGAGTGTTTATAAAAAAGGGCGGAACTTTTTTATCCAAACAAGTTCGTATTGTGAGAGAGTACGTGAGGTTCAGATGGGAGATTGAGGATAAAAGTTGATATGTGAATGGCGTTGATGGTGCAAAATGCTTAGTTGGCGAAGTAGTTGGATGGCACAATTCCAATGGTTCCATCCTGTTTTCTTGCTTGCCACCAATTTCCTTTACACTCGACGACATCCAATGCCTCGCCCTTGGTGAAGCTGAGCTCAGTAGGATCCTCAGGGTTAGCTTGGTCTATTGTATTTTGACGTTCAGTTAGTAAAACGAATTTCACATATCACCATGACACTGAAGTAAGGTGTCTGTAAAGGAGTATTACTTACAAGCATGAAGCGCAGTGACTTGCTGGTTGTATTCCAGGGGAGCTGCGGAGCCAACTCCGCCTGGTGAGGCTGGAGCATTGCCAGCAGGCAATGGCTGAGATGGGTGGTTTGCTTGGTAGACACCACCATTGTGGCCGTTCATCTCGGGGTAGCCAACGGAGCCGACGGGAGCAGAGTGGCCAGCGCTCTTAGTGTCGACAACTTCCTCCTTCTCACCACGGTTTCTAGACAGGAAAGCCATAGGAGTGCCACCATTGAAGGGAGCGGTGGCGGTTGTAAAATTGCTGGATTCCTCGGCTCCAAAAATGAACACCCATAAGAACTGCATAATGATCATTATAATCAATCCAGCGGATAAAGCAGCAGCGGCAGCATTGGAAGAGTAAACGAAAGTTCCGATGCTACCAGTGAGGTAAGAAATGCTGACAGCCAGGAATGCCAAAACCTAAAATCCGCATAAGAAAAAAAAAGGTTATTACTATGTTCATAATGATGCTACGGAAAGGTAACGGGAAACCTACCACCAAGCGGTACATTGGCAACGTGCTAGAAACAATCAAGTAGATAATGCCAAGGTTGAGAATCAACTCGAAGATAATGACCCACCAAGTGGTAGCGACATTGTCGGCCAAAAATGTGCCAATGGCACAAGCAGCACCGAAAGCGATGACCCATCCGACGAGGGAAAGGAGAACAGTTACTGAAAGCAAAGTATTGCTAAGCAGATGGTTGAAATCGATGGCCATCTTGGAATTGAGTTGCAACACGACAGTAAAAAGAGAAGAGGGGAGCTCCAGGGTACCACGAAAGCAATTTTTTATTGAAAATGGGAATGCGTGATCCGCTAAAATCTTCTAAAAATTGTTAAGTCAGCTTCGAAATCCTTTTGTGGCCAAGCCAGAAAATAATAATAATGCCTTACACCGGAACAGAGGCCAAGGTTGCATGTCTATCAGCGTCAAGACGGGGTGCGCCTGGTAGGAAGAGGTTTGAGATTCAGTTTTGGAGTGACTAGCTTTGTCACCATAGCCGAGCCTTAGTTCGATAGGCTCCTATGACATTACGCTTGACCGCCACGCTGTCAAACGCTTTGGTAAAATCATTCATCACACACAGGGGAGGTGAGTGGAAGCATCAAGTCTATCGTTGACAGATATTTTTTACATCGTCATCAAACGTGTACGATGTTTCATCATTTGAGGTGTGAAATCAATCAAGTGGCGCAAGACTTAGTTACCTCCAATCCATAACCAAAATGTTAGCCGTCCAAAAACAAAGGCGTTACCACATGTGCTTACCGCCAAGACGGGTGCAGTTTTAGTTATCTCGTGCCAATACACCGCCATGATCAGTGCTGTAAAGAAAGAATACAACTGTGCTGCTGGCATACCCTCTACACATGGTCGATATACTTTTTTGGGACTTTGATGTTTTGTTGTTTCTTTCTTCAAATTAGAAATGTATCTTGGTCACTGACTGACAAAGCGTGGCAGTTTCTTAAGTATGATAGTTTTCTCAACCCCTTCCTGTGACGGCAGAGTAAGAATATTCACTTTAAACATTGATTTTGCTGCTGGCATGTCCGCTTGACGGCGACCGGGCCGCCGCGGGTATGTCACAAAACTAACTCCATATGTCTGATATAAACCGCAGGTGTTTTTCCTATTATTCTGGTTGAAATAGAGAATGCTCATGTTAGGTTAGCTGTTTTGCCAGAATTCTGGCGTTTTCACCACTTGTCTACGAGCGTCATCGGTCCAGTTCAGTGCTGTCTATAAAGATCGCCCAAATTTGGCTTATCGCATTCAACAACAAAGAGCTATTACATTCCATTGAAATCATACCCTAAACACTGCTGTCAGTTTTCGTATTTTGTTGTTTTATTTAAGCTTTTTTTAACGACATATTTCAACTTTTCTTGTAAGAATCCAAATATATGTTTTGGCTTTCGACGGCGAAAAAATGCAGAACTTGGCAAGTGCGATGAGCGCAGAATTTTTATTTTTGGCAGAAGTGTAAATTTGGTCAAACCGGTTTCTTGTGCGCAGGTCAGGCTTGGCAGGTTTCAAATACTGACTTTTAGAGTAAAGGGATGTTACATAGTATTCTAGAGTGACAATCCAATGTGCCTGTTGGAATGCAGTTGTCATGCAATTCCCCCCTTGTTACTGTCATGACCCTTTCCTAGGGCCAATTGTCCCGAACCTGCGCCTCAGCATTTGCCACACCGCTCCACCATAAACCCCGCGTACTCGCCACACGCTTAGGTTGATGAACATGGCTCTACCACACAATCTAATATCCCGGTTATTCATCAGTGGCATCCAGAATGGCAAACTGCCTCAGGTATACCCCACTTCGGCCGGTGATGCCTATCTTACCAAAGATCACATTGCGCTTGTGATTGCGTCCACTCTGTGTGAAAAGCAAGGTAACCTAACCCGCTCATAACAATTCAGATCAACACGGTCACCATCCACGCAAGACTATTATCACTGATGCAACTTGTAGGACAAACTAGTACATTTGAACTATGCTCTATTCTCAACATTGATAGAGAGCTACTGGACTCTGTGCTAACTGAGTATGAGCAAGAGCGTGCTTGGACAGTCACCAATGATACGATTCTGACGAAGGCGAGGCAAAATTCTATTCTTGAAGACATGGACAAAGATATTACCGAACATGGGTGTGTTTCTATAATTGTCAAAGCCCAAGCGCTTGGCATTCCGTATCAGTTTTTACAAAAGGTACAAGTTGGAATGTGTATAGCGAAGTAGTATTTTTAGCCGAGTCTTGGCTAACTTCACCTGTTTTAGCTAGCAGACTCGGGGATAGCCGATGGCCGTATTCATGTTCACGATACCTTTAGCTCATCGGGATTGTTATTGAGTGAAAATTATGTGGAAGATAATGAACGAAGATTGAAGGACATACTTGCTAAAGTCACAGAGTAAGTCTAAACTTCGTCATCCGTCCTATGTATTACACCTCAGATCATTCACATTGCAAGATAGGCCACTGTCGATGCAAAAAGTACAGAAAGAGTCGGATATACCTGCAGCTGTGTTTTATGGTATGTACAAATTGACATCGCACATTTCACCAGATTACTTTAAGTTCAACTGTCGTAGATTTGTTTGAACACATTCTCAAGGGCGAGGAAACAAACGGATTCGTTCGTGGAAGAAGAGAAAATGCACTTTTTGTGCCAAATGTCTATCGGGATGGCCAAGCGTTAATGATCCGCGAATTTGTAGAATCAAACGATTGTATAGGTCCGTGTACTCACATAACTAGTGAATCCCATTTCCAGACTTCTGATGAACTTGATTTACAGACTATCAGCGACTGAATTCATACCATTTGTATAATGTGACCCCAAAAGACTTCCTAGTCAACCATTTCCCGGACATTCAACTACTTGATACCTGCGCTGTCACATCGAATATCAAACTTATTATTAAGGCCGAAATAGATGAAGCGCTCGGTAGTGATCATTGGATCAACGTCGCGGTAAGCGTGCATGTATGCTATGGAACGGTCTTTTCAAACGAAACCTAACGATGTGATGTAGAATTTGGTGTCGCCAATTTTGGCACCTTCGGACATATCCATGCTAATTGCGAATATCACCGATGAGAAAAATGACCCTCGACTGGTTCGATTGGGCCAAACCTATGTTACGACAACGGAATGGGTGAATAAATCATACGAATCACTTCGCTCTGTCCTGGAACGCAAAGCTCTTGGAGTAAGAAAAACCAAAGCTGACGAGAATGGCATACAGAAGAGGCAAAAGGCAAAGCGAGGACGACAATTATCACAAGAGCAAGATGAACTTGCTGAAGATGAGGTAAGCTCTACGTTGTAACTTATGGAAATGCGCTTTTTGTCTCATTACTTTTTGCAGCTTTTGGAAGGGCTATTGAGGAATACGGATGTCAAAACAGATCCAGATTTTGCAACACTTGTCATTGAACATCTGATGCCTAGAGCGAAGAGAGATTATGCCAATATGATTCTGTCAGTATACTTGCCAACAACACAGTATGGGAACGAGAAAAGACTCCATGCGCAGAGATTTGAAGATCTTCTTGCTGAATTTCGGTGCCGTTTCCAACTCTTCCTCAAAGCAACGGCAGTATTTGAAGGTATACATATATGACACGTAGTATGAAATGGCTGAACGTAGGCACTCATGATGAACTAGATCCTAGCACTCAAAGCAATTTGTCCAAACATTCACTTCGAACTCTTGGCGTTGAACTTGTGGACATGATCCTGACGTACCGGGCATACATTGACCAACGCAAGTCGTTTGTTCCAGCACTTGATCAAGACAAGGATATACCGTGGAATATCCATTTAGACGACACACAGCGAGAAGAACTTCTCAAAGGCATGGGTGCCGAACATCGTATGGATGCTGAAAAGGCACGCTCCATTGCAATGGCCGGAAAGGTAAATGTCATTCATTATCGAAGGGCGATGTCTATCCATGCAAATTAAGGTATTTATGCATGTCACAATAGCCTAGTGACGAATTCATCAGCCTGGTAAACAAGTTGGCCAACCTTGAAGGCGGAGATAGCAACACGGCGCAGCTGGAATCGAAATGCTCCAGATTCATCAACAGTAACCTTGTCCAACAACTCAACAATACAGACAGTGACAATGCGGCAAACGCTCCCTTAATACTGCACCTCACGGTTCTCATATGCTTCCAAGCTGTGTATAAGCTTCCGTTGCATGCCTCGGGCAAATTTGTGCCAAAAATTATTCGCCAACTCACACCGAGATTACGGTCTGATGACCGCTCAGAGGAAGCTACTACCATTGAAAGCTGCCAACAGGCCATATTACGAGCACTGGGGGCCAATAATGTATACACCGATGAAGAGCTGGTCTTAATCCGATCCACCAAGGCATTAGGAATCTGTTTAGTGAAAGAGAAGGAATAAAAAGGGTGGCTTTCCTACGTTATATTGCGCTTGGTGATGGTCTTTTCATGTAGATGAAATATCTCCTCGCATGGTTTCTTTTTTTGGGGGTACTATTTTTATTGTATTTTTATTTTCTTGTCTTTGGCATGGTGATAACGACGATGCATTAATTATAGCAAAGTGGGATGAGGTGACTATGTAAGATGTGGATTGTATGATGACGGAAAAACGGGAAATTTATACAAAGGTATCATCTAGATACTATTGCGTCTACCAACATTGCCTTTCACCTCTGTACCTTTCTGGTGTTCACCATCATGCTCCAGACGTCCAGTAGCATACTTGCGCCAGTTGTTTGTCAGTTCCTTACCAGCATCGTAACCAATAGAAAAGATATCATGGAATTTTCCAAACTCAAGTGTACCGAACTTCTGCACAGGCAATTTGATATAGAGCGTACCATCCGTCATCTTGGCTTCTTCCAACTTTGGAACACTGCTGACATAGGCCAGTCGACTTTGAATATCGGCAATGCTAGGAATCTTGTAAGTCCTGAATGGATTCCAAGCCTGTAGCAATGCCCACCATCCACTGAGCGAATCACCGTATTGCACCGGACTAGTGTCGTCTTCGGATGCCACATCGACAGCAATGATGATGTCTGCACCCATGCTCTTGGCAACCGTCACAGGCAAGTTATCCATATATCCACCGTCTACCAACATGTTTCCGTTGTCGCATATAGGCGGCATGTAGCCGGAAAGTGACATGGATGCACGTACATATCGCCAGGCATAACCAGTGGTGTGGACTTCCATGCGCGAATACGTGATATTGGTGGTAACGGCAAAGTAGGGCAGCCAGAAATCTTCAATCTGGCTATCACCAAAGCATTTCCATATAGCCCGGTTGAACTCGTGTCCTGTTGTCCATGCTGTGACAGGATAGGTCAAATCCATGAGCTGTCGCCATAGACTCGCCACTCTTCCTGAGAACATTTTTGCTCGAGCCATGGTGTAAACCAGATCCGTATTTTTGGCATAGAGGCCACCAACAAAAGATCCAATACTGGTGCCTCCAATGATATCGATTGGTATACCAGCCTCTTCAATGGCCTGAATGACTCCCATGTGACTGATACCTCTCGCTCCACCTCCACCAAGAACCAACGCCACTGATTTTCCACAAAGTCGACGAGCAAGTCTAGGGGAGAATATTGGATAAGGACGATGTTCAATTGACACACATATCAGAGTATATGCACTTACCGAGCAAAATCATTGCGTGTTCCGCTTGATACTCCACTGACAGGACCACCGCCAGATTTCTTCAGTACCAGTAAACGGCCAAATGTCGGTACTCTTACAGCAGAGTAGTACTTTTCAATTTGACCTTTGACGTTGATGAGCATGTTGATGGAGCCAGCCGTCATCTTTCGGCCATGATTGCGTAACCAGGCGGGACCGACAGAATCTTGGCGACTGGTAATTTCCAAATGTTGCCGCATAGGCATAAAGATATGATGATGGGCTTGAATCCAAAGTCGGTTCTGCATAGGTTAAATATCATTAACAAGATAACTGTAGATTCCACGCAGCCATAAAGTACAGCAGTACATACCTTGAGCCATTCTTGCGTGGTTCCTGAAGCACAATACTTTTCACCATGTAGTAAAATCAATTCTTTTCGAGCCGTCGTCTTCATGTTGATCAAGAATCGTTCATATTCACCTACAGAAGGGTCACCGTCACCTAAACCCACTAACAAGATACAATCAGCTTGGCGAATGCACGTCCTTGTCCATTGGGATGTGACGCCACCGTCTGCAAGATACAAGACAATGCGAGCCTTTTCTTCTTGTTCAGCCAGCCAAGACGTGAGCTTGAGTTTTCCCATTCGCGAAAATGCATGCTTGCCCATGACCGACATGATAGTTGCACTGTTTAGCAGAACTGTTTCCGCACCAACACTATGAACAAGAGCACTTCTCAGGTGCTCGGCAAAGGCGGTTACAGGCACCGATGAAGATACTGGAATGATGCCAACCGTTTTGAGATTCACATTGTTGCGACCGAACAATTCAGGGAACTTGTTGTTTGAGAATGTAGACGATATTGAAGCCACTGGACTGCTATCCTTTGTTGACAGGTTGAAAGTTGGAACCTGTACTCCTTGCGGACTCTGAGCTTTGATCACTAGCTGCCGTGAACGCAGTGCGATCATACGAGAAATTTGCAGGGTGATTTCGGGATGTCGAATAGCCAATGCGTTAAACAGAGTCTTTGGCATGCGCGCCAGTTCAGTGTCACGAATGGCGTGAAGGGTGGAAGGGGTTGGTGTACCAGCTACAAGGGTGTAGAACAAATGGTCAGTAAAAATGGAACGCAATCTTAAGCTAGTTAATATCTTCGAAAACCTACTCAGAACTTCAAGTTCGCCAACGCTGTCACCGTGACCGAATTCACCAAGGATGTCAATGCCGCCCTCCTTTCTTTCCGAAATAGTTCTCAGACGCCCATTGAGGACAATATATATGGAATTACTGGGTTCTCCTTGTCGATAGATGATCTGTCCTGCAGGAACTTGAACCCATTCTAAAGCGAAATCGACATGCAATACTAAAACCCATAAAAGGATGTGTTACTGGTCAACGTGTGCTACAATACAGATTGTAAAGAAAGACGATGGAATCAAACGTACCCAGTGGACTGAGAATACTAATGAGTCGCTTCGCCAGGGTTAGCATCACAATGGGATTGCGATCGATAATACGTTCGAGAGTTTGCTTGGTGATGTAACCAACAAAAGTATCGGTTGCCGCTCGAATCTCGACAAAACTAGGATACCCGCTCATAGCTGCCAAATAACCGGCCAGACCGCCAGCTTTAATAGAGAATAAAGGTTTCCTGGTTCGCTTGCTTTTGTTTTTATGGTTGTCACGATCATACGAACGCCCTGCTGGCGCTTCAGACATGACAGTTCTATGTTGTTGTGCTTCATTGGGCTCTGCCGCCTTCTTCTTGTCATTATAGGCATCTGGCGCTGCCGGAGCCTTGGTTGTAAATGGATCATCAATGTAAGAGGTATGTCGATTAATCGAGTGTCGCAATCCGCTCGCCGCTCGTCGTCGCTTAGGACGGTTGGACGAAGATGTGTTGGTTGGCTTTATGTGTGGAGACGATGTTTGCTCCTCACCATCAATTGGAGACATAGAGACCTCCAACAAGCCGTCAATCACAAAGTACAGACCACGATTGTGTTCCCCTTCCTTGACTAAAACGGCGTCCTTGGGATAATACAAAATTTGGACATCGTTCGCATTGACGGTGGACCCAAACCTCGGTTCGAAATTGGTTTCGCCGTTGGAGACAGACGACGCTGTAGACATCACCTCAATATCATCCGATGGCATGCTAATAGGGCCGAAGGATGGTGAGCCGGACTCATCCATGACACCGGTATGTGAGAACAAATCCATGGGATAATATCTCGATTTGCCAATATCCAAATGGCTGGTGGGTGGTGACCTGTTGATGCTGTTGTCGCTTTGAGGAGGGGTATTTGAGACCGATGAGAATGAGCGGAGCCCTAAGCTTTGCGAGACGCAGGCCATGACCGATGCTCTAAGATGGCGGTCATCTTCAATGCTATAGTCACTGTTAGTGCGTGTAATCGACCGTCTTCTAATATGCGCTTTGTTGCCAGATTTTTTGCTGCTACCAGAGTCCAAATTGTGACCAGGTGAACCGTCCATGGCAGGCGTGGGACTTGAGCGCTCCGATATATTCATGGCATTGATAATACTCGGGTGGTCATTGTTAGAGTCGCTTGATTGCTTTCCTTCCTCGCCATTCTCGTTATTCAATGGAAACGGTGTTTCCTCCTTCAAGAACTTGCGTCTCAGCCTATCCAACCCACCAGGAATGAAAAATTCATCAGGAAGTCGATTCAAACTAGCGGATTCATTCGCCAGTCTCTCCGCTCGCAATAGCTCTTTCGTTAGACCCAGATACTTGTGTCCAGTAAGGAACGTGACTCTTTGAAAACGTGTCAAGATGACTTGCACAATGTGAGCGGCTGCTTTAGGAAATTTCTGTGTTAGCTTGTGAAATGCTTCAGCAGGGATGACCGCTAAGGTAGTATCAACAGTAGCACGTGCAATAATGCCCGGGTGGACACTCCGCTGCTGTCTATAGGCGGCACTTTTCATTGAGAGTGGCCGGATACCCGGTCTATCGTAAACCTGCCTATCTTCGTTCGGATATTGTGTGTTTGCTGTGATGCGTACATCTGTCTCGTCGCCAATATCTGAGAGATCTTCATGGTCCAAATGCTTGAACGATAAAGATGGGCTCTTATTATCCGGTCGTGTTCGGACTCCTTCAATGAACCCGACATCCAAATCCGCCTGATCCAGCTTCCGGAACACCTGGCCCCAGCTTTCCTGTGATCCATCGCGGCTCGATTCCAGATCATCTCCATCTCCAAATTGACGATAATGACTTTGTCGCTTTTGTTTAAACTTTTTGGGCTGCTCCGTACTTTCACTAAACAGTGAGAGAATGGTAAACAAACTCGACAGGGTGCCTCCTGCGCCAACTTCATTCAGGAGGGTGTGATTTTTCAGTCGTTCATTCCCATATTCGTCCGTATCTGAGATGTCCGAATCCTCTTCATCGTCGCTATTAGCTTCGTTATTGTTAGGCTTGATAAATACCTGCACATTTCCATCCACCACAATGTAAAAGGAACGCTCTTGTTCCGGGTTTTTAAACAAAGTGTCACCAGCCAACAGTCTTCGCGTTTGCAAGTGTCGTGCAAGTTCATGAAAGACGGGTTGTTCCAAGTATCCAAAGATTTTGATGGAGGACAAGAAGGCAGAAAGGAACTCGTCAGGATAGCTTTTCATTCCGGATTTGATATACTCTTGATCCTCGGCCGCATCAGGATGTAAGTCAAAGGAAGTGGCAGGTTTAGGGGGCTGTATGGGCTTGAGCCTTGAGTACGTTGTCAAAAATCGGTATCGTACAATGAGCCAGGTACATGTTGCGACGAATCCCAGAATGATCACCATGGAGGTGAAATTCAAGTGAAGTGTGAATGACCAAGTTAGAACCCGGTAAAAGAAGAGGGGAATGGAGATCGTAGCAAAGGTCACCAGTCGATACAGGAATGAGGGCAAGTGAGCCAGTATGAAGCCAAAGATAGACTGTTGAGTACTGGTAGCAACATCATTGGTTGTTTCAGGGCTTTGAACCTCGCTCAAAGCACTGCTGTTGTTCATTAAGCAGGTAAGAAAGAAAATCAAGGGGAAAGGTAAAAAAGTAATGAGCGAGCTTTCTTTGAAGGTCATGTCATTGCCAGGATTTCCTTATGTGGCAGCGGGGCTTGACTGTCATTGGCTATGAAAAGTCGTCAATTGTCTCCGGTGTTCAGCTTGCAAACAAGCCTCGGAAGCTTGCAAGACATTATTCCGTAATGCTTAAATACGCTGATTATTTGCATAACGCATTTATCATCTCTTCACTTACAATGGAACCAACCGAAGATACAAGTGCCACCGAAAAAAACCAAACAGTGAAATCAAATTTTGGAAGAAAGCGCAAGGCTTGGGTGATATGCGGAGTAGTGTTGGGTCTGCTGTTTGTAGGCGGTCTAGTGGGTGGTCTGATTTATTACTACACTTCTCAAGCTAACAAGAGCACTAGTCCACCATCCACGGTTGACCCGCCGTCCACGGATTACTCTGGCAACACGACCATTATGCTTGACCCTAGGTACACTCGGTCTTTCTGGGGAATGGATTACACGCCAAGAGGCGCTCAAATGGATTTGGGCTGTACAGTCAATCAGAATGATGTGATAGAGGACTTGAAAATCCTGTACCAGTTGACTCCCCGCATTCGCCTGTATGGAATGGACTGTGCTCAAGCTGATTTGGTGTTGAACGGACTCAATGTCTTGGGCATTGATATGGGCGTGATTCTCACCCTTTGGGTGGATAATAACCAAACGACCTATCAGCGGCAATACGACACATTCTGGAAGACAACCGAAACATACGGCTTTGATCGCCTGACCGGTGTATCCATTGGCAACGAAGGTTCGTCGATTAAAATTCCTCCGTGTCCATAAAGTTAAAATGTTTCTAACTCTAAAACATCGCAATGTTTACAGCCATTTTCCGAAAACAAGCGACCGTGGATAGTTTGGTTAGCAAGATGGAACAAATGCGATCGGCGTTGGCTGACAAAGGACAAACTCATATTCCTGTTTACACCACGGAGATCAATGATTTGGATCAGTTGTTGCCTCATATGGATGCTTTGATGGACAATGTCCATCCGTTCTTCGGAGGAACGACTGCCGACACCGCTGCCAACTGGACGTGGAAATATTACTATGAAGTCGACCAGTACCCCACCATACAATATGCAAAGACCAATAACATTCAAATACCAGCTATCATCAGTGAAATTGGATGGCCGTCGTTCCCACCAAATGGCTCGGTTCAAGGTGCTATCCCGGGTATTCCACAATTACAACGATTTATGGATGATTATGTATGCGAAGCAAACAAACGCGGTTTGCCTTACTATTGGTTTGAGTTCAAGGACGAACCTTGGAAGCAATGGATGTTCAATGAAACCAGAGAAAGTTATTGGGGATTGTTTGATGAGAACGCTCAACTCAAGAATTTAACTTTGCCAAATTGTCCATTAGACGCATGGACCAAAGGAGACTTGGCCGTTCCACAGCCACTTCCATTCAACTCCACGACAAAGTAATGGTAGACAAATGGTTTATCATCCTCGCTGAATTATGATTCCTCTTCGCTACTACCCCCGCATCTCCCCTTCTGTATTATCCGTACCCTTTTGTGCTTATTCATCCCGTAATTTACAATTTTCAGTCGTTGATTTATTCTGACAGCCGGTCGGTCTAGAAAAATGCTAGCCAGACAATCAAATACTAATAAAAAAAAAATGATTTGTTATGCAGGATTAGAAAAACAAATAAATGTGGTGAGAAGCTGGTGAAAGATCCAAATGGGGGGTAAACGAAAGTGTGAAAGCAGAAAGATTACAATAATAATATATCAAGCTGTGACCTAGCACAAGTAGAAATGACAAGATGTCTCATCATATTCATCTAAAATGCCTTCTTGCTCAACTTGGCAGACACTTTTTGAACGATATCCAAAGTCTGCAAGACTTCCAAAGTTCCCTTCCAGAAGCCTGTAAGGTGGTATGGAACATTGTGTCTCTTGCACATCTCGATAACCTTGGGTTGAACCTTCTTCAAGTTGTGGCGAGGCATGTTGGGGAAAATCTACACAAGGAAGCTGATCAGTTCACTGTGTCTTAAAAAACGCATACAACTATCCAACACTTACATGATGCTCGATTTGATAGTTGAGACCACCGCAAAACCAGTCACCCAAAAGACCGTTCTTAACATCACGGCCAGTGATAACCTGAATCTCAAAGAACTCCATTTCCTCGGCCTTTTCTTCGCTGATGACCGGCATACCGCTATGATTAAGGGCGAAAACAAGAGCAAGAGCGTAACCAGTAGTGGCCTGGCTTACGATAAAGAAGAGGGCCCGGTTGAGAGCGCTATCGATCCAGAAATAGGTGACGGCAGTGAAGACGGTCCAGTGAACAACGATAGCAGCACATTCAAAGAAATTGAGCTTGGCTGATTTGTTGATGGAGCCTTGCTTGAAGGAGTACAAAAACGAAGAGTGAGCCCATGAAAGTCGAGCAAAAGCAAGGACGAAGAAGAAGTAACGAGTCTGGTTGGGAATAATATTTTGGGCAATGAATTTAGCAACACCGCTATCGTCTGCTGAAAGGCTGGAGTAGTAGTCAGATGAAGTGTATTCGTCCCACAACAAAATGGGGGCGGTGTTGATATCGGGATCTTGACCGTGAACGTTGGTGCTGGCGTGGTGAGTGTTGTGCTTATTTTTCCACCTAAATAGCCATAAAGGAACGTTATCAGTGAATCATGGTTTCCCACAGGTGGTCTTGTACAATGCTGACTTACCATGAGAGGGAAAAGCCTTGACACAAGTTTCCCAGGAAAACAACAACAACGTCGTTCAAGGAACGATCCTCGAAGACTTGGTGATGAGCGAAATCGTGGGACAACCAACCGCACTGCTGCCAGAAGATACCCATGATAAAGGCTGAAACAAGTACACCGGTGGTGGAATGGCCATAGGCACGAAGGACAGCCAAAGAAAGCACGGAGATCATGACGGTCGAGACCAATTTGTAAGTGTAAAAGCCCTTGTCGGCTTGGAAAAATCCTTGAGCCTCGAGCTTGTCTCTGTATTCGCGCATTTCGTCAGCAAAAGCGGTGTTGTTGCCCTTGGGAAGAGATACGTCGTTGGCCAAATCACCAACGTAGTTGTTGGCGAGAACTTCGTAGGCAGAAGCTGGGTGCATAGCATGGAATACATCTAAAGAGAAGGATAATCACCACAAGAAATTAGCTTTTCCATTTTTCGATTCCACCCCAACAAATTGGACGGAAAAAAAAAATTTGGAGGGCTCGCCGTATGCCCAAAAGAAAAAAAAAAAAAAGGTACCTGTAGCATCCTTTCCAAGTTGAGTCAACAAGACTTGAGCACCACCGGGGTGCTCATGAACGAAGTCGCTAACATCATAGATCTTATTGTCAATGATGGTGAACTTCATGGCATCACCCCGGTCATCATTCTTGAGTTCGCTGTTAAGAGCTGCAATCTCCTGTCTCGAGAAGATGCGACGTTCTGAAAAACGAAAGAGCGAGTCTGTGTGAATGACTGATTTGTGATAGCCACGTCTAAGGCCAATTGACTTACCTGGTGCTTCAGCTACTTGTGGTGGCATATTGGAGTAAAGGGCAAAGGAAACAAAGATCACCTCATTTAAAATTTTTAAATAAAAGAAAATTGTGGTGTCTCAATTAGACTCAGCGGAATCTGTACTTTCTAGGCATTGATAGATGTTAGTCAGGATAAACCTAAGACCCTATTGCAACATGGTCTTCAATACTCGGCCCTACCAGCCTTTGGATTAGGTCACATTTTGTCTCTAATACTGGCTCTATTATCATTAAAATAACACTATCTAAAGCCCTGACAATGCCCCTGTCCTATTCGTTCAGCCGATAGGTTTGTGACTCCGATCTCCTCGCTAAACCGATGTGGTCGCAGTGTCGGAAGCGCCAATCATATGTCTGCCCTCTCAGTAGTAGCTAGAGCTGACACCTGTACACGTTTTATAATAGCCTTTGAAGGTGACACGCACGTGAAAATTCCATCCTAAAGTTGCACGCTACCGCACGCGACGGGTGACCTGATAGCCTAAGCGCCTGCTTGGTATAACAGGTGGAGCTAACGAAGATCAGTGATTGCGCGGCTTAAACTTTGCAAGTTTCACCGAAAAGTATTGGTTCTGGTGTTCCATTCTTTACGTCGGTCTTCAAATAAGACTGCTTGCCTTTCAGTGGGGCAATCCGCAACTGGCCCTTAAGCTTGGTTTCGTCTTTCGTGGTGTTGCCCCAACCCTTGGTTAAGACGTGCGGATTCTTCCCTTTTTTTTTCTTGAGTTTAGTCCTCTATGTTCGTTATGTAGAGAGAGAATAGGATAGTTCGAAGGAGTATATATATCCATTTCAACCTGCTGCATTGATAGCCCCTTGTAATCGCAAATCAAGCAGTAACAGAATACCCAAGCTGCAACAATATGTCATACTGGCAAAACTGTCACAAAATGCATACACTTTTCTTTGTAAACAACCCAGCTTATCCTTCACAAACATATTGTGGCCGGTTACATCCGTCGTTTCAATTAGCAGATTCATTGAGCACTCACTGCTTTGATATCTACGCCCGAAGTTTTCGCAGCTTAAAATTCGAGGTTAGATTTGTTGTACATGGCCAACAAAGGTCTTTCAAGGAGCCAAAAATAATACACGTTCCCTGTCAATGACTGTACCCTGACACTATTATAGAAGATACCTTGTGATTTAATACCTCTCTGTTAGACTTCTATGCAGCTTTGATAAAAATAACCATGGGATGGGTTCAGTCAATGGTATTTAAACCATCGCTTCGATTCTACCATATTTAACCACAATCTTCACTATGATGAACCGTCTTACTGCCCTCGTTGTCCTCCTTCTTGTCGTTGTTACCATGGCTGCTGACTATCGGTTGACATTACAACCTGCTAGCGGACGAACCGTTGAGGAATTCTGCTCTCTCTTCACTGCTACTTGCCCTGGGTAATATGGGAAAGGTGGTTTATGCAAACAACTTCCAGCAGTTATTTCTAATCATTTTCTTCAACAGTGTCGTAACTTCCAGTCAACCGAAGGCAACCGTTTACCAGGTGTGCGAGCAAGCCCCCAAAGCTGGTCAGGCCAACGCCTACTGCACCGGCACCGAAAATGGTAAAATCACAGCTTACACCACTGAGGTCGCTACTGAGCTTGGTGCGTCTACCACTTAGTTTTCCGTACATCCATTGCCTATTATTGTCAATAAATTGACTGTTGTATAAAAGATGGAATCTTTAAGTTTTTGATGTTCCGTATGCGCCTTGATTTGTATGTTTGTAAGCATATTCAATGCATATGTGTTTTCCATACTAGGTATTTCATATGCACAAAGGACCTACTTCGTTTCTGGATATATGATTAGCTGCATGTGCTCAAGCGCTACAGCACATTGCATAAGACACCTTTTACCGATGTGTCATAATCTATGCTTTCAGCGCTACATCCATCAACATGATCACTTCAGCCGTTACACGTTTCCTTTCGAGATGGGTAGAAAGTAAAAAAGCTGTTTATTAATAATCTGACTAACATATTTCTCAAACAATCTTAGACAATTTCCAGACTATCAGCCGACAGTATATATGAAGTCAATGATGATTATCTTCTTGTCTAAGACTTGGGCCGTGTGTTCAAACGCAAAAGAAAAGAATATCAAAAGGAACATCCGACTGGCAAGAAGGCTATATCGGAGTTTAAAAACAACTCGACCAATTAAAAAGTTGATGAGAGTGGGATTCGAACCCACGCTTCCGAAGAAACTAGCACCTGAAGCTAGCACCTTAGACCAACTCGGTCATCTCACCATTCATTTTTCGGAGATTTTGAAATTTGTTATATTGGATAATTTTAAAGATGTTGCTTAATATTGACTGTTCTGGGAGCTACAAACAATCTTTCATAAGGATAAATAATGCTAACAGTAGTTTGTCCTTTGAAGAAGCTACGAAAAAATTTAAAGGGGTATTTATAGGGAATATCCTACTGAATATATCTCTTATGATGAGCCATTCAAAAAAATTGGTCACCAGCTGTAGTGTAGGAGAATCAGGTTGACAAAGCGACATAAAGTGCAATAAGCCACTAATAGAAGATAATATGAAGATAAAATTGAGAATGAGTTTTTATGAGAATATACTAGACTGTACCTCCTTTGTGAACGTCAAATTCACTTGGATACCGTTAAACATCTCAACCATGTATTAAAAGCAGTTGATATTGCCTCTATTCGTCTGCTGGAGGTCTGTGATATTATGGAGACCTGCTGCCAAAACTGACTTGCAAAACGATCATGCTTATATTGTTAAATGCGATAACGTTGAGTACATATGGATGAGAGAGGATCGCTTCCCAGGTATCAAGTGAAATTTTTCATTTACAGCATCTCATGTAGCATTCATCTCTATCAAAAAAATCCACCGCCAACCAAAAAAAAAGAGTAAATCAAAAACAGCGGATTATCTTTATGATATATATATGGCAAATGCAATAGCAGATGTCATGGCAAAGCTGTAAAGGTTACAAACAATAAATATATACATTTACAAATGGCCATTAGAAAGGTGCATAGCGAAATCACAACGCCAACTGTACAACCAAACATCTGGCTGGCACAATTAGATTTCCATTTGGCCCACAACCATTAGCTTGACGCAAGACCGACCTCCACTAGGCTCCCGACTCCTTCGGGCTGCTCTCTCCGCTTAAAATGCGATAGAATTCGGTGTGTGCGCGCTCCATGTCGAAAAGCATTTGCCGTGCCTGCTCCTCTGTAATTTCATCGCTTGCTTTCATGCCGTTAAGCGTTATAAGCCAATTTTTCACTTTTGCCTTTCCATCAAAATCAGCTGGGAGTGTAGATACATTGTTGAGGGATTGGATAAGATCAGCTAAAATGGGATGCAAGCTGTCTGCCGCATAGATATTCAACTTCAGCGTGTCCATAAGAGTAATAAAGTGCTACATGAGACGTATTAACAAAGCGTGCTAACAGGTAATGGGGAGTGAAAAGTAACATTTACCTGAACCACTTCAGCAACGTATTTCGCTGATTTGCCCGTATCCTTGCTCGGGTCACCTATGGCATGCTCGTATGTTGCCGGGACACCTATTTTGAAGCGGATGACTGCAGCCGGGCAGCTCAGCTGTGTGGGCAGTAAGTATGTGCATGGCAATGAAGGGGGTTGAATGGTCCAAAGGCTTGATATCACCTACCTTATATTTCGCCATGAAGGACTCGAGGTCAGTAACAGTATCTGATAAGAAGTTGAGGGCAGTTTTGTATTTTGCAATAAGATTTGAGCACTGTGGGGTATATCTGGAGGAAAAGATCCAGTTAGTTTCGAAAGGTTGGAAACAGGTATGAAAAGAAGTGGTCGAAAAAACATACTCGTCAGCTGTAATAGAGTCTCTTATAAATGCCTTCTCGAGATGCTCCATGAGGACAATGATCGAGAAGAGATCGGCCATATTGTCGTACTTTTCACGATTTTTGTTATTTGTGAACAGCTTGACTTCCTAGAGAGGAAAATCAGGGTTAATGCCGGCGCTAGCTCTGATGTTAACAACGGAATGGATAGGTTCGTACCTCATCTAGACTGATGCTACCTGGAAAAAGAGTAAATCAAAAGTCGCAGGTCAGTTCAGGACGAAACGAGCGATAACCAAAGCTGGTCAGTATGTGCTTACTGTGCGCTCCAACAGTAGTGGAATAGTGATCTGGAGAATATGGTGAAATGTAGTTTCCAAAAGAACTTGATGACTGCATTGGAAGACAATTGGGTAAAATGGAATACAACTCGGGTGATGATGAAATTGATGAAAATGACTTTTTATGGTACAATTATTATGAAAAATGAAATTCTGGTGGGATTTTCTCTATGAACTGATGGATTCAACATATGCTAATGCTCTCTTCTTGACTTCGTCTATATCCTTCTCTGTACCGTGATCCTTTTCATAAGCCAACCACTTCTTGAAGAAGAACTTCATTTTCTTGGAAGAGTGCTTCATGCTGGTCACACGTTGGAACAATCGTCTACAGGGGTAAGATGTTAATATGTGTTGCAAATAACGCTGTTGTCACTATTAAACATCGCTCTCACCTTATGATGTCTTGTTCACCCGCTCGAATCTCCATATCAAGGTAGATAGACCAAAGATCGACTCGCTTGGGATAGTTGCTCATGACACCTTCGAAAATGGTTCGTCCTCTCTCAGCTTCACCAAACTTGAATTCCATTTGAGCAAATTTAACAATAGTTTTGATATCTAGTATGGGTAAAGAAAGATTAGCTTGGTCATATTATATGAAAAAAAAAAACCAAATAGCATTTCACACTCACGTTTTCGCTTAGGCAAGGATTGCAAAGATCGCTGCAATAGCTCACGAGCTCCCTCAACATTGTTTTGTTGCAAATAGAACATGCCGAACAAAGTCCAGACCTTGGAGGATTGGCTGAACTTTTTAACGGTGAGGTTCCAGAGTTCTTCAGCTTTCTGTAATTTGCAAAAGGGAATAAATTGGTTAATATGTGATGTTTAAATGATAAATTACTGCTCATAAACTAGAGTATATACGTACATCCATCTTGTTGCTTCGTTCGTAAATCTTGACCAGCTGAAGATAGACCTTCTTAGGTTCGCACACAATGATAGCTCTCTTGAAGACAGCTTCAAGGCTTTCCGAGGTACCAAAGGTATTTTCAAGGTTCATCATAGCTACCCAGACGTTGAGCTTTTCTTGCTCCTCTCTGAAGCTGATCTTGTTCAATGCTCTTTCACCGATTTCACGGGCCTTATCAACCTCAGAGAGTTGAAGTTGGAAAGCCATGTAATTGATCCAGAGGTAAGAAGAGTTTGGCGAGCCCAAGAGCAAGCGCTCGTAATCAGCAGCAACTTGTGGAGCTTGAGAGGAGAGATCTGCAGTCTTATCTTCAACCACTTCCTTGGACTTCTTCTTCTTTTTCTTAGATGGTTCATCAGCATCCGATTCTTGGACATCTTCGTCGGACTCTTCTTCTGCAGCAGGAGCAGTTTCACCAGTCCAACTAAAGCCTGCAGCAACTGGGAGAGCTTCGACTGATTCTTCATCGCTATCGTCCATGGTGATATCTTGAGCTTCATCTTCTTCCTCATCGCTATCATCCAAGTCAGCGAGGTTGACCATACCTTCGATCTAAATTGTTGGGTCAGTATAACGGAAGAGATGCAACCAGCCTATGTAAAAAAAAAAAAACACCACCAACCTGGTCTTCATCATCGTCGTCCTCTTCATCAACGTCCATCTCTTCACCCACTTCTTCTTCTTCATCTTCTTCCTCAGCTTCGCTGTCTTCAGCATCAACATCTTCTTCATCTCCGCTATCATCTTCATCATCAAAGTATGAGGCTTTGAGACCAAATGCAATACGCTTCTTCTCAAGATCAACGTTCAAAATCTTGGCTTTGACAGGATCGCCAACAGAGTAAATCTTGGAGATGTCACTGATGGTGGTATCAGAGATTTGAGAAATGTGGCAGAGGCCACTAACGACACTGTTCTCGAGCTTGATGAAGACACCAATGGGCTTGACAGCGGTAACAACACCACCGACCTTCTCTCCAGCAGTAAAGTCAGAGAGGGTCTTCTTGGGACCAATGGTAGGGTCGATAGCGCTTTGCTTGAGGGTGAGTTCCAATTGATTGGCTTCCTTGTTCACAGACAAAACCTTGGCGGTGACCAACTGACCAGACTTGAACATGGCCTTCCAGTCCTTTACATAGTCATCTGAGAGTTCGGAAATCTTAACTCTACCAACAACGTCACGACCAACGAAGACAAACAAGCCCTTGTCGGCGACATTTTGAACGTAGCCCTTGATGATGGCGTCAGCCTTGATGTCATCCAAGCTATTGATTTCTGGGTCAACGACATCGTCAGTGCCTTCAAGTCTAGACTGGCGAGTAGACAAGTCGATCTTCTTGGTCTCCTTATCAACAGCGAGAACATAGCATTTAACCAGATGTCCAGTTTCAAGCTGCTGGGCAGGGTTCTGGACGAACTTGTCAGCAATATCAGTCAAGTGAATTTTGCCGAAAAGATGTTCACCAAGCTTGACAACAACACCTCGAGCGGGATCAGCCTTGGTAACGGTTCCTTGAACAATGACACCCTTGTCGAGAGCGTTGATATCGGTTACGTAATTTTGAATAACAATCTCGCCATCGGTGATGTTGGTAAGATCAACACGGTTCTTCTCTTCATCGACGGAAAGGACCTTGGTGTTGAGAGCCTGGCCAACAACGAAATGTGATTTAAGATCGTTGAGAACTTGAACATCTTGTGAGACATGCATTTTGGCAATACGGGCTCTCAAGTTTGTACCAATATGGACCATCAAGCTGTCGCTCTTAATCTCACTGACAAAGGCAATACACTCGTCGCCAACGGAAAGATCCTTGATCTCTACGGGCTTCTTGGGCGTTTCCTGATCGACCTCCATTGCATCGGGGTTGAATTTGAGAGAGCATTCAATGACGGCTTGAGATTTGCCTCTGTGAGTAATGGGGAGGTATGTATGCGACTTGCTATTGTGCAGCCCGAGAACCAAGACATCAATGGTGGCACCATGACGAATGCGACGAAGAGGATGCTTCAGGTTCTTGATGTCGGCAAAGTCGTTAAACGCTTCGGTGACATGAATGCGGCCCTTGACATTATCGGCGAGGTCAAGGTTAACTTGGTTTTCCTTGACGCTGGCAACCTTGGCCTTTGTAATGCGGCCAGGAGCATAGTCGTCGGTGTTAACAATGGTAGCATCAACAGGGTTTTCAACTGGCTTGCCGGATGTAGACTTCTTAGCTTCCTTAGCTGTCTTCTCCTTGGGTGCTGAAGGCGTGGTCTTGAATGATACTCTCAAACTAGCTGTGGAAGGATCAACGGAGAGAACACGAGTCTTGACAGTTTGTCCAAGTTGGAAGTTTTCGGAGGGATCCTTGACAAAGGTCTCGCTAAGTTCTGAGATAGGAGCCAAAGCACGTACATTGTTGCAGTAGGTGACGATGCAACCGAATGGACGGAAGCTGGAGATAGTACCATGAATGAGCATACCTGGTTTAGCATCTTCGTATCTGGTCAAAACTGGTAGATCACTGTTGACAAGAGATCGCTTGACAGAGATGATGACCTTCTTCTTTTGTCCGTCAGAGACAAGCACCAAACCCTTCACCTTTGTTCCAGCCTTGAACTTCTTTTCAGGTTGAGTGAGCTTGATGTCAGCCAAGTGTGTTCGGGGTGCCAAAGCAGTGATAGAGGAAGTCAAGTTGACGACGAGACCAGCTTCGGTGAGCTTCAAGACAGTACCTTCAACGATAGTACCAACTTGAACATCGCTGACACGCATGTATTTCTGTTCCACAACGCTTTGTTCCATACTGAGCAACAACACGTTATCCACCAAGCTATGACCAACGACACGAGCACGGTGTACGGTGTCGACCTTATAGTCACCTGAGGTAGCGCTCAAGGATTCAACGCGATCATCAGAAATGCGGGAGATCTATGGTAGATTGACCAGAAGTTAGTACTGAGCTTACTGGTTTGCCCATGATCGTAGTCACTGCCATAACTTACATGAACAAAACCGTTGACATCTTTATGACCGTCAATCTCAACAATGAGACCATTCTTGGATTCAACTCTCTTCACAATGACTCGGTCGAAGATCATGCCAATAGGGAACTGGACATCGAGAGGGGTATTGTCTTGCTTCAAATTAACAATATTTGGAAGTAGAGAAGCGCCAATTCTCTTTGGGGATGTGCCGAACGAGCAAAAGAGGATTCGAGCCTTCAGCTTTTGGCCAAGTTTGTATTTTGATTCAATATCTTGGGCCTTAACATCAAGATGAGCAAGGTCGATGCTAGCTTCGAAAAAGCCCATGAAGGATACAACAAGTCCATTTGCGTAAACGGCAGCCACATTGGCGGAAATCAAATTACCAGGAACAATAGAATTGATGACGGAACAAGGTTCGTCAAACTGATGAAAAGTGAAAGTTAGCTACCAGTGCCTTTAGTTGACAACACAAGGAAACATAGAATACATACAGTGGTATCAGCAACTTGTGATGGATCCAAAGACACATTGACAGTTCGCTTATTCTCTGGTACGCTGGTGATGCCACATTGAATAACTTGACCTTCAACAAGGGGATTGCCATTGTTGTAAGAATCAATATAGGTCTTTGCGTCCTTGTTGTGGCAGAAACCGGCAACACCATCTATTCCAGTGGACAAGATGTAACCGTGATCTTCAACACTTTGGACAGCCATTCCCAATGACTAAAAGAAAGTTGTAAGTATACGTGGTCCATACTTAGCCGTACTGTGGCGGAAAATCTACATACCATGCCCTTGGTCATATCGTTTACAGAAACGCCAGTGTTGACAATCTCGGGCTTGATAGAAAGATCAATCTTTCTCTTTTGCTTGGATCGTTTTTCCATACTGATACCCTCCTGCTCATCTGAGCCTGTAAGCTGAATGATACAGCAGCGAACCCATTGGCCAACTTTGAAAAGAGCAGAAAGGTCGGGCAAAGAGTTGGATTCATCGTCATCCTCAGCCTGAGCAACAGCTTCAACAGCCTTGGTGATTGGATCTGAAATTTCAGTAATGGCAACGGAGCCCACAAGCTGTTGTGGTAATGATATCACTAGGTTCAAATCTGTAATCTTGGAGATACAGCCCAACAAGGTCATACCGACATTCAAACGCTATAATCTATGCATTAGTGCTTCATTCAACAGGAACAGGAGGTACTAGCAAACAACACCAACCTTGTAAGACAAGGACTCAATCTTTGTCTTTTCCTTTCCATTGGTGTCAGGTTCGGTATCAGCATCAGTTGACTTCTTAGCCGCCTTTCCGCTACTCTTCTTTCTCTTCTTCACGGAGGGTTCACCTTCGCCTTGTGTTTCAGCAGAGCCACCATCGTTCTGGAAAAAATGTTGATGGTTAGTAAAGGATGCCAGGGTAGTCTAGAAGGCAATGAAAGTGACCATTACCGAAAACAGGAGGTCTTGATCAGCTTTGCGGTTGATCTCTTTGTGTTCAAGTGGAGTTAAGACGCTTGCTCCACCTCTGGGAAAGTTGAATTCCTCGGTGGTTCGGGCAGCTACGGCGGATACGGAATCCTCCTGCTGCTTTCTCTTCTTTGCAGCGGGATCGCCGGCGTTCTTGCCCTCTTTCTTATTCGCAGCTACCATTGACAGAGGTCAGTTCAAGATTCAGCAAGCGAAATTTCAGCGAGAAGAAAAAAAAAAATGTCAACCTGTGACTGCTGGTTTGCAACACCGCCCTCATTTTGGTAAAATGGTTACTTGAAAGAGATTCTCCCTGCAGCTTTTATGTATTTAACGCGCTAAACGAAACATCGTGCTATGATCTAAATACATGAACAATCTTAATGATCCGCTCTCGGCAAATTGGGCATTCGTTTCGTGTCGCTACAAGCTAATGGGTAACGTAAGAAATATGTCAGTCGTGCGCATCGATGGGGAAAAAAAATCTCTCGGCGAGGCTTACCTTCTTGCCACAGTCCATGCAAGTCACCATATGTCCGCATTCCTGAAACAAATTAGATCGTTTAGAACGTTTATCTGTTTGTTGTCTATGCTTCCAAATACTTACCAAAAATACACAATTCTGGGAAGCATCACAACAAATCCTACAAAGACCTTCGTCCTCAAGTCCTCTATCGTCGTTACGTTGCATTTCTTTTCGCCTGTCTTCCAGCAATCTTGCTACCCGAGTCACTAATTCTGACTTCTCTAACACTTTGGAATGTTCGACAAAGTTGGCTCGGAGTATCCCCTTCAGTGTGCGCACAGACAGTGTACTTGGGTCGATTTTCGCTTGTATGATGGTATCTAAAGATGGAGGTTCGAATTCGACAGGTGAGGTGCTTTGTGGTGGACGTGGAGGAGTGACGTTTTCCGTCGATCGCTGTTGTGTTTGTTGTGGTCGTGGTTGCTGTCTGGGCGGCGGGGCGGTTTGAGTTGGAGGGCGGTGGCCGTTTTGAGCTGGAGGAGGGCGGTACTGTGGTGGAGTGTACGAGTTATTAGGCTGAGACATATTATTAGGTGGGGTATAATGATGTTGAGGAGGTCGTGGAGGTCGTGGAGCTTGAGATGGGTGGAAAAGAGGTGGAGCATACTGCTGCTGTTGTTGCGGTTGCCTTCGTCTTGATTCGTCCTGGCGCCGAGAAGGCTCCTCATCATCTCGAAAAATATCGCCAATACCATCCATTAATCCGTTGACAAACCCAGTAAATGACGATCCATTTTCAGATTGTGATGAAGTGTCTTGACGAGAAGGTTTGGGAGCCAATGCTTTCATTTTTCTATAATGTGTCTCGCTTGCATTCGAAACTGGATGGGATGACATTATTATTCTGACAAGGTCTTGTTTCTCTAATGCTCCTCGAGACGGTAATTGATAAGCAGTTAAGTAGAATTTCAATTTCTTCATGGGAAGATTCAGCAGAGCTTGTGTTCCCATACGTTGCATTTTGATCATTTCATGGCACGTATTGCAACAACGGACTGGGCTGGAACGTAGTGATGCGGGAGGATTAATAAGAGCGATATGAACCGATGACTAACCACTCTATATCGCTTCATACTTATTGAAACCGAATTTAGGTATCTCATATCTGTTTTCAGAACAGTTACCGCAAACTACGCATCCTAAGGACGAGAAATTACGCATTAGAATATTGAATGCTATACCAACATGCAGCGAGAACTAGTCCTTACCACAGTTTTTGCAGTGGTACTTTTGACGGAGAAAAGTAAAGGCTTTTCCACATTCATCACAGTCCTTTGCTGAATTGAGGTTCTTGAGACCGGGGATGGTGTAGACACTGCCTGGTCCACGGTTCATGGTGAGCAATGAAAGGAAGGCGATGGAAACTGACGGAGAATGGGGAAGCGTCAGCAGTTTGAGCCATTCTTATAACGTGGCGAAGGTGTGGCTGGGAACTGATGAAAACCCCGAATTTCCTGCTGCGAGAAAAATTGAGAGAGCCCTTTTTTTGTTGTAAATAATGAATGTGGCCGGAAAGAAGTTGGCATGCGGTGAGCATTCAGACCATTAATCCTAATTAGCTGTGCCCAATCTGAAATGCTTTGGCTAATTCATAAACATTCTCAACTTTCATAGCTTCGTGTATAAAGGTAGGCTGCTCACCGATATATTACAAGCCTTAAAACGCAACCGACTAATATATCTGGTACTCTTTTTTTAATAAACCAGGGACACCGATCATCTCGCTGCACACATTACGATAGACCACTTCTGGAAGTGAAGAGAAAGGGCCGCCCAATCAGTCAATGTCCAACGTGTCGGTTACTTCGAAAAACTCGCAAAATGCACAATAAATGTGTGTGCAAACCAGAGAGTTCATCACCAGAGAGTGCACCAACGAGTCCAGTGGGCTGTCCATCGCCTATGGTACCAAACCCATTTGACGTTTTTTCTTCTTACCCAGAGATGAAGCCGTTAGAGAACTCACCAGAACAGCTTAAGGCGATGCGGGCAATCATTCCAAGATCGAACGATACACAAGAGTCTATGCTTCATCAATTTGCAGCCGTTGTCACTTCCTCACTGGACCTCTCAACAACAGCTCACGGTGATATCCCATTAGACAAGATTATTCCTCCAACAGCGAAATCTCTCTCATCCTGCTGCTCATCAAATAAAAAAGCTGAAAGAGTAGTTCCAGAAGACGACGCAAAGACCTCCTCATTATCGTCTTGTTGCTCTCAATCAAGTCCAGAGAAGAAGAAAACCAATGAATTGGAGCCATGTTGCACGAATAATCGACCGTGCGCAAGCAGTCGTCATGATCACTCCAAAGAGAAGAATCGAGTAGTGCTTGTAACCTGTCGTTGTGGTGACGATTGCGCTTGTCCAGGCTGTGATGTCCATCCTTCCAAGGTTATGAAGAGTCAAAAAGATCCTTATGCTGGATACAGTTCTGCGTCAGTTATAGGAGAAGCCACTGTGATCCACCGCAAACCTAGCATTGATAGTGACACTAGTCAAGACTGGAAATCTCCGACGGCCGTGTTTGATGAGCATGGAGCCATGCTTTGCGGTTGCGGGTGTGACCGGCCCTTTGATAGTTGCCGGGGTTGTGAGCATGGCTTATACGATTGAGCAATTTTTGCGGTCGGACCACCAAAAAAAAAAAAAGGAACGCACCTGTATAACTCTCACTGAACATCAACCAAGGGAAAGCCTAACATTGATTTCTCCTACATGTCTTTCATCTACATACTTCACATACTCTACAACATATTTCTCTAATAAATGCAACCTCCCTATTACCATTGAACCAGTCGCATCATTTGACTCGAGACCAAAACGCTCTAGCCCTTGATGTTTACTTGCAGTACGGTAGCTGAGACTTGAATGTTCTGGGGCCTTCGCTTCTCCAATCTGCAAAGGAAAATCCCAAATACAATTTCATTTCTCGGCATGGGCAATAAGAGACGCAGGGGGCAATGTAGAGATAAAATACCCGGCTGGCCTGGGCCGGTGTTCAGCCCCCTGGATCTAAATTAAGCGGAGCGGTTGCACGCTACGCTAACAATATAAATTGATGGGCATCCTTCCCCATACCAGCCATTTACAGACCTGTTTTCTCCATCATGGCCTCTACAACACTTTCACCATTCTTCAAGCCATGTATACCGACTATTCATATAACGCCTTCAGATGGTTCGTTTAGTCAACCTTAGGGCCGGTTTAGATCCATCGCTAAACAAACATTATTTCATTTTGACAGATGGCTGTAGCGATGGTAGCTCGTCCTCCAGTGATGAAGAGTCTAACACCGACCGCACTATCCATAAACAAAAGGTTGTCCGGCCGCCTTTTCGACCATCTCGCCCGAACCGTTCGAAATCGGCTCCTTTACCAAGTGACGATGAAGATAGCAGCGAAGGTGAGTTTTGGGCTGTGCGTGTACACTTGGCATACATGGCAGCTAAAATAAAATAAAAATGGGACACTGCTCTTGGCAGACGATAGTCCGGTCAGACAAATTGACCAGCCATCAACGTTTCACCAACCGTGTAATGCAATGCCAAGCCGTAAGGCGCCACAACGGCCTAGAGCCATGTCTGATGATTTCCAACAAACTACACCCCGTCGTCTCCATCGACCGATACCACCGCCACTGACCCATGTCCAGTCCAGTCAATCGCTTGCCTATTTTGTATACCCCACCGTCCCACGTTATATACCAGCCGCTCATTGCTCAATGTATCCACAACACCGAAAGCCTACTTTGATGCCTAAAGCAGCTCAAATGCCCGGCTATAGGAGAGCCAAACATGTCGAAAGCCTGAACCATCGAGGCTGTCCTTAGAGTTATAAAAAAAATTAACCCACGAAAAACTTTTTATTACTGTGTATCGGTTTCTCTTTTTGTTACAAATTATCGTACATTTTTGTGTTGTTTGAAAAAAAAAAAATTGCATAGGCCCGACAGTCAACTGAAGGGTAGCTCATTAGAATAAAAGAAGTAAAAGGAAAAAAAAAAAAAAAAGTATATACAATTCGATGGTGTTCTCGAACGCTCATTTACAGGCAGCAGCGAGCACCCAACCCCAGTTTTCCTCCCCTGTGCCGGTCTGTTTGCAAGAAGCATACCACCACTCGTCATCATCCGCTTGCCAAATGGCAACCATATCCCCTTTTCGAACGGACAATTGGTCTTGGTTATCCGAGTCACAGTCAAATACGATGATGCGTTCAAATAGCGGTCGTTCGCCCAGAGCAGAAGAGCCTGAATCACTCCACGAATCCTCATGAGGGGCGAGGGAAATTGAATTAGAAAATACATCGTTGCTAAACGAGCTTCCTGTCCGTTGCGGTGCTCTTCGATGCGATGTGCCTGAAACAAATACATCAATTAGTCTCAATACCATCTGATCACAGTCCGCGGTTTTTCTCCTTACCTTCGCTTAAAGGTAAGCTCTGCAGCGAAGGCGTTCGCATACTACCAAACGGACTATTAAAGTATTGGTCCATTACTGGTAAGGAAGGTGTAGAGGCAGTACTATCGGAGCCAGTCGATTGGAATCCAGGAATATCCTCCCACTGGGATGGGTTGATAGCCACGATATCTTGAATGGAAGGCTCTAATTCTTGTAATGCAGTATTATATTCTGACATGATGGATTCAAGGGTCATGGATTCCAATTTCTTCTCATCTGCAGTGAAGGCATACGGTCCCTTAAACATGTACCGTTTCCATTCTCCAGCCATGAGCTTGTTGAATTTAGCTTGGACCTCTGCAAACTCCTCTACGATGAAGTTGAAATACTGAGTCGACAGTAACAAAAACTTTGGTAGTTCGTCCACCAGTTGAGCATTGATGGATAGATAAGCATCGGCTGATTCTTGTAGAGCTTTGTCAGGTACACCGCCTTTAGCCTTGATTCCATTGGCACGATCATGGTCGATGAGTTTGTTAGCTCGCTTGAGTATCACTTGTTGCGGGTTTTGAAACAGTTTTAAAAATGAGTCTATGCGTGAGTAAACGATGCTTCTGACCAGCGTTTCCTAAAGGATGGGGGTCAGTATATCATTGACATGCGCATGAACGAAATAGGAATTAATTAATTTTTTTTACCAATTCTCGAGACAAGCTGGTGGTCAATGAAACAGCACAATCCTTGAAAGCTTTAATCCGCTCCAGGCTCTTCACCGTAACACCTCCCCATGATGTATACAAGTCCTCCAAAGCAACAGCCAATTGGAACATGGATTCAAAGTTCTCCTTGACATGACGCAGCCAGCCTTGGACATCTCGCGCAAGCTGTCTTGCTGACTCTTGCTGTTCTTCAAATTTGACAAAAAGTGCATCAAAGAAAGCGTCCTGTGTACCTTCCGCTGCAATACCAGTGGCTTGCTTGAATTTTTGAGCCCTTCTAGTAAATGTTTTGTTGATTCCATGTCTGCAAGAAAGAAAGGTAATTGAGTAAGATGGGGGAAAGGAAAGGAGAGGCAAACGTCCCGACCCAAAAGGTCCATTTTTTAATCCAACTTACACCATCTGGAAACGATCCGGAGCGGAAAATGAAGGTGGTCATGATGCACGGTTAGTTTATGAGATTCAACACAGCGTGGGCTATTATAATGCCAGAAAACTTACGCTAACGTCTGTGCGCCGACGATCACCAACAATTTTCTCCACAATATCTTTTCGGCGCTTGATCTCATTAATGCGATCTGCTACATCTTGAATTTCCTTGCTTGCGCGTTCCAAATTTTCAAAATCTGGGTGAGTTGGCAGTGTCAAGGTTCGGATTTGCTAATAGATGATAGCGTTAGATTAGTGTGTCACTATAGAATGGTGCCATATAGTTATTACTAACCTGAAGCAGCAAGGGATATTTCAGTACTCGTTGAACAGGCTTGATGAGCATACTTCCCAAATCCCAACTGGTTGTACGGTCCTGAATTTGCTGTTGGCACGCCTATAAAAAAGATTGGGTTAAGATCGGATGACGGGCATACCTTTTCCCTAAGGCAAGATGCTTACTTTGAAGAAAGCTTGCACCTCCGGCTTGGCTTCTAGCTCTTGTAGACGAAGTATAGCACCCTCCTGTCGCTTACAATAATCACAATAAATTTGCTCGATTTGCGGCATCTTAAAGGAACATGTCAGTTAGCATTTGCATTTCCCTATTCAAAATCAGCGTTGGTCCTTACCACCGCAATATAAGCCATGCCAATGCAGCTACTTTGCTCATCTCCTTTGGAAGAATCAGTGAGGGTTATATCACTTTCATTATCATCAACAACGGCTCCTCCGTCCGTATTGCAAGATGACTCCAACAAGGCTAGAAACTCGGTCTCAAAGTCTACAATGGTTGGAAGGTTGGAGAAGAGTTGCTTAACGTCCGCCTTGTCTATTGGGGAGGAGTCTGATAAGGCTCCGTCATAGTACACCTCCTTCAACAGGATCATATCATTTCGATAGGTTCGTTCCGTTTCCACAAGCTCCTTGATCACATTATACCGTTTCATGGACCTCTTGGCTGCAGGGTCACGACCGTCCAAAAGAGGCGATACCGGCTGGGAAGTGTATGGGGTGAAATCTGCAGAAGATGGGGGTCGCGTTGAGCCAGTAGAAGACAGACTGTCTCGTTGCGGCATGGGTTCTTTTGACACAATGGTAATGGAACTTTTGATCGATTGGTGATGATCTTCCGAAGATGGCCCTCCGCCAAACAGGCTGCCAAACCCACTATAGCCACGCCCACGCTTATACTGTGTGCCATTGGCTTGCGATCCAGTCGACGACGAAGAGGCTGTACTACTGACGCTGTTGCCCGTTGTTGACCTTGCAATTGGTACCTCTAGGGAAGGTGAAGAGGCTAACGATGATGGGCTAGGTGAGGAAAGCTGACCATGTGAAGCAGCCGCCTTCATGGTGTTGACCATCCACGCCTTCCGTTGAGATGACTTGGGAAAGCTGCTGTCAATTATAGGTGTAGTATTAATAGGTTCGGGTCGTGCGTGCAGCGATGATCGATTCATGGGAGCGCTTGGTAAGGTTGGAAGAGTCTTATGTACATTCGAGTGTTTCGGGCTTGATGCTAAGTGATTTCGGCTGTCATCTCGCTTTTCAAGCAATGCAATTGGGGGGCCTTGCTCCAGCTTCTGTGCTATCTCAGTCGCTATATCTTTAGGCGCATGATTTTTGATAATGACAGCTGGTTTTTCGGGTATACTTGGAGCTTTTGCTAATCGAGGAGTATGGTACATGGAGTTGACAGATGAGGAAGAGTCATTCCTGATTGGTTGATCCACGGTGGGTTTTGTTAAGTGAGCTGGCTTAACGTGGATAGGAGACGGGCTTGTTGGGACAGGCGGCAGATTAGGGTATTTGGGTTTGGGATCTAGTGTCGACGTACTACTTTGCAAATGTGAAGCTCCCGTATTGACGTGCCACTTTGGTTTACCAACTGACTGAATGCGGGGTAGGGGGTGAAAAGTGGGGAGAGCAACGTAAGTGGTAAAGCAGGTTTACACCTAGAACATAAGGAGACACTTACAGATTTCGTCTCGTTTGTGGAAGCAGCTCGTTGAAACTTTGCTTGCAAGTCTTTAAAGGACATTGTGGGTTGGTCTGCAGCTTGGTCTGGTTCTGAATCCTCTGTTGTAACGGATGTAGCTGACAGTGGTCGGTCTGCAGGCTGAATCCTAACTGAAGGGAAATGCACCTGAGGTGGTGGTGATTCTTCATTACGACTGGATCTGCGAGTTGTCGTAGATCGAAGAGCTTGGGGTTTGGATGGTGGAGGGGGTGGGCGGAACTGGTCCTTAGCACCGTCAAACACCCTCGAGAGCCGATTCACCTGGCCATTAACCTTCGTGTGTGGTGGCAAATGCTGAGCATTGGACGAGTCTAAATGTGTGGAAAAGGCATCCTGCTGGTATATAGAGCTCGACCTCTGGCCGGGATTATTGGACATGGCAGAACAGAATGAGATAAATGTGGGGCTGGCTAGCAGAGCAAAACGTCACAAAGGGCGGAATTATCGCTCAGCCTGGCAGCAATTTAGGCTTGGCTTCGGCCATTTATTTTATTTTTTGGGGGAAGTGGCGAGACCACCGGCTTATAATATTAAGAAAGAAGAGTGATGTAGAATGTTAATGTAATGCGATACGTCTTGATAAACTTCAGCAATTGATCCGAATCAAAGCAATGAAGTGAATGCTGCTCGACTGAATGGTTAAATGCAATGGGAATTGGTTTCTATATTTTGCAAAATATAACACCCTTGGATCTTCTTTGGCGAAGAACGAGAATGATAAGTGAAGAGAGGATGGTCATTGCTCCTGCGAATTCAATGCAAGCAGTATAGCCTGCGCGATCGCTGAGGATTCCACTCAATGGGGTGCCAAAAAGTGTGCCAAAGATAGAAGTCAGGTAGCACATTCCAAGGCCGCGAGATAGATTTCTGATACCAACCAAGTCGGCCGTTAACGTAGGTAAAAGAGATACGAAACCACCTCCAGTGAGACCGTATAATCTAAAAAAGACAGGATAGAAGTCATTAATTGACCAAAGTGGATGGCACTGCAGAATCACAGTTGCTGTACTTACATTCCAAAGGCGAATAGAGATCCAAAGCTCTTGGCATTTATCCAGACTACCATCGTGAACACGCCTGAGAAAAAAAATGAGAGGTTTAATGACCCATCCTAAAGTATGTTTGGAGCACAAAAACCTTGATAACTTTACCTGCAAGGAAAGTACAGCCAAACAGGGCATTGATGCGACCACTGTGGGTAATCAAATGAGTGAGTAAATAAATATATTCAAACTTCAATGTAGATCGGTATACTTACTATCTGTCTGCTAGAAATCCTAATACAACACGGCTGATGGCATTACAAGCAGACATTACACCAATAATGACGGAGGCTATAGAATTCATGAAAGATGTTTAGTCATTATTACTTATCCCAATCTATTTCCAATCGTTTACTCACTTTGGCTGCCAGGGACTCCGATGGATGATCCATATTCTGATTTAAGCGGTTAATGTCACTGCTAGCTTGCACACCAAAAAATCCACATGACCAGTAACTTACGGGGAATTAGGAAGAAAGGTGTGAGATAACCAAAAGGGACTACGATGCCAAAGAGCATGAAAATCAACACATCGGTAGTAAGCAATGAAGTGTCGATAAGAACAAACTTGCTATCACTCTTAGGGTTCCATCTTGGCTTGGCTAAGAGAGTATTTTTCCAGGGTTAGCGATATAATATAGATCATTCACTTGGCGTTCCTGATCATACGACTTACCAAGTATACAGGCAATAGCTAAAAGACCGAAAACCATGATTCCAAGGTATCTCAAAGTCATGCGGAATCCCGTCGTTTCAATGAGAAAAGATGTGAGCTAATTGAGATACAAACAAATAGTTAACACCCAAACGTCGCGGCTGCTTCACAAGACTGATATGACATTTACCGGTGACATAGCCAAACCACCAATTCCTGAGCCGCATACCGAAATGCCTATTGAAAAAAATTTGTCAACTACTTTGTAAACAATCTCCAATCCCTACATACCAATACACACCTGTGGCCAGAGATCTGTATTTGACGAACCATTGCGGTGGCAAACTAATTGACGGAGCGAAGACGAAAGCACCTCCAATTCCGAACAAAAGACCTTGCGTAAGATAGACGTGCCACAATTGTGTTGCAAAGCTTGCCAATACCAATCCTAGCGGGGCCAATATCTGGATAATAGTATATGGGAAAAAAATTGGTACCGTGCTCGTCTCTTTTCTACTAGTTATTGTCCAAAGACACTTACGGTTCCTATGGCCATGGCAGGTCGGAAACCAATGCGCTGTACAACAGGGGCAATGAAAATTCCTGTAGATACAACACATGCCGAACCAATCGTACCAACAAACGAAATTCGAAATGAGTCGGTTTGCCCGGCATAGATGTCCTGAAGATATCTGAATAATATTTTTTTTTTTGTTATTGACTGTTCGTTCTCCGCTCCTCCGCTGGGATGCATGCCCTTGATTCTGAACCAAGGGCAGTAATGCAGATCAAGGCCAACGTTATGAAAATGTTACTTACAAGTCTTGCATGATACCCCAGCTGAAAGTAACACCAAATACACAAAAATTGACAAGGAAGGTTGCAACAACAACCAGCCAGCCTCGATTGCGCCATCCTTCATCAAGCTCCACGCTCTCGGCGGTCCGGTTCGTCTCTAACTTCTCCAATTTCTGTTCAGTTGAATTGTTGATAGTGGGTAGTCGTTCAATATAATCTGTGTCAATTTTTCCCCTGCTCCTTCGTGAGGCTCTGGATTCAACCAATTCTAGTGCGGCAAAAGAGGCACCTGGTAGAGGCGAGGCTTCTATATAATGATCTAATTCCTCATCTATGGAGTGATCGGTGTCGACAGAGGGTACTACCGTCTTATCAGTAAAATGGGATGATTGGCTGTTATCCAAAGACATTCCAATCTTCTATCAGGGTGAGATGGAAGGGAGGTATTGGCGAAAGAGAAGTACAAGAATGAGGTAAAAAGCTTGTAGTTGAGAATTATTCAGCAGAAAGCAAAGGTACGGATGGTTGTACTCCACTAGCGAACGTTGTGATTATTTTTTTGATCTATTCAAAATAATACAAAAAGGTCCGAAAGTTCGGTCTCCTCCTATACGAGTTTACTAAGATCCAACCATTTGCCACTCAGCTTCTGATTTTATCCATTCTATTCTATGCAGCTTCACATCGACTCTTCATGTTGCCATTTTGCTTCGTTGCCGTGCAATTTTTATAAATGACTCTGTTCCAATTCTTTTGGTTAGGAACCGTAAACCACCTGCTGTGGGTGTTCAGGCTAAATTGGTTTGCCCGATAACAAAATTTCGCTAATTTCCCTGATATGGTAACACGCCTCAGGATAGCTCGCATGAAAGAAAGCCATGCTCGGCGATGGCTTACCTACATGCAGAACGCATAAATGGCCAATGCACGGATCATCTTCCCCTTTCAGTCAAAGCAACGGTTAATTGACGCTCCTCACAATAGATCATGAGACGGCCTGAAAACACATGCTACTCTATAGCGCTTCATAGTTAAGAAAAAAGCGGCTGCGAGATGATACAAAAAAAAAGCCTAATTGGTGGCAAGTTTGTTAAAGTTTGAAGGCGCAGCTCGACAGTAAGTCTCGCATAAACCCGTTAGGCCGTGGTCGTCAGTTTGGAGGTGTAAACTGGTCATAATGAATTTTTTAGTTTCTAATTTCCTCGAGTGCGAATGTTTCCATATGGCAAATTATCTTTATTGTATCACAGGGATGTCTATAGTATAATGGTGCTAGCGATAAAGTAGGTATGTTCAAATCATCTAATATACAATGTCATAGGTTACAAACTTATTTAAACGAAGTCAAATTTCTAAAGAATCAATATCACAACGGCCTGCGGTCTAGATTTTGATGAAGATCTTGTTGTTTGCACGTCGTTGTCGAAGGACAAGTAAAATGAGTGCTGATAAGACCGTCGTGGCACCGGCAAACTCAATAGCCGCGGTAAATCCGGCTTGGTCCCTTAACAAACCGCTAATGGGAGTACCAAGGAGACCTCCGGGGACCATGGAAAGAAACAAGAAGTTCATTCCTTGAGAAATATTCTTAACAGGCACTAATTCTGCTGTTACTGCTGGTATCAATGCAAGAAAACCACCTCCTGTCAATCCATAAAGGCTGTATTTCAAGAAAAATTGCGTGTCATTTAGTATACACTTTTCTCAAGTCGATATAACAAGAAAACGTTGAGTACTTACACGCCGATAGCGTAAAGAGTGCCAATTGATGTAACTTCAATCCACACAACCATCATGAAAAGTCCTAACAAATCAAACCCGACATGCGTTAGAATTTTGCAACCATTGATCTAGCAAACACGATGATCCGATTTTCTTACCAGCTAAGAAAGTGACCAAAAACATAGCATTGATGCGTCCACTACACCATTTGAGAATATTCCATTGGTATTGTTAGTACATTTCTTACATTGCTCAAGCTTGAATAGACGACTACTCACAATCGATCGGCCAAGTATCCCAAGAGAACTCGGCTAACGGCGTTACAAGCTGACATTACTCCAATGACAGTAGATGCTACGATATGTCAGAAAAGAAAGATCAGCATGCGTGTAACTATGACAGACGAGAAAATTGAAATAAACTTACCATCAGCTGAGGAAACACCGATCGATGCGGCGTATTCTGTAACATAGAAAAATCGAGAGTTAGCATGATATATTGGCATTGTAGAGTTGCAAGTATTCCAAACATACGTGGCAGCAAGAAAAATGGCGTGGCATAAGAAATGATGACGGTTCCTCCGAAAAACATGTAGATGACAAAATCGAATGTGAGAATAGAAGTATCGATCCATTGGTAGTTCTTCAATCCAGTCGCGGGCCATCTGATTCTCGCTGAAATAACAAGCATTAATTGAACAAGTACTGTTGTAGGTCATTGATCAAGATGACTACTTACCAAGAGCACAGGCCACCATGAGAAGCACCCAACAAATGATACCTAGATATCTTAAGGTCATACGGAATCCGACAGTAGCTACTAATTTCTCGGTGATCTATCAGGACAGTCAAATATGAGCACTCCATCCGTGACATGAGAAGTTATTCCGGAAAATATTAAAGTAACCTACCAGTGATAGCGCTAGACCGCCTATGCCAGTACCGCAGACACCAAGACCTGAAAGTTGAGTGTGGTAAGTCTTTGCACTATGATTATACAAGTATGCAAAAGAGGAGCCAGCATAATCTGGTGCAACACTATACCTGTGGCAAGTGCTCTGTTCTTTTTAAACCACTGGGCGGGCAGATATACACTAGGGTTATAAAGAAGACATCCACCAAGGCCAAAAAGAACACCTTCACTTAGATATAGTTGCCACGGTGCTGTTACAAAGCTAGCACTAATGAGACCGAGAGGAGAGAGAAACTATGGCGATGAGAAAATTAAACGTTAGTCTTAACCCAATGATGTGCAATTAATCAACAAACTGCTTTTTGATCACTTACCCCGCCAATGAGCATGGTGGTTCGATGTCCTATATATTGCACCAACGGTGCGACTAAAATGCCACCACCGACGATGAATGTTGCTGAAAGAGTGCCTACAAATGATATTCTGAAAGAATCGGTCTGTCCAGGGAACACTTCGGTAAGATAACTAGAAAAAAAAAATTCATTTCAATCAGATTTCACGCAAACGTAGGAAGCATTAAATTGAGGGCATTTTATCAGCTTGTTCCCACTTACACATTTTGAAAAATTCCCCAGGTGAAGACAATGCCGAATACAGCAAAGTTGACCAGAAACAGGGATATCACACTGAGCCATCCTGGATTTCTCCAGCCTTCGCTGAGATCTTCTACTTCGTTTGGAGTCGTTTTTTCACCTGCTGGAAGGCCGATCGTATCCTCGTCAGAGCTAACGTTGGTGGGTTCTGGCAGAGTTTCGGTCATTATCAGATCAGATGATTTTTCACTAAAGGAGCTCGCCTCGAGCTGGAGGGAAGAGCCTTTTTCAATATTATTTGGATTCATCATGCTATTGCTAGACAAATAGTGTTGAGGGAATGCTCGTTTGCGTTTATTTTTTTTTGAATGGGGAGACAGTTAAAGAAGTGCGAGTATTTATACAAGCATTCGGCTAAACTAAGTCGCTTTTCAAAATATAATAAAGTCTGTGGATCAGTCATTTTTTTAACCACCCGATTTATAATCGCTAGTTTCCCCAAACCTATGTTCCCAACTTGGGAAATTGATGATTGCAGCATGAATAATTTGGGTAAAACTTTCAACCTTACATAACCTTACAATAAATGGTATGATGTTCACTTCAGTTTATTGGATCAATTTGAAGCATGGATCAGATCGCTCGCCTTTGCTTGCATTGAAATAAAGTTATGTCACGAGTGAAAAGAGAGAAGATAATAGTGGATGCAGAATGCGCTGCCGTAAAAAAGAAAAGTAGCATCCATCTCTTAGATAACTTCTTACTGACAAATACACCTCTTTGTCGAAGAACGGTCTCAAGGAAGTCCCTCCTTCCCTTGCATACCCCGCCAAAAGCTTTCCCGTTTGCCCGCCACTGGAGGCTTGTACAAGCATTGGAGTATCAGCCAATCAAAATCAGATCAAACGACATGGTTGGAATTTTCCGCCACCCTTGGGACGTCACAAGTCGACGTCACCAAGTCGAAAGCAACCACTCACAATCCACTGAGTTTGGAAAATGATGAAAAAAAAAAAATTGTTTTTATAAAATTTTATAGGCTGGCCAACCAAGAGTCTCTCTCTTTCTCTATACTCCCAAACGTAAGTTGAATGCGCGTCTCATAGAAACCTCTTTGTCTTTACAGTTTGGACTTCAAAGCTGATCTTTTCATCACAGTATCATGTCTGACGAACAGCACGAACATACTTTCGAGCAGGCCTCCGCCGGTGCCTCCCTCACCTGTAAGGATTTCAGAAAATTTTTTTCTATTGGGGTTGAACTTGATTTGCAACATTTAGCATTGATGGTGGGGCCCGCTTTTGCCATGATCTAACCCCTCTCGTTATAGACCCCCTTCAGTGCTCTGCCCTTCGCAAGAACGGTCACGTCGTCATCAAGGGCCGTCCCTGCAAGATCGTCGACATGTCCACCTCCAAGACTGGTAAGCACGGACACGCCAAGGTCCATCTTGTTGCCATTGACATCTTCACCAACAAGCAAGTATCTTCAGTATTTGAATGAATAGGTAGTTTCCGATCCCGATACTAATACTGTTTCGATCTGAACAGGAAGCTCGAAGATCTCTCTCCTTCCACCCACAACATGGATGTTCCTAACGTCATCCGTAACGAATATTCCCTCATCAATGTTGATGACGGTTTCCTTTCCTTGATGCTTAACGACGGTTCCACCAAGGATGATGTCAAGTTGCCCGAAGGTGAACTTGGTGAGAAGTTGCAGGAGGAGTTCGACGAAGGCAAGGAACTTCTTGTCACCGTTGTCTCCGCCATGGGTGAAGAGCACGCTCTTACCTGTAAGTTTCTGGATGCCTGACTCCAAATTTCATTTGATTCGCTCGCCAATTTTTAAAAAAAACCTTGATCACTGACCCTTTTCCATCGTTTACAGACAAGGAAGCCCCCAGACAATAAACAGCTTTCTAATCTTGTAGGAAGTACATTGCACATAATGTAGTAGGATTTACTTAGAGTCATTATTTGTTCATTTTCATTTCTTCTGTCCTCCTTTTACCTTCATTTCATGTGCTTTGTCAAAATGAAAAAGTCGCCATTATCCCATTTTCTCCCCCATTAAAAGGAAAAAACTTGTGGTTCGCATGTTTTTTGTCTGTGTACTCCAAAGTTTCTTTTTGGGCTGTCGGTACATTTTCTTTGCATACCATGGCGTCAATTGACCGGTGTTGTTCCAACCGAAGGGTTGTCACTTAACGTGCCTGCCAACTGCATATTTGGCATTTAAGTCTCACAACGCGTGTGTGACTAAATTGACTTAACAATGATCTCTCAAGGCATGCAACTCGTGTTGACGGATCGGCCACTGTGTCCATGTTAAAACCTACTGTTTGCACCACACTTGCCCCACATTCTTTTTATATTAAGCTTGCAGGCCTTTAGCGCCATAAACATAGCCTATCAACCCCCAAATTGTTATTTCGAAAAGTGCAACGACAGAAAGCACATGATGGAACGAAAAAAGGAAAAAGCCTTCAAACAAGGTTAACGTAAACGCAGCGTGATCTGTGGTTCAGCTTTATATTAAAGCGTTTGACTCGGTGATTCCATCGTCATCATTGTCGAAAAGCACTTCTTTCTAGGAAGGCATATGTAGTCTCTTTTGCAAATAGTGACATGGGATCCACTACAACGTGGCGATCTACAGGACAACCAATATAATAGTATGGAAATTGGGTATGGATCAAGACTATCTTTCTATGCAAGTAAAAACTCCTTCTAATCATAATCATTCACAAACCGTGCTGCAAAAGATCATCTTCCTCAGGGTTGCGTGTGTGCTGTAGGTTGGAACCCCCGGCTAGCGAAGCAATGAATATTCAGATGGGCATATCACGTGTGACATTTGTCGGTTTCTGTGACTGGTGAAGAGCTTTTTGCAAAGGGGCCTGCCAACCCAGAGTTTGCTTTCCACTTCAACTGACAGCATGTTTCGTTTAATCCACACTGCCCGCACTTTACGGACAGCCAGTCAACCCTTGGCAAGGGCTTCAAGTACACCACTTACCACTGTGTGGAAAACTCCCACCAGACCCCTTCCAATATACCCTAGACGAGGATTCGCCTCAAAGTCGCATTCCGAATCCAATGCTTCATCGGGCATGTACGCATTGGCCATTTTTGTCTCAATGTTAGGTGTTTCTTATGCTGCTGTGCCATTATATCGTATATTCTGTGCAAGTACAGGGTACAGTGGCACCCCAGTTACAGACAGTAGTCGGTTTGCTGCTGAGAGACTGGTGCCGGACGCTGAAAGTCGAAGAATCCGAATCACGTTTGAATCCAACACGTCTGACGCCTTGCAGTGGTCTTTCAAACCAGAGCTAAGAGAGGTCCGAGTGGTACCTGGAGAAACGGCATTGACCTTCTATAGGGCCAAGAACAATGCAAAGGAAGATATTGTCGGCATCGCAACTTACAATGTCACTCCGTACCGTGCTGGTCAGTACTTCAACAAAATCCAATGCTTCTGCTTTGAAGAGCAAATGCTCCGTGCCGGAGAGGAGGTGGATATGCCTGTCTTCTTCTTCATTGACCCTGACTTCAATGAGGACCCCTACATGAAGGAAGTCAACACCATTACGCTCAGCTACACCTTGTTCAACGCAAAGTACGCCAAAAATGTGGTGCCTGGACAGCGACCATGAACCAAGAAATAATGTACATAATTCCATATGTAGATCAAGAAAATGTAATCTAGCCATGTCAAACTCTTTGATGTTAACGGCTGTGGACCCCGAGAATTGCCTGCCATTTACATCAAACTCGGGTAAAAAGAAAAAGTGAAAAATTTAGACTTTGTCATCCTGCTGTAGAAGAATAAAAGAAAAGCAGTAATACAAAAAAGTAAACAACAAAAAATAAAATCAATCAATTAGAATATCCCATCATATTCATTCAGGAAAACTTGCATTTTTCCATCGTTTTTAAAAAGGTTCAAGGACAAAATGCAGTGGTGGGGTTTAATATATCTATCGTGTCGATAAGTGTGCGGGATGGGTATACATGGAAGGTTAGATTCTATACTTTTAGCTATTTTGCTAGTGTCGGCTGTGGGATAGGTTGCTCCAGGCCACGGTCTTCGTGAAATGCGGTTTTGAGTGGGACATTGAATTGGTCCAGGTAAAGTGACAGGTCGGCCAAGACGTCCTTTGCCACTGCGTCTGCTACTTCTTGTGTAGCATGTCGGACATTGTGACTGAGCAGTAAGTTTGGAAGACTAGGACGGAAGGATGAATCAAGTGGGATGTCTACGGAGGCACCAGCGATATGGCCCTCTTTCAGAGCAGTAACTAATGCAGTGTAGTCAACGGCGCGGCTATGTGATGAGTCGATAAGGTAGCTTCCTTTGCGCATGGTCTGGCATAGCTCTCTCTCGCGAAGCATTGGTTCTGTATTGGCGGGTACATGCAAAGTCACAAAGTCGGATTGCTCAAGGAGTTCAGAAAGGGATGCGGTGGATTTGGCGCGACCATAGTTCATCACATCCGCAGAGTCATAGAACACCACTCGCATGCCCAGCGCTTCGGCCATGCTTGAGATTTGAATACCAACGCTGCCGTAGCCAACAATGCCAAGGGTTTTGCTGCGAATTTCAAACGTGTGTCGAGGGGATACACGGGCGAGCTGGAATATATTTCCAATGACGAATTCTGCTTCGCTACGAGCCGTCACTCTAGAAGATGCAGGTCTGGGAACAAACACAGGTATGTTGTGTTCCTGGATAGCTGCTCCATTCAAATATGCGACGGCCATCCAGTGATCCGAGGTTGTAAGTGCAGACATAAGACTCAAAGCAAGGGGTTGATTGATGAGCAAAATATGACATGTCTGACTAGCGAGGACAATGTCTTGTATTCGAGAATAGTGCGATTCAACCAGCTACAGTAAAGGTTAATGAAAACGTGCCTTCACGAGGTGTGTTTCTTGTCCAAACTGAGGAAAATTTTTGTTTTATAAAGCGTACCTGGATATTCGCAGCATCAAGAGCATGTTTAACGTCAGGGGACGCAGATCCCAAGAAAAATGCACGTAGAGTATGAGGACAGCGATTAACAGCAGTCATAAGAGAATGATGAGGTTGGTGAAAACAGAAAAATAAACTCTTTTATAAGTGGAGGAGAATGGGTTTTTCTGTCACACGTGCGGACAGAGGCAATAATTTTCGTTTGGGGCAAAAGAGAGAAGGACCGAAGGGCTCGTTCTTAACTCCGAAGTTCCTAACCTCTCACTGGCGGTGCACGGTTGTACGGGAATAGGAGGGATGATGTATTTTCAACGATTATCAAAAGATTAAATGTACTGGTATTACAATGGATGAGGGTACTATGCAATTCATTTACGACGTGGTGACTTTTTCTTATTTGGCGCCGGTAATTCGTTTTCTTTCTGAGCTGTGGCAGTGGTCGGTGATGAGCCGTCTCTTACCACGTTCAGCATACCCAAGGCTGTCTTGGCAATAAGGAAGGGTGCCCACGTCAACTTTTCTGGTTGTGCGTACGGATATCCCTTAGCGTCCACTCGATCCAGATGGTGTTTAATCAATGCTTCATCAAAGTCGAGAAAATATTGGCCATGTTCATCCTTTCTCAAAAGATGATTCAGCTGGAGGGTTGCAATAACATCATCGAAAGTCATACCAGTTTTGCTACTTAAATCTGGCATGCATCAAATCAATCAATAAACAAGAATTTCAAGAGATATTTTTGAACATCATCATACCTTGAATGCTGATAAAATCTTTTGCTTGAAGCAACTGGCGAAAAATACACGTTTTCCAGTATGCCCTGTAGCTTAGCATTCCTAGATCCGATAGCGGCTTTTCAGGAGACCCTGGTTTGCCTTCTTTGCGAGATAAAAGGTAACCTGGGTTTTCATAAGATGAGGTAAAATCAATATACAGCTATTGCTCAGTCTACGCAGCAGCCATCGAACTTACTAATATCGACAAGGAGATTACCGTAACCTTTTCGTTGGTGGGAGGGTAATGTCATGATACAAGATAAATTATAATCTAAAAGCGATCGTTTTTCCTTAAAAAGAGAGCAGAAATTAACATACATGTTATGTTGGACGCGTGCTCACAGCAAAATAATCAAGTGCATTCCTACCTTTGAAAAGTAGCCTACGAAATGACATCCCTCCGAGTCCACTTCTGTCATAATATAGAACAAGAAGGGTTCGACATCGTAATAAAGAGTTTTGTGGTCTAGGAACATCTTAGCCAGTAAACACAGATTTTGGCAGTATATCTATAAAGATACGAGGCGTGTTAACCATGGGCATGAAGCCATACGAAGCAAGACTCTATGCATCAGCTAACCTTGTTCTTTCTGCCATCCACTTCGAAAATGGATACAATGCCATCTCGATAAATCTCGTCTCCGGGTGGATATTTCACCATGCACTTCAACTAGAGTGACCCGTTAGTTTCTCCATTGCTGTCATGCGAGAATTTCTGTGCACCCCATACCTTATGCCGATTCGCTGTGTATTCACTCTTGATGTATTTGAGACAATATTCACAAATATACAATATGGGCCGTTTGCTATACTCTTCTGGATACGGTGCATTGTACCAAGTGTCAATTAAATAGTCGCCTATCCGTATTTGATGAATCTTCTGTTCTGGCGCATCACTCTGGTGATGATGTGGTCGATATGAGGCCGAAGGATTCGATTTGTTCATGCGAGATAACTTTTTCGTACGTGCAGCTATTTTAACATTATTGGCCCTTTCAATGTCCTGTATTTTGGGAGAAGTCGCGTGAGCAAACGTGCACCATAGTATTGGGGTGGAGAGGACAAATTTTCGCACAGCTTTTGCCCTACTGATTGGAAACCACTCTTCCCTTCTTTAAATCTAAATGCTTACCTCTGCGATGCCTTTTGCTCTTTCGTACCTATCTTTGCTGTTGGCGGTTGGGGCAGCCCTTTCGGTCTCAGCCTCTTCCATGGTTAAGCGGTTTCCAAACGTCAGAAAGTGATCTTCGGCCGGTGACAGAGGTGAAGCAGGTATCTTCTTGCTCTTTCCAGCTTTGGTTTTGGGTTTTGTTGCTGGAGGAGTTGGTGGTTTATAAGAGTCGGGCTGCTTTGTTTGTAATCGGAGCGGTCGCGCGGTGTTTCTGTTACCCTCCTCCAAACGTAGCGCTTCCTGTTCTTTCATAATGGTTTTTTTATTCTTTGAACCTCGCGGTCGACCTCTTGGTCGCACTGGTAGTTGATTCTTTGACGATGGTTTGGCATGACGAACAGCTTGCGGAGATGCGACTTGCGGTTCATCGACACGCCTTCGTTTAGATGGACTGTCTTCTGAGCTCTGTTTTGAAGGACGCTTGATCAGCCTCAGGTCCACAGGTGCAGCTTTACGAGGAAATCTAGACATGGTAATTTAATAATTAATGGAGCTGAACCCAAGGAGTGGAAATGACTTCAACAAGCAAAGGTGCAGGATACCGTGTTTGTGCGACCACACTCCGAACTCCGTCATGATGAGAGCGGTCTTCTGCTTTTACAACTGCTTTAGAGACCGTCGCACTTTCCAACCGTCTGATACGCATGGGGGGGATTTTAAATAAGGAAGAGGGTTAAGCAACGGGGAGGGCTTTTAAAGAGCAACAGTAAAAATAACCACACTGGAATCACGTTACTATGCCAGCCTTCACTCTTCTTCACCCAACGTTTACGCTGCACTTATTGGCTTCAAACTATTTATTAGCGGAATCTCATATTCCAAAGAAACATTAAAACGTTGGCTTCTTCAAGTTACGACGGTTCTCAAAGAATTCCTTATGCATGTTGAGCATTTTAGTATTCTGATCTTGCTGTATTTTTTCCCATGGGTGTCCGTTAGCGCGGTTCACCGTGATATCAGGGTGTTTCATCAGCATCCAGGCTATGAGAAGATCGAGTTAGTGTCAAAAATAGAGGTCATTTTCAAACAAATCAGTTGCTATGCACTCACCTGGAAAGCTAGTGGTCAAAAGAATAAAACGATGAAATGTTAGTACGAGTTGTTCACAGTATCCCCACAGTCGATTCCCTGGCGTCAACCACGTCTGGTTACACATATGAACGCCTGAAACTCATTGCTGAGCGGAGAGCGGGGTGTGGGTGATTTCCCCGCACGCACAGGTATAGCTTTCTACTTACGTAACAGCAGCAACGCAGCCAGTGCCAGCGATGACAAAGAGTGGAGCCAGAGCTGGGTTTCTAACGACGAAGGAGAAGACGCTCATAATGGGGTACAGAGAAAAGAGATTGAGAGGGAAAAGGATGGGTGTTAATCCCCCCTTTCTCACATTGCCCCCTCTTTTTATACCTAGCAACCAAACACCTGACCCTACTTCCCACTCAAAACAGCAAGCTTACAGCAGCCAAACCAGTAGCTTTTTGGTGGCAAGTCACACACTACTGCCCGCGCTGGTATATTTAGGCTGCCTTTGAACTTTCTTTCCCCTCACTTGGAAAAGGTGGGGTATTTACGTTGCGTATTTGAATAACTCTTAGAATGAATAACAACAATTGAATTCAGACCGCCCCAAATCATACACTCTCCATACCGTAGCGTGGAATTTTTCTCATGAACACGAATTAAACTTCAAACGAGCCGGATTATGTCATCTTCCTAGCACTCGCCACGATACAGCCACGGTATGGCATTGTCAGAGGACTTTCTTGTGCTCCCATCGGAAAAAAGAAAAAAGTAAAAATGCTCGAACGGTGTGATGAGGGCATCCAAAAAAATTTTCTTGACAATGGTGGTTTCAATTAAAAGTACATGAAGAGAGAAAAGATGGTCTATGATGGAATTAGGCAAGCAGTTATTTAGCATCTGCATTGGCAGCAGCTGCCATGGCGACGGCTGCAAGCTGTCGTCGCTGAAGTTCTTGGGCATTTTTTCGCTTTTCTTCTTCGCTATCTGTAAAAACTGGTGAGGACATAAACGATCCTCCTGCTCGGGAGAGATCATCCTTGTTGGCATCTAATCCGCCTTGACGAGATGTCTGTAGTACGGGTACAAGATTCTGTGTGAGAGTAGATTGCTGTTGGTGGCTCAAATGATGACCGAACCTCGATAGGATTCGATTAATGTAGTCTGGCTGGCCCTGTTGTATGGGTTGGGCAGCAGCAATCCGCTCAGCTGCTGGCGTTGGGGTGGAGACTGACGGCATAGATGCGGAAGCCACTCAGTATAGTATGAAGAAGAAGAAGAGAGGGAAAGCGGTAATCAGTGATCGAAGAACGATAAAAGGTACAACCGAGGTGGAGACCATTTCCGCTAGCCAATCGGACTTTTTTTCACCTAAATTTTCTATCGCGGCCAAAAACAATACGCACCCCACCCAAAAAAAAATCCCAAAGAAGAGTACAACGTAAAATAGAAGACGTTCATTTTTTACAAACAAGAAACAAGAAAAGCTGTGAATATGTATTTGATTATTTTTTTTTTTGACTATAGATTTTTCTTTGAAAAAAATCGAGGTTCTCTGTTTTATGCTGTTACTTCCTTTTGAGCCATGCTGGCACATACAGCCTTGTGTCCCTTGCGGTAGTTGAGTTTCTGGCAGTCACGGCTACAGTACCAGATGCTTCTGCATGCACCGCAGCTAAGCAGAGACTTCTCGGGCTCACCTTGACGGTGCTTAGCTCCACATTCAGAGCACTGCTTAGGGTTGGGAGGATAAGACTTGGGACGACCGAGGATACCAGCCTCAATCAATCTTTCAATCTTGGCATTGGGTTGAACAGGGGGCATGGATGAAGCAATCATCTTCTTAGCAACATCAGCTGGCTCATGAGCTAGAACGGCTTGACGCTTGATGTCGTTCATGCCAGGAACACTGCCGTACAATTCCTTGAAGCGTTCTTCGTTTTGCTTAGCCTTTTCGTAGTAATCGGCAGCTTGTGAGTTGTCATTCTTGTCATATGTAAGGAAGGCAAGAGCGTAAAGAGAGTTGGTGTAATCAGCCGTATCAGGGTGGCCGTGCTCAAGATAGAGCTTGAAGTTCTTGATAGCGTCATCCTTGTTCTTAGTGCTGATGTAAATAGAGCCCAACACGCTGTAGGGGAAGGGGTACGAAGGATCCTTTTCTAAACAGGCGTTCAAGTCATCCATACCAGCCCTAAGTAGTGACAAGGCATATAAGGATACAGATCATTCATACAATGACAAAACCGCGCTTGTTTTAATACTTACTTAAGGTCACCGTTAGACAAGTGGCACGTGGCACGAACGAAGTACATGCGGGCAGGTAATTCAGGGTAAGTTTCCAGGCCCAAAGTCAGAGTAGTGATACTATGTCCATGAAAAATAGGTTAATATACAGGGAACGCTCTATCAAACGAATGACGTTGACTCCTTCTTACCAATGCTCATATTGCTTGCCAACAAGCAAGATCCATGCGGAAAACAAAAGACTGTCCTTAACAAAGAAACCTTCCTGCTGATCTTCAGGAATATTCTTCAAAAGAACCTTCTCATATTGTTGACCCAAAATCAGGACACGCTCAGACATAGGAGCAGCCTTGTCATCCATAACCCAAGCGGCCACCATGCTTTCAGCAGCGTCTTTAATGTCCTCTTCATGCTTGTCCAAAGTGTCAGCCTCCAGGACAGCGGGGACGGTCATGGCAAGATCATAACCCTTGCGGAAAAGTTCCTTGGCTTCGAAGTAGCGCTTGGCATCAGGGTCAGTGGTGTCTTGTAGTTTGTTGCGAGCTTGCAAAAGATCGTACGCGATGATGCGGTTGCTGCCATCCAAAAATCGATCTTGGTATTCGCCGCTCTCGTTACCGTGTTCGTGGTCATGCTGACAATCAGGACCATGGACATGCTGATGTCCAGCAGTTGAGGTAGTAGCAACCTGAGTATCAGCAGCGTTGACCATGTTTGTTATTTCGAGAGTAAATGAAGCAAAGGGAAGAGCAAATGAGATGGAGTGGGAAACCCCAGTCAACCTGTCTATACGACAGGGAGGAAATAAAATTCTGGCCAATCATATGGCGACATCGTATGCTGTTCAATGGCTCCCTTTATTTTTCAGTAGAAAAATTTAATTTCTGTCGCGCAGGTGGGAACAGCCAGCCAGCCAGATAGAAAAAATAATTGGGAAATTGCAGAAGACTTTAAGAGAAAAAGAGGTGGTCGCCAGCAATTGTAACGTATTGCATCTTGTTAATGGATAGCCTGAAAAAAGGTATGAATTTAGGGAATAAAGTAGAATGAATGACCATTTCCCCACGTCCTGTTAAAGTGGCCATATCATCTTCAGCACTTCTAATGTTTCTGTTCTTATTGTTTTAATAGCTAAAATCGTTAAACTATCGAATTGTTAAAACAAATTACATGGTTATTGGCTTCCATCCATTTTTACAAGCATTTAATAAACCTCGCATGATATTTGGTCTCGGATGAGTGCGAAAGCAGAACATTTAAAGTTTTTATGCCTCGTTAGTACAACGAAAAAGCTATTAAACTTCTTCTCTTTGAAGCGGATGGAGAGAAGACAATGGATGCGTTTACTGTGTCTTTCTATCTTGAACTTCGCTGTCATGTTTCCTGAATAGGCTATGCATTTAACTCATATTGCCCTAACCATTTCTGCATTGAACACTAGCGAGCTCCAACCTTTCAGGGCATGCATCAAACAAGTTGCATAGGAGTGGTGATCTGTAAATACTGTGTGATTTTCTGCGAGTGCCAAGGCAGCTAAAACGACAAATTGGATATCGGGGTTCATTTCCAATTCGGGCCATCCACGTGATCCCCCAAGGTCTCTGTCTCGGTCAGCTTGGCTCCTATTTCTTTTTTTTTTTTTTTATACGAATTCACTCTCATCTACAGTCTTCAATCCGACCAGTACCCCGCATTCCTTACCACCCATCACTTTTCACATGCACATGATATCTCATTAAACACTTCAAACTGATGACAGACCGTGCCGCCTCCAACTCCTATTTCCATGCTTCGCCAGCTTCGACGTTTGACGATTCATACGAAAGCGAGTCAAGTTCGGGAGAGGAAGCCACAGTGTTTCTTCAGCATGCGAGCGCAATATATCGACCGCCATCCAGGTCGAGGCCGAGTACGCCGTCCACAGTAAAAGATCATGATATGAAATTTGTGCATTCTACCGCTATATCGCCTTCCAACCCCTCATCGCCTATTGCCTCTCCTCGATTATCATCCTCTTCCTCTCGACCCACCTCACCTACCTTAATCACGTCTCCGAAAGTTTCGGCTCGGCCAAAACGAGAACTTCCTTCTGGATTTGTTATCACTAGAGCATCCGTTGTTGTCATTGCCTTAATTGTACTATTTGCTTTTGGCACCCTTTCCGCCTTTTTCGATTCCTTTGTCAACTACCAGCGAGACCCGAAGGGATGTCAAGTTTCCTACATGAGACCATCCTTTGTAAAACAAGATAATTTCGATAGCGAAATGACAAAGTTCGCTGGTAAATATACCTTATACCTCTATAGAGAAAAAGGCGTCGACAACAGTGACCAGGTAAGTACAAGAAGAGGTGCAAAAGTAGCATGTGAGATCGGATCAATTTGAATTAACTTTCCCGAATGATAGCCTGTAGGTGTCCCCGTCTTATTTATTCCTGGGCATGCTGGAAGCTACAAGCAAGTTAGATCTATAGCTGCAGAGGCAGCTTACCTTTTTTACGGTCAAAATGGCCGGCACACGGAAGATTGGGATCGTGGACAGGAAAATTTGGATATTTTCACAGGTAGAGGACTTGTTCCAACCTTTATGTGTGTTTGCTCGAGATGGGGTCGCGACCGTGTACTAATTAAATGCATAACAGTTGATTTCAATGAGGAGTTTTCAGCATTGCACGGACAGTCTATACTAGAACAAGCCGAATACCTCAACGACGCTATAGATTATATTCTTAAATTATATCCACAAACTCGAAAAAACGATGGTCGCTTCAACCCTTCCCTACCCGACCCTCAATCTGTCATCATCATTGGCCATTCCATGGGTGGTGTAGTCGCCCGGGCCATGCTTACAATCGACAATTATCAACCTGGACATATTAACACCATAATTACTTTATCAACACCTCATATTTCACCACCGGTGCCGTTTGACTGGATGATATCCAAAATATACAAGGACATACATCAGTTCTGGATTGATGGTTATTCGACGGCTATAAACGACCGAGAGCGATCCTTACGGGATGTTGCTCTTATTTCCATTGCTGGAGGCAGCCTTGATAGCATTGTATGCTCTGATTCCGCCAACATTGGGGCTATCGTACCTGCGACTCATGGCTTCACCGTTTTCACTACTGCCATTCCCAATGTGTGGACAGGCAGTGACCATCCTGCTATATTGTGGTGCAACCAAATTGTTGGAGTTTTGGCCAAATCTTTGTTAGACATTGTAGATACTCGACGAGGCGGCCAGACAAAACCTTTGGATGCCAGGATGCAAGTGTTCAGAAAGGCTTTTTTGAGTGGATTAGAACAAGATCGCCGATCAAGCGATATCCCTTTTGTACCATCACCCGTCGTAAGCCTTCCTGGAGATAGTCAAGATTTCATCGAAGATGGGTACCGGATAGCGATTCGCGGTTCCACTACAAACACATATCGCATGCTTCGCATACCCTTCCAGCTTGACACAACGTTGACCCAATTTGCAGTCTTGTCGGATATACCTCTCGGTGAATCGCAACGGTTTAGCATGCTGCTCTGTAATCCGTTGGAAAACACATATAGACCTATCAGCACCACCAAGAGCAACCATACAATGACCTGTGTCGATGCATCAGACGTAGCAGTCCCTGTTCCGGCATCGTCCATCAATGACCGATACCCTTTCGATGGTAACAAATTTTACTTTCTGAAAATGCATGTCTTGGAAATGGTCGGATACGAATACGTTATGTTTGTCGATCGAGGTGGCCCTGCTGGATTTGTGCTTGCTGAGTTTTACGACGAACTATCCACTCGACAGGTCGTTGATGTGTCCATGACGGGTATGTGGCAATTTTTGTACTGGGAGAGGATGGACGGGTTTTGACTAAGTTGTACGCCTTTGTTTATTAGATATTGCTTTGGGTGGAGTATCGTTCTCAACCTCTACCACGTCCAACACCATGCTGTCATCCGTGCAAATACCTGCCATGGAGAGCGCCATGCTTGCTTACCATCTACGCGTGTCACGACCGAACTGTAAAGCGTCACAGAATCTTTTTGCTCCATTCTTGCGACAGTCGATCTCAAGTATGCACGAGTCCAAATTCTACGTCAATCTAGGGGGTGAAAGCGGTAACGATGTGACCGATGTTTCCTTTCACGGACAAGCTGCTTTCACTAGCAATCCGGCTTCACAAAGCGGCAATGACCATAGAGGCCTTCTATTACAATTCTGGATGGATCCCACTTGTCCAGAACCAATGGAAGTGACATTGGAGGTCGATTGGTACGGTAGCATGGGACGTCTAGCCTTCCGTAACGGCGTAGTCCTTGGCGTATTTCCATTCATCATTGTGGTCATGGTTGTTCTAGCCCAGATCCAGTGTTATAATAAGACAGGTACATCCATTTATACATGTTATATACCCTCCACCCAACTGACCCAAATCTTCTAGGCATCTTTCCTCATTTTGGTCAAGGCTTGGTGTATTGTTTGCGAAAGTCATTTCCCTTGTTTCTTGTTCTCGCTAGCGCCTGTAGTATATACCAAACCATCGCCCCTCCCACCACCTACACTATTAGCGAAATACTGCAGTTGGGTCCTGCCACTTCTCAAAGGGTACCAGAGCGGATAGCAAGAGCAACATTTGACTGGGATGAAGTGATCCTAGGCAGCCATGATCCATTCTTTTGGTGGGTGCCCATCGTGTTCTTCGTCATCAGCATCGGGACAGTCGTCTTGGTGTGGGGTATTCTAAATCTAGTGCTTCGCGTGGCAAGCATCATCGCTACGCAAGTTAAACGTCGAAAACCCCCCACTGTTTCTACGGAACCTGACATGAGACGACTTCAACGTAGAGTCATCACGACCATTGTCTTGTTCTTATTGGTCGCCACGGTCATTCCTTACCAATTCGCATTTGTGGTGGGATTCTTAGTTCAGCTGGTTACGTGCTCCCGCGCCATTGTGAAGGCTTCGTTTACAGTAAGTTTTTTTGGGGGGAGGAGGGATAAAAAAAAATATAGGCTTATTTGGGGATTTTAATGGAAGCGTCGTAAATGGCATTGCGAGTTAACTGTCTTTTTCTTTTGACCATCAAGTCCGACCCAGTTCGTAAACGAAAGTACTGGAACCGATATCACTATCTTCAATCTATCCTTATCCTCCTCTTCACGCTATTGCCACTCAATGTCCCAGTCTTGATGGTATGGATACGGAATCTGTCTGTGCACTGGTTTGTGCCCTTTTCTTCCGACCATAGTGTCCTTGCCATCGCACCCTTCATGATCTATGTTGAGATGATGACTGGAACCCGGATGCTACCTCGGTCTCAGGATTTGTAAGTAGATTCATATTTATGTGATTCTTTGTACGACTGTGCGCTAATTTATACTGCGGTAGTAAATTGAAGTGGGCCACCAACGCGATTTTCTGCGCAGTTATTGTTTATGGTTTCCTTTATGGTGTAAAGTTCACACACGCTTTGTACATGTTGGGCAATCTATTGGTTGTATGGTTGTTAATTTTGCATGCTCGACACTCTTGGCTTTCGAAGGCGGTGTATGTATATGTAATGGAGCATTTTCGGTTTCAAACAAAGAAGAGATCATAAATGAGCCCTGTTCTTTCTGTATTTCTTGTACCTTTTTGCATTCTCTGTTTTCTCAAAGCATTTCGTTCCAGCCAAGACTTTACCAATAAACCGGCTATTTGTTTTTTTGACACTCTCCCGCCATTTCAAGTCATGTCGATCCGCGCATGTCCACTGCCAAATTATTGGCTACCTACTCTGGCGCGATCGACAGCCTTGGCACACTCTTAGGCAAAACGGAATCTTTTTAATTGCCACGGCAAACAAAGGGAAATGGTTCATATTGTTTGACATCGGGTCCGGACTAACGGGCCAGATGATGGGATCTCCTCCCTATTGAAAAGAACATGGCAACGTAGATATCGAATTCACCTCGTCTTGGCTGTGTATTGCGATGTATGTCATCCAGTCGGGTTGCAATAAGGGGGGTTACATTAGCTTGCCATGGCTTGGGGCGTTTTGAAATAAAACATGAAAATCCATATTTTGACCAAAATAACAAATGAGAATATTTTTTTTTTCAGGTACACACAGTGTGAGCTTTGTTTGTGTGTGGCGAGCATGGGTGATCTTGGCAACGATATGGTGGAAAATCCGTGAAGGCGAGCGAGTAGAATTAAGGGCTGAAATGGCTTGTACGTCTAGAAACAAGACTGATTGTTGACGCTGAGGGCATGATAGGAACTCCCTGATCGTGCACTTTACACGGTACTCGACACAAAGTTTTACATAGAGATGGGTAAGCGAATAAAAAATTGGCTCAGGAACATGCCGTATTTTTAGCCCCGAGGGTTTTTGTTTTCAGTGCTATTTTTTGATAGAAAGTGGCTGTGTCGTTTTGAACAAACAACTGCTTTACTCTTGATGAACGAGAGGAGGTACATTATCTGCACTGAACTAGTTTTTAAGATTCTACCCTTGAACGCCCCTCCTCTAACTCTAGACCATTGCATCCCAAACCAGCCTTTCTTTTTAAACTGTTTATGTCATGTCTCCTAGACATCGACATAATGAGTATGAGACCAGGATGGAAATACATTCCTGGACCTCAAGGAAGTCGGCCAGGTCTGAGATTGGAAAACGTTACTCCATGACTACGGATATGCGGCGAAAGAAAAAAAAAGCCATGATGAAATCCTTTGAAGACTTGCCTATTACGGTAGACTAACCAGTCATCGAACTCTAAGAATAAACCACGTCTTTTCAGCACAAGTTGGCTGGTTTTTTATCGTTATTGTGCCAGACTTCTTTTTATTTTATACGTGGTCATTTGAACCTAATTCAAGCCGTAAACACAGAACGTTCTTGCTGTATTAAGCATGAAGGCACGGATGATCGGAGACGGGCAATGAGACATATTGAACTGACTAAAGTTACAGACCTTTCGGAGGGTGAATGTTAAGGCCGTGAATTTCATGTCATCAACTTAACATCTAGGGCCATTTGACTCTACGCTCCCTCAGATTTTAATCTTCAAGCATAGAGGCCGAAGATTTATGTGTAGCCAACAAAGTTAGGATGTCAAACACAGTGTATCCCACCCTACCCTAAATGGGCGATGACAACGATGGCCCTCCGCCAGTAGACATCTCAAGACATTATAGCTTTATTTTGATATTCGCACAATGCACGGGTCAGCGAATAGAGCAGCCAAGAGCATACAGTACTGCATAAATGCTCGGGGCCTGAGGCCTCAAATGAAACCGAAGCGTGAAGACATGGCACAGCAACGCGAGCAGCCGATCAGCAGCTCAGTCAGACGCCACCACACACATATTGTGAAGTAAAACCACCATGTAGGGTATATCACAACAAAAATCTCCTCGTCTGTGTTCTCCTAAGTGAAAAATGAGACCCCCAGTTCGTTAGTAATAGTACGTACCTGGGTGGCTAAGCATCAGCTATGGGGTGTTAGCCTAGGCAGGGCGGGATTATGGCTTACCGAAAAGCTAGCCGAGAACGCTTTTTGGTGTTCACTTTCTCGCCTTTGTGAAATAGAGTACACGGCGCGCCCGAAATAAACGGTGGCCAGTATAAAACTCCCCTATTTTTGCTTTCTTATTACATCAAAGGTGGAATATTTTTTTTTTTTCCAATATATATCTTCCATCATCTTTTCTCCCCATTTATCCGACCGTAACTCTTCCCTCCTCTTCTCCCATGGTGAAACTCCTTGCCCTGAAATTAGCAATAGCAGGGCTGTTCGCTACTAGCCTTGTATCAGCACTTCCTGAACGACGACATCCTTTAGCCAATAAGTTGAACAAACGTTCTAGTTTGACCGGCAACGAGGCTCCTCCTCTGGATAAGCCAGTTGCAGGAGATCCAATCATTACACAAACCGGCGCTCCTGCACCTACTGCTTCACCTTACTACCAGGCACCGCATCCTCCATACGCCAATTATTATGAAGGCATTCATAAAGCATACCTGTGGTAAGCCGAGGGTCAGGGCTGACAAGGGATTTTCCTTTGTACCTGCCTGTTGTAACACAGTTTGAAAATTTTCCCGCTGAACCCAAATATTCCAGGTATGAGATTCAACGTAGTGGCCCTATTCCAACCCAGCGATTAGCATGGCGTAGCGATTCTTGTATAGCATGCCATGCTGACAACGGAGCGGATCTTTCTGGAGCTTGGTATGAAGCAGCCAATACCATGAAATGGGGTCTTCGTAAGTACAAGATATTTTTTTTTAAGAAGAACGGGAAAACATAAATGCTGGATTACGTTTTGTGCTAAACCTAAACTTTTCCACTCTCATCATAGCCTTGGCATGGACAGTAACCCAATTGGCCTACAACGTGTTATGGTACAAAGACACCCTGGCAGCTGGAAATGAGTTGGTATGTTGTGTGTTACATTACCTACTGATGACTAGGGGGGAGCGCTCCTGACCTGTCCATGAGCCCTTTTTTATTCACCGGTTTCTTTTTTTCAGAACCAAGCCTTGACCACCGTCAAGTGGGGTACTGACTATCTCATTAACGCCCATATCAATGATACGACTTATGTTGGTCAACTGGGTATTTCTGGCATCGGTGACAATGACGATATCGATTTTGCTTACTAGTAAGTTGAGAATAATTTATTTCGTACCCAATATTGCCTTAATGTCTGGGGTCGAAATGAGTTTACCCCAAAGCAAGCGTTAAACCCAAACTAATGTTCTATCTTTGTCCGTCCCTCCATGTAGTTTGGCACCTGTAAGTGAATAATTTTCGAACAACAAATAGGGTCATATGTCCATCGCTCATTCATACACTAAAACTGCGCCTTCTGCTGACAGGAAACGTATGAATTGCGTATGCCTCAACAGTATTGGCATCCTGCTCTGTACTGTACGCCTCAAACTCCCTGTGGTGATATCGTCGCGGAGTCGGCTGCAGCGCTGGCAGCAGGCTCTATCATTTTCCGAGACTACAACTCGACGTACGCCGATCTTTGCCTTCAACATGCTGAATCAATGTATACCTTTGCAAAGCAATACCCACAGAGCTACAACACGCCAAACAATACCGCAAACAGTAAACCACGTTTGATTACGCTGAGCTCATATTTTCCTTCTTTTGTTTGTTTACCATCTATGTTTTATTTATAGCCAATGGCTCTTGGTATGCTGCTGCTGGCTGGTATCCCTCGTCAACAGTTGCAGGTAATTTTTCTGTTTGGTTTTGTACTGGCTGGCTGATACTTTATGTTGTTATGCAGATCTTAAATTTCCCACCCTATTACAGATGATATCTCTCTTGCTGGAGCACTTTTGTACCTTAGCACCAACCAATCGTCCTACTTAAATGACTCAATAACTTACTACCAGACCAACGACTGTCAAAATGCTTGGGGTGAGGAGTCTTGGGATTCCCAAGGTGGCCACTTGCACGTCCTGCTGTACAACATTACCAAAGATGCCCAGTATATGACCAATTTCAAAGCCTTTGCTGCTCAATATCTGCCTGGTACCACACAGACCTTCAAACAGACTCCGCTTGGGTTAGCTTTTCCAGAGTGAGTCAATATTCGTGTTCCATCTACATTTGAGGCAACTGAGCTTACTGTTATATCCTTATATGTTCATTCTGTACCAAGGTTCTGGGGCACGATTGCATTGGATATGAATGCATGTATGTCCATGGTCACCATGGCCAAAGTCATCGGCTACACGGATCCTTATTCAGTTGAAATGTTCAATTTCTGTGTTCAACAAGTCAACTATGTGATGGGCGAGAAGGGCTACTCGTTCATGGTCGGCATGGGCTCGCAGTATCCTCTTCGGGTTAACCACATCAGCTCTTACAACCCATATGACGAGAGCCCAATGTACAATCAGACGCTGACCAATATCGAGAATGATTTCTTGAATGGCCTAACCGATAATCGCAGAATAGCCTATGGTGCTATTGTGTCTGGACCGGATAAGAGCGATCATTACCAAGACGATCATCAACTCTATCAATACAGTGAGGCCACGCAAGACTCTTCTGCTGGCATTATTGGGTTGCTCGCTGGTTTGATTGACATGTATGGCTCAAGCAACTTCAAGTCGTTTTCGGATTGTACCTTGGATCTCGGTTGGAGCCATCCTAATGCCAGCGCTAAACCCAACTGGCCAGCCGATGACTGTTACCACACTTGTAACACTGGTAGCTGCAACTACGCTGTCACCCTGTGGGCTCCTGACAGCAAGCAAATTGTCAACCAGACAGCCGTTGCTTCTGCCTCTGCTTCGGCACTGGGCAGCAACCCCAGCAACAATGCCTCCACCTCTGACTCTTCCCACCAGACCATTGTGCTTCTCCCCATCACCTTGGTCACTCTCCTTGTTTCCTACCTGTTCTTGTAAAACACACGGCCCAAAAAAATATTTTTCTTTTCTTTCCCCCATTTTGTCTCTTGTATCCTCTTTTTTGTATCCTCTTTCACCTAAACCTCGCCTCGCCTCGCCCCCATACTCATTCCTTTGCATGTTCGTCCCATCGTTTCAGTTACTATCTTCCTTCACAGGGAGCCATTTTAATCTGGTACTAGCCCTCCACCCCATTTTTTTATAATTTTTTTACTACCATACTGCTACAAAAAACCAAAGAAAACACCACAGGCGCTTTTGTTTAATATATCAGTGATAATTAAAAACCACCTGGCCTTTCTTCTTTTTATTTTGATACAACTAATATATGGTACATCACAAGTTGGTTAAAAGACACAACTCATGTTACAACCAGCCGTCAGACGAAGCGTTGTTCCATGCGGTATCCGGAGAGCTAAAGTCTCCAAAATCATCGGCCGTAGTGAAGTCACCGAAATCGTCAAGGGCCGGAGGTGCGGCGGTGGACACGGAGGCAGCAGTGTGGGGAGACGGTTGCATGGGTGGGTGGTGCATTTTTTCAGCAGTGGGTGGCGATCGCAGTGACGACGACCACTCGGACAGACTTCCAGACATGGAGGCCGATCTGAAGATATCCCATTTGGCATCTTCAGGCGATGAAGGATGGGCGGCGGGAATAGGTTGTGCAGACACTACGGAGCCTGTAAAGCCTCCGAAGCCGTCGAACGAGTTCTGGCTTCCAAGCGACGGGGCAGTGGTCTTCGGCTGGCCTTGGAGATGGGCTAGCGGTTGACTTTGTCTTGCTCCTCCCATATTGGGCCATGATGGACCAGATTTCGAGCTGGATGACAGTGCTCCAGGCATGGTATACTGAGGTGAGGGCACACTATCTTTTGTGTTAGCACTCGGAGTGGGTCGAGCTCTGGCTCCAAATTGCGTAGCATTTGCCTCAAACATATCAAGATCCATGATGCCAAGACCGATCTGTTTGGATTTGCTGTTCGTTTTGCTGGTCATGTTGCCTCCAGTACTTCCCAAGGTGTCCAAAAAGGAAATGTCGTTCGATGACAGCCAAGAGTCTCGCTTCTCCGGCGCAGTTGGTGTTGCCACGGGTGATAAACTGGCTTGCGATGGCCTGTTTGCCTGCTGTCTGGACGTGAAATGGGGCGAACGTGAGAAGGGCTGTGTTGGAGATCTAGGTTGTCCGGCTGGAATGGTGCTCGGGGACTGAGAAACAAAGTCGGAAAACTCATCGTTGGAGGATATTCCTTCATTCTTCACCGCAACGGATTCTCCAAACGAATCTAAAAACGACATATCATTCGATGAAAGCCATGAATCTCTTTTCTCTAGTGCTACTGAAGGCGATGTATTCGGGAATACAGTGGAATGTGGATGTATTGGTGAATTCGTCGCTGCGTTCAATGGTGGCAATGATGCTGATTTGATAGGTGAGGCTTTATCTACGGAATCATTTTCGCGTAGTTTCGGCTTCTCAGGTGTAGAAGGAGTCATGTTGGAAGGCAGGCTACCGTATGATTCCGTAAATGATGGTGATATATTGGAACTTTGTAGTATGTTAGGCATCGTTGATGATCTGTTGGGCGATGGGACATTCTCCGTTGCACTTTCAAATCCACCAAATATGTCCATAGAACTATCCTTCAGGCCCTGCGATACGCTATTGACTGACCCAGGGGTGGGCTTCGTACTGCCACCCAGCGCATCCAAAAAGGACATGTCATTCGATGACAACCAAGAATCCATTGTATCGGATTTAAATACTGGTGGAGACGTGAAAGGTGATGAGATTGTTTGTGCATGCTCAATGGCAGGCGGCGAACTGACCAATTCTGTAGATAACGGTTTGGCAGGCTGCTTTTCCGATGATAAACTTGAGTCTGATGTTGAGGTTTCAAGTACTTCTGCAGACATATTCAGAGGGGATTGTGCCATTAATTTAGGAGATGCTTCATCAGGCGTTGATGCTGTCGTTGGTCCTGGCGAAGACACCCGGGATTGCGGGTTGAATCTTGTTGGTGTCAGTGGCCGTGCCGCCGACATCGTTCTAAGAGTATGTGGTGTTGGTGATGGAGACCGTACTCGCTCATCACTATATGACTGCTGCCTTTTGACAAGATTTGGAGACTGTACAGGTGTTGATGGTGGACGATTGGAAGAGTCAAGGGATGCTTGACGTTCCGTCGAGTCTGATTGGCGAGGTAGAACGGGTGATCTTGTCTGCTGCAACGATTGGCGCGTACTACTCTCGATTTGATTCACGACATGAGATATCGATGGCATGTCCAATGATTTCACACTTGCTGCGGAAGTAGGTGCAGAATCCGAAGGTGGCAGCTTACTCGTGGCAATTTTAGGAAGGTTTGGAAGGTTGCCCAGTTTTGGTGATGGCATTTCATCCATTTTTGAAGACAATGCATTGCTGATGTTATCACTGCTTGACACCTTAAAGATTGAACCGTGTCAGATCTGAAAACGCTACACAAATAATCTTCAAATTCTCTCTTCCTTCCAATGCTTACCTTTGTGATGGTTGAAGACTCGACGGGATTTTTGGGTGATGGAACAGAAGACTTTTCCTTAATTATATCCACCTTGGTGCTATCGATGACTGGTGAAGTGACTTTATGAGAATCCACAGTCTCATTAGGTACCATCTTGGGGGAAGAGGTAGGCGGAGACATCCCCTTTTGCGAAAAGGATTTGGGGCTCTTAAAAGTAGGTGAAGCAGTGGCCTACAAAATGCTGGGATAAGAAGTCGGTCTATCCAATAAACATACAAATGCGTTACTCACATTTCCTCTCCAACACTTCAAGGCATCAAGATGCAGTTTCTCAATACGAGAATTTCTCCATTGTACTTTCGGTATACCATTATCATCGTCCGTATCGACAGTCAGAGCATGCCATGTTATGGTTGGTAACAAAGATCTACCATGGAAGAGAGTGAGTGGTTAAGAGTGATATAAAGCAGACAGACTAAGACACTTACTCGTGAGCATTCATGATAAAGTCTTTGACAGCTTGTGGTTCTTCAGCCAAGTTAAGGCTATCATAGTCCCTGGCGTTTGGCATCATGTGCGTGAGAACAGCATCCCATACTTCAAAAGCCCCTTTCGGATTGCCAAAGTCGCTCATAGCCTGATTGCAGTTGATGTCAACATAGGTCGTAAACCTTCATTCAGATATGCCTCCTTCATAACTTGTACTTACAATAGCATTTTTGATATTGACTGGTACCTCTTGAAAAGGTGTAACTACCGGTGGATTGTTATGTACAACATTATCGCTAGGAGACGTGGCTAGCGACTCTTTGCTGTTTTCTCTATCAAAATCACCAAAATGGTCATCATCGTCGTTGTCATCGAATGCTCCAAAGTCATCAGCATCACCAAATTCATCGTTATCGTCGAAACCTCCAAATTCATCATCATCACCAAACTGATCGTCATCATTGTCGAAGCCTCCAAATTCATTATCAGCACCAAATTGATCGTCATCATTGTCGAAACCTCCAAATTCATCTGCTTTGCCATCATCAAAATGGTTATGAGGATCGTGACCTTGTTCGACAGTAGTTTCGATAGATTCATGGACTTTGTTTTGGACATCATCCAGTGGTCCGAAGTCATCAGCCTTTTCAAAACCACTACTAGTATCGAGCGATTTAGATTGATCCTCTTCGGCCTGTACTCCAGTAGCATGGAACCCTTTTAATTCATTGCCGCTTTCTTCGTTGTCAATGATACTGGGTGTTTCAAAGTCATCAACTTTATCTGGGATTTCAGTTGTGTCGAGTACTCCCAAATCTTCTTTTTCTATGCTGCTATTGGTATACTTCAAGCTCCTAGGTTCAACAGAAACTCCATCTTCAGTACTGCCTGAAAAACCTGATGGTTGGCTGTCGTCAGCAATATCGTTTTCATTGCTGACCGGGCCCACAGCCTCAACCGGCGTCAAAGCCGACATGGGCGCTGTCTCAGATTTTGAGGTTGGCCCATAATCCTTGACGCTAAACTCTTCCTCGGCATTTGAAACAGGTGACGGTGCGGATGATGCGCTGTCCGCGTTGGATACTTGGTCATCGATGGGTGCAGCCTCTACTGATATTTGTTCTGGTATATTCGTCTGGTTGGCCGAGGAAGAAGCTTGAATCCGACCACTCTCATAATGTTCAGAAACGCTGTCCACGTTGCCAGAATTTGTTTTATCGGTTTCGCGATCCTGTTCCTCGTGGACTGTTTCATCTCTGGTCAATTGCGCTTCCAAAGTTGGCGAGGCTATATCTGATCGATCAACTTTGTCCTTAGCGCAAAGTACGTCATCCTATAGCCCGAAGTAACCGACTTACCTTCTTCATCTTTGTGGACCTCCTGTCCGGTTTCTTCGCTTACTGAGGAATCTACAGGAATATCAAGCTCGCTTGCATGAAAGTCTGACTTTGGAATAGCGTCGTGCTGATAGGTTCCAAAGCCATCGACGGGCTGAGGAGAAGTGGCTGTACCAGCAGCAAAATCACCAAAATCGTCGTTTCCTGCTTCGAAATCGTGGAAGTCGCCAAAACTGTCATCAAAGTCGTGTTCGGAATGTGGCACTTTGGACGAATTTACTTTTAATTCCAAAGTGTCTGGCTTTGTCTGAGTGAAGTCAGGTTCGTCCATTTCATTACGAGTCTACAATGGGCTATCAAGATCCAGCAGGGATCTAGGTTGGTTGGTCGAGAGGTTTGAAAGAAAGCAATCGATCCGTCCAAAAGATGCAATCAAGGCGAAGGAAAGTTCAAACTGTAAAGTGTGGCAACTGTGGTTTTGCGACTGAGACGGAGTAACAAATTACCGCCCAGCTCAAATTTGTCAATGCCTACATCGTTTTAAATTTCCGTTAGCAGCAGCCAGCAAATGATACCAGATGGTTTTATTAAGCCTTAGCGTGTCTTGAACATCGAATATAATCTTTCTTAGATTCGAGATGGGCGCCAGTTTTGAACAAGCGTAATGCCAAGAAAGCTAAGGTCTTTATAAACTCATCCTTAGTGGCGCCAGAAAACTTAAGTAGCGTCAACGAACTTAGATACAAGGTCATCCTTTGATGGGGTATATTAGTGATTTTAGTGAACGCTGTCTAATTTCTTTTTCTGTATCCTATGATAAACATTGGGAGAGTATGGTGAATTAATATGGGTGTAAATGAGTCAGACCCACCCAAACTTTATACAACAGGTTATCAGATAAAACACACATGCTTGGATGGACAGCGTCGACATCGATCGGCAGAGGAACAGCATTAGCATGGTCTCATTCGAAATAAGCTATTACCACATAGGGTGGTATCAAATAAAAGCCTGCATGGGATCGCCACGAACAATGGCCAGAAATTAAAACGAAAGGGTTCATTTTTTTCCTGAGGTGGAAGTAGCCAGTCAGCGAGCGGATGGGATGGCGGGGGTTGTGACGACCCAATTTTTTGCTGCAACAAAAGCGTCCGCACACACTCCGTACACACTCCATAGATTAAATGCCTGCTCAGCATCGATCAGAGTTAGAGGACATTCTGTCTGATAAGGTCTTTGCGGTTGAATCCGTAGGAGAACACCAGATCGATGATGACGATACTGAAATTGTGGAAGAAGCCAAACCAGGATTCTGCGTTGAATGCAAGGATCAACGGGTGAGGTTTTATAATCCTGCGAAATGTCAAAGCGCGAGTCGACACCTAACCACTTAATGCACTGTAGGCATCAATGCAATGCTCGCACTGTAACGAACCTTTCTGCGAAGTTTGCTACGGTTAGTGTTCTTAAAGAGGAGAGTGACGACAACTTCACCCTATCCTGATATGTGTTTCCGCATACCCTTTACTAGGCATGATTCATCGCACGGGAAAAAGAGCCTTACATGCGGCTTCGCCAATTATAACCGCCAACGAAGAGAATGGAAGACGTCAGTCTACTTCTGAGTCGAATACTGAGGTAAAAGGATTGGGTAGTATGGCATTGTGTGCTATGGACTTGGCCGACTTACGCTGCATGATGGCTATTAGGAAGGCGAAAATATTTCATTACATGATAATCTGACAATGAATGAGCCAAAGAAAGCGGCTGGTCCAACCTTTGAAGAAATAATGATCCACAAGTATGATACCTAATGTTAGATTAAGTCAGCTTCTTTCTCTGTTCAGTATTTTGATAACATCTTGGCTGTTCTATAGGGCAAAATTCATACCATTGCGACTCAGCTTGGACGAAAGAAAGTATCTGCGACTGTAAGTGGATGACATATTATCTAATTGGGGGAAAACGAGATAAATCATTAATCCGCCCCAAATATGACATAGGTTGGAGGCAGCTCTGAATGTGTCCGAATACACAGGTAAGTTCCGAATCCAGGACAGCAGTCCGTATTTTGGCCAAAACCATGGTGTTCATTGAGTGTACCACGTAGACCGAGTGGATGGATTTGAGCATAAGAGCAAGGCAAAGCGTATTGTGGCCCAAATCAAAGACATTTGCGCGGTCCTGTCAGGTTTGGTGACAGCCTGTGACTATAGAAGAGGACAAGAGCTTTTTGCGGACCGAACATTCGAGCAAAATGAAGACTTTTTTCAAAAGATTTTCGAAATTGGAAGAAGGTGAACATCAAGGATCAAAACAGGGTTGGAACCATTTCACTTTACAAGTGATGCTAACGTGGTTGATCCTATAGACACAAAATCATGAACCCAGAAAAAATGAGATCCGCTTATGGCAAATTAATGTACATGCTAATGGTGAGTAAAAAAAAAAAAAAGACATGTAGCAAGTAAACAGTTCATCCCATGATTGCGATGTTTAATCGACCCATCCGGGGCTTGATTTGCGTAGGATTCGGCGATCCCGGAGGTTGAAGAGATGCTAGGATTCTCATGTGTCATACCCATCAAAACAGTTTACAGTTTCCTCAAGGAGCGCAATGGTGTCGACGTTTTGACCAACGAAATTATCTTGTTAGCTACCATGGAAATTGTTCCTACTGGTAAAACTAGACTACAAATTCAGACTGAAATTAAGCGTAAGGAGAGGTCGATTGAACAGCTCAGTCGGAAGTACAGTAACCCAAAGCTATCGGCCGACGAAATCCGACATTGTCTTTACAGTATTGGCGATAACAATGCATATCTACGGGCTAATCGGTGAGTTGTGAAAAATTTCATTTTGTTCTTGCCCTTCCATAGGTAAGGAGTGGGTGGGCAATCATTCGTTTTAGCTATTTTAATTTTGGGAAATATTTTGGCTTACTGATAATTATTCTGGTCCATGTTCGGATTACTATGCTTGGTAGACATCCGTGTGAGAAAATGCTCACGTATCTGCAAACCTATTTCAAGCCAGATGAGTTTGAACCGGGTTATTCGTTGTCAATTTCCGCCGGTAGATCAGGACATCGACTTAGCCATGATCATTCTACGCAATACACCTATGTGAACCAGACTCTGATGCTCTGGAGGGAAATTCTGCATGAGATGTTTATGCTGTGGAGTTTGGCTGATCAAGATTTGCTCAATAGCCACAATGTTTACAAGCTAATGGATACTGGTCAAGGCGTTCAGCGCATGCAACCTTGCCCTGCTATTGGTCGCGAGATGCACCGTACTTTGTACAAAGCTCAGAAGAAGGCAAAGACTTGGATTGGTAGTAGTGTCATCCACCTTGGGGATAAGAACGTGCCAAATGCGCTCATGTTTATTGACAAGGTAAGTGGGGTCAGCCATGGGGTGCTTTCGCGGGAAGGCCGTTCTAGATGCCGCTGGAGCTAACTTGTTGCCTCTCGGCCGATTATCTCCCAAATCAAAAAATTCCCAATCATACATAGTACAACCAAGTCGCGAAGATCTTGAATCCTATTGTCCTTACCTTGGATCATATGGATGATTTATGCAAGGACGACGGCATCAACCGATACATTCAAAACACCTTTGGCGGAGTGGACCAATGCAAGAAGGAAATTTTGCGTAAGCCATCTCCATCTCACTGTCTGACACTATTTGTGAACCTTCAGAGCGACATGGGCTTGGTGTGTATATGTTTCCGGTGCGGGTACTAAGTTTGGAAGAGAGAATCACTTAATCGACTAATTTGGAAGAGATCGACCACGATGTCGGCTTGGAATTGAATCCCCCCATCCCAATCTTTTTTATTCATTCTCTTACCCTTCAAACTAACTTTGTACAATTTGGCAGTCAACTTTTTCCGCGGAGCCTTTGACGGGTCTGGAGCAGATAACTTTTATGATGCAGGCAGCTGTATCGACGGAAGACTAACTTCAGCGTGGAACTGTAAGTAAACACACCATTTCCATCCATACATTTGTGTAGCCATATGGATAAACTAAATAGTCATTTACCAAAAAATCAACTGCTGACAGGGTGCTCACAAATTGAGCAAAAACCGTTCTTCACAGTCTTCCTTCTAACGGTAAGATCGTAATCGTCAGGTTAGAGAAGTCGAATGAGCCATCTTTTTTAACTCTTTCGCTGTGGTAGGGCTTTGTTGGATTTGACGGCGGAGGTTGGAACTAGATTAAGTTTGTATACACTCGATCATTCGATAGAATGGGACAAGAAGTGTATATAAGAAGACGGGCATAGACTCAATGTAAAATTAGGATGGAATAAAATGAATGGCATGGGGATGAAGGAAACGTAACTCCTGCTATTGATGTTTGTGCAATGTTATGGACCCAAAAGAGAAATGATCAAAGCTCCCATCATGCGGTTCCAAGGGATACACTGTTAGGGGACATTGGTTTTTCGTGGGACACCTCAACCACGCAGCTTATCCATTTCGGTGCGAAGATATTTAGAGAACTTTGTTGTATCTGATCCCCTCTCTTGGATGCTTTTTTTTTTTTACAGTTTGGCAAGGTGTGTTACTCTTTTTTCTCTTTGTTTGGGCCACACACACACCTACATACACATCGACATATATGCTTCTGAATGACTGACATCACCAACAATTATATGTCTACTCTCTCCGTCTTCTCCTCTCATACCTCCTATTTCTTTTCTCTTTTAATTTTTTCTTCAGCTGTCGAAAGTATTGCAGAAATCGTCTTAATTTACTCCTCTACGGATTCCTTTTATCTCTCCTGAAATACGATCATCGTTTCTTCGTAAGACCTTCTCGGATCATGTTCCGCTACGCCCATCGCGCACACCCACTAATATTTTTTCTTTTTAAAAAAATAATATATTGCTACAGTCGATCCTGGTGTTCCCCCAACGTTGTTGACAACACGACAAAAATTTATTCATCCACAGCAACAACAGCCCAAGAAATTCAGAAATTAACACATAATCATTATCCACTGGAGGTATTATGCTCTCAAGCGCAGGAATGGACACAGTAACACGCTATCGTCGCTCACCTCCTCGACACCGGCATTCAAATGGGTAAATTTCTTTTTTACATAGTCTGTGTACAGCTTTTTGTTTCAGTCTCGGATTACGTTAACATAATTTTTTCAATATATGGAAAATTAGGTCTATATTCAAAACTGAAACACTTGCAGAGCAATACATGGAACCCGTCATGACTTGTGAAGCATTTGCAACTTATTCACCACCACGCGCACAGCATTTAGCCATCAATTCACCTTTTTCAATGGATGCTACTACCATGTCACATCATGGCTATGGTCTAGTTCACCCAGTGGCAAATCCACATTCTTCCGGCCATTTTCAGGGATCCTCCTCCATTTTTCATCTTAGTCCTTCACCTACACCATCCTCCACCAGTCCATCCTCCGCAACAGAAACATCAAGGTAAGAAATTCTAAAAAGACAAAAAGAGAAAGCCGAGATATAGATTATATCATTTCTCCCATGTGTTGGTGTTCCCTTCGTTTTCTCCACCCCCGTTTTCTCCCCAAAAAGCTTGTTTCCCATGTTACTTGTGTTTGCCATAGACGCTCGTTTCGGGTATCCCGGAAGAATGAGCCGTTCAACCTGTGTGTGTGTGCAACCACAAGGTGGCATTCTATCATACGATCGGGAATTCCTTATTTTGGGCTCCCTACTTTTTTTTTTTTTTCACATTGCTAATCGATCTCTCTATCAACGACAGTCTTCGCCACGAGATTATTTTAGAAGGTAAGCCACATCATAAATCCCACTGTTTGATAACGTGATCGACTCACATTGTTCTTTGCATTCAGCACCGACTGCAAGTGCACAGAAACAGGATCAGTTCTCATTGACTTATCTCAACAAAGGTCAATTTTATCCCGTCTCTATCAATGACTCGCTTTGTAGAGATTGCGAGTTAAAAACAACCATCAGCATCGCCTTCCACGAACACCCCCATAGGCAGATCGCTTCTAACTTTTGGAAATATTGGATATGCCAGCAAAGCGAGACTCAGGCTGCTCGAGCCCTTGACATTGGTAGGTAGAGCGGATATTCATATGCATCTTCCCCGCAACCTGTTGGACTCATCCTTCCGACAGATCTAGCCGGCAGCAGCGGTATCATTGACTCTCAGTGCGATACTTTTGACCGAGTTACCTTTACATGGAATGGTCGACAGGGAGCCAAAGTGTTCATTAAATTCAACTGTCTTTCTACGGACTTTTCTCGGATCAAAGGCGTAAAAGGCATTCCCCTTCGAATAGCAACCGAAACGCATGTTGTCGATAACGAACACCATATAGAAAAGGCCTTTTGTAAGATTAAGTTGTTTCGAGACAAGGTAGGATTTTGGCCGTCATCCATAATGCAATGTACCCCGCAAACTTATTCCATGCACGTAGGGAGCAGAGCGTAAAAACAAGGACGATGCAAAACATATTGAGAGGCAATTGGAAAAACTTCGAAGTGAGTTCCCTCGCCACTGTATGCTGAATAGCATGGATAGTGTACTTACCGTGTCTCCATCAGCGAACTGTCAAGATAAGGGAGGTGACAGTAATCCGCTATGGCTCGTGTATATGCCATCCCAAACCTACACCATCTTTTCTGAAGTGCCTGCGAGCCCAGAAATTCTACCATCGCCATTGGAAGAAACGGAATTTGACATTCCGTTGATGGATACACAATGCTCTCTTGATAGTTTGCCCCAAGAGGAGCCTAGCCCTTGGTGTTTACAACAACCTGCCACGCCGGCCGCGCCGTCGTCGGCCGAACTCAAGCGGCGTTTTGATGAATACATTAACCCAGACTATTCTAATGCTTTAGACATTGACAAGTCGTATGTACCACAACCGAGGAAACGGAAAGCAGGTCGGTACACACTCTGTTTGTTTTGCTTACCTTTCCTGTCTTTCCCAAACAACTCACCCTCTCTGTTCCTTTCGGCTCTATCCGACGCAGTATTGAGCTTCTTTGTTTGCTTCCACCCGGGCGACCCGTATCGAGCTATTTATTTGGAATCATTTACCCTGCAGGACTTGGTAACAAAAATTTGCTCCAAAGTAAACCATATCGAACGAAAGCAAGTCGGACAAGTGGTGCGAAGTCTGATTAATCGCCCTATAGAAGTTCATGTTGATGACGCCTTTGTATCAACCAACATACCAGAGGAGCAGCCTATGTATATCAAATTCAGATTGCAAGATGATAGCAGTTATAAGATGATACTGCACTACTAAGTGGAATGCCCGACCCATGACATTAGGCTGGAACGCCGCTCACTCAAGTTAACTCATTCACTCTCCTTACTCACTCACTAAACTTGAGCACTATACTTCATTCATTGCTTTCACTTTACTTTCCTTTGCTTTTTTTCACCCATCTGTAAAATTCTGAATGTTCGTCTCTCTTTTGTTCGTCTTCCACTGTTTGGAGACTCATGCTTTTTGATACCTCATATCATTTCAGTGTTCTTTTTTTTTTTGATATGCTGTGGCTCACAATCCAACCGTATTCATTCGTGTATGATCCAAGTTCGCATAGCTCTTTCAATGTACACAAATCCAAAAGAAAAAAATTTATATGATAAAAATTGGCCTTCAGGGGGAAAATTTTGGGATTGTCCGAATGATGATGGCATGTCTCTGTCACAGCTTTATTCCTGTCAGCAGACTCACGCTTAATGGGCTGGGCCAAAACAAAGTCCAATGAGCCCCTCAGATCTCTCCGCTATACTGCTTACACTTATCCCAACGGTTCTTCCCTCCTCCAACTGAATGTGGTCATCACTGTTGATCGCATACATTGCTGGAGGATTCACACTATTCCCAGTTGCCGCTCTACTCTTTGTATTTGCAACCCATCTCTCCTCCTTACTTTTTGATTCCTCACTATGGACACTTGGACTGAGCACCTTTCGGACAAGGAAAATTCATGTACATAGAGTCGCAGCCGGTACCGCCGCCAAGGAAAACATCACACCAGCACATCATGACTTGGGACAGCAGCTATACAAAGTCGGCTGGTTGAGGGTCACTCGTGAAAATAATAGCGCTTTACCGGAACCTTCTCTGGGCGATATGGTGATGGCCTTTATCGCTAGCAAGACCAATACCAGACGAAAGCCCGCCGCAGATTACTATTTTGCTGTTCTTCGATATACAACTTTGTTCCTGTACGATTCAGAAAAGCAACTGGACTGCAAAGGAGTCATCATTGTTAGTAACCATAATATCCGGCTGTATCCAAATGGCTTGCAGGAGCACGAGGTCTTCTCCAGACCCAGCTGTATCAAGCTGGAGAAAAAAGCCTTTTCGGTGCCATCCGATCAAGACAATATTCCTCTCATGGACGACGATAGTGTGGAAAATAGCTCCTATTTTTTAAATTGCGAACGATGTATAGAAAAAGAGGACTGGTATTTCGCTCTTCGAAGAGCCAGTAAATTGCCTGCCAACAAGCCGGCGGAAAATCTCGAAAAAGTCCAGGAGCCAACACAATTCGATCAGGCAGCCATGAACCAATTGATTGCCACCATTCACAGCGACGAGCATCATTTTCATACGCAATGGCTTAATGCCTTACTTGGTCGAGTGTTCTTTGCAGTGTATAAAACCGACATAGTGAAGCAATTCTTATATCAAAAGGTCGTCACCAAGGTCAACAAGATGAATGAAAAGACGCCGCCTTTCTTGGGTGATATCAGAGTTCGGTCAGTGCATGTGGGCCAGGCTCTTCCGTATTTGACACAACCACGGTTGTTAGGGATGGGTCCGTCGGGAGAGTTAACCGGAGAGTGCAATATCAACTATGGCGGCGGTTTCAAGTTGGAGATTGACACGCTGGTCAAATGGAAATACTCGGATCGCCTTCGACCGCTCAACCTTAACATCATCTTATCTTTAACTTTGAAGAAAATCAAGGGTAAGGTGTTGTTCAAGATCAAGGAGCCACCGACCAATAGATTGTGGTTTGGGTTTTATGAACCGCCAGACATGGAGTGGGTGATTGAACCGGTGGTGTGGGACAAGCGTGTTGGGTATTCCCTCATCATCAAGACCATCGAAGCTAAATTGAAAGAGCTTGTGATGGAGAACATGGTGTTGCCCAACATGGACGACTTTCCCTTCTTCCCTACCGATAGCGCTGGTGGCATCTTTGGCCCTGACACGGATGACCCTTACAGTAGTCGGACTAGCTCGCCTATGTCAACACCACCAACACAACCTCAAGATAAGAAACCAGATGAATTGGCTGTGAACAATGCAGCGGCAGCGACAAACCCAATCAACAAAGCGCTTGAACATGCATATCTACAAGACAATTCAGTTGCATCGTCGTCGCACTCGTTGCCGGATCTTATTTCAGCAGCAGCACCTGACATGCATACACAGTACGAGTTGACGGCTAACTCAACCATAGAATCAAGCCATAGCACATCCGCAAAGCCAGCTCGATCAAGCTCGACCACGACGCGACGATGGTTTAGTACTACCAAGGAACGGCCTATACCCAGCCCTACTACATCTGAACCCAGTATACCTGTGTCAACATCACCGCTTCGACAATCAACCATAATGAGTTTTGCTGGATCGTTATTGACCCCTCGACGAAAAGTGTCTCCCACTGCCATAGGAAACGAAATCGAGGAGCCGGCGCCTGCTCAACAAGAGAACAGCACCAATGGTATTGCCATCCCTAATCGACGCTCGGATGCCATTCTCGAAACAGACATATTGTCGACTACACCCGACTCATTACACTCCAGTCCATCTTCATATCTTTTTCAAGGTTACAGCTCAAGTATTCGTAGCATAGGAAGTGATGAACAAAGTAGTGGTGGCGTGTTTTCATCGTCCCTCTCCATTTCTCTCAATTCGCCTGCTTTATCATTCAACGAGAGACATGCCGATGACATTGACTCACTACACCTCCCAGCTTCGTCTAGCACCACCACAAACCGACTACGCTCCAAGTCCACCGCATCTCTCGCCGTATCGGAAGTCAATGTCAACGCACCCACTGTCCTGGGTGACAGCAGCTTGAACGGATTACTTCGAGAGAAACAAAAGAGGAGAGCCGCACCAGTTGAACCGTCTGGAGAAAAGGGTGTGTCCTCTTTTGATGGCGGGTCTCCAGACGAAGGAGCTTTGACAGCTGCCTAGGATTAGACCGAGGCAAACTGTATGTACATTTTTTTTTATTCTTATTTTTTGTTGCTCAGTGTTCTACGCTCTTCATTCTAGACATTTCTCCGTCTTATATGTATATAAATCTGTTACACCTTTCTCTATACCCCGCATTAAACCACCCAACGTACATATAAAATGGAAGTGTATTGGAGGAAAAAAAAATGGCATGAAGCAGTGTATAGATTTAATGAGCACATCAAGTCATTTCTAAAGATGGAAACACGTCCAACGCAAAAAGGTAGAAGTTGGAGAGGGGGGCTCCCTAAGGAAAAAAGGTATATATCTACATACAGAAAACGGAATGTTGAAACAGTACAGGATAGTTTGCTATCCAGCCGATTCATCTATTTAGCAGGAGTGGCATAGGCTGTGATGTTGAACGAGCCGGTGATAGCCAGAGGCCTGGAGCCCTCGTATTTTTTAAATAAGGCAGCAGCGGTGGTGATGAACTGGTCAATGGCCTCGTCTGTGATTTGATGGTGAAGAACAATACGAGAGGTACAACCATTTCCAGCGGAAATTTTGATGCCGTGTACAGCCAATGCTTCACTGAGTAGCTTGGTGGACACACCGGTTGCGGTGGTATCGAGCCAGATCTGGTTGGTCATGCAAGGATAGACAAGAGAGCAACCAAAGGACTCCAACGACATGGCCAAACGCTTTGCCTGTTGGTGGGTATGGGGCATGGATGGCATGATGTTCTCAATGCACCAGTGAGCAACGGCGGCGAGAGAACCCGCCTGACGCCAACCACCACCGAACAGTTTACGCAAATGACGGCACTTGGCGACAAAAGCGCGCGAGCCCACCAAAATGGAGCCAATAGGAGCACCAATGCCCTTTGACAAACAAAGAGACATGGAATCAAAGTGCTGTCCATATTCCTTGAGAGAGACTCCGGTTTCCTGGGACGCATTCCAAAGTCTAGCTCCGTCTACATGCATTTTGATACCGCGGCTTCGAGCCAGGACACTAATTTTTGCAATTTCGTCAATAGGCATAATCAGACCGTTGAGTGTGTTTTCGATGGAGATGACACGAGTGGGGGAGTTATGGATATCCTCTCCCAATATATTGTCGGATACTTCTTCAGCTGTCATGTAGAGACCATTCTTGGCATGCACGGGGGTAACGTTGGCCTGAGAATGATAAGCAAGACCGCCACATTCATGAATGTAGACATGCGAGCGAGCATCCAAGAGTACGGAATGAGGAGGTTGGGTCAAGTGTGCTCGAAGGCACAATTGATTGGTCATAGTACCAGATGCGCAGAACAGACCATCTTCATGACCTGTCAGTTCACTGACATAGCGTTCCAGGGCGATGACACTGTCGTCTTCCTAAAAGAGTAAAAAATGGGTCAGCGGTGAAAGGATGATAGCATTATTCATGGTTCATATTTTCCAATGGACAGCTTCATGAATGATATGGTTCCTTACATGATAGACATCGTCTTCTCGAGTAGCTTGTTTCATGATTTCAAACATTTCGTCTGTAGGCTTGGTAGCCGTGTCGCTGACCATGTCGTAAATGACTTTTTCCTTTAGATAGCCCATACTTGAACGAGAATATGTACTGAGACCACGAAACAGTAAGAGCCGGATGGCCATGATGAATTTATAGTGTCTCGGTAATACGGAGTGTGGATTTTTTTTTTTTTTAAATGATAAGCTTGGCTGGCTGGGTAGCAAAAGACCATGGCAAACATCGAAGCCCGTCACATTTTCTCACGGCTCAGTCCGAGTATACGGCGCATACTCAATTGGACCTTCTACAGCCATTATGCTACTGAGAGTGAGGTAATGTGTTTACTACCGTTGCATTGGATTTGAAACTGATGAGTCTCAAAACCAAAAAAAAAAAAAAAAGTTTTCGCTCAATCGATTTTCGAACTTGATCGCCTTTGGCGCACTCGAACCCGAAACAAACAAAAATGGGCTTGAATTAGAACGCTGGCTGCTAGGGATCTGCTTCCGTGGATTAACTGTAAACCATATAACTGTATAGTATATAGCTATAATGAGGCCGAGTTATTTTATTTGTCTCGTTTCCGACATTACAAGTTACGTGCATGGCCAGAAGGGCCTATACATATTAGCCAGGTTATTATAATGGACTTGGTCTATTTGCGCGTGCCCAGCAAAAGAACAGGACGACTGACTGAAAGAGAGGTCATCAAAAACGTGGCTTCTTCCGCCCGTCTTACAATTTACCCGCACCCAGTCATATAAGGCATTATTTTACAGAGTGGGTGCTGCTTGCCTCTTTGGGTTCTTTGGCCATAGATACCGTCTATCGGGCTCCATCAAAGCGCCGCGCAGATCTTTTATGCGATTCACCCAACTTGTGTACTTTGATCGCATCCCGGCCAGCAAAAACTAGCAACAAAATGGTCCAGCGGGAATTAGGGTGAAGCGGGGTCACCAGCTCAGACGATCTAAAAACGACATTTTACAGCCCTATACCAACGCTAATCTTTTTAGTTTTTTATGCCAGCTTTAGAGGGTGTGGCCTCAGTGAGCAGCTAAATCGTCAACATGCAAAACAATAACAAGCATGGCACACAAATGCCTGCGTATCGATTTCATCCACCCGTGAGCTAGGTGCATAAAGCCAGAGCTGCGTGACTGGCATACTGCTTTTCACCGAAAGGCTGCAACAGACAATATGTAACGACCCCAGTTTTCTATATGCCGAGCTTAATACACTTGCAGTGCAGAATCCCTGTTTCATACTAACAAGTCCTAACTTTGCCCTCGTCATATGGCCACATACCGTACAACTAGTTTAAATGCAAGTTGTAAAGACTTTATATAGCATTCAAAACAATTGGCTTTGCTGTGATATTTATGCATACAAAACCTGACCTGACTCGACTTGACCTGCCCCTGGGCTGTTCTGTTCTGGCTGGACCTGACCTGACTCAGGCATTTAGTGCGTTCCAATGCATGAACCAAATTGAAGCAACGCAGTCGGATCTCTAGGAGAGATATCTGAAGTGTTTTAAACAATTGGGGTGACGCTCTTACCAGCGCTTATGTTCCCCTCAATCTTTGACGAAGCGCTTTCTATTTTGAGAACGAGGAACAAATTGATTTGGAACCCGTGACCCCCAGTGCTCTCATCATCTGATGGCTTATCAAGTGGAATGGCTGGCTTGGAGAAGTGGATATGAATGGGAGAGAGCGTATGCTGAGGTATTTGAATGATTCGGCCACAGTCATCCGAGAAAGAAAAATCTTTAGCGGGCTATAGATTGAAAGCATCTCTATCTGCTGTCCCGAAAAGGCATGTGGATAGAGATGGTTCTTGGTTTTGAACTCCGGACTAGATCCAATGACCATTTTTAAAACCTTTGATCACATTTTTTTTACTGACTTCTTCAACCCTTTCTTCTCTTTCAACTTATCGAATGTACTGCGAACCATACGTCGACGGTATACCATACGTACGATGGATACATGTAAATCATCGTTCTCCTGACCAATTCACTCTCATTGCTTTTGTTATACCGACGACGGCGTATTGACTTGACCTCTCCTTTCATAGTTGGTATTCGGCGATTGTGTGTACGGTTGGCAAGAATCTCTCAGCGTTTTACTCGGCTATCTTTCAATATTGTGCTGGCTCAACGCTCAAATGCCGTATGTTTCTGTCTGCTCATTTGTTACGTATTAGCCACGCAGACTTGCTAACTCTATACCATAAACAAACAGTCAGGTTGTCGAAAACTACAAACTGCGATCCGCAGAGTCTCTGAGCTTCTCATTCCTATCAGTTTGGCTTACAGGTAAGATGCAGTACCCAGGAAATTATATAATTTGGGGTTGGGTCTGTTCGTAATCTAACGCGATAAAAATTTCCTTTTGTAGGCGACTTTGCTAATCTCATTGGTTGCATCGTCTTGGATCAACTTCCATTTCAAATATATCTTTCCATTTACTTTATCTTGGTGGATACCGTATTATGTCTTCAATGGATATGGTATGTGCGGCTCGGGAAAGGCATCCCATTACCAGCTACCGCCGAGTCCGACGTTAAGGATTTGGATGGACCTCGTGAGCCACAGGTCATTGACGTTCCCAGACCATCGTCGTCACTTTCGGAAACGTCAGGCCTTATTCCGTATTCGCAATCAGCATCGCCCAGCAAATGGTACACTCTTGCTCCGGCCACCAAAGACAAATCGTCAGTCGTGTTGTTTGCCCTATTCTTTCTTGTCATGCAAACTCCCACCTCCACCCTTACTTCCAACTCCACACTATCCGCATTATCATCCCCTTCAACCTCAGACGACTCGACTCTTTGGATGGGACGGTTCTTCGCTTGGCTGTGCACCTGTTTGTATCTTTCCAGCCGCATTCCACAAATCCTCAAAAATTACAAGCGGCGGTCGGTGCAAGGTCTCTCCATCGCCTTGTTTTTGTTTGCCGCATGCGGTAATCTCACTTATACACTCAGCATTTTCACCAATCCCCACAGCACTCGCGAAAGTTTGATGGAAGCCATACCCTATATCCTTGGAAGTGCTGGCACACTCCTGTTCGACATGACCATTTTCGCGCAATATGTGATGTACAACTGGATACATCCGAAGACCACAGTGGCTATAGAGTAATCGGATCCGGGACATAGTGTCGTCATTAGATCGGATGATGTGCCTTTTTCTCCCTTTCTTGTACAGCGTGTATATACCCTTTTGTTTGTCATTGACCTGTAGATACATTATACGAACCTATCGAAGCCAATGTTGTCGAACATTGATGCGAGGTGATGAGATGGGTGATACCATCATTTAGAGACAACAACAACAATTAAATAAACATAACAAAAAGATTCCAAAAACAACAGATGCCATACGATGCCCGTTTCCTTTTATTTCATGTATGCTATCATACGAGTGAGCCGCCTCTCATCTATTCGGTTTGGTTGGGGGGAAGGTATTTCTTCCATGCATCCACAAACGGGTCGTTGTCGGGATTAAGCTCCGGAGTGTATTCCAAAATATCGGGAACAAGTTCGCCAATTTGCTCGCCGAACGTCTCACGGATATAAGCAGCAACCACATCCATGCCAGCAGAAATACCCGATGACGTCCAGTAGCGTCCTTCATGCACCCATCTGGCTTTTTGCACCCAATTCACCTGGGGTCGACCGCTCGTTACCTCCTTGAACCACCACTTGTTGGTGGTTGCCTTTTTGCCGTCCAGCAATCCAGTGGCAGCGAGAATGCCCGTGCCGTTGCAGACGGTGATGATGGTCTGTGCTTTGGATTCAGTAATGAACTTCAATACTCGCTCGTCCTTGGCTGCATTAGGAACTCCAAATCCACCAGGAATGAGAAGCACATCCAAAGGAGGGCAAGTCTCCAGCGTGTGTGTAGGACAAAGTCTTTGCACAGCGAGAGGCTGTTGACTTTCAACCCGTTTTCTGAAATCATCGGATAATGTTTCGATCGGTACCATGGTTGCCACTGGCTCCAACGAGTCCACAGCAATCAATGACACGGTCATAGGAACAACAGATGATAGGCCATTCAGCAATTCGAGTGGGCCGCACGCATCCAGCAGAGCGAAACCAGGGAAGAGAAGAACACCGAATGACTGGGGAGGTTTCGTAGTTGAGTTGGTCATAGTAAATGAGTTGTGAAGTATTCTATCGCTTCTTTTTTAGCCTCTTTATACTGTTGTTTATGTACGTACTGTTTTTGGTGTCCAGTACTTGGCCAATGGCAAAATAGAGCCTGCCATCACCGTGGTTACCACATATTTTCATCCGGCTTTCCTTGTCATTTGACTCATACGGACGGACTTGACTTGTTGCCTTGCATTTACAATACATTACATTGAATTGGACAAGACGTAGCTATGGAGAAAAAAAGTAAGGATATACCTTCATTATCTATAGTTTTCTGTCGATTTTTCTTTCAGGCACAGTAGTACAGCTCACTATACATTCGCCCCAACTTGTCTCAAAAATCATTTCCATGATATACACTGTTATTCAAGCACACTCCGAGGAGAATGTTGGGCCCTGTGTGCATTCGTCATGTATGTAGGGTAGGTTCAATAAATTGATAAATCTATGGCTGAATCTATGGCCGAGCCAGCCAATGGCAAAAAGGAGCTCGGTTATGTTTTAAGGGTGGCCGTTTGCTTTGGCTTACGACGGGAAACTAGCAAACATATTGGTTATCCGACCATGGTAGCACTTAGTAACTTCCTCTAATAAACATACTGTAAATGACTTGCATTGTACGGTACATTCTTACCAAACCTACGGTATTTCAGTGCTGCGCCTTACGTATCATCAAAGTCGTACGATGGAATTCACCCTCAGAAGGTATAATTGTCTTTCAAAGTTATTATAAAAAGAATGTTGCATTAATATTCTACCAATGTGACTTACGTGTTGCCAGAGCATTAATAATACAGCAATGATATTTCATTTGTAATTAAAGTTTGGCTTGCATTCTTGCTTCATTCGTAGCAAGAGCACACAACGAACACATCAGATAGAAAGAAAATCGATGCACTTTTTCCGCGTTTTCACGCTTTTCATAGCCATGGCAATACACCTTCATGTAGCTGAACAGGTTTCGCCACTTTTGTATGAGCTCAGTGGTGGTGCATAATAGCTCCATATTGGTATGCATGGACGAGCGTTCCCTGGACTAGGAAACTCATACCCAGCCTCCTGGACCAGAAAACTTGTTTCAATCTTCGTTGCAGGTTCTGTAGGGTGGGTGGGGTGCTATACATGCATGATTGGCGTTGACAAAAAAGATTAAGGGGACTTTGTCAATAGCTCCAATACCGGCCCTTTTGTAAGGAAACCTGGCTTGACCATCATCCCTGGACAATGGGGATATCGGCCTCTTACCAGCGATATGCTCGATCTCGAATATTTCATTCCTTTTTGCACGACACACAAACAAATTGTGGAGTCATCGGCAAGCAGTTCGCTTACCAAATGATAAATTTCCACAACTCCACCACATGGAACTCAATGTCATGAGCGTCGCTCCACATTAGGTGTATCCGGGTGCTTGAGATGGTAAAGATCTGAGATCCAGGTGGCTGGATAATGAAGTGTGAAAACCACAATGTCAATCTCTCTCCTTAACAAATTGGTATAGGCATGTTAACAACAGCTTAATTCTCGCATTTGCGTTTAACCCCCCTCCCATTCTATATCGGATTTTTTTTTTGTTTTCGCTACTGCCACAAAGGCGATCTCACGAGCAATTCACATTGCTTACTTGTGTTGAAGTGGTATGCAGTAGAAATGCCGATGGCCTGCTTCTGGTCCTTGCTAAACTTGGAGTTCATTGACCCGTCGGTCCGAACCGCCGCAGCCACATATGTGTTTCAGACTTTCCCTGACTAAATAGTCTGCGATGAGCCACTTGACACAAAAAGAGCGTATCGCCTATGTGCATTTACAGTAATGTGATATTACAAACGATGCGGGCACCAGTAGAGACCATGATCAGTCCAGGTGCAGCATAAACAATATACTGTGCATCCCCGATAACACTGCCACCAAAATCAGTTTCAAAAAAAAAACAAATAACCTTGTTACATGACCATAATACTGTAGGTTGGTCGGAGGGAAAGAGAAAATATGGAATTCAATTTGTAATAGTACAGGGAGGGGGGGGGGTGTATATAGTAAGTATGTATAACTGAGAAAATGTGTGGATGGAGGGAGCATAATAATCCAAAAAGTAGGATGAAACTTCATGAATGTATAGAGGTATGAACATCGCCTCAAACATGTACATTAGCTTACAGCCGTCGTATTCTTCATCTCGGTAATAGACATAACACTTCTTCTTTGCTCGGCATCCAAGTCTCTTGGCGAAGAGAGGTTAGATGAGGATGACCGCCGAGAATGTGTTTCATCATGCTCGACGTTATGGGGCTCATGTTCAAACCATCGCGGAGTGTCGAATTTCTTGCACAGTTCTTGCACCAGCCTTGATCCATTCTCGTCTGCTTCCGGTGATAAGTTGGTAACAACAGAATCCCATTTGCCGGAGATGAGACCGGTCAAAAACTCATGCCATTCATTGTTGGTAAAGGTGAGATGAATTTTGCTACCACTGAGCTCCTTAGTCATCAACAGGACGCCTAAGCCAACCGCCTTGGTCAATTGCATCATGCGCTCGCCTACTACGATGTTTCGTCGAAAAGCTGCCCAGTTTGTCTCCTTGAGTAAAGGTTCTATCCAAGGACGATAGGACTTCATGTTGGCATTCTTCTCCTTTTCTCGATCGGCTAAACTACTCTTCATGCATCCTCCATGCCGGTCATGCTCTTCCTTTGTGCATGAACAAGCCGAACCAGCCACTGGATAGAACTGAGCATACGCTTGTTGAAATTGATCAAAGGCTAAAAACAATCGATAGTAGTCCCAATTGTAGTAAATGCCATTTTGGTTCATGCCATTGTCCAGGTGAGGTTTCATATTCGAATGTTTGGCAAGGATGAGTAAAGCGGGTCGAATTACATCTTCTGCGGTTTGTCTAGTTGGAGGCTTGGGTTTTTCGATGGCTAGAGAAAAATGATGACTGATTTTGGATGCTTTTTGTTCGAGATCACTAACAGCGATAGCTCGTAGTCTTTGAATGATATCATCCCCTGCAGCAGAGAAAAAAAAATCGATATGAGTAACATGCACTCGCTTGGTACAGATAAATGCCATAATGTAAATAATACATACGCCGTGACTCAAATTCACCATGTCGATGTGGTATTTTAGGTTTCTTGGCAGGTCCTTCGCCTATAGATCGTGGTGGAAAGGAAAGTATTTCGTTCATTTCTGGCTGATTGTCTTCTGGGAACATGGCTCGTCGCTTCTTCTTGATCAATGGGCCATGCACTAGAAGCCCTTGTTCAGCATAGCGTTGTACCAACACATCTTCATTATTAATCCTTCCAGGTTGATAATAAAACCCTCTACGAGTAATAGCTGCAGCAGGATTGTTTGAGATTATAGACGATTGCGACTGAGGAGATGCGGATGGTGACTGATAGAGACGATCGGGTTTGACTTCGGACGGTTGAATAGATTGATATTGCTTGGTTGGAGGTCGAAAGCCGGCGCCATTAATCCGTGGAGTGCTCGATGGAAGGTCAATGAACGGTGAATGCGCTGACGAACCAGAGGCTTGCGGTGACGGCATTCGGTCTTGGCCAAAGTGAGATGAGAATGATGGTAATGACGGCGAGTGTGGGGATGTGGAGGTTGCTTTGGAGCCAAAATCTTTGTTCTGTGTTATGTAGGATACCGGGTACGCTCGTCGCTGTTCCTCTCCCGGAGATTCGTTGAATCTCTTGGTGGCTAGATCAACGGCCGTGCTGGAAGCATCAGGCGACCCAGGCACTTTGACTGTATTGTACTGAATGGCGCCATCCTCCTTGAATGAAATGCGATCGGCCTTGGGCTTATAGAACTTGACTTCATCACCTAACGCATAGCAAAAACAAAAGAAAACCTTGGAAATACGGTCGGTGGTAGGCTTCTTACGAAATATTTGCTTGACCACTCGAAATAATTCTAATAATTCGTCGTCTGACAGTATATCCTCAGCTTGTGGTTGAAATAAATTCGCTTGCTGCTCTGGTGAGTTTTCCAGCGCAGCCATTAGTGTGGAGGGGTCAAAGTGAGGAAGGAAGAGAGACGGAGAGAAGAAAAGAAAAAAAATGGGTGCGTGAGTTCCAACGATCAGTTCCACTCTCACGGACGGGCAACCCACCCACCACAAAAACCCAGTTGGCAGTCCTGACTCAAAACTACCCTTTCTAACCAATCAAAATTGGCTATTTTCAAATGTACCCATATCTGTCACACCTGTTAACGGTATACTGGCCATCCGATAACAGAAGTGTATAAAAACCTAGAAACCCCTTGACACTCATCATCCCTCTCACACAAGATAGAAAAAGGTACAAAAGACATACGATAACGCCTGTCCTCTCACCCACTCACTGGAACACTACCGACTTTTCAAGATGTGCTTTCATGTGATCACTATTGCATCGTTGGCGTTTCTTTGTCATGTCTTGTTGCGCTGCTAAGATTTTAGGTAATAAAATATCCACGCTGTGAGAATCACATTGACCGTATTAAACTTTGTACTATTGTGAAAACTTTACGTTATCGTACGAACTATTTTGCTTTGTCTTGTTAGAGATTTGCGTGTGTAATTTGGGATTTTTGCTCTTTGTATAGAGTGCAAAAATTCGATTCGATGAGATATTACATTTGAGAGCTAAAGATTTTCCTTCACATCATAGAGACCGTCGGTATTTGAAATTCAGGCTAAGCCAAAATTAAAAGCTTACAGTCCGAAGACACTGAGATGGTATTTGATATGGAAACCAATCATTTTGCAACACTTACGGCTAACGAGAACAACCCAACAGCTCTCAAAGGACGTCCTTTTTTCACAGCAAGAAATATAGGTCATGGCATGGGTTGGAGATAACCTGTAAGACAAGCTCATGGGTTATATCAAATGGTTCGCTACTGACAACACCAAAGCAACTCTGGGTGTCCTTAGCGAGGCCAATCCAATACAACGACATGTGCGGTGCCGCCAATCTGCCAGGGTGAAACTTGCTTCTCTCCAGATCTACCTTCACCGAGTACGTTATATGTTTGGCTCTATGCTTTATGATCACCCAGGGCTTTCCTCTTCATTTCAAGTTATGTTCTCTGTTGGTTACAAAAATTGTGTACATGAAAAACATTTATTCCTAGGTCGACTGAGAAAAATAGTGTATCATACACAAATCTTTTGAATAGAGAGGAGCTTCATCTGAGCCATAAATAAGCCTTTGATCTTCGATAATTGATGTTGGTCTTGAAATAATAAGTCGGATTGTCAATGAAGGCAGTAGCCTAGGCAGCAAAGTAGCTGTGAATGTCCGAGAGCATATTCGTTTGCACTGTCATTTTCACGACTGTGTATGAATTCCTTACAAATGAAAATTACATGCATATCATCCAGTTACAAACAACGGTCAAAACGCCCAGCCAACATACCACACTAAATCATTGGCTCGGCAACTAGGTTATTGTACCAATTTTTATTTTTCCACCAAACTAACGGCTCAAAGCTAGATAATAGGTAAAGAAACTCCTCAAAGTAATTGTTGTCATATTCGTCATATCTCTAAAGTTGATCTACTGTACCAGGTATCGTATGCGGAGATGGAAGGTAAGGATGTACTGGGGCTGGAGGGAAAATATTGGGGAGAGTGAAATGGTCGTACTCAGACTTAATATGTCGCTTATTTTCGTCTTGAAAACGGCTAGTATTAGATGAAAAGGATGGGGATGGCTCTGGGGGATATGGCGAGTTGATGGCATTAGGTTCGGGGTAGATGTAACCGAGGGACATACTTCTAAAAGGAGGGAGACTTCGTTGGTCGGAATCAGGGTGGTGCTGATGATACTGCTGAGATGGAAGCTGATGGTGCCGCTGCTGGGGTTGATGATGATCAAGTGGATATCCCTGTGAGTGGATTTCTTCCATCATGTAGGGTTTGCTCATGTAGGGAGGTGTGGAAGGCATCATGGCCAAGTTATGTTGATCGATGGAAGGCTCGACCATGGGAGGTACTCGGAAGTTCTCTTCTCGTAACAAATCCGAAGATATCTCAAGCTCAGCCAATTCAGGTACACTGGATGGGGAACGCAGTTGGCCATTTTTAACTTCCTCTGGATAGTAATATGAAATGAGATGTTGTGATATGCCATTGATTTTTATGCTCATGGACTTCTTGATCAGTCCATCATCCTTGTATCCATATGACTCTGACAAACTACCCACTAGCCGCCTTTCGCCTTTTCGTTTTGATATCTTCTTGACAGGTGTATAGTCAGTGATATCATCTCGGACATCCGTTATACTCGCACTTGACACCTTGCGACTGCTTGGTTTTTTGTAGACTTCTCGGTATATTAAGAAGTTACCCAAAATCCGTGATGGGCTCCAGTTATAACCATCTGTCCAACGTTTGATACCTGCATTTGGAAAATAAACGCACAGTTAAGCTCATAGTTCAAAAATTGATCACAGGAATCTAATTTATTGTTCGAGAAAACAAACGTAGACGCTTGTTATGCACTCTCTTTCTATCCTTGTCACTCACCTGAATCATGCTCATCAAATACAAAGATAGCTCCACTTTGTATTAATGCACGCTCTTTTTCTTGTAACCGACGGTGTATTTTTGGCAGCATACCACGCCGACAGGCTTCAAAGATAAGTAAAACGTCTTGCGTTGAAGCAACATAGCCGTGAAAGGTAGCTTCCGGGTACATGAGTGGTTTGGAATGAAGGCTAATGTGCAAGATGAGAGATGAGAGACAGAAATCCACACTGGTCAAAGAAAGTTGCTTAGCGCTTGGATCGCTTTCGGACCTGAGATCAATAACTTGGTTACAAACCAGCAGCATTGGGTAGATTTGCCTTCGCTTTTCTCCGGTCCTCTAGGACGATATGATCTACCGCTCCGCATCCTCTGATATTCAATGTCAAGCATCACCGAGCTCATCTTTTCGTTTATTTTCACTAATATCCTATTGTCTATTCTACCCTTGATTCAAAAACTTGACCGCGGATGAATGAGCGGTGGTTAGACGGAGACTCAAATTGTTTCTTCAGGTATGTCATGTTATTGGTCCGTCGGGTAAAGGAAACAAGAGTCACCATTTCGGCAACTCTAACAAAGCAGCTCCCGTGATGACCGCGGGCTGGCAGAAAGAAGCAGGATAATAGGAATAATAACAACTAAATACCATATTCGGTTATGGACCCATGGATAGGTTACCTTGCCTGTCGCTGTCGCTCTTGACATATTTTGTATTTTGCCAGACGTCATAATAAGCCTATTCGATCAACCCCACTGTCTTTCACACATGGTCTTGGAGGCGGCGATAATTCTCCATCAGGCAACCGAGGAGTGTCTGTGATTGAAGAGGGGTACAATTTGCACTTTATCTCAGCGAAGTGAGCGAATCATAAAATGTACACGTCTCAGCGAAGTGAGCGAATCATAAAATGTACACGTCTCTGCTTTGTGTGTACATTGGGTACTCTCGAATATATATTTTATTATGGGAAAAAAAAAATATAGCCAGTTTCTAATTCAGCTGTGCAACGAAAGAAAGAGCTGGCAGTTCTATGGAGAAAAAAAAATGCCTATTTGCAAAAACAGAAAACATCAATTGAAAAAAAAAAAAAAAAATTGGAAACATCGTTTCTGTTGTGTTTTGAAAAATGGAGAATAAGCGACAAGTTTTGAAGAGAGCAAGTTTGTAATGAGAATGGTAGATTAGAGTTTCTTTTTGGGGTTCAGGGAAAACTAAATGTACTTTTTATAGCTTCCTCTTGGTTTGGTTTGTCAATTTTTTTTTTACATCATACCACCCATGCCACCCATACCGCCCATACCACCCATGCCGCCCATAGCAGGAGCAGACTTGTCTTGAGGAGCATCGACAATCATGCATTCGGTGGTGGTAAGGAGAGAAGCAACGCCGGAAGCATCAACAAGGGCGGTTCGGACGACCTTGGTGGGGTCGAGAATACCTTCCTTGATCATATCGACATACTCGTTCTTGGAGGCATCATAACCCCAGTTGAAGTTGTCAACGTGTTCTTCCAAAAGTTTACCAGCAACAACGGATCCTTCACCACCAGCGTTGTCAACGATAGTTCTGCATGGGCGCTGAATAGCTTGACGGATGATGTTGATACCCAATTGTTGATCAAAGTTGGCAGCAGTGAGCTTATCAAGAGCTCTGGAAGCCTTGAGAAGAGCGGTACCACCACCAGGGACAATACCTTCCTCGACAGCAGCACGGGTGGCGCAAAGAGCATCATCGAAACGATCCTTCTTCTCACCAACCTCAACTTCGGAAGAACCACCGACCTTGATGACAGCAACACCACCAGAGAGCTTAGCAAGACGTTCTTGAAGCTTCTCCTTCTCGTAATCGGAAACAGAGGAGTCGTTCATAGCACCACGGATCTGTTCGCAACGTTGAGTCAAGAGATCCTTGGAGCCAGCACCGTTCAAGAAGATAGTGTCTTCCTTGGTGATAGTGACGGAACCAGTGGTACCGAAGAGATCGGGGTGAGCCTTCTCGAGCTTGACGTCGAGTTCATCAGAGAAGACGGTACCGCCAGTCAAGATGGCAAGATCGCCAAGGATGGACTTGCGGTTATCACCGAAGCCAGGAGCCTTGACAGCAGCAACTTGGAGTTGACCACGGAGCTTGTTAAGGATACAAGCAGCAAGAGCCTCACCATCCAAATCTTCAGAAACAATCAAAAGAGGGCGGCGTTGGGTGGCAGCAGCTTCGAGAGCAGGGAGGATATCTTGAAGAAGAGAGATCTTCTTCTCAGAGAGAAGAATCAAGGGCTTCTCAAACTCGACCTTGGCAGTCTTGGGGTCGGTGATGAAGTAAGGGGAAATGTAACCACGGTCGAAGCGCATACCCTCAGTGATTTCGAGTTCATCTTCGATGGTCTTTCCGGCCTTGACGGTGATAACACCTTCCTTGCCAACCTTCTCCATGGCTTGAGCAATAGCACCACCAACGTGCTTGTCACCGTTAGCGGAAATGGTAGCAACCTTTATAGAAAAAATTAGATGAATGGTTAGATTTGGAAGCCAAAACGTGTATCCTTAACAGTATCCAACAGTAAAAAAAAATGAACCTACCTGAGCAATTTCCTCGGAGGTGGTGATGACACGAGAGTGTTGCTTCAAGAACTTGACGACTTCATCGACAGCCATTTGGGCACCACGACGAAGGTCCATAGGGTTACAGCCAGCTGCGACATTCTTGACACCTTCGGTGAAGATGGCGCGAGCAAGAACAGTGGCGGTGGTAGTACCATCACCAGCAACTTCGTTGGTCTTGTTGGCAACATCTTGAACCAATCTATCAGAATAGCCAATGAATGAATTAACCTTACTGTGTCAACCCCTTCTACACGTGAAAACATTTGGCAGGAGAGCTTACCTAGCACCGAGGTTTTCAAACTTGTCCTCAAGGACGATGCTCTTAGCGACGGTGACACCATCCTTGGTGATCTTAGGGGAACCGTAGGGCTGTTCAATCAAAACATTGCGACCCTTGGGACCGAGGGTAACGGCAACAGCCTTGGCGAGAATATCGACACCCTTGAGAAGACCAGCGCGACCATCAACACCAAACTTGATTTCCTTGTGAGTGGAATAAAGACGGTTCAAGACACCGGTGGTGGACTTTGAGCTGAGACGAGCAACGGGTTTAGCAGCCTTAGTTGCCAAGCGATGCATTATTGAGAACGAATGTAAGAAAGAGACTAGACACCCCGGAAGTTGGCAGGCGCCCTTCAAAAATTTCCATCAACAAAAAAAAAGTGCGAGAAAGCTCTGGAAATTGTGGCTTATGCTTACATTTCTTTTCAACAATCAAAAATAACGAAAGCCCAGCTTTTGTATACAATATATACTACTACTCCCTTTCAGGGGCTTTGCAAAAGGAGCTGGAATTGGACAGTTGACTTGGACTTATTTTGAGCTGGCTACTATAGCTTTGTGTCAGGTGAGCTTGAAGACAATGGGCAGTCTTTACAATGCTTTCTTCGACTGTCCCCGACATGACTCAAAGTCGGACTTGTAAAAACCAGACATTTCTCACGGGAGAGCGACCTGAAGTTGCTTTTAATTCGCTGCTGAGCCTAGCTGAGGGTGATTTTTCTCATGGATGATAGAATTACACAGCTGTAGGCCACTATTTTCATTTCAAGCGAACGGTTTCGTCTTTATGGTAAGCCTTGTAATTCAGCTCTGTATTTGCTTGGATAAATTCAGCTTCAAAAACTAATGAGAGGCAGCTATGCTTTGGAGACGTTTCTTCAACGCCACTTCATCTTATGCCTGCAGAGCCAAATTTGGACATTTTACATTGTCATTTGTGTAAATAAAAAAAAGATAGCTAAATGGTTGAAACTCATTGTTAAATGGATTCAAAATAGATGTTCTGAGTGCTGAATTATTAAAACGAAATCTATGTCACAAACAAGTGGATATGATCCTTAGGAGCCCCGTTGTAAAAAGAAAGCGTCGAACGAAACTTGGTAAATGAAGCTGAGCACGAAGCTGAGCACGAGAGAGGACTCTCAAACATGTTTTTCGAAAACTCTGAATGCAGTTGCAAACTTGCATCCACGTACGTATTAGTGCACGTAGTGATAGCAAGGACAATAACTTCATTCCAAAAAGTACTGTCCATGTTCAATCGAATGATATTGAAAGTGCTGCATCACAAAACCAAGCAACAGTCAATATGACTATAATTTAGGTACTTAAAGTATGATAATTGAAGTGCTTTTATTGCTATTTACTTAATAAGTTACAGACAGTACAAAAGAATAAACAGTATTGAAGAAAGAAAACAAAATTTTGAGGCATATATTACCAGGTTGATTCACGACGTGACACTTTAAAGAAATGTTCAGAACGTTAGATACTAGATTCTCCGCTGACCTGACTGCTCTGCACATGATATGCATCCCAGTAGGGGCAACGCAGAGTACTGTATTTACATTCTATACAAGTCTTCAGTATCGAGATCGCAATCAATCATTGGCCTGTACATAAGCTCCTGTTTTGCAGCTTCTGAGAGACCAGTCTTTCGCTTCTTTGATTTGGCTGGAAGCAAATTGAAATGAACGTCAACTTGGCAAGCACGCAAAAGCTCACGCCATTTCTGATGGTCATACTGGCTGATTGTGTTCATCTTGAATACTTTGGCTTTGCAACAGAGTTCCCAATCATGGGAAATCAGTGTCGCATTACCATCATATTTTTCGTGATAATACCTAGCATTTCAAGAGATCATGATTTAGATCAATACTCAAATTCGAATGACTACGTATGAATTTATGAAGACAAATCAATACGTACAGTAAGCAGTCCAGGATTAAGTCGTCGGCGACCTAGCAGAAGGCTTCATTAATATATTCATACATACTACATCAAACAAAGGATATGACAGGTGACTAACCACGATGGGATAGTTTTTTGTTTCCAGATTGCCTTGTTTGACTAGGTTTGGAACATCCATAGCAATATATCGTTTCAGGAATCCATACATTTGAGTAGCTTCTTTAGCAAGCAATACTTTTCGGCTCTTGTACATTGGATGAGTTGCCCAAGAAGTATAAGTACTTAGCATCTTGCGACCTGTGTTATTGTACTATTTCTTTGTTAGTATGCATGCGCATCTGGTTTACAAATGATTTATCCAAACCTCTTGTGCTAGAAGCTCTCTGATGACTATAGTTGGAATGACTACTGTGAAGTTGAGCGACTTGCGGTACACGGTAGAAACGAGTTTTGTGATAAGGTCAGGACTATGGAGTAAGGTGCAGGTGTCGATGATCAGAAAGTTGGTTTTGTCAGTAGAGAACATTTTGCTCGGAGCCTTCTTTTTTTTTTAGTTGGGTTTTTAAAAGATAGTAGCAAGTATAGTAACTTAAAGTGTTATACGCGCGAGAGTTAAAGTGGTTCAGGGTAACGGTCAAAGAGAAAGAACTATGAATGAATGCGCACAGAAATTTTACCCAGTCATGTGCCCGATATCACTGACCATTGCCGCCAAAGCAAAGATTTTGCAAAGTGAGAATAGTGTACTGCTTGGTGATTGGCTTAAGGTATGTATCGAGTCTGTACCGTCGCGTTGCAAAGTCGAATGGAGAAAATGTATTGAGCTCAACTTCTTGATCAGGTCTAGTACCACATTGCACCAATGTTTACTTGCTTTTCCCGATGGAAAACGTCCCTGTCAATCGTAGGTCCAATGACCAACCATTCTGTTCTTCCGGCTCCCTTTACAGTACAATCGCAGAGTTTCGAGTTGACACTAGCTATCCAGGGGATATTTGTACTGAAAACAAGAAGGACAAGTAAAGTACGCTGTGCTAATCAACTCAGCACAGAAAGGCGAATAGCTTTATACCAATTGCAGTTGTGAACGCTTCTGAGGTACTTCACGTCCTATCAGATTCTCCAGAAGCTTAATAGAGAAAACCTTATCTCATAAATGAAAACATCATCGTGTGCCGCTTAGCTGCGCCACCCCGCATTTCAGTATCCAGGTCCCATTTAAACCCAAATCTTTTCGAAAAAAAAACCGCCGCATTTTTAGTCCTACTTCCTACTTTTGAAACAGCAAAACTATGACTTTAATGGAAGAAGACCCAATGCAATCAAATGCTGCTGAGCAGCATTCACCCATACAGAACATCTGGACATCTGAACCCATGATTGTTGAAAATGATGGGGTAGGCGAGATATCAATGACTACCTTGATGACGGCTGATGTAGGCAGTGAATCTTCAGACGCACTGCCTGAGAACGGAGAGCCTCCTTCCCGAACAGAATTCTCTCTACCGCCAGTAGATAAGGGCATTAATGCTATCTTAATTTTGATTTGCGGCTTTTTTGTGGAAGGTAATTGTTTTGATGGTGATACGAATGGGAGGATGGCAAATGACAACCTCCTACGTGATATTCACATTTTACAACAGGTTGTGTAAGTGCCTTTCAAAAAACCTTGTCTCTTTTAGTAATTACCTCGAACTTCATGAAGGCTTGTGCATGGCGGCGTCCTCCTTTCATTTGTATAGCTTGTTGGCTTGGTATTACTCACACTCTCTCCCAATTCTTCTTCTTACACTTGGACAGACATATGGCTTGCCGCTTTCTTATTCTATTTTCCAAAATTATTACTCCACACAACCCGAGTTTCAGGATGCAGGCATTACTTCTTTAGTATCAGTAGGTGCCTTATGGAGTGGTTTGACGCTTATGGGAGCTGGTCTTGTAGCGGCATTGAGTGCGCGGTTCAGTCTAAAGACGCTCATGTACGCGGGTTCGTTCATTATGGCCTCTGGGCTAATCGGGGCGTCTTTTGCCACCAATGTTTGGCATTTGATACTAACGCAGGGTAAGAACACAGAACGCTCAAAAATTTCCTGCTCTATGTACTCATTGATTTGAAGGCGTTGTTCTTGGAATTGGGTCTAGCTTTGGTAAGTGGTACACTGGATAAGACGGCTGCAGGACCGCTACTCATAAAATTTTGTAGTATCGAACGCATTCATGCCTTTTGTGCCCATGTGGTGGTTCAAGTATAGAGGCATTGCCACTGGGATTATCTTCTCCGGCGCAGGTCTGATGGGGTTGGTGACTCCTATCGCCATTGAGAGATCACTAGCCGCGGTGGGCTTCCGATGGACCCTACGAATTTTAAGTCTGTTCACACTTGTGCTGTGCTTAAGCTCAAGCTACGCTGTGCGAACTCGCTACCTGCCTGATGCATCTGGGACTATGCGCGTATCGTTCACAGGCAAAGACTTTCGCTTCTTGACCAGCCGCAAATTTATTATTCTAGGTGCATGCGTACTGTTTCAAGGCCTTGGCTATTTCATTCCCAACTTGTTCATACAACGTAGGTCTAGCTTCCATTTTATAATTTATCAATGAATGGTAAACTCAATCTTTTTCAACTCAGCTTATGCCTTATCTGTGGGTGTGCCTGTACAGACTTCGACAACGCTGGTTTCAGTCATGAACGCCATGACAGTTGTGGGTCAATTGATGCTTGGACATGTATGTGATCGATATGGTTACTGGAAAGCGTTGGTCATTTCTTCAACAACGGCTTCTCTGAGTACATTAGTTCTCTGGCGAATGGCAGGTTCCTCGCTTACCACGATATTTGTCTATGTTATCATTTATGCTGGCTTTGGGGCCGGATTTACCACCTGTTTCCCAGGTATGGTTGCAGATATTGCTGACGATCCAAATCAATTTGTATTAATAAGTGGTAAGAAAAGACGCAGTGGAGCATTCATGTGTGGCTGCGTACTCATTGTTTCCCTAGGCGCTTTTATGATGCTGCGAGGCACTGGCAACATTGTCGGGAATCCGCTGGGATCCATTTTTCTGACCACATCTTCAAGTGTTCAAGCCGGTTGGAACGAGATTACGTATTTTGTCGGCGGCTTTCTGCTGTTGAGTGCTGTATTTGGCGGCATTCGAGGTATCATGTCCATTCAATCCCGTGTGTGAGGTTTGTAAAATAGCCAATAATGTCCACATAACGACCCATCGTACTTTTCCCGAACAGTAAAGGAAGTTCAAGTTCATGAAAGATTGATCATTTAATTGATGCTATCCATTTTTGCGCGCAGGAAGGAGAACGGCGTTGGAACGTAGTGCTTCGTTATAAGTGAATGAACAGTTGCTTGGTCTAACGTAAGCTGGCATATGATCTTTCATGCATTGATCATTAGTTGCCTTTCTGGTCGAAGGCTGTTTCACTGTTATTGAACAATTCTCATCGATGCCATATATCAGAAACTTTCTAGCCACTCAATCATGGTCTACCCCAGAAGTACCCGTCTTTGTTTGATCTAATGCAGCTAGTTTGAGACTTTATTTTTGCTCAATTGCTTTCTATTTGTTTGGTTTCCTTCCAGCAGGAGCTACATCCAACTTTAATTTCCGCCATCTGATCCATGGATCTGCAATAGTCATCGTTGTGCGGATTTGATCGCTTCACACGCAATACAAATTAGAAACTGGCTTTTCACATAGGATTTTGTTGCACATGAGATCGACGTAACGACTCGTTCGCCGCACACTTCAATCTCCGTAGCGCTACAATAGTTATGTTCATCATGTTTCAAGATCACAGTCTTACATTGATGAAAAATACAAATTTCAAAAAGTCATCGTCCTTGCCAAAAAAAAATAAGAATAGGAAGGCAATGAAAAATTTCAATACAGGATAACAAAAACTCAAAATAACAAAAGCGAGGCTCTTCCCTGAATTCCGAAATCTCGGTAACAAATATGAACTCGACAATCAGAATGCGAGAAGCAAAGCTCAAGATAGACTCCATTCAATTGAAATAGCAACCACCTTTAGACTACTGAAACAGTTATATCAAAATTGTAAGACCAAATGACATAAACCATCCAAAGTATGCTTAATCTTAACATTGCGACATACGCACTTTGAATTTTAAAGTATATGGTTTTCCGTATTCTTGAGAAAGCAAAAAACTGACTACGTAAAACTAGTATCATTTTCATTGGAAGTCATTGTCCTTATTGACAATGCATGACCCAAGAGCGATTTACTGTATTTTCGCACGCTAGATTTGAATGAAGTAGGCTATTTTTGACTGAGCTTCTACAGCAAATGGTCTGGAACCAACTCTGGCGTTTCGTTTCGTACCTTGTTCGACAGAGCCACCAATGTTAGAAGGTTGTCCCTAGTGTGTCAGATGCAACAGCCGTATATGATAAAGTTAGGCCAATGATAATAAGAATGGTCATGTGATTCTGACCGAGACCAGAAACATGTTTCAAGTTGCGAAGGGTATCTACAGAACAAGAGCAAAAAGCGTATAGTGGGCATGAGGCGTTACTGGGGTGGGACCAAAGAATAGATTAGAAGCATATTCGTCATTGTACAAATGATATCAATCATTAACGGTTATGCTGCACTGTTAGTTCTGTCATACAGTCTGACGTTATACGAAGTAAAGGCACTTTGGAACGCCAATATGGATCGGAGAGAAGATCCTGCACTGGGGTCAAAAGCATTAACTGAAAAATTTCACATTGCGCCTATATTTTACGAAATAGGTTCCACTCTATCTTCTGCACCTTTGTTGTCCCAATTGTTGTCAAAGAAGCTTCGAACCATCATTACACCAATTTATTATCCATCCGCTTCGTCTTATATTTATCTTTACTTATTACTTGATCGTCCACCATGCCAGCTTCCGTTGATAAACCGCCATTTCAACTTAACGGCAATTCAGAACGCCGTTCATGGTAAAGTGGAAAATAGCTGGTTTAACTCGGCCATGATTGTTTGAACACCCCATGCTAACGAAGCACTTACAACCTTCGTTGTATTCTATACACATAACAGGATAACAGATGTTGCACATTTCCCACATCGACCTTCTTTGGCTGATATAAGAGAATTAGAATTTGACTTCTGTCGAGATTTTGCGTGCTGCGGCCAGACATTGGGAGACCTACATGATCTGTTAGAACATTACGAAGAATGCCATGTACGATTTGAAGAAGAAGAGACTGTACCTATGGAATTAACAGAAGATGCCTCTGTGGATGATGTTCTTGTTAGTGAGGATTTAGATCTCACTATGGTGATGCCACCCCTTGTCGGAATGAAACGAGTCAACTTGTCCGATAAGGAAGAATCCCTACCCATTTGCCCCAGTACCATTTCCAATACTGACGGACGGGGCCACAAACGTCAACGTAGTGTACCACCAGAGAGCCCTCGACCCCATCTTACCATTGAGACCATGAACTTGCCAACCTCGTTTTCGGCTGTCACTACTCCTACCGCCTTAGGAGAAGACTTTCTAGCTCACGCAGGATTAGTGGATGCTAGCTCTGCTTTGGCGTCATTCGCTACCCAAGATGGTATGGATCACTTTTTTTTATTATAATGCTACGGCGGTTCGCTAAAGTTTCACCGTGTGATGTGTGAAACCACACGACTACTTAAAAGTCAACCAGGCTGTACCTACTGTCCAATGTATCTAACTTATTATTCTAATAGTCAACGCAAACAAACCCTTCCGGTGCTCCGTTCCAGGTTGCGATAAGGCATATAAAAACCCTAACGGGCTCAAGTATCACAACTTACATGGCCATCACGGGAACAATGAAAGTGACACTGAAAAGAAGCTCCAACGGCCATTTGAATGTACTATTGGCTCGTGCAACAAGCGATATAAAAATCTCAATGGTCTCAAATATCATGTTGAACACTCTCATTTGATGATCATCAACAGCCATTTGAACCACCTGGTGCCTCGACCAAGTGCCAGTCCTAGATCTAGCTGCAGCCCGTGAATATAAGAGAACGATTGAGTAAAGATTTTGTACACATTTGTAAATTTTACCTTCAAAAGGGGCGTATGCCTTGTCTGCCTTTTAAAATCCATCAGAACGATGTTCCGTTACATGGCCACCCACCTTGTATCTCCGAAGCCGCCGTTTGTTTGTTTGTTATACAATAACCTGCTTACCGTTCACGTTAACGTACAAATGCAGTGACCGGAAACCGGCAAGAATGTAGTGGTCAATGAGGTAGCAGTGCTCACATGACCAAGACTAAAGGCTATCTTTTTCTTTTCTTAAAAAAAGGTTAAACTCGACATGTTTACGTTCACTCTTTATAGATGAGAGAACGGGATGTTCTACGTTGAGCCAACCGATTGTGCTGGTGCAATGCTCGGTATCTATGAATGACCATCTCTACTGTAAATCTGTAAATCCACAGTGTAGCATATGAGCTGTGGCGCTTTACATGGAAGGATGCACAACGAACAGTGTGAATCCTGAGATTGAAAAAAAAAGGGCAGTCAGCCCATCACAAAAAATTAAAAAATAAGTAAAAAGGCGGGGAAAAACCTTACAAAACAGAATTTTGTTCAACCGCGGGTACTCGGTGAAAATCCTATATTCTTCTTTACAACTCACCGAACTACTACTGCCAAACGAAATATTATGGGTCCAATGCAACCAACCTCTAAGGCTGCAAAACCATTGGCAACCCCAAGACTGATTCGCAGCATTACCATTGACCGATGTAGTAATTTCACAAGCGGTGGCGCAAATGGCAACGACATTAATCTACTCTCTCAGCTATACAAAGCTCGGACCAGTTCAGGTAATGCTCGCAATCTAGGCATTTTACAGAATTCTATGTTGATCAGAAAACAATTAACAACCCTGCCATGACAGAGGAATTCATATCGCTTCTGGTCTTCAGTGTCCCGGACCTCAAACGTATATCTTTCGAAGAAGCTATCCAACAAGAATTTAGGCCTACTCGTCTTGGCGAGTGGTTTGGCCCATCATGGGTGTGTATGGCTTTGGAATCCTATCTATGATGACCGTTCCATTGGATGCTAATATATCTTACTAACATGTTAGGCAACACACTGGTTTCATGTCCAAGTCCGCATTCCCAACGAGTTCGCTGGCGAAGAAGTTCATTTTATATGGAATGCAGATAATGAGGCATTGGTCTGGAGCATGGATGGAACCCCTATTCAAGGCTTTACAGGTGGAGGTAAGAATAATAGAGATTAGTTGCTGGAATCAGAATCATTTAGAGAATCGTCTAACAGTTTTTCATTTGACAAAGCTGGAAGCGATGCTCGTCACGAGTATGTGTTGACTACAAGTGCGCGAGGCGGTGACCCTATCCAATTTTACATAGAAATGGCTTGTAATGGCATGTTTGGCGCGGGAAATGGCCTCATTGGTCCTCCTGACCCGAACCGCTTTTTCAACTTGAATGAATTGGTGAGGAAAATGGACTAAAATTTTGTTATAGACTCATTCAAGCTGACAATTTCTTTCTTTCTTTAGGACCTTGCCGTGCCGAACAAACTTGCCTGGAAGCTACTCTATGATTTCCAAATCATCTTAGGTATGAGCAGGGATCTTCCTCAAGAATCGCTTCGAGCAGCACAAGCACTTCACACTGCCAACAGAATCGTCAATGTCTTTAGAGCCGGCGATGACCGAACACTGGAAGAAGGCATCCGAATAGCTTCAGAGTTTCTAGGTGCCAAAAATGGTGACTCGCAACATGAAATCACTGCGTTGGGCCATTGTCACATTGATACCGCATGGTTATGGCCGTTCGATGAAACTATTAGAAAGGCTGGGCGGAGTTGGTCTACACAGATCGACTTGATGGATCGATATCCAGAGTACACTTTTGTTTGTTCACAAGCTCAACAGTACGAATGGGTCAAGGACAATTATCCAAAGTTATGGGAACGAATCCGCGAAAAGGTGACAGTTGGACAATTCAACCCAATTGGAGGTGTAAGTAAAATTTTGAATAGATCGTTATCATCGGTAACCGAAGCGTAGTTAACCAATGATTTGCTCTCCACGAAAAAAAGACCTGGGTCGAGATGGATTGCAATATTCCAAGCGGAGAGTCGTTGGTTCGGCAATTCCTATTAGGGTAATTACTTACATGCCTTGCAAGGCCCATTGAGATGATATGGCTGCTAACCATCTCCATCCTTCAGACAACGGTTTTTTGAAGAACAGTTTGGCAAGCGATGTACCGTGTTCTGGCTACCAGACACGTTTGGATATTCGCCACAGATACCACAACTAATTCTGCAAGCTGACATGAAATATTTTTTCACGCAAAAGCTTTCGTGGAACAACATTAACAAGGTATACTCTCGGCCTTGTCTACCTTTTTTTAAACTCGTACGCTGATATCGCTTTCACCCATTAGTTTCCTTTCACAACCTTTTGGTGGACCGCTTTGGATGGATCCCGAGTCATAACCCACATGGCTCCTTCAGAAACCTACAATGCACAGTGTACGCCGGAAGAGTTGATTCGAACGTAAGTCTTTAGTCATTACGGTTTTCACGGTTATTCACACAACGCTAACTTTTTTCTTTTACTAGTGTGCGTAATCACCGTGATAAGGAATACACAAACTCAAGCTTGCTGGTATACGGCAACGGCGATGGAGGTGGTGGTCCTTTGGCTGGAATGATTGAACGATTGAAACGTATGGAAAACGTCGATGGTTTGGCCAAGGTGAAAATGGGTAGTGCCAACGAGTTCTACGAAAACATTGAGAAATCAGGGGCAGAGTTATCGTCATGGAAAGGTGAACTGGTAAGTGATCCTAATGCGGCATATCGTCCTTATCAACTCAATTTAACTTTTCCACTGTTCTTCGCTTAGTACTTTGAGTTACATCGTGGAACCTACACTACTCATGCGATTACCAAGCGGTACAATCGTTCTTGTGAATTTTTGTTGCGTGAGCTCGAAATTTTAGCTACTCTCGCCATGAATGCAGACCCATATTCATTTGTGTACGTATATATGCTTATTGCGCAGCGGATGTTGGTAATCACCGCAAATGCTTACGGCTAACCTTTGTGCACGTCAGTTATCCCAAGTCTGAGGTTGAGCGCTTTTGGAAAATGGTGTGTCTTGTGCAGTTCCACGATGTCTTGCCCGGCTCTGCCATTGAAATGGTGTATGATGATGTTTTACGGGTAAGTCGTCATCGTTTGGCAACACCGTAACGACAAACACAGCACCTAATAATGATTTCCTCTCAACAGATGCACACAGAAGTTGATACCTTGGGTACTGTGATGCGAGATGAATTGCTGGACACCGTCCTCCAACTCGACCCCAACATCTCTGAAGGCAAAAAAGGTATAATATTTGAACCTCTGCTTGAATTCGCGCAACATTTGGTATTGACTGTTCATGAATAGGCCTTGCGGTGTTCAACTCCTTGTGCTGGCCACGTACTGAGATCATTGAAATCCCACTTGCTGAAGGATTGCCCACCATGAAGCAGTACTCTGCATTTGGGCGCACCGGATACGCTCTAGGTATATTGATATGCACTTTGAACAAACAGTATATAAAGATTCCTTGCTCATTTCTCTACTTTCAACTCTCTAGTTCAAGATGTCCCTGCCTTTGGCAGCCGAGGATACCTGCTGCAAGAAAACCCAACATTCACACCTGTCACTTTTGAAACAGATCGTAACAATAATATCATTGTCGACAATATTTATATCAAGGCAACGTTCGACAAGTCTGGCCACTTGGTTGGGTTACGAGACAAAGCCGGCAATGGCCGCGAGCTCATCAAACCTGGCGAACGAGGCAACGTGTTCACTATGTATGAAGATGTGCCACTCTTCTGGGACGCTTGGTGAGAATCTTTAAAAGTATACATGGCAAATTGAAGTTACAGAGTGCTGATTTTGTTATGTTCAAAAAGGGATACGGAAATTTACCATTTGGAGAAGGGCAGACAGGTTGAGAAGGGTTCTGTTCAGATTTTGGAGCAAGGTCCTCTGAGAGTATCCTTGTTGATTGAAAAGACGATTTCCGAGACAAGTCGATTGAGACAGATTGTGGTCATCACGGCTATTTCGAAGCGAATCGACTTTGAGACTGAATTGGACTGGAACGAAAACCGCCAATTCTTGGTAAGTCACCATCATGTTTTACTACAGATATGTCCTGCTTTATTCTAAACATTATATGGTCGCTTTGCAGAAAGTGGAATTTGCTTGGAATATTTTGACGGATCAGGTCACATACGAGACTCAATTTGGCACCATCCAGAGACCTACTCATTACAACACCTCATGGGAAAGTGCAAAGTTTGAGGTCGTCGGCCACAAGTTCGCGGATATGTCGGAATACGGCTATGGTGTGGCACTTTTGAACGATTGCAAGTACGGCTATGCAGCTCATGAAAACGTTGTGCGTCTCTCGCTCATCCGTTCACCAAAAGCACCAGACCCGAACTGTGATATTGGTATGATGAACTCCTATATTTTATTCTTAATGTGCTATAGTACAAAGCAGCATATTAACGAATCATCCATCGACTTCCACACTTTTCCTTTAGGCCATCATGTATTCAAATATGCAGTCTACCCTCACGAAGGCCACTTTTTGCAATCCGACGTCGTCGCTGAAGGCTTCAAGTTCAACGTCCCACTCCTTAGCCGAGTGGTGTCGACTGCCAAAGCTACAGCGCTGTCTGACCCTATCTCTCATTTCCGCATTGAAGGAGCACCTAATGTCGTATTGGATACAATTAAACGAGCTGAAGACTCAGATGACGTTATCTTGCGACTTTATGAAGCGTATGGTGGTCACGCTACTGCTCGTTTGCTCACGTAAGTAAAAAAAAAAACAACTTCTTTTGATAGCTCTAAAATTTAGGCTCACTCTCCAACTTCTTCCTTTAGTGCCTTGCCCATCAAATCTATTCACCGGTGCAATATCCTGGAGGATGAACAAGGCGAACCCATCTATATGAACGAAATGCCCACTGAGGCCGTCGCAACCAATGGACGTCGCGGAGTAAGCTCGTTTAGCACTAACCTTCGGGTCCTAGACGACGACGTTGTTGAAATGCAACAACAAGCTCAATCCCAAGCGCAAGCTGAAGGCGCTCTCGTTGAAATCAAGCCATTTGAAATCGTCACCCTCAAGGTGACCTTGCGCACATAAAATCTTATAAACTCATGACATCCATCCCCCCACTCTCTATAATAATCTTCTCTTTGTCCGTTATCTTCTTGAACAAAAGAATTCAAACTGTTCCATGATAAGGCAGTCTCTCTACAATGGAAAGCAAGCCATCTTAATCAAGAAGAAATAAAACTACAATAAAAAAAAATAGGCACAGTGTTTTTACTCTCATCTAAAAAAAAATATCATTTGTATGAAATCTAAGAGTTGGGTAGTTGGTACATAGAGAGTTTTTTTGGGGGGTTACGCACTAAATTCATTTCTGAGCATCGCTGCCGTTACTAGCAGGTTCGTCAGCGGGAGCAGCCTCTTCAATATGCTCAGTGATATATCTTTCAGCATCCAAAGCAGCCATACAGCCAGTACCGGCACTGGTAATGGCCTGTCTGTATTTCTTGTCCTGAACATCACCAGCAGCAAAGACACCGGGAATATTGGTTTCAGTGCTACCAGGGACGGTGACAATGTAACCCTCATCATCAAGGTTAACTTGGCCCTTGACGAGAGAAGTGGCGGGATCATGACCAATAGCATAGAACAGACCGTTGACAGGCAACTTGGATTCTTCGTTAGTGATAGTGTTCTTGATGGTAAGCTCCTTCAACAAAGATCCATCACCATGGGTGGCGGTGGCGGAAGTGTTGAACAGAACAGTGACCTTGGGGTGCTTCAAGAGGCGAGCAGCCATGACCTTGGAAGCACGAAGCTTATCGCGGCGGACCAAAACATAAACATGGGAAGCATCTAGGACAAAAATTTCGTTTAGTCAGCTTGGGCAGAGTCGACATATTATCGAAAAATCTAAGGTACGGCAAGATTTCCTCTGACTGTGATGTTCACTTACATTTTGTAAGGTAGATGGACTCTTCAGCAGCAGAGTCGCCACCACCGATAACGGCCAAAGGCTTGTTGCGGAAAATGGGGACGGCACCGTCGCAGACAGCACAGGCAGAGATACCATTTTGCCAGTATGTCTCTTCACCAGGCAAGTGCATACGTCTAGCAGAGGCACCAGTGGCGATAATAACAGCATCAGTAGTGTCAGTAGGCTCAGCGTCGTCCTCACTGCCTTCACGCCAGATCTTGAAGGGACGAACAGACAGATCGAGCTTGGTAATGGTTTCGGTGACGATCTCAGTTCCGAAACGTTCAGATTGTTCACGGAGCTTGTCCATCAATTCACCACCCATCACACCTTCTGGGAATCCAGGGTAGTTTTCGACATCGGTGGTGGTGGTTAGCTGACCACCAGGGGCGAAACCATTGGCCATCATGCCCTCGAACAAGATGGGCTCAAGGTTAGCACGAGCAAGATAGATGGCGGCAGTGTGGCCTGATGGATGATAAGGGTTAGGCAAAACGATGATCTCGGTGATGGTATTGGGAATAATGTCTTACCGGAAGGACCTGAGCCAATGATGGTGACCTTGCGATGTTGAGGCATTTGAGATTGAATCAAAGAGATAAAAAATTCAAAAACATTAAGACTTATGAATGAGATTTGGTATTTTAAATACCGACATTGTTCAAAGGGCTGTCCACCGTCACACACTTTTTCCCGTCTCGTCCATTCCACCCACTTTGCTTGCTCTGCTCTGATGCCGTTAATAAATGAGCGCCAAACAGCAACTGTCAAACCAGACAATGCACGATCTCAATCGAAACAGCGTGGTCATGTCACCGGCTCCCGTTCCGCTCCAAACAAGTATGAGTGCAAAGCAATATTCATACTATTGTTTTGGTCCTTAGTCTTACTTTAGTAACTCCCCATTACTCACTATTTTTCACTCGTATAGACCTGAATCCAAAGCATGGACACTGGATGACTTTGAGATTGGCAAAGCCTTAGGAAAGGGAAAGTTTGGCCATGTGTATTTAGCGCGTGAAAAACAGAGTGGATATATCATCGCCCTCAAAGTCCTGTACAAGACCGAGCTAGCTCACAGCAACATTGAGCGTCAGCTTCGTAGGGAAGTTGAAATACAAGGCAACCTCCGGTGAGTGTTCGCACACTTCTGTTCATGGCGTTGGTTGATTCATTGACCCCTTCGTTTGCTTTTTTCACTGCATGCTATTCACCTTCTTGTCCAGGCACCCTAACATCTTACGACTGTATGGATACTTTCACGATGAGACTCGAGTTTTTCTCATATTGGAATTTGCAGCGAAAGGCGAATTGTACAAGCAACTTCAGAAATATGGGAAATTCCCAGAACGGATAGCAGCAAAGGTTAGACTAGCATACATTTGCTAAGCGGCCCTGAACGACTCTCTATCTAACCTGACCTTATCATTTCACCAGTATATTTTACAACTGGCTAATGCTCTTGCCTATTTACATCGTAAACATGTTATACATCGAGATATCAAACCGGAAAACTTGATGCTAGGTTTACGAGGAGAGCTTAAAATTGGTGATTTTGGGTGGTCGGTGCATACAGCTGGAAATAGGTAAGCAGACGAGGACCGTGCGGATTGGAACACCCTTGTTTAACTTTGAGCTTGATCCATTACCAGCACAAGACGACAGACTCTATGTGGTACTTTGGACTACCTTGCTCCTGAAATGGTGGAAGCTAAGGAGCATAGCGACAAGATCGATATCTGGTCGTTGGGAGTGCTAATGTATGAATTTCTGTGTGGTAACCCTCCGTTTGAAGATATGGCTGGATATAGGGCGACATATTTGCGTATCGCTCGTGTAGACCTTAAAATTCCAAAACATGTTAGTCCCGAAGCAGCAGACTTAATTCGAGAGGTAAGGGCTTTTCTATTTTTTTTTTCAGGGGGTTTGAGATGTTCTATGGTTCCTAATACAACTGGCTGGCGGGAGTAAACAGTTGCTTAAGTACAACCCAGACGATCGGTTATCTCTGGATCAAGTTCAGCAGCATCCATGGATTATCAAGCACGTTGGAGATCCTCCTCCTCCACAACCTAAATCCGCCTCATTGCCTACTGCTACCACCACTGATATCCCAGTGGGTAGCAAACCTGTCTCCAACTGATACCCAATTTCGGTCATAATCGACATTTTTTTCTACCATATCCCCTAACTCCTGTATTATATCCAATGTTTTTTATCGTACTTGCCCCTATCTATACAAACCCAATCTTTATATCTGTCCGATCACCGAGACGTCGCTGCTTATCAAAAGATGAGTGATGCACAAATAAACACACAAAACAGTTACGTTAAGGAACTGTCAGACGTCGTACCAACAGCACAGAGAGTTGAGAGATGTTTTCATTTTTGGTCAAAGTGTAAAGCAAAGAAACGGCAATAAATACAATGGTGGGTGACAACCCAACCGAAAAGAACTTGCAGAGCGATAATATAGGTGAAATCACTCCAGGGTAGTAGAAATGAAAACAGGAATAAAACAAAACGCAAACATTTAAAAAGAAGACGAAAAGAAAAAAAGGTATCATTAGTTGGTGATAGTCGCTTGCTGTATGGTGAAGGGACCTATCGTTTAGCAAAAAAAGGTGTGTGTGTTGTTTAATAATTTTTTTTTTGGGGATTTTCCGGCGGGTTTCCATGATGTGCGAAGGGTGGTAGGGTATGTGTGTATATGTGCGAATCTAATGTGGGGCAGGCGACAAAAGAAGGATATGTTGTCACAATGCAATGGTTTCGGTATCACTCTCGGTATCAGAGTCGCCTTCGTGATATAGCGTGACTAAAATGTCGAATGGGGTGGTGTTTCTCGTTAGTTCAGACATGTCATGAAACCAAAGGCAAGCATTTCTACCTACCTGAACTGAATTTTTCAAACGGATTCTTATCACTGTCAGAAGGGTTCGTGGGTATGGGAGCGGTTTTGATCGCATTGTCTTTGTCCAGGTCAAAGCTCAAACTCTCTGCCATCTTGCGGAAATTGACGGCATCAATGCCATTTGGCTGTTTGATGATAGGAATGATAGGTGGCTCGCAATGACGAAGAAGCGCCCAGTTGATCGGCTTAAACCACGCTTGTTGTTTTACATCAGCTGCCCCTGCTCGACATCCTAATCGTTTATGTTCGTCTTTATGCAGCAGCTTTCTAACCAGACTTCGGCAAGGATTAGAGACGGCGTGATTATGATTTGGTGGTGGACAAGCGGGGAACTCGACTTCAAGCTTTAGGATCTTGGAAAATGTTTCATTGCGGTTGGTGCCTTTGAACGGGGTAGTACCATACTGGTTTAACGGAAGCAAGCCGAATTCCAATAAAGAGAAGAGGCGCTGAATGTGAGTAACGTGTTGAAGCTGCAATCCGAAATTTGAAGGGGCTACAAACCATCATTTCATAAATTAAAATTCCAAGAGTCCACCAGTCAACAGCACTTGTATGTCCACAGCCCTTGATGACTTCTGGAGCAATATATTCTAAGGTAGCAAATAGTAAAGAAAACAGAAACCCTTACATTAGCGAATGCTGAAGGATCAGGAGGCTGTGTATAAATATACATATTTTTTTTTACCTTCGGTGCCAACGAAACTGTTAGTTCGTAGATTGGTAACGCAATTACGGGTATCAATGGCTGGTGGCTAGTCGATGGGAGATGCTATTAATTGAAAGGCTACAGAGAATATTATCGAATAAATTCAGGTACCAACCACATTTGGTGAATTAGACTTGACCACGCTTGGGTTCCCGGGAGGGTGAGAGCCTTTGCTCAGATCAAAATCTGTCAGCATGATATGGCCACTTTGATGCAACAGGATATCTAAGTGCCAAGTTTAGATTATTATTATTAGGACACGTTTTTGTGTAAGCTTTGGCTTACAAATTTTACATCAACGTCATAAACTTACTTTCTGGCTTCAAATCTCGATAGATGAAGCCCATGAGATGCAGATATTCTAGAGCAGCTACTACTTCTGCAGCATAAAATCTGGCACCTTCTTCATTTAGACATTTTCCTGGGCGAAGTTGAAGCGCTAAAGTACAACATCGTTAGTGTCATAGGAAAAAAAAAAAAGGGATGAACATGGCTTAATTTTTGGTTTGGGGGAGGGGAGCGAGGTGGGTTGAAAGATGTGGCATTTTTTTTTTGTTTGTCATTACCTCTAAAAAATTCGCCTCCCATACAGTATTCCATGACGAAGTAAAGGTAATCTTGACTTTGAAAGCTATGGTAGAGCGTCACAATGAAAGGATGATTAGATGTAGCTAGAATTTCTTGCTCAGCCAGCGCACGTTTTATCTTGTTCCGTTTAATCATCTCTTTCTTGGACAAAACTGATGGATGAACACCAAAAAAGGAGGGGTGTAAGGCGAGGATGGCAGGTAAGCATTCATTGGAGTCTGTAACGTACCTTTCATAGCAAACAACTTGTCGGTTGATTTCTGTCTTACAAGATAGACCTTACCGACGTCGCCTTTACCCAGCATTCTTACTTTGGTAAAGCTGGATGGGCCTACTTGTACGTTTTTCACCTTGATGCTGGCCGTAGAATAAGTCCGTCGGACCGGCTTTAAGCGTTTCTGAGTGAGGGTGGAGCCATTAAAGGATGGGACAGAAGCTGAAGCAGCATTTTTTTGGGTATAGGGGTGGTCCAGTTGAGTTGCGCTGCCAAGCTTCATATTCGTAGACTGTTCTTTCAATGGGTGGTCTTTTTGCTTTCGTGTTGGCATTAATAACATCTTGGCATTAGGCGCGGATGCTACGCGTCGAATAGCTTTGGGGTCATTGGCATCTGCGACGGTGGAAGAAAACCAACTGTTACTCTTGAAAGATTTATTGTCGGCCAAAGTCGGTGGTAGGTCAAAGTCATTGGGGACGGTGAATGTATGTGTTGGTTCGGGTGGTTTCAAGCCAGTCTTAAATAAACTTTTGAACCTTGAAGGCATTTGAGGTGATATATAAGACTGAGGAGGGGCTAGAATATCGGATTCCAGGTCATCGGTAGCCATTAGGGGAGGAAAGGGCTATAAGAGAAGAAGAAAAAAAAAAGGAAGGAGAGCAGCAATCCAACTGGGATCAAACGCCGCCTGTTTAGCGGGGAGGGGGAAGCAGGCTGTGAGAGTGACAGGGTTGAGTTAAGCGTAGAGCAAATCCTTTAATTCTATCGGGTAAAAGCACGATTTAGGGAAGGAAACCTCCGTCCCCCCGCCCCTTCGTCTAAACATAACGTCTACTGCAAATCAAGCCCGATCTAATAGACGAAGGAGAACCTTTTTATGTAAAGGTGTTCATCCATCCAGGACATGCTAACCGTACCTGAGGGCTTTAAGACCTGGCCACTTAATGAGCGATGCCCCGAAACATTGAAGTCCGGGCAAAAATTAGTCGTGCGGCGCCCGCCGGAAATTGGCAGTCACCAATTTAGTGGCATGGTGAATTGCTTCAAAGTCTCCGGAATCTCGTCCGTTCCAACTTATTCCATTAACTAAACCATGCGCAATGCCAAAAAACATCAAAGAGTAAGTTGATTCACTTCAAGTCAATGAGCTTCTCCACATTACAGTCATCCGAATTAATTCTTAAATTTGAAAATGTCAGCATCGATCGCACGATATATCTGGCTCGCCTCAGGAAAGTGTTGACATCTAAGTGACTGACAGCTCGTCCAGTCTCTTATCTCACTTGGCTTACACATTTTTTTCATTCCGTCCTATAGACTACAGAGAGACAACGGAGAGTCTCATTTGATTTAGCACATAACACGGTTCATATCTTGCCTTCTATGAAGCAGATAAAGCATATGATTCAAATGCGAGAAAAAGCTGAACAGGAAAAGCAGGCAACCAATCAAGCCATTCTCGATGAACATATTGTAGATGAAATAGAACAGGATTTGAAGGCTTGTACCTGTCATGATGGCGGTACCCCTCCCGCCCCTTCCGCTACGTGTATCAAAAGTTGTTTGAAAAAGGTGCCTACCAAGGAGGTGAGCTATAAGGCTGGCTCGGATGGAGAAACGAGTAGAAGCAAAAACTCCAAGTCTAAAAAACAAAAGAACAAGCATCGGCAGGCTTCCAATGACTACTCTTCTTCCAACTGTAAGTTCTCCCAGTGTTTCCATGTTTCACGGAGCTCAGATGACCTCACGCCACTCGGACTGCTTCTAACCACATTTCTTTCAGCCTTAACGATAGCTGCCCATTGACCAGGTGCAAAGCTGTGTGTACATAACCCCCGTATCTGAATTTTTTTTCTCTATAACTGGTCCTTGTGTGGTTTTGGAACTTTTCTTCTTATATACACTGTGAATAAACTACTTGTTAAAACAAAGGTGATGCCTGGCCATCCATGTGTGTGAGAGTGTGGGGGGCAAGGAGAAAGGCAAATATGGGAAGCAACAATGTGTGTTCCCCACATCAGGTCCAGGCAAATTTGTGTTACGCCCTTACTCAATTTGACTTGATTTTTTCCCTTGTGGCCATTTTTTCCCATCACCTCACTCCTTTTGTTCGTCTACACTACTTTCTTTGCATGGCCCAGCGCGAACAGGTAAACCCTCTCACTCAAAATAATCGTTGGTAGTCTCGGTGTATTCATAAGATCCTCGGCTCTAGATTCATACTTTGAAGGAGCTCAACGTTTCTGCTGCTCCGTGGAATCCAACGGTAAAAATTGAAAAAAATGGAAACATATCAATTCCCGCTGAACTCACTCAGGAACACAACCAGATGCCCCCTTCGCCTCCAGCAAGCACGCATGCCTTGGCAGACCACTCGGAGCGCTCATCGCCATCACCCACTACCCACCCATTACGTATAGGACCTCCTTCGCCTCATTATGCCGGCGGTATCGATATTCCGCAGACTTCGCCATGGCCACACTTCTCCACATCCTCTTCTATCTGGAATGAATCCACACCGTTTTCACCTCCAGAATACCATTTTCCTCGTACCCCTCGACCTTCTTTCTCATCTGAGTCCACCAGCCATCCAGGTTTTTTGCCAGAAGATCAACTATGGTCAAAGCATGTTTTAGCCACTACACACGAGGAAGAAAATGAGCCGGAGTCAGTGTCTCATCCCCGCATGCGTTCAAAGTCTTCTACCGCTGCCTTTGGCATGATGATGGACGCATCGCCTTTGGATGCTATTGGTCAGTCCATATGGAGCAGACAATCCGAGACCATGACTCCGCATAGAAGGCGTTCATCCACTTCCATTGGCTGGCATCCCATGGCGACCACGCGATCTCCACCTTCCATCAACTCTATGTATAATAGTTCGTCCTCCATCCTGAATCAATCTCCTCTCTCTTCCACACTTCCTCCTCGATCTGATCAATGGATGGCACACCAGAGGTAAGCGAGTAGAAAAATCATTTACGGTGCGCAGCTCCCTTATAAGATGTTAATTATTTCCTATTTATTTTTCGGGTTTTCTCTCTCAGATCATCCACCAGCGAATACATGCCACCAGCGCCATACCGTCGCCACTCAGTAGCAACCACCCCATACATGCTTCCTTCACATCAACCTCAGGATACCTATCAGCTAACAGACCTGTTGGACAAGGTCCATCTTGATGATCCGAACAAGACCGGCCTGTCGCACGACGTACTGGAAACCATTCATGGCTACTTTGAAAATGATAGACAGAGAACCCAAATCTTCAACGATATGGGCAAAGGTATCCCTCTAGATCAAGTACCAGCATCAGGGGCATTGTATATGGTAGAATTCAAAGCTGGGCGATCGGACTTGTACTACGTAGCCGACACCAGTTCTTGCCCAGTTAAACAAGGAGACTTGGTCATTGTAGAAGCTGACCGAGGAAAAGATCTCGGCAAAATCATAGTGGAAAATTTGACACCTGAATACGTAGAATCTTTAGCTATACAGAAGGAGCAACAACAACAGCAACAAGATGGAACAGGGGAAGATGGTCAGGATAGCAAGGAGCTACGACCTAAACAAATATATCGAAAAGCTATACCAGCTGAAATCGCCATGTTGCTATCGAAAAGACAAGATGAAATCAAAGCTGTTATGGTCTGCCAGACCAAGACCAGGCAAAAGCGACTGCCTATGGAAGTTGTGGATGCCGAATTCCAATGGGATCGACGCAAACTGACATTTTATTTTGTCGCTGAGCGAAGAATTGACTTTAGAGAACTTGTGCGTGATTTGTTCAAAACATATAAGACTCGCATTTGGATGTAGGTGTTTTTGATTGGGATGTCTGGAGTTCGGCTACGTATCCACTGACCCATTTTTGTTCTTTTCTTCAAACAGGTGTGCCGTCAATCCATCTACAAACTCCAATTAAAGACTCAAAGTCCTAGAGTACTAAACCGGCCATTCCTTGCAAAGCCCTCATCCGTTTATCCTCTGTCGTACCACTTTTCAAGTTTGCGATGAGATGCATATGTATACCACAGGAAGATCTCGGGCTTTTATAGTTTAGACTATACTGTAGATTGTGATTGTATATGATAGTTCCCCATACCTTTGCTTTTTTTTTGTTCTCTCTTTTATTGTATTACAGTACTTTATCAATTACCAAAACACAAAGAAATAACACGTCCTCCCCGAATTTCTCATCCAACCCAGCAATTAAGCTTTGGCCACTTACTTGACAATTTTTTTTTATTGTGTGTTCGCTCTATTGTGGTTAACAGCTCCCTCTGCTCTGACTACAGCTACCTTCATTACACTTTGTTCGATCCCTTGGCAACCACAGTGACCACTTTCGTAATGTCTTTGCGACCGTTTACCAGAAGCGGTTGGGCAAGTATGCGATCGCTTGTCAGATCAATAAACACCGCTGCATTCCCCAGCACACATGTTCCTGTAATGCTTCCCCAAGTACTCGAGTTCTTAAAGCCAAAGTCAGGAGCCGTGTACTGTGATGCAACTTATGGAGATGGAGGCTATACAAGAGCAATCCTTGGTAATTCTACGCTCAAGAGATTCTTGCGTTACAACTTGAATATTCGTCTCTTAACCTAACTTGTCGTTGTGGTCGGCAGATTCATGCGATTGCACTGTTGTAGCTATAGATCAGGATCCCGTCGCCTATGACCGTGCAAAAGAGGTGGCTGCCCTGGAACAGTATCGGTAAGAGTACCATTTACCACCTTATTTCGCTACACTTGCCTGGTATCATCTGAAAGGTTCTAATTTGCGCGCTATAAACATCAATATAGTGGTAGGCTGATACCTATCCTTGGAAGATTTGGTGAAATTGATAATTTGGTGAAAGAACAGCTCAATTGGAGGTGAAGGGTCTTTCTTTTTTCTGTTTGCAACACGAAGTCGGTCAGTGGACTTACTAGCGATCTCTGACAGCTCACCGTGTTTCGATGGCATGGTATTCGATATTGGCGTATCTAGTGGACAGGTATGTATTTTTAATTATGATCGGTACGAGCATTGCAACGGTTATTTACCATTTTTCGCCTGACAGATCGATACGCCAGAGAGAGGGTTCTCATACAAATCAGATGGACCCCTTGACATGCGCATGTTTGCGCGAGGTTCGGACGATCAAGAGCCCTACGTCCCAAAATCCATTACAGCATATGAAGTAGTAAACTTCTACTCGAGACAACAGTTAGCGGACATCATCTATCAATATGGTGGTGACCGACTATCTCGTAAAATTGCAGACGCTATTGTCAATGCGCGTGTGAACGAACCCATAAAATCAACTCTTGCTCTCGCCCAAATTGTACAAGCTGCGTGCCCGCAACCTCGCTGGTCCCGAGGCGGTGATGATATGGTTCGCAATTCAGCGGCTAGAACATTTCAGGCAATTCGCATACACATCAATGATGAGGTAAGTAGCCAGGTCGGACAACAAAAGGTTCAACAAAAAAAGGTGACTAATTCACCAATTCGATAGTTGGAACAACTACGTAGTGCTTTAGCGTCTACCGAAGACCTCTTGCAGGTTGATGGGCGTTTAGTTGTAGTGACATTTCACTCGTTGGAGGATAGGATGGTCAAAAACTTTCTCCATCGGTGTAGTGGGAAACGTGCTTTAGAAGGTGAGTGACATGTTTTGCGCAGACACACGTGTGGTGGTCAATTGAAATTGGACACCATTTAACTAACCCTCTTCCTCTATGTGACTCACTCAGCTACTGACCGCCCGGTCAATCAATTTGATTTAAAGCGTGCAGCACATCGACAGAACTCACGGCGGCGGAAACATTATGCTGACGATGAGTCTGACCAACAGCGCTTTGTTTATTCTAATACGAACAGCGGCGTGCACACGGAAAGCCCTTCCTTTGAACTGCTAAACAAACATGTCGTGCAAGCTCCTCTTGAAGAGGTGGAAGCAAACTCTAGAAGTCGATCAGCGAAACTTCGCGCAGCTCGACGAACCTTAGCAGGACCTGTTCAGCCATTTGAACAATGAAGACTTATTTTTCAAATTAATGTGACCAAGCTTGAAACTCGGCTGTATTTAAACATGAGCATGTATCAAAATGTACAGTGAAAACCGTGGAACTAGAATGAAAAATGAGTGATGAAAAAACAAAAAAAAAAAAGAAACTAAGTAGTTCACCAAAAGTGATCTAAATAACATTTTTTCTCCTCCTTTTTCTTCCTCTATGCGCTAGGGTAATGGTTAAGTCTATAAAGTAGTACACGACCCTTGTCGTTACCAATGGCGAGATAGCCACTACGGGGAGAAAAGTCAAAGCTAGAGACATATGACAACGGGGTAGCAGCAGTGGGCCAATTTGAGAACACAGTGAGCGATGGCAAGTGAACAAGGCGGAATTGGTCTTTCTTGCGGTTGCTGGAGATACCCATCAATTGGGAGTCGTGGTTGAACTTGATCTCATTGATGCGCGTAGTCAAGTTGCCCAACGCCTTGAGCGGGGTCGGGTTGAACAAATCAGTGCGCAAAACGTCTCTTCCATACACATTGACCACGCCGGATTTGGAACTAGAGATATCAAAATGATATTAGCAGATGTTGTTAGGTATAATTCACACCCATGTCAAGCAGCGGTAATATAACTTACCCGACAGCATAATAGTCTTCATTGTGACTGACGGCCATAACCGACGGCTTGAAAGCTCCATCGTCCATCCATCTGTGAACGCAGGCTCGTTGCGCCACATCCCATTGGTATACTTCGCCGTCAATACCAACTCCCCAGATGTACTTGCCATCGGCAGACCAATCGACACTGTGGACAGAGCTATTCATTTTCAGGTTGGCGATCCATTGCTTGGTCTTGAAGCTGATCAAAATGATGTAACCATCACGACCAAGGAAAGCAATGTAGTTTCCGCAAGGACTGATGGAGAACTGTTCCAAAGACCGGTCTTCACGACCCCAGATACCACTGCTTTTGTCAACCGAACCGCTCTGAACATCATAAATATAAAAGTATTTGCGGCGACCCGTCGCCACAATGTGATCTCCATCGGGGTGGAACGCCGATCGATGGATGGGCATATCTTGAAAGTATACTGATTGAATTTTGTGATTCACCTTGCCATCGATCTGAAAGGTACGAAGGTTAGCATATAGCACGGTGTCAAAAGAAGTGTGCATTCACCAAACTCACCTGGAACAATCGTAACGTCTTGTCTAAACCTGCCGTCATCATAACTTGAGAATTTGGATGGAATTGAACAGTGGAAATAACCGACTAATAAATGAGAAGCGGGCATAAGTATGATGGGAGGGGGGTGTTTTGATATGTGGCCGCGCACGCGCTTACCTGGGAATAATTCATTTGATTGGCGTTCCTCAAGCGGATGATAGAAAGATCCTTTTGTGGTAACTTCCTGGAAGCTCGTCGCTTATCCAAAATACCGTGTGTGCTACGCATCATATGAACATCATCATCCTCTTCGAAATCAGAATGCTCCTCTTCTTCATCAGAGTATTCTGAATCTGATCCTTCAACAGCCTTACTGCGTCTTTTCTTAGCTTGTCGCAATGATGGAATAGTGGCCCATGTTGGGACAGGATTGACCTTTTCGAATTGTCGACGAAGTCGCTGTTCATATTCAACACCACTGATGATATCTTCGTCTTCGGTTTCTCGCAGTTTTTTGGTTCGGTTAGCGTCGACTAATGAAACTTGTAGTGAAAAATCATCTTGATCCTCCCATGCTGGTTTGCGTCCGTAGCCATAACCGTCCACTTGAACTCTTTTCAATCTATCTACTTCATCCTCGCTCTCTTCCGTATCTTCAGTTTCGACGTCACTTTCAATTTGTTCGTCTTCACTGGCATCTTCCTCATCGACTTCCTCCTCGTCCTCTTTAGCTTGATCTGATGGAGTTGCAATCGGTCCAGAGTCAAAATAGAATAGCTGTTGGGTTGTTGTTAACAATCAATTGATGCAAAAAAAAAATTGAGTACCAAGAATTTCCCAACATACTTGTTGATCATCTGCTTCCTTCTGATTATCATTCTCGTCGTATACTTCGACTTCGTCTTGGTCGAAATCTGCTTCTTCGTCACTTAACTCATGACCAGCTTTATTCCACATGTCGTCCGCATCGCCGCCGAAAACCAAAGCTTCGAGATCTCGTTCGGTCTCGTCCTTTTGGCTGCTATCTCCAAGGACATTCTTGGGAGTTGATTTGACTTTCTTTCTTTGTGGTTTATTTGCGGGCATCGTCACTGGATGGAAGGGGTATTCTTGACCGCGAAATGTTGAATTCTGCCAAACTCGTTGAAAAAAAAAATTGGGAAATTTCTTTCATAGTCTCTCTACAGACTTGCGGAAAAAGCAGTCATATGGGTTAGGGCCAAGCCACTTCGAAATGAGCAGCATTACGTTTTTTTGGGGATTTTTTTTTTGGTATTTGTAGTAGAATATTGGGTATACATTTCTATTGTATGAATTACTGTGGGTGGCTGTATAGATATTATAAAAATGTTCCACTAGAAGCCTAAAATTGACTTCTTCTTCTTTGGTTTCTCGTCAGAGTATGGAACCAAGTGTGCTCTAGTGGGTTTGTCAACGAAGTCAAGTGATGGAGCTTCTTTAAGTAGATCTCCTATCAGTTTCAAAATTAGTTTCTCTCCAAGACTGGGAATGATGTAGCGAGCCATGATAACTTTCGTCATGCTATCCAAAGCTTCCATTCTAGTGGCATCGCCAGCACGAGTGGATACGGATTTGATGCGTTTTCGTCGCTCCGCTTGGTAAAGGCTCAAGCATTCATCAATTTGTTTGCTGTTAAGCTGTTGATTATTCTTATCCAATGCGCTTTTCAAGCAATTGCTCAGGATGGCAGCTGATTCAATAGCAGAGTTTCCGCCTTGGCCCATATTCGGTGTCATCTAAAATGCAAGACTCTCGTTAATGTATGACTTCTTTTACAAGCAACTGTCTTTCGTCCAACAATTACCTTGTGAGCAGCGTCTCCAAGAACAACAAAGCGGCTATAGTGCCAACGACGCATAACTCCTTCTTCTAATGCAACCTTGATCGCACTCTTGCGATTATCCCATAATTCTCTAAAGGTAACGTTTTCAGCGATGATAGCATCTAACTGTTTCTCACAAGTCTTGACGGCATCCTCCTGAGTGTATCGTGGTATATTGGGTACAGCGTATTTCTTGTCCAGCTTCTCAAAGTAGAACCAGTAAACAGTGCCATTTTTGCCAGATAAGATCAAGAATGATGATCCATGTCGGAACACTAGATTATTGTGACCAGCCGGTATGCTCATAACATTGTACGATATACCAAAAACGCAGGCGTACTCGCAAGTCAGGACTTCAAAACAAAATGCATTATTAGCCATCCATCCAAATGATTTGTGCATATACAAAATGGTGGATATCGTACCTGTCTTATCTTTGGCCAAATCCTTTGCCACATCTTTAGGAAGACTTTTGTCGGCGTCCATAGCATTCCACATCATTTGCCGTACTTTGCTCCAGACACCATCAGCTCCAACAACTATGTCTCCTTCGTACTCTGATCCATCTGACGTGGTAACTTTAACTCCATTATCACCTTGTTCAATGCTATCCACTCGCTTGTTACAGAGTAGCTTGGATACATTTGGTTGCGCGGCATACATGACCGATAGTAGATCTTTTCTCTCCATGAAATTGATAGTATATCCGTGTCTGTCATTACCTGAATGATAAATATGGGAGATCGCCTGCTTCATGTCATGTTTTTAGGTGTTATCAACGTACCTGTCTGAAATTTTACTGAGAATTTCATTGTAGTCAAATTCGTTGCCCTTTCCATCACGCTTGCTCATTGCCCTGAGAGGTTCTGTCCTAGCTTCGATTTCATTACATATTCCAAGTTGATCCAGAACTCTCATACCGTTAGCGAAGATGCCGATGGATGCTCCTACTTCTGGAGCGAAGGATTCATGCTTTTCCAGCAGAACGTAGTCGATGTTGGCTTTTTCGAAGGCAAGTGATAGGGTCTGACCGGCTACACTCCCTCCTACTATGATAGCTTTGAATTTTGACTTCTCCATAGTGATGATGGCCGACTTCAGGTGTTTTAAGAATAGGAAGGAAATCAATTTAACAGGAGAGGCTGGTTTTTATACGCCGTATCTCCCCGGAAACCTAGGATTATTTTAGCCGAGAACATTTGGAACACTTGTTGGATTTAATTCTCTGTCACCTCCAATATGTCTAACTACCATGCTTCATGCGCTCTTGGTACCTGTGCAAATCTATCATTCCCCTCACTCCATGATGATCGTTCGAGCTTTGTAGGGGAAAATGCTTTCAAGAGAGGATGCCCAATTCTATTGGCTGGGTTTTCCGGAAAACTACCGCCTACTTTAGCCGATCAGGCAACTAAGTTTTCATTCTCAGACACTGTGCATAGTTCAGGTAGCATACGACAACGGTACCCTGAACACAGTTTTTCACCGGCTGTTATCATGTTAGTTAAATTTTGAGGTTATCAGCCCTATCGCAAAGAGATAACGTAGTGTTTATGAGTATATGTAGAATTCTAAGCATAGCCGCTAAGCCCTCCATACGAGTCAAATGGGGGTTGGGTTGAAACCTTCCCATTAATAGCAATATTTCTACCAATTCTTTAGTCTAATCATGCCTCATGGCAAATTCAAAGGTATATAAATATTTAACTTTAGCATTAAGTTCACCAGAGAACAACGCTATGCATATCTAATGCTCGCTTCGTATGCTTCTATCTCCATGAAATGAATTGTTCGGAAAATTAATGCCAGATCAACTCGGTATTTCAATCCTAATTTATCCGCTCACGTTGAATGACGGCTGCTTACGCCAGCATTGGTAGGCAATATTGATATGAGTCAATCGGACTGGTTCATGCGGCCATCACTTGAAATAAAACACTACTATTTAACCCGCTAATCATACGTAAGCTCATTGCGTAATATGTAGAGTTACGAGAAGCCTCTTGTTTTGGACACATAAAAAACAAAGTTGCCATAGCCACGATGGTCAGCGATATAGCAATCGGAATGTCATACAAAGAGACAACTGCAATACTATCTGCAGTGTAGCCTAAAAAAAATGGCTTGGCATCAAGTAGTGTCTAAAGGCCAGATTTAATAGTTTAGAAATAGATGGGCTTATTTTGTTAAAAATGCTGCAAGCAATGAAACCTGCAAATTTGTCTACAACACACAGATATTAAGAACAACTTGATGTATTAAATAGATACTTAAATCTTATCACATTGACAATATCTGACATAAGGCATAAAATTAGTGAATATATTTCCTTCACTTTAAAAGCCAAGCCATGAGAACCATCCCTTAGGCTGCTCTTCATCTAAATATGGGATTGTATGCGGTCTGGTTGGCTTATCTAGGAACGACAATGTTGGCGAAGGCAGCATGAGCGCCTTCACCATGTTAAGCTTGACTCCATCACCAAGTAGTGGAAAGACGTATTTTCCCATAATAGCACGCTTGAATCCATCCAATGCCTCCATGCGGGTGGTCTCGGATGAAGCAGTACATACACCTTCCACATGGGCCTGTCGCTTCGACTGGTACGTAGTGAAAATCTGCTCAATATCATTGTGATCTAGTCCATCTGGCTTTTCTTTGAGACTATCGTACAAAGTATTTGTGAAGACCACTGCGCTTTCAATACAACTATTGGCGCCCATTCCAAAGTTTGCGGTATACTAAACAGTAATGTCTTGGTAAACAAGATAACCAAGCATGCAGCTGACATTCATACCTACCTTGTGCGCCGCGTCACCCAAAAGGACTGTACGGCCATAATGCCACCTTTTGATCACACCTTCCTCCATAGCCACTTTGACCGCATGTCTTCGCTGTTTCCAGATTTCGGCAAACTTGATGTCTTCAGTGAAAAGGGAATCTGCCTGTTTCTCAGCAGAGTCAATAGCGTCTTGTTCTGAAAAACGCGGAATATTTGGCGCCTTATAGACTTCAGGCAGCTTTTCGAAAAAGAACCAATAGATGGTACCACCTTTTCCTACCGCCGAGAGAAACGATGTGCCTGAGCGATATATTACATTGGTGCGCCCTTCATGAATGCCTTGGACCTTGTCGGAAATACCAAACAGGCAGCTGTATTCGCAGAATAGTGCTAAAATGGATGTTAGTTTATGCTTGCTTTGCGAAAATTCACGATGACAGTACAGGTTGCAACAGGGCACAATGAGCATACCTTGGCGGTCCTCTTCGAGCACAGCAGCTAACTTTTCGTCCTTCTCCATTTCTTTCCACATATGCTCTCGTACTGAGCTCCATACACCATCGGTACCAATGACAATATCACCTTCATAGACAGAGCCGTCCGTGATTGTAACTTTTACTCCGTGCTGATCTTCTGCAATTTTATCAACTTTCTTGTTAGCCAAAAGTTTGGACTTGTCGGTCACAGCTTCATACAAAAAGGACAACAGCTGCTGCCTCTCTAAAAAGATAAATGTATATCCGTGCCTATAGCAAGCCAAAAATTGAATACCGGATATTGGTATCACTTGGTTAACATAATTCGTCCATGCAACATTGGAGAAGACATAAAAATACTTACCGTTCGTGTAGTTGCTCAAAAATCTTTGTACGGCAAAAGGTCTTTCCATCGCTTGATCGAAGGTATCCCTTCTTCAGCGGCTCTGTCGACCGCTCGATTGTTTCCGTGATGCCCAGTTGGTCCAAGATTCTGAGACCGTTAGGGAAAAGACCGACTGATGCACCGACTTGCGGGGCAAACTTTTCTCGGGCCTCCAGTACGATATAGTCGATGTTGGCTTTCTCAAAGCATAGTGCCAAGGTCAGTCCAGAGATAGAACCTCCAACAATGATAGCCTTGAATTTCTTCGTTTGTTCCATAGTAGAGAAAACGATGCAGAGTACTGAGATCGATTTTTCTGAACTAATGTACATCGAGAAAAAAGAGGTCACACACAGCCGCAATATCGCCAGCCCCCCAAACACACCTGCATACAGACTGTTCCCTTGCGATAAGCTCATTCCTGATTGACATTGGCGTAAACGAGTGAGGAAGTCCTATCCATGCATGAATCGTGAGGCTAAGTTAATGCACCAAGCTTCATCATAGAAAGCGATTATCTAAATACGTTGCCCGTTTTGTCATAGAGAATGAAAGAAACCTAAGTGTGACTATCGAGTACTTATAGACGTATCTGTATTGCATGTCTGGCTCACGGATGTGAACAACAGTCGTCATCGACATCGTCATATAGCTGAATTGTGTATTAAAGTGTCAATACCATATGTAGTCACGAATGGTGTGCAAAAGTGCCTGCTGGTCTACTTTCATTGAAGTTTCGAATGACGTTTATTTTAAACAACTGTTTGGTACGCCTGCCACTTTAGTCTCACTTTAGCAATGTTATAGATGTAATACCAGCGCCCAGCGTGAATATTACAAAATACCAATGGAGATAACCTGTCTGCATGAACTCGCCAACTCATCACAAACCTGAAAATATTCAGGTCCTCTCATCTCTTAACCAGCAACATGTCTTTCAATTTGATCTTTACAACCACTTCTCCTTTTTATTGAGTCAACTGGAATAAGAACCCTGAACTACTATGACACCACTCTCATATACCAGTAAACTAACAAGAACTTCATTCTTCAAGTATCAACCTGCGTCTTCTGTTGAACTACTTAACTAATCATGGTGAATAGACGGCTTCAACGTTGTTGCCCTCAGGATCATACACGAAAGCTGCGTAGTAATTGGGACCGTATTGAGTTCTGAGCCCAGGAGCACCATTGTCCTTTCCACCAGCAGCAATAGCAGTTTCGTAAAACTTTTTGACTTCCTCTTCACTATCTACAGCAAAAGCAAAGTGGTTCATACCAGCTTTGCCTTTGGCGATGCCAAACTCGGCAGGAAAACCTTCAGGACGACTGTATCCATAGTATCCATGCTCACCTACATGGAATACGTGAAGTGTTAACGCGGATAACATGACCAGATTAGAACGCGAAACGATCTTTCATTACCATAATCATGTGTTAACTTGAGACCAAGCTGTTTGACGATGGGATCATAGAACTTCTTGGCTGCGTCAAGGTCATCGAAGTAGACGGCATAGTGTGCGAATAGAGGCTTTGGCATGATGATATGATATTAGAATGATAAATCACGTTTGATAATTTTTTGACACCCCATTTTATACTTTGGTAGAATATGACTGCGCAAACCGTGGAGAGATTGAAACTTACCCATATGAAGCAGGATGACAAATGCGTCTAATCAATTGACGTTGCCTCCGTCAACATATCGACGCATGTACTGGTTGCTATTGGCTGCTGGCATTGTGCGGCGTCGGACGTGCATCACAACATGCCAAAAAGGGAAAGAGTCCTGTTGCCATACCTTTCGAGGCCGCCGTTCACACAAAGATGCACGAGAATATTACGTCGCGCAGTCTCTTTTCTGGTGACGTAAAATACTTGCAATAGAAGCTTATTCTCTTCCGTTTATTTTGACGTAGAGATGTTGGCTAGCCATGATATGATATAATTCCTTACGGGACATTTCATTGCAAATGAGTCGATCAAGCTCTGTTCACCAAGTATTCGCAAAAGGAATCTAAATCAGACATTAGCGCCTGCCGAACGTTTCGCTAACTGGTTCGCCACATATCTTAAACTTGTCACCTTGTGCTCGCCATCACATGGCTCTCAGCCTCAATACCATTTTAGCAGCCTGCACGGAAAACCCGGTAGTGGAACTATTGCCATACAGCACGAGCGGGATGTATAGAAGTGTTGAGTATCGCGAAGAAAAACATCTTTTTGTAAGAAATTAAAACATGGGTAATCACCGTAAGGCAAACTTTGAAGAAACAAAAGTTTACGCATACAGCCATTTGGTGCTCATAAAAGGATGTGCAATGCTGGCCGTATTGATTTCACACCATGCAATAACATTGCGGTAGATCACACACTATAACCATATTAAATAAGGGAACCACAGAATGGATAATAAATGGTAGAACGGTTATTTTGCCAATAAGATGTATGGATGATACAATAAAAAGATGGTCAACATTGCAGAACCCAACTACCACAAAGCCACACAGACGTATAGTCCACAAGAGAACAAAAAATCTCTCACTGAGAACAACATACTCCATATCATTCTAAGGCTGCGTCCCATGGTGGCTGATTCCTTATGTGTACCAATGTCTTTAGACCATATATAATATGCTGCTGTGTTGTTGTTTTTTTTACCAATCTGTTTTACTCTGCTCGAAACTGGCCAGCCAGAAAGTATAATGGCTCCACCGCAACCCGTCAGTTGCTTAGAAATAAGAGTAGAATACTATCTTTTGGGAGACTTTTTTTTTTTTTTAATTATCGCCAAGAAAGTTTATCATTTGTTTGTTTTGCATTGCTGAAACACAGTTTCCATCGTTGGAGCAATCTCTTATGTACAAGAAAGAAAAAGAACAAGAAATCAGTACTAATTTAGAGAATTTTCTGGGAGTTATGGCAAGATGGGGTTACCTTTTTTGAAAGAAAAGATAAAAAAAAAAAGGTGGGAAATGAGGCTAATGGAAAAAATGTCGCAGAAGATGCGAGAGTCATAAGGGCAGGCTGGCGTCCATCATAACAAGCCTTTGCGAATATCAAACAATCTACCCATGTCCTTATTGTTTCTCACAAGCCTTATGCTTTTGAAGGCATTTCCATTGGGACGTTTTTCTTTAGTGACACGTCCATGGTAATCCAGTATTTTTGTTTCCAGAGCGGTTGGCGTTTCAAAATCTTCATAAACTTGTCCACCTAGTTGTATCGAGAGCCCCGATGACCCACTTGCTTTTACAACCTAAGGGCGCAAAGTGGTTAGACTAGAGAACGATGACAGTGGAGATCCTACTATTTTTCTTACCTGCATACTGAGATCCACAATCACTTTGCTTGCACTGAAATTTCGTTTGTATATCAATACATCATTAACTTTGATAAGCTCTAAACGACACATATCCTTGAGAGTAATGTTTTTTGAATCTCTGGTTGTTTGTGTATACAAGAAAACAGTGATAAGTTAGGGGTTCATGAGTTGATTGGCAATTTGACTGCATGCTTGCTTACCCAGCCACATTATGCATCTTTTCACGTTCACCTAAGTCTCCCCAGTAGGCATCGAAAGCGAGATTCTTGTCCTCATCGTTTGTGAGGTCGAGATCATTTGAAGTATGCAAAAATTGACCACGTTTGAGTAGTTCCTGCCATTGAACCATCGCTTCCAGGAACGCTCCATCATTCCACAATGACTTGTCCGGCATTTCTTCCCAATTGGGATCTAATCGAAGTTGAAGGGTTTCTTGGTCCGACTTTGGTCGTATGGTAGTTTCGGTTCTTGAGATGATAGCATCCGATGGACTGACGGCTCGACGCACAAACACTTTGACGAAATAAGGTAGATAGTCTAAAAGGTCTGACCTGTCTTGAGGAGGTAGTATTTGAAACGAAGCAGGACATATGATAGTCTACCAACACAAAGAGTGAGTTTTGTCAGTACATAGTTGTGCGGGGGGAAAAGCGTTTGAAGCGGAGCTATGGTTTAAAGGAGTGGAGAGCTAATTTTTTTGACAGTCTCTATGGGAGACTCCCAGTAACGTATAGCATGATGCATACCTTTAGATCAACGTCGGCCATTGTTGATTCTGGATTGCGCAATAAATAATCCAATGACCACGTATCCAACTTTGTCTTTTTGATTGAGGGATGTTCGGGGTATCCAGATCCGTAATTAGGTTTGTGGTATTGAGAAATGTCATCGTCGCGCTTTCTCACACTTCGAAATGCCATGTTACCGGTTGTCTGCTCAACCGGATGAAAGAGATGGTTGTAAACCAGCTGAGGGGTGGTTTGTGCGGGGGAGTTTGGTAATTGTTGTGCCGTCAACACGTCCCAGCTGTCCCAGCCAACCAAAGCTCGATCAAGCGTAAGCCAAAAAATTGAAGTCAGGTGATTGTCCAGTCACATGATGAATGGCCGGATATCGGTTTTTTTGGGACATTACCAAATGCAGCGTGCATCAGCCACAATGGGACGACGTCAGGTCCAGAACAAGCGGCGGTGTCACTGTTGCAAAAATGGGGGCGCGGGGACTTGCGACGAATTGTCAAGCCTCAAATTTTAGCAGCTCTTTTTCCTTTTCCTCCTTCCTTAGCCACTTACTTTCTCTCTTTCCTCCTTGTTTCGCTCGCTTTGCTCTATTGCTTTTTTGCATGGCATCTCCAATACTGGATCGTCCTTCACCATCAGAACCTATGCGAAAAGACTCCACGTCTTCTATCTCGTTATTATTAAACGACGATAATAAAGGCATGGATGCCCTCGCCAAAGCAGCCTTTTCAGCCGAAGCGAATGATCACCAGTTAAAACCTGCTCAACCGCCAACATCACACCTACCTACACCGCAAAGTCCAGCCGTACCGTTTCCACCTATCATGGTATCAAGAGAAGACAGTCGGTCTAGTAGTACGGCGGATAAATGGAGCCATACGTCGTCATCTCCTATTCGCAATTCCCAATCACCTCCTTCTACCAACGCCACTGTATCAGCAGCAATCACTTCTCGTTCTGGTTACGGATCATTTCCACTCAAGTCGGCTTCGTCCGATGAAAGGGAACTTTTATCTCATGACAAACCTTTTGTCTGCAAGGAATGCGATCAAACCTTCAGTCGACCTCACAATCTGAAGTCACATCTTGCAACTCACTCTGCGGAACGGCCATACCAGGCAAGTAATCTCTCTCTCTTCTATTCTCCCATGTCTTTTGTGTGTGCTGCAAACTAACGTGTTACTGCGCATTGTTTACATGTTTAGTGTGAGGTATGCCAACATCAATTTAGAAGACACCATGATTTGAAGCGACATCAAAAACTTCATACAGGCGAGCGACCTTATGTATGTAATACTTGCGATCGGTCATTTGCAAGGCTGGACGCTCTAAATCGCCATAGGCGTGCAGAAGGAGGCTCCGCTTGCAATTCAACTCAGACTCAAAGACGGCTCAGCCAACCTCAGCCACAAAACGCCAACCTTCCATCCAATCACCGCCAAGACTCCATCGATTCCACCACCGTGATCAGAACGCGACCTAATGTACCAGAGCTGCATATACCACACCCAGAGTCACGTCCATTTGATAAAGAAAGTGGTCGAAGGGCACTGTCATTAGATGAACACGGCTATCGATCAGAAGAAAAGCCAAGCCCTTTTCGAGCATCCACTTACCCAGATCCAAACTCCGTAGCGGGAAGTCATCGCCCCGTCTTACCGCCACCACAAGGCACCAGCCAACCACCGCCGCCACAGCCTTCACAACATGAAAAACAACTAGAGCATCGTATTTCACACTTGATGAAGCATAATCGAGATTTGGAATCTCAACTGGAAAGACAGATGCTCCTCAACAACTCAAGAGAATTAGAACGGTATAAGAATAGAGTGCATGATCTGGAAGTCGAGGTAAGGAAGGAAGCCATTATAAAAGAACGACACGAGGCATTCTTTTTTTGGCTCATGTCGTCCTTTATATTAATATATTTTTTTCGGTGTTTAATAGAACAAGGTGCTAAGGTCCCTTATCCTACAAAACAAAGATACCATGGAAATTCCTACCAAGAAACGACGATATTTGGAAGCTCTAGGCGGTTCACGTTCGTCGAGTAGTCCAGGGTCAACCGATGAGCTTGAGATGCGTGACACAGCTGAAGTTCACTAATCCACCAACTTGGGATGATCAAATAATTTGTGCTCACAAAAATATACCCATGTTCATTTAGCTATGCACTGCCTGCCAAGGGATCCACCGAACCTTAAAAAAAAAAAAAGAGGAGAGTAAAAGCCATGGCTCTGTCGCTCCATTTTTTTTGTCAAGACAAAAACATGACCGATGTTTCTTCATTCGCACCGTTTTTCCTTTTTCACCTTGGTCCCTTAATTAACCTCGTGCCTACATGAGCTATGACATTTTCCGTTATTTCCCTCCACTTTATTGCATGATAATACAGAAACTCAATATTACAGCCTTGTTTATTGGTATCACCCTGCAAATAAAATGCCTCAACTCCATGAGGAATCAACATCCTTCCTTCGTAAGTCAGGTGTATGGATGCGCTTAATCTGTGGCTTCATGTCGATGCTAGCATCGACGGACGATGTGTCGAGGTAGTGGAGTGAATCCGAGTGTAGCCAAAATATATTCGGATGGCCATATGTTACTTTGTGTCTGTGGCAAAAGTTTGCAACATCGCAACAAAATCTTTTTTTGCACCTCTGGCACTTTACCCGGCGTCCACTTCCTATAAATGATGGATCCTCGTCCTGGCTTTCTCCTTCGTTGCCCTGCGCTGCTTTCTTTCTGCTCTATATTGGTTTCAAAAACCAGGCATGTCGATACTCAGGTCACTGATATTGACTATATCCTGATGTTCACTCTCTACACGACGGAGCTTATCCGGCCGGCATGCGCTGAAATGGCTCGAACTAGGTTTCCATCCCACACGGTGTTCTTTGGCTTCTCTCCCAGATGCGCTACCTGTCAACATGGTTGATTTGCATCCCTTCTAAAATACGTGATATCGTGGATTTAACTAAACGCAAAGTGTTGAAGACTCCCAGGGATTTAAGCGGTGCTTGAGTCAACTTTGCTCGGAGCTATTCGCGTAAAGTACAAGCCGTTTCGTCAGCTGCCGTCGCATTCAGCTCCATGACTGACTCAAGCAATTGCGCATCTCCATCTAAGTACATGCTTACTACTTGGCATTATCAAAATAAGACTACCTGTTTCTTTTAATTCAACAATGTACAATTATGAGAGAAGAACCAGCAAACATAGGCGTGCGTGACAAAAGAAAGGAAAACAACAAAAATATGTATAGGGTTGGGTATTTCATGACCTTAATCTGGCAAAGTCTTCTATCTTGCTATTACTGACTTCGGCCATTACCTTTTGAAGGACGCGGTCCCGCTCGCGTTCATCCAACTTTGCTGAAACAACAATATTCTTCAACTCTTGAACATAGTCTTCTATGTTATCCGGAGTGGCTGTGATGCCAGGTACTTTGGCACCCAGTGTTTCGAAAATAGATAGTACATTGGCTTTGAACTGGCGGTGGTTGCGTTCGGCTTCTCTTTTGCAAGCATCTAGTTCCGATCGCTGTTGTTCGCGCATACGGAATATCTCAGCTTCAGCACTTCGCAATTGAGTTTGAAGATATATTATCTGGTTCAATTGATCGGTGTTAACAGCTGGTGTGGCCGTCGCCGGATTGGAAGTCTGATTATTTTGCATTTCTGAAGAAACCCAGATTTAGTTTATCGATGGTTTGAAAAACGTGCAATTAGATAGAAAATCCTTACTTGTGAGCATCCCTTCCATCATCTCCTGCATTGCTCCTTTCATGGATCCAATCAATTCCGAATATTCTAAAGCTGGAGAGTCACTTTTTCGACTACTACAGGAGGTTTGGTTTTACTGTTAAAAACTTATACTGCGGTTGCTCAACAAGAAAAACGTTTGACTTACTTGGGTGTACCAACTTGAAGTTTTTTGTTTTCACCGAATCTTGGTGTCCCAGGACTGCCACTGCGTTCATGACCAGGTGTACCGTTTCCTACTTCGAACGGTACTTGGCCAGTGACGGGCGATAGCAGTGCTGGCGTTGTTTGATTTAACGGCCATTTATGCGAGCCTCCTCTTATATCATTCTGGAGCTAATTATAAAAAGAGAACTAAGTTAATACCATATGGCCAGTCAGCATATAGAAAAGAAAATGGTCATGCCCACTCACAGCATCAAAGTCAAGAGATGGTATAGCGCTAATGGTGGTAGATGGTACACCAGTTTTTTTTATAGCAGCCGTCGCAGTCGACTGAGTCGTACCAGATGAAGCTGTTGATTGTTGGCGCCCAGATCCAAGTCCAAGACCAGCATTGGCAGCCAGTCCCATACCATTCTTTGGGAGCTTGTTCTTTGGAGGTTGCTGCTGTTGCGGAGGTTGAGGTTGTTGCGGCGCAGTATTGGTTGTTGCTGCTGATGGTGGTGGTGGTGTGGAGGAGGTGGATGGAGCAGGTACTTTAGTCAGACCACTGGACCCTGTTAAAGTATTGTCGATTGATAGTCCTGCTGTAGTAGGTTTGAGACCTTGCAGACCTTTTGATTTTTCCATGTCCGCCCGTTTTCTCTTGTTTCGCATCATCTCTTGTAGTGACATACTTTTTGTGGCTGTGGTCAGAGAGCTCCGGTGAGCCCCATTAGATGGCTTCTTACTAGACGGACCACGAGTACCAAGTCCATCATCATCATCTTCATCGTCGTCGTCATCGTCAGATTCACTTTGATCATCCTTAAATAGGTCAAGGTCTCCATTTCTTTTACCACTGCTACTGTTGAGGGTAATTTTCCGTTTCTTGGCAGGTAATTTTTGTGGCGTTCGACTACCGGATTTTTCAGTGTCCATGGACACATCGCTAGCCACTGAACGGTTTCCTTTGTCACTGGCCTCTGATCCTTCGGAAGCTCCATCCGATTCATCATCCTCACTTTGAACTAGGCGGCCACGAGCTTGCAAGCTACGGCGGCGGTGACTGGTGCTAGAACTCCGACTTTTGGACCGGATGCTATGTATTTCGTCTGAAGAATCTGCAGCATCGGATTCCTTGACGTGGCTAGCACACAGCAGTTGATATTGGTCGGGTATCGTATCGCTTGGCTTTATTAGTCGTTCACCCAACGCACAGGTTATATGGAAAGATCTACAATAGACATAAAAACGCTCAGTACAAATATTTTCCCACTTCGTTATGGAAAAAAAAAAGTCGTGACAGTGTAACCTACTTTGTGCAAAACGTATGCTCACACTGTACACAGAGCCCTTGCTTCCTACCACAAATGTAGCAAGTCTGTTTGTCAAGCTCTTGATTATTGAAGTTGTAGGGATCTTCCGTCGAATCAATGTTCTTGCTCCACGCAGCACACACAACATGCATATACCGTGTTGGTGCTGTTGTTCGTTTTAATGCGCCTGTAAGTTTGGGACAGCATACAATTCGCTGCAGGGGAGTCGGCAAAACAAAAAACTTTTAGATGGGCGGCTCCTTCTTTGAAATACAATGAATGAAAGAATTGATAACTTACCGTTTCGCTGGGCAAAACTCCATCTTCACATCGTTCACAGTACCAGCTGCCATCCGGTACTTCATCTATCCCATAGCAGTCTGTGTTGAATCATAAGCGATCAGTATTTCAGATATCGCATTGGTATGTTAGTTACGATAACAGTTATTACATACCTTGATGTACTGGTAAATTACAATCTGTGTTTGTGAAAGCAATGGCATTTAGTCACGTAGTTGCATAGCTCATCAGAAAGTATGTATTATGTTAACTACCTTCTCCATCGCAAAATAAAATTAAATTTCGCTTGGTAGATTTCCCACCGCGACATATAACACAATTGGACTATCAAAAAAGGATGAGGTTAAGTTGGTCAACTCTAACGTAGTGTGCTATATTAATACAAATGTGAAACTTACATCGTCCTCAGGCATTGTCGAATAATATTATTATATGGAACCTAGTATGACTCTAGAATATTATGAATAACAATAAAAAGAAAATTAAAAATGTGGTGAAGATACGAAAGCATTGGCATTTTTTTTTCTTGGGTGGAGTAGGAATGGCGACATGGTCAACATGGAGGAAGGTGTATGTCATGAACTTTTGTTTTACCTTTGCTAGTTGCGAATTTTTCGAGAATACAAATATTAAGCCCGTTCCGCTGATGTTGTATCCCTGATGGCCTTTGTGTTTTAAAAAATTTAAAAATAAAAAAAAAATGATATAATAACGCGAGTAGAAGAAGTAAATAACGAAAATCAATTGGACTGGAGGGCCAGATGATGTAAATCAGAAGCGAATAGTCAAAGTTTGGAGAGGAGATGTGCGTTTGAATAACTGATATGACGAGAAAAGGAAATCAATGTCCAAACTGGCCTTCTAGTTGTGCCTGACGGGACTGAACTCAGGTGACATGCAAGGTATTCAAAAAGAACAAAAAAGTGAAATATTGTGAGAGCTCCGCCATATTTTATAATGTGCAAAGGACGTGACGTAACACATTTTCTTACATTTATTTTGGTACCCAGAACTCACAGCATGCCCCCCCCCTTCTTACCCAATCAATAGGTGGGAAAGAACCCGTCTCATTGCTTGACGACATAATAAAAGCATCGTTTAAAACGGCGGTATATTGAACGCAAATCAAAAAAAAGTCAAAAGAAATTTCAACAGTATAAGAGCCCAAAAGAAGAACATGGTGTGTAAAGAACGAAAAAAAATTGTTTACAGGCAAAAAAAAAAAAAAAATTGAACAGGAGAGATGAAGGTAAGAACGGTCACTATGCTCTGTGAAACATGGATGATGCTTCGATCGTTGGGGGAATCGTCCTTGCAATAAAGACAAATGAAAAGCTTACGTCTAATGAGCAAAAAGAAAAAGAAATAATAAAAATGAAATATAGAAACCTGATTCATAAAGCTAACATCGCACCTCAAGGCTTTGGTTGTATGGTTGCACCCAAATCTTTTGCGTGATAGTAAATACATCGCTCGCCAAATTTACAGTTTGGATCATTACTGGTAAGGAGATCGAAGAGGTTAGGTGCATTGGCTAAAGAATCGATGGCATGCATGATATTTAACTTACCGGCAAGGATACATTGGATGAACGTACTTGCACTTTTTGTTAGTGCACTTGGGCCAATATCTACATCTTGCTTTGAAGGAAGCAGTGGTTTGGCGTTGCTTGTTCATCATCTCACGACGCTGCTCTGGTGATTCTAATCGCTTGACCTTCTGTTTGGGCACAAATGGAGCTGAATTGATATTTAAGTCAGAGTGACGAGCTGTACTTGTCTCCGAAGGCTGCGTCTGTTGCTGGGGTGTCCACTCAGGGGAATCCCATACGTTTGTTTCATTCATAGTAGGCACGTCTTCCCATGGAGACTTCGGTACCTTAGGTTCGGCAGTAATGGTGGCAGTTACTTCAACGTCAATGGAGACAGGCTCCTCCACTTCAGCATCCAAAATTGGCTCGGTATTAAGGACAGTTTCCACAGTTTCAGCAGTGGTCATAATGGTTTCGACAGCTTCTTCTAATTGTTCAGCTATATGGTTCATTGATCCTTCTTCTTGCCTAATGATTTCTTTGACTACCTCTTCCTCTGTAGCATCGGTTGATTCTCCATCGGCAACTGAGTTTGCTTCATCCTCTTCACTTGCACTTTCATGCAGCGATTCTTCCGTTGAAGCACTGCCAGTTTTTTCGATGACCTCAATTTGAACGGTTTCGATTGTAGCCACGACCACGTCTTCATCCCCTGCGTTTTTTGCTTTCAATTGGTCCGCAACTATAGCCTTGGCTTCAGCTTTGGACTCGACTGCTTTTTCTGTTTGAAAAAGAACCACGACATTCGTTAGCTGTTAGGAATAATAAAGGACAGAGACAGATTCCCTCTAGTTTCGAGGTCATGTAGCCACTAATGGCCAATTCCAACAAATATAGAAATTGAATGTCTGACATTGCTACATACCTTGAGAAGATTCTCTCCTGTCGTTGCCATCAGTAGGTGAATTACTATTTGGTTTCCGGAAAAAAACGTGATAAAGGATTACGCCGACAGTAACGACAACAGCTGATCCTACTACCAGCTGCCTTCGCTGAGCTTCGTGCATTTTAGCGGATTATCTGTGGTGGTGCTTCAAACTTTTTGAAAATGGAGGTAAAAAACAACACAAAAAAAAATTCAAATTGACTTGGTAAACAAAATTTTGGGCACCTCGCACGTGAACTGGCACAATGCAGGACCAAAACCCAGAGGCTATCGCAAACACATACCAAAATTGATATATCATTCTATCGTTTGTGAAGTGACCCATTCTTTCATGACCTTCTACATTGCGAAAATGAACTGTTTTAAAGACTGTGTCCATTCAAAAATGACTTTCACTGCTGTAAATACTTTTGAAAGGACGGGGGTCCATAAGCTACGGGTATATTTATTTCGGAGCTGTTAGATGCGGTAACCAAGTTGAAATGTGTTTCTCTTCGAATGAATCCTGTGCGGGATAAATAGGCGGCATTTTACAAAGAATTTGAGATAACTTGCTTTGTCAATTCTATTCTCGATGGAGCGGAGAGAGCAATCTAACGAGTGTTGAGAAGGTCTTTTTAAAGTGCGGCATAATTATTTGTATGTTTATCAATTTAAGATATCCAGTTTGTCCAAATCAAGCGTTGTGATGTGTACAACAAATGGTTTATCATATCAATAAGATGGCACCACTTGGGGGGAAACGAAGGATGTATCATGTGGTAAAGATAGTATGGCAGTTCTTTACATCTACACAAGTATCTTGCGTACGCTACCTTGTATGATAGTTTATTCACTATTCTTAATATCTTTGACAATCTAATATTTGGTTTATATGGTTCTCTTACCGGTGCTCAGTCCCTTTGAACTGGAGTCAAGTGCCATCATGCGTCTTGCAATCAAAATATAAAAATAAAAAAAATTATAAAATTACAGCTCCGCAAAGCGTCACCTAATTTGTTATATCCGCCTATTGAGGTTTGCTTTGGGTCCGTTGCATCAACATCTTGAATTCCTACAAATTTCGCCATGTCTAGAGACGACGAGTACGATTACCTCTTTAAAGGTAAGTCAATTTGCCTTTTTTTTTTTTCCAAAATCTAGTCTATCTGTGTGATTATTTATCTGGTGCTCCGCAGTTGTATTGATTGGAGATTCCGGCGTTGGAAAGACCAATCTGCTTTCACGATTCACAAGAAATGAGTTCAATTTGGAGTCCAAAAGCACTATCGGTGTAGAGTTTGCTACACGTAGCATACAAGTCGATAGCAAAACGATCAAAGCACAAATTTGGGATACTGGTAAGAGACTATGCACTGTCTATAAGTTAAGGGGAGGAGGGGCAGGCGGTTGGCTGAAACACCTCAGTTTTTTTTTTCTAACTTGTTACTATGTAGCTGGCCAGGAACGTTATCGTGCCATCACTAGCGCGTAAGTTTGCTACATATATTCCTCTCTTAGGTTAATGTTCATCCTCATGTTCACCCAATTCCAGCTATTATCGAGGTGCAGTCGGAGCCTTGCTTGTATACGACATTGCAAAGGTAAGAAATCTAAAACGGTTGCGGATACACAAAATTTTTATGGTCTGGATAACTAAAACTTTTTCTTCTGCTAGCACGCTACCTATGAAAATGTTACCCGCTGGTTGAAGGAACTGCGTGATCATGCCGACAGCAACATTGTTATTATGCTGGTCGGTAACAAAAGCGATTTGAGACATTTGCGGGCTGTACCGACTGATGAAGCCAAGCAGTTTGCGGGTATGATTTTTTTTCTCCATGGCGTTACAACTACTCTCCTAGAATACAGGCTCACATGTTCAATCCGATTTCTTCAGCTGACAATGGTCTGTCGTTTATTGAAACTTCTGCTCTGGATTCTAGCAATGTTGAACTGTCCTTCCAGCGTATACTGACTGGTATGTTTACTATTTGTTACAATTGTTATGAACCGACAATGGAATGCTCTAACATCTATTGATGTCATGTTAGAAATTTACCGGATCGTTTCCAACAAAGCTTTGGAATCATCGAATGATGTGATTAGACCAACTGGTGGTGAGACTATTGTTGTAAGCCAATCGTCGGATGATCAAAAACAAGGTGGAAAGTGCTGTTGAAGGAGACTAGTCTTGCACAAACAAAAAAGTAGCTTTGCACATTTCTCTCATGGCCATTATTACCCTTATTTTCTTTTTTACCCCCCAACAAATATTGCCGAGAAGGATATATCCCAATAATATTGTACAGCGCTCTGTGCAAGTTGATACGAAAGGTTTTTTCTACAATCGCCATAGACATGACTGGCGATATATACTGATCCGTATGTACTACGTTATTAAGGTGACAGCTACTCTGTAATTACGTCGGCCGCTCCATCCCCCTCGACACTGTAATAGTGCTGCAGTATAAGGATGGACTTCTCGGGAATAGTGGGATTGAAACATTTTGTCATATTGTGACAAGTGGTATGTTGCTGTGAATGGCTATTGCCAGATCGCACCTATGACTTTGCAGTCGCACAACAGACGAGGTCATGCGACCACATTAAAATCTTGAATTTATGGGGTCGGCGGTCACTTTTGGCACCTTTTTTTTTGTAACAGAGCAAAAAAGAAGGGACAAATTTTTTTTTGTCTTTGTGGGCTTTCACTAGTTCGGCCAGTACCCTGTCTTTCAACAATTTGTCAGACATGGCGACGGAATCTATACGCAATGCAGAAAGACTGGATTTTATCACTTCAATACCGCCTCCAATAACACGAATGTTGACACATCTCAGTCCAATTGCTCATTTCCTCACTGGGCTGGTCCATATTGTCACCTGGCACCCCACTACCCCAACAAGCCACTCTCTACTCCTTCTTGTTTCATGGTGGATTTTATGTCTTTATCATCGTACTCTTCTCATATTCGTAATCCCTTTATTGCCAATTTGCCGACTGGCTTATCAATGGCTTCTAAGGCACCGCAGAGAAGTTCATGGAAAGCCCCATCCTGACACAAATAATATTCCTCGTGATATCCCCCAAGCTGTTCAGGACATTGAATATTTATTGAATCGCTTGGATAGAATGGCGGACGTCATAAATGGCATATTTTATTTGCTGGACTGGCACAATCCTGACGTGTCCCTGCGAATGCTAAAATCCCTACTGTCCATTTACCCTATCTGGATAATATGCACGTACCTTCTGCCGGTCCGACAAGCTTTAGCCGGTCTGGGTACAGTTGGTCTGCTTTGGAACAGCCCATGGTTCAGACTCATCCGCACCGCTTTTTATAATTACCCACTTGTTCAACGTTCCATCGTTGCCCTGAGCGATGTTTGGCAAATCCAAAGGGCTGCGAATAGACGAAGAAAAAGTCAAGATGGATGGCGTGCGATACAATCTCAAAGCGCTAAATCTGGTCGGCGTCCGGAAAAAGAGCTTATGTTTCGTTTTGTCGTTTACGAAAACCAACGTTGGTGGCCAGGCGTTACATGGAACGACATACTTTTGCCAAACGAGCGGCCTTCTTGGTAAGTCCTTGTCTCATGCAACCCCTCTTCTAATGTATTAGAGGGAGGTGGGTTATTTTTAAGATACTTACGTCAAACCTCTTTTTTTGGGGGAAAATTTTCTAGGGCCGATGAATATCATGAACCAGTTCCAAATACCAAAGACTTCTCTCTGCCACCACCTTCCAATGCCACTACCAAATTATCCGAAAATTCTGACACTATTATGCGAAAGAGTATGCATTGGGTGTGGAGTGACCCTGAATGGTGGCTCGACCTTGATGGTGACGTTGACAAAGAAGGCTGGGAATACGGTAATCACAGCTGGGAGAACTTCAGCCATCAATCTCGTGGCTTACATTTATTGACGCGTCGACGACGATGGGTGAGAACTGCCAAACTTGAAGAGCACATTGATCTTGATATAGATGAAGCAGCATCCATTGCAGAAAGTCTTAGCAGCTTCCACTCGTATAGATCAGCCTCAAGCAGTCGGCATCGCTCCAATGCTTCAGGCTCAAGTTTGAAGGGATCTCTTCTGAGCAATGACAGCGCTGTCAGTTTGAACAGTACATGTAGCTCGCCCAGACCTGTTCGACGTCAGATATCCAATTCATCATCCCTCTCTTGGCGCAGCTTGGTCCGTACGTGATCAACCACCAAAGCAAAAAGATTTGAACCTCCTTCCCTTATCTACTGTTCTTATACATACAACTGTAATTTCAACATATACCCCCGTTCAAAACATGCACTGTTCTCTTCGTCCGCCATCAACCTTTGTATCGTTCCTTTTCTTTTGTGCATATCATAATACTCTAATATAATATTTAATATACTGGTTTCATTTTACTTGATCAATACTTAAAGTATGAATCACAGTACTCTCTTACATGTACTAGAACTTGGACAAATGTTGATGTTTACTTTTTGGTTCATTGGCTAAGGGTTATGTGTGATAGCGAGACTCTGGCGCCGGCGAAGGCTGAGAGAAGTGGAAACTGTGCTCAGCGGCCGGAGACGCATAGACACACGATGCGATAATGTTTGCTGCTGCTTTGATGCTGTTGTCGTAGTTGCGGCCGTGGGAGCTCCGTCAGATGGGGTGGAACGGTGAAATAATGTCGATAATGACGAAAAGGGAGCTTGATTTGTTTCCAGGGAAGACATTTCGGATTTTTCAGTGAAATTTGGGATCTTGCCATGACCACCCTGCTTTCTAAGCAGTGTTGCTTGGCTGATAGTCGATGAAAGTACTTCACTGCGTCTCTGGTTGCTGGCGCTCGATAACATTGGAATGTCATATGTCGATGCCGGGGACGTTCGAAGAAGTAAGTATTTCAGTGCCTACAGTAGTATCACTTGGCGTCAATAACGCAATGTGAGTTATGTACTATGAGTGTTATATAATGCGTTACCTCAAACCACACAGTATGTCTTATGTCATCTCTAGCCTTGAGTTTCAGCTCCCGTGAAGATGTTTTGATAATAATGCTTGCTTTAGGCATGTCTCGAGACAACGCATCACCTTCGTCCATGGCCGTCACGACGGACTCAATAAATGCTGTATGATAAACCTTTAGTCATAATGTTCTCGATGCCTTTCAGTGTAAGACGACATACCACTCTTTGCCCTTGACTCAGCCTCGCCAATTCCCGGCTCAACAGTACTCCAGTATAAGGTACGGGTATATGGATGTATCCAGCAAAACCGCTTGTGAGGCTTCTCAGAATAGCCGTTACCAACAGTTTTCCGGGTGTATTTCCACATCCAATCCCCAATCATGGTTTGCGTTAGGAGGGTCAAACCTCCGGTGCTATAGTCCAATCGAGAAGAAGCCATATCCCCTGCTATTGATGATCGCCAATGGATTGATATAACACTCGATGCACTTCGCTGCGATTCGTTTGACTTGCGCAATAATCGAGAGTTTCTCTTCTGAGAGTTAAGAGTATCACTCACATCAGACTTTGTGTTCTCATCAGTCTGCGTGCAAATTGAACTCAAAGTCTTCTGATTTTCCTCATCCTTTTTGATACTAATCTCTCCAAGATTGGTAGTAGATGGTAGGTGGGTTTGTATGAGAACTGGCACTCTAGGTTCACTAAAAGATGGCCTCATTACAATAGTTTCTTGTAACGTCCTAACGGTAGAGTCGCTCATAGTAGGCTTTAGAGTAGGTATCTCTGTCATTCTTCCAGCGGCATGTGGTGCCGGATTATTTGTTAAATCTCGTAATTTGGGCGACCGACGGAGACTGCACTCTTTGCTACTATCAATATTTCGTCGCTTGGGTGAAGTCCTCTTCGCATGATATGCGACCTGAGCCTTGAGCTGGCCTCCTTCAGCCACGATGAATGAGTCTTGTACTTGATCTTTGCCATCTTCTTCCATTTCACCACTTTCCGGGCTGTCCGTCATTATTGGCTCGATACTAAATGTCGCTAGCTGTAGCTCTTCGCCAAGGGAACGCATCTTACGTGGCTTGATAATTTGGCTTTCACTAGTTGCTAGAGTGAGGGAACACTGATCTTCATGAGACTGCACTTCATCATGTCGCTGCAGGTCATCTATGTATTAAATTAACCGAGAGCTCCCATATTGAATTAATGAAGCAACAAGGCTGGGAAATGTGTGGGCAGGCTTACCAGTTTCATCGCATGATTCGTCCATTGATTGAATATCCTCCTCGGCATGACTAGGCTCCAACTCACAATGATGATCAACTTCTGAACCTCTCACGAGACCACTAGCATATCTTGCCGCTCCTCGACGTTTGGATGGAACCATTTTGATCTTGGGAGTATTCAATTGTACCGACGGCTCCTCGTCATTCCAAGCATTTCTATTACGGCGCATTTTTTCGATGGTTTCCTGAGATTCGCTCAAAAGCTTTTTTGTTTCGTTTTTCTCAGTCCGTTCCATATGTAACATGGCTCGAAGTTGAGCAATAGTTCTATGTGAATGTGCCAATGAATGCTTCAAAGCGTCGACCTCAACAGTTTTTCCTGTTGCAGCCGATGTCGTCTGTGCGGTGGGACTTGATTTGGTTTGCTTTGGCGTATCGCTTGCCTCTGATTCTGCTACAGATGTGGTAATGGATGTTATGCTAGCGCTTTGGATGGAATCTAATTTGACTGGGACGGGTAACAATGACGATCTGGAATGGTGTACATGTGAGTCACGCAAGGGTGATTGATTTTGTCGAGACGATGGTGAATCATTCATCTTTTTCTGCATCGATTTCATGGCTTCTGATTGCTGTTCATTTTTGTTTCGAAGTGCCTCGCTTTCTTCGGTCAGGGCATTCAATCTATTCGCTACTCGGGTATGATCGACCGTTTTTCGTGCTAATTTTTGCTGCAGCTCAGTGACCTGAGCTATCAACTCCTGCTTGGACACCTCCAAGTCCCAACACTGATCTTTCAATCGTTCTATGTTTCAAGAACCAGATTAATACAGGCCATAAAATACGAGTTTTTTAAAACATTCCTGTCAGTTTTCTATATGACCAGCCAGCCATACCTTCAGCATCCTCTTTCATCTTTAGTCTTTTTTCTAAAGTAGAAATCCTTGCTTCATCGTTAGTTTTGGCAAAATCCATCGCTTTTATGGCTTCGTTTTTCTCTTGGACCATATTGTGCATCTTGCGAACCTCAAGAAGCAAGCCTTGGCCTATTTCTGTAGCGAAGTCAATATCAGTATGTATATCGTCGGGTGTTGGAGATTTTATTCGCCGCCTTTGAGGGGATGATGGACTAGCGGGAATTGAGCAAGTTGTAGGCAGGGGGAAATTGTCTGTCGGTGAGCATATGCTAGTGATACGACCCGAAACTGGCGTAGAGTTAGAGCATGTCATACGTGGTGGATAAGCCTTTATGAGAGATTTTCGTTCCGTTAGTAAACATCGAGATCAATGAAAACATGCACAGCACAACATATACACTACCTTTGGAGAAAATTCAGATTTTCTGCATTGCGCTTTCAGCTCTGATTTTTGACGTATGAGATCGTACAACTTGTGCTCTGTGGTTTCTCTGACAGTTTGCGACTCTCGTTCAGTGGTATCTGTGTTATCACTAGCCAGCCTGTAGTGCTCCTTAAGTTGTTTATATTGGTTTTGAAGAATAGATTTGTTAGACTCAGAATGAGCGTCATTAAGGGCACGTGTGCGCATAGAAATTCTATCTTGAAGCTGCTGAAGAGCATTTTCGTTATAGTTGGTTGTAGTTGGCGTTTTGGGGCTGTCTGGTATGTCGATCATTTATCTGGGATGAGAAGAAGAAAAAAAAACCAACGGCATGAACCTGATTTTGAGAATAAAATTTGGATTGATGGTGAAACGAGCGGTCGGGGGGAATTGTACACTTTCGAGGTGTATTTAGAAAAGGAGAGACAAACAGGAAAGTGGTGGAAAGATGGAGAATAAAAAAAAAAAAGAAAGTAGTTATAATTGTTATTGACAGAATTATGTATGCATTACTCTTAATATAATTCAAGAACAACCACCCTGTCCGTTCCTCAATACTGGCGATTGTAACTTCCATCGACGTATAAAAATAATTCTCAGCATCAAACTGAGATTTTTTAGTCGCCCTCGTCGATCGGTAGTGACGGGATCAACAAACCCATCTCCTGGCGCGATTTCCACTTCTTCAATTTGTTAAGGAGAGCTTTTAGTCGTCATATAACAAGAAATTATATATGCGAGAACGACGTGGAGAAAAGTCTCCCTGTCACTTAGGCTTTTCCAGTTACTCCGAAATCCTGACCATTAAACACTGTAAAGTATGTTGTTATCACTACTTGCATTGGAAATAAAAAAATGTTCATGATTGTTCTATTCATGATTACCTGACAATGTGCGGTAACCAACTGTATTTTTATGATACACCAAATTAGCGTCAGATATGACACCCCAGTCTAACGATACCCCTATGGGAGAGAAGTGAAACTCCTCAACCTTTTACAATTCGGTCTCCTGTGGGAGCAAATTTGTCATTAAAGTGTCGACAGCAAGGAGAATTTTGAATGTGGTGTCCAAGCATTCTGCTAAATGCATTCGGCAAAGGGGGACACTAAAGTTTGGAGGGCAACCAATCATGCTCGGCCGCCACGGTCAATGCCACCCACGTCCTTTGGCAAGCCGTTCCGTTCTATGTATGCGAGGAAGTTTCCTTGTCATTGTAATACATCATCAGCCAATCATTGGATAATCCATTTAGATCCAATGGCTCCACGTACATCGGATAAATCCCATCATTTTTGTCAAATAAATGAAGATCGTATTAGGAACAAGACAGAGAGCAAGGCATCTCGAGAATGTAAACAAGATATTTAACAATGGTGACTACAAACCAAAAAAGGTACTTAGGATAGAGGAGAATCGGCAAGGTGATGTTTGATTCGAGGAAGAAAAGAAGTAAGATGTCGGATGACAAGAAATAAAGTAAGAGAAAATAAGCACGCTGGAAGAATAATATGCGATATGTGGGGGGGGGGTGATCACAACTTGGACGTTGTATAAGTCTGAATGTGCAGATGCGGTGCAGTCGATGGTAGTGTCATAATTTCCAATGATGGAGGTGGCCATATAACTAATTTTTTTTTTTTTTGGGGGGGTTGGAGATTTTTTCCTCGCCGTGGATGATATTTTTGGTGAGCACTTATTTTCCTTGTTTTACCTGGAATTGCGAATAAGAATAAAAGAAAAAGAAAGAAGAGTCAAAATAAAAAGAAGCTTGAGCCGATTAAGAGATCCTTTCTCTCTGTAGATGTATAGTTGCAGTTTGTGGTTGGCGGAGGACACTGATTGAATAATAGTTTGATTATAATATCAAGCATCTCTTTTTCTGCTTCTTCTTTGTGCCAGGTTGATGGCCATAGCCTCCTTCGCGATTAGCGCGGATCATCCTGACGACTGAATAGAAGGATCTTTCTACATTAACGCATGTTTTTGCTGATGTTTCAATAAAGTCGCAGGAAAGTCGTTTGGCCATGGCATAACCTTCTTCACGCGAAACCTCGCGCTCGGTGACTTTGTCACATTTGTTGCCAACAAGCATCAAGGGTACATTATCGACATCTTTGACGCGAAATATTTGATCACGGAAACGTTCAACGCGTTCGAACGTTGAGCGTGACGATATGGAATAGACTAAAAGAAAGCCTTCACCATCGCGGATCCATTGGTCACGCAACGCGGTATACTCCTCTGTTGAATGAAGCCCGAGTCAATAACAAGGATCAGCATGAAACATCACCAAATTTGGTTATCTAAGGATACCTTGCCCAGCGGTATCCAGTACTTCAAGCACGCATGGCTGCTCATCAATAACAACTTGTTTTCGGTATGAGTCCTCGATAGTGGGGTCATAAGTCTATAATTCCGCAAAAGTAATCAAGAAAGAATTAAATGAGTGGTATTAGTTTCTGGCAACCATAACATACTTAAAAGAAAAAAAGTTAAAAGCATTACCTCTGTTGTGGAGAGTGTAGCCAAGATTTGTGGAATATATAATAATCGTAATATAAAAAAAGTGCGCATTTTTTTGATCAGTACACTGTCATACATGGCTTGGAAAATCGAAGTTGTGCAACTTACCTACGAAGTGATTAAGACATAGCTGTAAAAATTTATGACAAATACATAAAAAACAAAAGGATGGTTAGATATACTGATAATCATACAAAACATTATTTGAAATCGGTGGCGACAACGACAGAACGCAGCTGTGTTCAGTTTTTCATATAAACGATGGGCGGGTCTGTCGTTTGGTAATAGACGTTATAATACTGTTCATGTCGATGGGACTCGAATAAAACTCGAAGTTTCTCGACGGCAATCAGCTTTGTGAATTAGCCAATACGTCGATTGGGTCTGATTTAGTTCGTATCGTATTTCGAACTACTATGCCCTCCACTGGCATTTGTGTGTGAAGTACGGGTCCAAACAGGAAATGGGCTATCTGATAATCTACCTGGATGGTCAAAGCGGTCTGATGAAGAATGGTGGGTGAGCATTGGTCACGTATTGATTATCTCGAAAAGATTAGTTGCGCTTCTTCATACCTTTCCTACACCTCCGTCGCCGAGAACAACCAGCTTATAGAGCATCATTTTCGGCAGCTGATGAAAAGGGAAAGAGGAAAGATTGAAAGCGTGTGTGACGACACCTGAGTGGTTGAAAGTCTGAAAGTCAGACAAGAATTTTGGCCAATTTTATTTTTATGAGAAAAAAATAGGGAAAAGAAAAAAGGGAAAGAGTAAGCTCAAATGGCAAAAGAAGAAAAAAAAAAATAGGTAAATTTGTCTTCTATCCTCGAATAAAAATTGATCTTTCTGTTCCTGCCATACGACTTGCTTTTCCTGTTTTATCGACATGATCTAGACCAAGATGTTCATCCTTTGAAAACTGGTGATCGCTTAACTTGAACTCGTCTGAATCAAAGAGGGAAAAACAATCATTAAAAAAACTTGTAGGTCAAAATCAAACTCCTATTCTCATGACCTCTGCTTACCGTCGTCGATTGGCGTCGCACTGTACGACGAAGCAATCGTAAGCTTGACCCGCGCCCAGTCCTTGTCATCCATACCAGTTCGCTTTTGTAAACGTTTTTTGGTCTCTACGAAAGGCTCGTCTTTCTTCACCAAAAACTTGAACGGTACACTATGAGTGCGGTTGGTCTCCTTTTGATAGTGGAAGACAAGAATGTAGAAGTCGTCTTCACCTGCGGTGGTTTCTTCTTCGGGGACCTCCTGGAAGTAGTAGTTGTAATGGTTAGTATATATTATGTGTTCATATGAAGTGTTCATATGAAGTACATCGATCACTATCCTCCTCCACCACCTTGCGTGACCCTGCCGAAAAAAAAAAATTAAATACTAACCTCAGCATACAGTGTACAGTATGCAGAATCCGTCAATGAGGAGATTGGATCGCCCATATCCAGCTCACGGATAAATTTGTTTTGCACCGCCTCGTAGATTCGAGGTAATCTTGTACCAGTTGCAGACTCGAACTTGACACCTTTTGTCTCTAGCGCTTGCAACAGTTCTGCAATTTTTTTATCTTTGGGAAGCACTAGGTCGTACATTGCCTCGTCGGAGAGGGTTGGGGTCAACACGGTAATTTTCACCTGTTTCTTCGTCTCTAACTCGCTCAGAGAAATGTCGAGCACTTCATAGAAAAGTGTTGGGATATTTGCGCCATTGTACACTGCTGACTGAATCATTTCAAGTAGGGTAGAGCTTTGAAGATGGCGTATCACTGTTTTTGGTGTACCACTGACTCCAGGTGCAGTGAAACGAATGTTTTGAGGTGCAGCATTCAGTTTTTCTCCGACTTTGGAGGCAACTACGTCGTACAGCATGCTTCGACTCAAGGTCAGGTCAAATTGACCACCTGTTCCAGTGCCGTACCTCGGCTTGAACTGAACTGTGACTCGTTTGAGGAGATAGTCCAAAAAATCTGGTACAGTCGGAAATTGATGCTGCGATCGAACTGCTTGAGCTCTATAGAACACACCATGGTCAAAATGGAATAGCTGGTCAGTATTTTTCAATTGCTATGTGCTACGTACGGCGTTGCGTAAACTTACTTTTCATCTGAGATGCTCTTCTGAATACAGATAATATCACCATCTTGTATTTCAGCTCGTACAAATGTTTGCCGAGTGTCCATACGGTCGATCATAGTCGGCTTAATTTCCTGAAAGAGGAGAGAATCAGCCATTCCATTTCTTTGACAATGCTTCTATTTGTGGGTAAGCTGTCTTACCTCGAACAATAGCAAAGGCGTTTCCTTTTCGAACCCTGCCATGCTATTAATAGTTGGAATTATATCACCCACTTTGCCGTTCTTTTCGACGTACAAATGTCCCAGTCCACTGTAAAGCAGCCCAAGTTAGTATTCATAGCTTCATTTTAGATGTTGGTGACCGCTGCTCGAAAAGCTTACTGAATGGATTGTGTATCGACATCAAACATCTTGAGGAAGATGAGGATGGATGTTGAACGAGGACCTGGAGGTCCTGGGAATACTGGTTGATCATTTTCAAAGCGAGTAGCAACCTCAAGGTATAATCGAAGATTAGCTTGGCTAGGTTGGCTCTTCTCTCTTAGCTGTTCCATTGCTATAAATCATAAATGAAATTAAGAATTAGATGGGCTGCAAACGTAGGCATAACAACCTAGATAAATATAAATTACTTAATTGATAGTCAGCATCAAGAATAGGTGCATCAGGCCGGACAGTGCGATTTTGCCTGTTGACTAGAATCCAAAGTCTTATGTGATCTGCAGGAACACCCAAATTTTCGCAAAGTGCATTTTTGAATGACTCCAATGTATCATCCTTCTTAGTGCGGTACGATAAGTATGCTGGAGTCTCTCCTGCCTTCTCATCAAAACTTGCAAGGTCAAAACCTTGATACTTTGCAAATGTTTCATCGGTTATGATCTATAAGGTTTACATAGTGAGTATAACAGCACAGATGCCACAGTACATTTAGGTGGGTTTCTTACATATGTTTTCATATAAAGATGCATTTCTGAGCGCTCTTTACGTTTCTGTTCCATCACCAGTCTCTCTTCATCAAGTCGTCGCTCTGTTGACAATGAAAGCCATTAGACATAAATATGTCATACTCATTTATGGTAAACGTATATACTTACTGAGATGTGGCGGGATATCTGCTGTGGTAACATCGTTCAAGATTTCATCCATCATGCATTCGCGTAGGTAAACAAGCATATAAGCGTTTGTAAAACGCTTAATGGTGCGAATGTTAGGGCGAGTGTTCAGAGCATTGACGCCTTGTGGTTCTCCACCATAATTTTCCTCCAAAACTTCCTTCAAGGTAGCTGGAGTGACTCTGTCATCATCAAACTTAAGCCTAGAAGTATTCATATTGTCAGCTATCAAGATAAGTAGAAGAACGGAAGAATCGTCGCAGCCTTACCATGTAGCATCTCTAGTAGGCTTTACAAACGCAAAATAGTGGCCACCACTCAGATCACCGCTATGGACCAATACTCTATGTGGGTACGCAGTATAAGTATTCAAAAGAAGCTGTTCAACAAATTTGATTCAACATGTATACATACCCTTGTAAAATATATTTGTGTGGTTTCGACTTGTCAGCTGAGGCAGATAGATATGGTTCCAAATCGATTTCTAGTGGAAATTCGTGTCGATCGTTGATCTGCAAATAGTATCTAAGTTATCCGACCTGGTATAATTTGGCATTCATTATAGTTCCGATCACCCACCTTGACAGTTGTTTCACGCATCATGTCAAATTCAAAACGCTTTAACTGTAAATGTAGCACTGGAGGGAAACTTTCAAATATGACGCCTTTTTTAGCATCCTGTAAGCCAAAGCCTTCGGCCATGTACTTGTTGTCGCCTTCTAGAGTTTCTTCAGTGATATATTCTTTGAAAGATTCTTCCAGGTTGTTGCAACCTTTGACGTTCAGCTGTATATCTAAAGTACAATCACCACTAATATTAATGATTTTATACATTGATATGGAATATCATTTCAATGCCACAGTTTACCATAGTAATCCTCCACGCGAGATGATTCGTAATCCACATTGATGCATTTAATATAACTCTTCATTTTTCCAAGGAAGAGTTTGTTGATGGCTCCATCTGCAGGAGTGTTCTGTGAAGATAATTAGCATATTAGTACAGATATGGCTGCCAATTATGCACTATCAAGCCATCACAATAACTCTATTGTACGAACCTTCATCTTGGATTCCAAATTATCCTGCAGCACACGGTTAAATTCCTGAACATCGTGTTGATTAAAGGCTTCTAATGAGTCCCATCCAAAGGATTTAGTCAACTCCGTGGTACCTGTCAAACATGGTAACAAGTCAGTAATTTCACAATTTTGGCGCATGCCCAAAGAATATGAAGATCACATTACCAACTGGTGAATCTGAATATTGCAGATTATAGAAAACTCTTTGCAAAGCCAGCGCAACGCTTTTGGTTGGTTCATCATTTTCGGTTGGTATTTGATAAACAACTTTCCGAAAATAGTTCGTGCAATAAAGTGACTGGAAAAGAGAATTCATATAACATGTTGCACCTTGATTCTTCAGGCCGACAAAACCTGTTGTCTTCTTTGAGTCATAGCTTTGGGGAATGTGTAGTCAGCAATATGCTTATCACATTTTCTGACAAATGACCGTATTACTTACTTTACAAAGCTATGCCACAAGACACCAGTGGGGTCTTTCATCACCCGGACAATAGCCGTAATAATGGTGCGATTATCCTGAACAAGTGGATGGGCACGGTGATCATCGATCGACGTCAGCTTTCGAACCTCATGAAATCGGGTAAATCCCCAGTCTGCCTCCTCAGCAGTAAATCGATGTTGAGCATCTGACATATGCAAAATTAAGGAAAGATTCTTCGTAATCGACATGACACATAGATGAGATTACGTACTATGGAAGGCATATTCGGTAGGATCATTTGGATTAGATATCAAAAGCGCAAATTGTGCACAGACATGCCAGCCTTGAGGCTGAGCGGATTGGTCCGAGAATTCCAAGTAGATAGATGTATACTCAGTCTGGTTGTTACCATGAGGGAACATCAAAATTTTCCTGATAATTATAATGTGGCGATAAGTACAGGAAATTGGACGGTGCTCCACTTAAGAACAATATATACCACTTGTAGCCACCGATTTCGAATTCAGGACTATGTGTTCGCTTCTCCAATCCACGCCAATCTAAGATTTCCCAATGGAAAACATCGAAAGTCTCAACCTCAAGATCCAGATCTGGCAATACCTTATTTGCGATTTCGGTATCTATTACTTGAACATTATTAAGGCGTTTTTTTTGCAATTTTGGATGAAAATAGTAAAATACATACGATCGCGCACAGAAATGGGTTGCGGGTCTTGTTCGACATCCGACATGATCTTGTCATTATCTGGCAAAGGTGCGGAATCATTCATGGGCTCAATGGCCGGGTCGCTATAGGTATCGTCCTGCTATCGAGTAGAAACATTAAAGTTGTTGCAAAAAAGGCAGGTGAATTAGCATTGTACTATAACATAGTTCGTCAAGTTCTCGAATCGTTTGTGCAGCTGGTCAGGAGTCCTAAAGTAACATGCTGGGACTTCCTCACGCCAAGCGAGTAGCTTGCTCACTGCAATCAAATAAGGTATACTAGCTTACCATTACCGGATCTTGGATAAAGAGTATTGAAGACTACAGACAGGTGAATAAAGCCAAGCGGGACGACAAAGCTGTAAGTATATGGCGGCGCGTGAGATGACGTTGGTGAGCTCGCATTCTCAAGTTCCATGACAAAATTTAAATTTGTCATCTGTGCGTGACGTCAATCTCTCAGATGCAAAGTCGCTTTGGCACACGTTTCGAGTCTATTACCTTTAAAAGCTCTATCGGTTGAAACGTAAGCTGAAGCGAGAAAAAGTTCATGATCTGAAAGCCTGTAGTCCAAACATTCATTTCATAATAGGGTTCTTTGATAGTTCAAATTTTCATTAAAGCGCTGAGCATCCATTTTACACTTCAATGGAATTAAAGTCACCTTTAACGTCACGCATCAATAGCGATCCATTTATACTACTGCAATGATGCGTACTTTAAAGAGATCAATCCAACTAGTGAGGATATCCACTTCTTTGGAATTGCATGCCTCCTATTAACATACAAGCAGCACTAACAGCTTTTTCCATTTATATATGTTCTAAACCTGCTATTCCATAATCTAAAAAATACTTCTAATTTTCTTGACTTCCCTTCTAAATCATGTATAATGCTTCCATCGTAGCTTTCGATTTGGTCATAGCAAAGGTACCTCTTGCACTGGAGACATTGAGTGGCACAGTTAGTCATGACACAGCCCAAAATTCTCACAAGCCAAAAAATTACCGCATGTGAAACGTCACTTGTTAACTTGGCCAATCAGAAGGCCAATTAACGATGACGTCGACTATTTGATTTTTTGAATAACGTGCCTCAGAGCCAGCTTACGACAATCTTTCACTACTCGTGACCTCGCTTCACCTGACCAGCGAAGGTAAGTTGTTCATGGCATAACACGCCTACCTTCGAGCACAAGTGTACTCGCGAAGCATCATAAAGAAGTGTAAAAAATGATACTAATCAAATGTCACGATACTCTGCTACAGGGCATCTCAAGCGTCCATTCTGTTTACACATTACGAGAACGCAGTGCTCGACAGCAGCAGTGCCTCCTTAGCTAACGTACTCGTATTACTACAAAACCCGTCTTCCAAACAGACTATACCCTCCAAACTGGATTCCACAAGTATTTCTTCTGCTCAAGCCATGCTCGATTTGAAGCAAGGAGGGCATGAGTTGGCAAAGGTGCGTACAGTAGCCCTTTAAATGCTTGTGTCTGGCTGCAAATGAAACGGTCGGACAACGCCTCGCTTTTACTAAATCATTCTGACACCTTACTCGATTTATATTGCAGCAATTGACAGAAGCTCTTGCTTCCCAGTCGCAAAGCTCAACCAATGTCTCCAACGTTAGACCGTCGTCCACCAAGAGTGAAGAGGAAAGGTCAAACACATCTTACACCACGTCGGAAAACGCACAACTTTGGGCAAGCATGGCATCGCAACAACCAGCCTTTGCTGTACATCACCAACAATCAAACGCTCATAGCAACGATCAACAATCAGCAGCCGATCGACAGCAGAATGCCGCAAGTCATCGAGAATCATCTAACAAGCTCATCGTAGGATCGGAGGAGTGGCACCGCCAGCGTCGCGAAAATCACAAGCAAGTCGAAAGACGTAGACGCGAAACTATTAACGATGGCATTAACGAAATTGCAAAAATGGTTCCTGGTAGCGAAAAGAATAAAGGTTCCATATTACAGCGCGCGGCTCAGTACATCCAACAGCTGAAAGACAATGAAGCAGCTACCATCGAAAAATGGACTCTCGAAAAGCTTTTGACAGATCAAGCCATTAATGAACTGAGTCAGCAAGTTGAGGTTCTCAAGAATGAGGTCGAAAGACTGCGCCAGGATAATGAACGTATGAAGCGTCAACTTGGTGAAGATAACGACGAACACACGAAGAAAAAGGCCAAAACCGACCATTCTGACAAGGACGAGCACAAGTCCCAGAAGGACTAGTCGTTTTGCTTCCCAATATGATATATTCACATATCGTTGATAAAAGCAAAATGCTGTCCACATACTCAATGCAAGCATCTTCACTCCAAGTTACCATGTCTACCCTTAACCAATTTTTCACTTTATCATAATGATAACCTAGCGACAGTTTTATGTCTTTGCTTGTCTGAAAGCCTTTTCCACAATTTTAAGTTTCTATCTGATTTCAGTTTTTGTCTCAATATTTCTCCATATCCTTCGAATATAAAATAATTCTCAATTCTAATTAAGCGCATAACATTGGTATCTATGGTTAAGCCTGGCCTTAGTCGTTGTCCCTCACTTTTATCAATCAACTGCCTTAGCCTTAGGCTGCAAATTACTGAACGTAACATTCACTTTGACAAGTAGACATAAGTCTAGAACAAGAAAGCACTATTGTCATTTATCGATTCTGCATTCTATTTCATTTGACTTGGACTTGACTTGGCCAGCCTTCATCATTCGCGATCTCTTCCCTTTCGTGGAGCTACCTTTAAATTTATCTGATAGTATGTTCTTTTCCATACCCAAGTATGTACTCAGGTAATAGAAGTCAAAATGTAGTCGCTCCTATTGCATCCATACCCAGTTAGATCACATCATTCTGAACAATGCCCATGCCCCCACACTCATCGTAAAGCAAGCAATAGTGTACAAACAGATGTCAATGCTAAATTTTCATTTATATGCTATTCTCAATCGATAGAAAAAGACTATGCAAACACAAGAAAATCCGTTTCAATGTTTTCTCCCCAAAGCATAATACATATCTGGTTGATACGTTTAAGCAGAGCGGAGGATTTCCAAGAACTTCTCAGAGGCAACAGTGTTGACACCCTTGACCTTGGTATCCTTCTTGGCGACCTTACCAGCCTTGCGCTTCTCAGCACCGACGATCTCGGCACGGCGAACAACTTGATGGTAAGGGTTGAGACGGTTCATGACACCAGCGTTCTTGAGAGGGTTCTTCTTCTGGGTGAAGGGTCTCTTGTGGTGCTTGTTGCCCTTAGTACGAGTGACGGACTGGATTTCATCAGAGTTGATGAGACGAGTGACATCAGGGTTAGAGATGATGTGGGCGGGAAGAACATAGTCCTTCTTGAGGGTAGCGGGAGACTCGTAGGTACCGTAGAGCTCGTCGAGAAGAGCGAAAGCACTGGCGGTCCAGATGACGAAACGACCGACGTGACCACCGGGAGCAAGCTGAAGCAAGTTCAAGTGGCGGACGTTGACAGCCTCAACACCGGGAAGGTTGCGGAAGGCCTTGGCAACACCGTTGTCCTCACCATAGACAACGAGAGGTCCACGGCGCTGACGGTAACGGCGGTTACGGATCTTACCAACACCAGCACGGAGCTTGCGAGAGTTGGAAACCTTAACAACATCAGCGTAGGCGTTGAGGGCTTGAAGAAGAGCAACAGCTTCCTTGGTCTTGGTGAGAGTCTGGACTTCATCAGCAACAACAAGGGGAACTTCCTCAATTTGCTCGATGCGATGACCGCGGGCCAAGACAAGGGAGGGAAGAGCAGAAGCAGCCAAAGCAGAGGCAGTGGCGAAACGCTTCTGGTTCAAGTTGGTCTTGACGTGCCACTTTCTCCAGGTCTTGGTAGGAGCGAACATTCTTCCTCCACGGCACATGTTACCGAAAGCAGCCTATTAAAAAGTGCATTCGTTAAAAAAAATTTGTCGTGAAAGTTAAGCAATCACCTCTATATCTCATCTACATACCTGACCAGCGCGGTGAGTTCCGGAACCGTTAACACGGGGAATACGGGCAACAGCACGACCAGTACCCCAACTCTCAGCAGAGGTTTGGTGACCAGCCTTCTCGGAGACGGCATAAGCTTGACGCTTGTTCTTAGCCATGTTGGTGTGGACGAAGTTAACAATGTCAGGGCGAATGGGGGCCTTGAAGACAGCAGGGAGGGTCAAAGTGGCACTGGAGCCATTGGTGGAGTGGACGTTGATAACGGGTCTAGCAGCCGCGGACTAGATGAAGTAAATGAAAAAGGGTAAGTAATTTGAATTGTGCCATTCAAGTCAATGTGAATCCACCCAATGACAATCGCAATCGAGATGTTGCTGCTATATAAAGCACCAATCAACGTTTGATGTGTGCGAATCCATCTATCGTCGATGGATGGATGCTGGAAAGATTGGATGATTTGATTCTTATGGCTTACCATCTTGTGAGTTGAGAGTTGCGAAAAAGAAAGATTTATTTTTGAAGATTCGCTTTTCGTATATGACCAAATTTTTCTGGCGGCAGGTGGTGCCAGTCCCAGTCACAGCGGCGGAGAAAATCAGAAAAATTGAAACTGTCGACAAAGGTCCACAAAGTACATGATATCGCTTTTTTATTCTTCAAGGAGCTTAAAATACAAGTAAGTATATGACTTGAGTTCCTTTCAAAAAGAAATATAAGATATGGCTATTTTCTTCTGAACTAGATAACGATTCAAGAGAGCGCTAGGATCGCAACTTTATATGAAGGCAAAGTAAGAGCACGGTAGCGTTTGTACAACGTTTAAAATGCTATGAAACATATAGGAGCTGATTAAACCGAGCAATTCGTTTGAAGGTATTGATTCATCCAAAATTATGACTCGGGTTTTCTAAATTCTTGCTCTTCCATACATTGCTGAAGTAGCAATGTATTTACCATCTTCCTACCTCTTTCCTTTAGGCAGTCAAAGCCAATGGTGTGTCTTTTTTCGATTCCGATTGATCATGGCAACTTAGTCGACTTACATCCCTATTTAAAACAACCTGACTCAAAGTATGGAAACGAACGTATGAGCATGGTTTATCTTGTTCATTTTGAACTCTGGCACTCAGATATTTGCGATGAAGTGCTAAATGTAATTGTATCAACATGTAAATCATCATTTACTCTCAAGTTTCTGTGAACTGGGCGAGACTTGAATGCTCTTCGTATTGCCATCCGTAGTGTGATCATTTAGATAAGATGTGCCCACAACACATAAGATTGCCTCAGCATACCTTGAAATACGGCTCTGGCGAATGATAATAATTTATGATATGATGAAATTTCTTTATGTCACTAGAACAATGGCTTCCTAGACGATGTGACTACGTACCTTGGTAATGCGCCAATTCGCATTGTAACCGTCGCCATAAGTCTTTGAGCATGCGTGAACGGAGAAAGACAGTGCGAGCGAATGGGGCATCGAAATTGTTCAACAACGCAATGGTGACCAGCCAGAGAACAAACCGTCTGCACAGCTCACCATGTGCAATGCCATCAAAGATAATATTTTGGTAGACGCTAATTTCGAGGATTTCGCCGGTGAGCGAGCTCTGAACAGTCAAGTTCCCGAGATCATCGGCAATTTGCTCTTCTGGCATACTCAAGCTGCCTTACATGTCTCCGAGCAGAGAGTTTTTGTAGAAAGGGCTCAAAACTAGTGCTACAACAGTGGCTATATATGAGCGTTTTATGATCTAGATCTATCGTCACCTTACCTAAAAATTTGTGTAGCAAGAAAACCCCAACCATGGCTTGCTACCATCTGGGAAGGTGGCGGGTGACCTGAAAGGAAAGATGTAATTTGCCGACTTGGCCCCTGATCAAAAAATATGAAAGAAATTATCTCCAAGTGCGTTTGCCAACAACCCCATGGCTTTAATCTACCCTATGGTAGAGATAGGAGATTCTATTAATTCTCATAATGCTCCACTCCCACGAACTCCAGAAGGGCTTGACATCATTTGGTGCTGTTCTCAGCGGTCCGTCAAAAAAGTAACAGGTCACAACCCATTTCTCTTTTTTGATTGCCCGAAAAATTCAGATCAAAGTTCACTACTCTTTCTTCCCTTTTTTCCCCCCACTTCCTTCTCTGCTCGCCCACCTTTTTCCCCAAGCTATGAAGAAGAATTTTGGCAAATTTAAGCAGGTACTGTATCTTTTATTCATTATCGATACCCAGACCTATATTAGCCCTTCATGGTCATGTTCGACTCGGTATTGTAACAGAATCGATCGGCACCCTAAATTAGCGCCCTGGTCCCCCTTTTTTGGGAGTCCTCCAATGCCCAGACACGTTCTCTGTGATTAACTTGAACATATTGCCATTTTTTAGTGGACTGGAGAGCGCTTGGGCTCCGCAAAAATAACAGGACAAACAGACGATTTTCACCAGTTGGATCAGGAAACTGAGCAACGAAGAGTAGCATTTGATAAGGTGTATCAGGCAGCAACTCTTGTGCTCAACCAGTTGGATAAAAAAAAGCCATCTCCAGAAGACGGGAAAACTAAGGTGTCACCAACTGAAGCCCTGGGCACTTGTTGGGTCAACCATGGATCAGTTTTTCCGGAGGATTCATTATTAGGTATGCTGCAAAAGTTTTTAGCAGCGCAATCGCTACGGCGTCGGAATTTAAAGGCTAATGGCATGTTTATTACTACTACCCCACAGGCATTTCCCTTGTAAGTCTCGGGAAAACAGAAATTGAAATCAGCCAACTTCAACAGGACTATGCTTACCGGGTTAAGGAAAGCTATATATCTACCTTAGAGAAGGTTCATCAAGAATATAAGGAATACTTGGTAAGGTTGAGGCTGGACGATAAAGCGCATCTCCGACCATGGTGGACTAAGAGGTGTGGTTTTATTTATTTTAGGTCCTTCGTAAAAAACTCGATTCTCGCCGGCTTGACTATGATGCAAAACAAAACAGACTACAAAAAGCGAAGAAGGAAAAACCAGAATGGGAACAGGAAGCTCAGTCTGCCAAGATGAAATATGATGAAACGGAGTACGACGTCATGCAAAGAATGGTCTATTTCCAAGAGTGTGAAGTAAGCAATGCGGATTATATTGCGGTTTTTCAATATACAACCATTACTAATTTTTATGCGGTGTACATCAGGAAGACCATTTCAATGCCCTTACAGAAATGCTGGACGCTCAGTTGAACTACCATAAATCTTCAATGCAACTCTTAGAACGGTTGCAGCAAGATTGGGGTCAAGGCTACGTTCAGCGCACAAACGAACCTGTACGACCACCATTACGAAACACTATCTCCCGATCATCCACAACAAGTGGTACAGCTCGCCGAAATACCAATATGTCCAGCAACTCTGAAACAGATGATATGTACGGGGCTGACGAGTCTTACCATCAAGGATCTCCATATGGCTCAAATGCTCGCAGACCGAGTATGCGACAAGGAAGCCAAGACAATCTTCCATCCACCATCCGACGTCAGCCTAGTTATAGTTCGACTGGACGATCAGAAGACTCCTACGGTTCGCAATCAAGGCACCCACCTCCGCCTCCCATGCCTAGATCAAAGCGTAAGTACAGCCCTTGATGCGCTTCGAGGAACTATACCTAATTCTCATGATGCTCTATAGCTTCACCAGCCAAAAAACAAGTTAAAGCCATATATGATTTCAGTGGTGAAAACCCAAATGAACTCAATTTGTGCGCTGGCGATGTCATTACGGTTATTGAAGAGATTGATCAGGGTTGGTGGAAGGGAGAATTGTATGATGCTAATGGCAATCGACAACAAGGATTGTTTCCAAGTAATTATGTAGAGGAAATTGCGGCTCCGCCAATGCCAATGCGACCAGCGTCTAGCCGAAGTCAGTCAACATCAAATTATGGTCACTCCTCTGAGAATCATGAAATATCGGAGGAGCCTGAGGATTCGCCATTTGCTGACAGTAGTAAGATTTCCGCCCCATTTGGCCACCAATCACCTCCAAAACCAATGATGGCTCGACGCGGAACTGCTGGCAGCCTGCACTCCGTAACCAGTGCATCTTCTGCACTGCCTAGAATGCCATCAGCATCTCAAATAACTATGAGGAACAACATTGGATCCTCACGCACCCCTCCTCCACCTCCTACATCTAGAACTCCTTCAAGGAGCTTCACCACTGGCTCTCATACTGCCCCATCCACCCCCTTGGGCCGAAGTACCAACAGTTACTTTGCTGCACCACCGTCTAACGCAAGCCAGAACCACCCAGTATGTGAAGAATGTGGATGTGATGACTTTAGCCCTGACGTATTTAAGCCAAGTAGATGCAAGTCGTGCTTTCACTATCACGGCTGATGATCTTAAGGATATTGACATTTATAGCTGGTAATAAGCTACATGCCATTAAAGTATTTATTCACCATCATTATCATCTTTGATAAAAAAATATTCACTGAAGGGCTGATTGCGAGAAGAGTCGGTGATAACCTGTAAAGATTTGATGTACAAATGATACCTATTAGCAATGTTGACTATGTTTAACGACGTATGTGTTATAGTTGTGAGTACTTACCAAAAAGTAACGATCAGGTTTGAAATCTTCCGGTACATGCCATATGTATGATTTAGGGAAGGGGCGACGTAGATGAGCAAGAGTTTTGTAAGGGCTAATGCAAATACATTGCTTCGGCTTCAGTTGCCTATATTTTAGATGTGACATAATCCAGGCGACAACTCTACTTACTGCCAGTGATGAGCCTTGCCTTGGTTAGCCAGCACTAGAGTGATCGTCTTGTTCTTGGAAGAATAGTCATGCCAAGCAAATTTGATCTTGTCACCTGGATGATAGACAGCATTTTCCTTTGGGCTAGTGAAGGCAAAATCGGCTGAAATACCGGAGGCAATAGCAAGAAAGGCGATACAAATATAAGACTAGATACATAAAGATCCAACATTAATATAAAGAAGTGAACAGATATGGCAAACTTGCAAAAATACTCGCGCGCATCATGAATATGGCTTACTGATACGATATCTAAATTATACAACTTAGTTTTATACTAAACGATATTCATCCCAGTACGCCTCCTTGGGAGGGGAATAGGGTCAAGTTTGACTTCAAATGTATTGCAGTCAGAAGAGCTGGGAAAAAAATTGGAGCGTGAATATTTCATAGCTAAACTGTTTACGGCCCGAAGGGCATGCATGCATATATTCTTTTACAAAATGAAAACAAGCTTCTATAAGTCCATCAAGTTCATCCTTACATGATTGCCTTTACATGTAAGGAGGGCATTTGCTACCAAATGTCTTCAACGTCAACATAAGTCCCTTTCAATAGTACACGTAAACAAAAAATCTATATCCTGTTGCGTTTTGAGGAAAGGTCTTCTTGAGTTTAACAGAAAAGTTGAACATTGAAATAAATTGTTTGACACAAGCGTTTTCAATACCTTAGTCCCTTCAGCCCAGTAGCGACCATAATCTTGATAGGCAATCTCAGACTCTGGAGCATTGCTTTGGTCTGCGCCACTATACATGTGGCTCCTATCCAGTGGCTGAAACGCAATTTTCTTACTGACTTGAGCTCATAATCTCCAAAAATCCTTAGTTCGTTTGACAAAGGAGGCGCCAATACGTAATGTCGGCAAATGCATTAGGAACTGAAAAGACTAATGTATACAAAGAGGGTCGCTCCTATTCCGCCGTCCGTTCGCTATGTCGCTTTGCTTTGTGGGCATACTTTCGAAATTGTCATGTCTCTGTGCATGACAACGTCCCGACTCATAGCCCTATGCTAGTTGCTGGAAATCACTTGAATATGGTTTTGGATCCGGCAGTCTTAATCGTGACAAGTAAGTAACCAATAGTTGTTGTCAAAAGGGATACTAAGTTGACTGACTGATTCTTCGTAAGTACCGCATAACAGGCAACTTCATTTCTGGGCGCTAGCGCGGTTCTTCAAGATACCGATCATTGGACGTATATTCACAGCTGTTGGCGTACTACCAGTCGACACCAAAACTCGCAGTAACGCAAAACTCTTTGAGAGCACTGTTGATTGCCTGGGACAAAATCAAGCTGTGGCAGTTTTCCCTGAGGGTAATATAACAATCTTGTCTTAATCAACAATCGGGATCGCTGAAGAGATATCTGACTTTTTTAATGATATAAGGCACATCATATACGGCCCCACATCATTTACCGTTTAAAGACGGCTTATCCTGGGCGGCTTACGAATTCTTGGCCCAACAGCATCAACGAAGACAGCGTGGTGAATCAGCATCTCACTCCAGTATTACGATCTTACCCGTCGGAATCACGTACACCACGAAGGACAAATGGCGAAGTGATGTCATAGTACAGTATGTATATGGTGAAGGTTGTGGAAATGGGTCACTATACTAAGGCTTCTGTAAATAAGCTACTCAGAGACGATACAGGTCGGCGAGCAAGACAGAATCCAATTTGCAGAGGATCCAAAAGCAACCGTAAAGCAACTCACAACTCGAATCACAGAATCGATTGAAAGTGCTACAATCAATGCGCCGGACTGGTAAGTAAATGGCTCGTAAAACTGTGGAATAGAAATCTAGAAACTAAGTTCATTGTAATATATTATAGGGATACAGACAATGCCATGGCTACAGCAAGAAGTATTCTATTTGGGCATCGAAATGGGATTCAGCTAAATAGTTATGTTAAGATTTCACAAAGGTCTGTCTATATAATGTCTATGGCTGCTATAATATTATATGTTGCTAACATATAGACTTCTAGTTTGATTAACATTTTACATCCGTTGATGATACCAAAACTTACGGAGCTGGCCAATCTCAAAGCTCGATTATTGAGTTTTTCGAGGACCACAAAGCTACTGCAGCTATCGGATCAGGATATTGCTGTTTATCAAAAGCAAAAAATAACCATCACGGCGGCAACTTTGAGATTGCTTCGAATATCATTGAAACTACTTATCGAACTACCGCTCTTTTTACCAGGCATAATCATTCACTCACCCGTCTATCTCCTTGGAAAGGCAGCCGAATCAGTCGAAAAATTTACAGAGTCCATTGCTCAGGATAAGATTGCACTCGCTCTTGGTTTGCTGATTCCGCTGTATTCCACTCTCTTCTATCAGATCTGGCGGTGGATGAGATTTAGCTTTGGTGGATTTCTACTTGGCGCATTTTTGATACCCACTTTTGTGCGCTACCATATGGCTATGCTGGATAAGCGTTATGATCTACTGAAAGAGCTCGTGGCAGCTTGGAGAATATTTGTTGCTTTAACCGGAGGCAAGAGTCAGCGAGCAGAAGTCGAAGAAGCTGTGGAACTACGAAAATGGTGTGCAGCAAATTTAAAAAAGGTGCTACTTAAGCTGAAAGATCAAGGTAATGAAGACGCAGCATATTTGGTGGACCAGGCCCAAATGTTTTTTCAAGACGGTGTAGCACCTGCTATGGATTAAGTACTGTACACCATTGTTCCGATTTATTTGTGAGATTCAAAAAGTGATTCATGCAAGTTCGTATGCAAAAAGGTACGATAACAATAAACTGTAAACCTTTAAGCTTTTGTACTGATAAACGCCTCTAACTTTGCCTGATCGGCACATTCTTCTTCGACAAGTCTACCATCAGGACCATTCTATCAATTGATAATTCAACATATTAGTTACAGATCTCCTATTCGTATTCCTTTTACCTTTTCCATATATATGCAGTTATTTTCCTACCTTCGTCCAACGAATGAGTGTAGGTATAGCTCTCAGAGAAATGTTTGGGTTTATTCTGTAAATATGGGTTGAATTAAGCTTCCATTCGGAGCGAGTTCCAACGGGAGCCTCAAGGAGCACAGAGTTAGGAACCTTGCCAACCCATTTACGAACGAGGGGATCAGCTAAATGGATGAAATGATTAAATTTATATTTCATGATACTAATACCATATGATATTAATTACCAATAACACAATCTGGACACCATGACTCATCATTCTTGTCGGGATCTTCAGTGCCTGCCATTCGTACCGAGTTAGAAATGAAATTGTGAAAATTATACTCAAGTAATTGGAAAATGTCTCACCAAAGAATAAGACAAAAACTTCATCATTTTCAGCAACTGTCTCCTTCAAGGTTTGATCAAATTCATCGATGGGTACGCGCTTAGACTTCATGGTTCGTAATAGAAGAAGGAAACAAATAAACAGTAGGCGTGAAACAATGGTGTGACGGCTTGGATTTTTCAATTTGAGTTGCAGATCATTCCCCCTCTCCTACAAACATTCGTTATCTCTCTGCATTGATGCCAGTAAATTCAATAAATATAAGCCTTGAATTGATTATTACAAAAGTTACCTCTTTTATATTAACGCTAGTGATAAAGTACAGATGATATAAACTATAGAAGGCAAACATGACGTGACATGTTATGGTATATGAAAGAATGGAAAGTATGCACTATATATTGCTTCAAACTACTATCGGGGCTGTTGGAGCCGGTGCCCATCTGAACTGTAAGCGCACATCCTTAGTATCATTTGTTGTTCTTTCTATAGTAGCTTTTCGTTGTTCTTCTTTGAAAAATGCGCGAATTCGGTCCAAGATTTGTTTTAAAAAATTCTTCATCGTAATAGGGCAGATGTCTTGGTACCGTTATGGATGTTTTCGAAGGTTTATATTGTTTTCAAAAAGGTTCACAGTGAGAAGAAATGATTTTGTTGCGAAGCGTACTTATAAGGCAACGTACTCTTTGCAGCACGCTCCATTTTATGGAAGAGTCATAAAAAAAGAGCGTGTGCAACACGCATCGATACGCGTGACTATATTTTAGCTTGGGTGATGAGCTTGTCCAAATGCTTAAAATATTCCGGTCGTTTTCTTTGACGACGTTGCCAACGGTACCAGAGTCGGTCGGAAGTGCTCGAAAGTGCTCGTAAGTGTTACATATTTAATCGCATATTATGAGGAAGTCTATTTGTTGGAAGTTCCTCAAGGAATGAAATCCCGCTAAAACCTTCAATTGAGGGATTTTCATTTGCATGACCTTTGTACTGCGCTTTATACTCTGCGCAGTAAGAGTCGTAGCAATTTTTATTCGCGCTGATGGTACTCTCATTATAGACGTAGAAATAGGAATCTAGGACGATAGAGGTGTATGGTTTGACCTGCAATATCTTCAACATTTAACTGTCTATCTTGTAAGTGCAGCAAGTTGAATCAAAAAGACAGGTTGCTTTTGTTGGGGTGGAGGACTTTGGCGTACCAAGGCTGCGAACATGTAAGGCATCTTTCTGATGAGGAATTATATTTCATAATGGGTGCAGTAGTTAACCTCCTCGCGCAGCATTTTCACTCCAAGGGTGCAGCGAAAAGCGCTCATTTGTTTGACATCCGACAAAAGTGTTCCGATTGATTTCATTGCCTAGTGCTGAAAGAGTCACAACTATTCAATTATATAGCTTTAGAGGATAAGTCCCGCGGCGATTGACCTGACTGTATTGCTAGGTTATTCCAACCAATTTTCATAATCGCATCTTTCATTTTCCCATTTTCCCATTTTCCCGATACTTTTATTATTATCTGCAGTTGAATTAGTGGTGGAAAGTCAACAGTTATAGTATATGTTGTAGAACATATTTACTATGCTTTTAAAAAATAGTTGAATCTGATGGCTTCCGAGTACATCTACAAAGTCTACGGTTGCTACTTTATTGTACAAAACTAGCGAGCTTCCAAATGACCTGCCATACTATACTCAAGCTAATTAGCAAGTCGGTAATCGGACGTTCGCCAGGGTATCCTTCCTTTTTTGACATTGGTAACATCTGCACATTTTCCATACAGAAGCTTCGACTGTGCTTCGAGTTGTACCTGTTTCTACTATTGCTATCCGTCCGTTGTATGCTTTCTTTTCTTCGGTTGAAAGGATCGGTTATTAAAACCCTTGGTGATTGACTCATACATATTGAAAGCAGCTCGGTCTAACCATACTCTCTGTTGTTTGATACAAGTTCTGCGAGTTAATCAAATGCGAGCCATGACTTGTCCAAATGTCACTAAATTTCACTTACATTATGCAAATCTTGTGGCCTGATCCGCTGTAAAAATATCGTGCTTCAAACCTTGTCTTTCGACTGTACCTCTGCAGGGATTTTTTGGAAATTCATCATTCGGACCCGGAATTACCATCAATGTTCACATAGTGCTCAGAAGTCCTTGTCTGATTTTTTCTTTTCCTTTCTAGCAGATTTTAAACGTAGTGTTACGTTCGTAGGGGGGAATGTTGCATAGTCGCCTTTAGTTGAAATTTTCTGCTGAAGGGTCCGCCGCCATGGCGTCCGAATCTCATGTTGAATATCCAAGCTCCAATAAGTTTTGAAGGCCGTTTCACTAATGGGCTGAGCTACCTAGTACATTCATCCGCAGCTGGATTTTGTCTTTTGTTGGGCTTTTTGGACTTCTCAGTTATATCCTATAACTACCCACTTGATAGTGTCCACTATATGTGGTCACCATGCTTCGGCAATCCATCTCTTCTCCTCTATGCAAATTTCCAAGGGAATTCGATATACTGGCACCAGTATGGACCCTATTGCTAAATAAGATTTGCTTGTTGCAAGGCCGTACAAATGTACTTAGAGTTAGATTTTATTTTTTTGTATTATGGTAATTTTTATTAGTACGGTATTGAGCTTATAGCAGAATTATCTTGACGTTCGTTAGTCATAGTATGTCTGCGTATATGAGTCCAGTTTACTTCCGCTTTATTTCTTCTATCGGTCTATATCTTGCAATGAGAGAATCCACCATAAAAATTCCGGAGATCTAAGCTCGCGTCTGATTTCAAGTTATATTGAACCAAATTCTGTATAGACATCGCTGTAGCCGAGTTCTGTGCAGTGGTTTATCAAGCAGGAGGCGCCACCAAGCAGTTTTCGTTTGATGCGGACTGTCAGCTTTCCAAAACGCTGAACAAACTCCATTCGTCATAAACAGTCCAAAACTGGGCCCAATGGATCATGGTGGATGGAGGTTTCTCAGCTTCATGGCGGAGTCATTTTGCCATTGCAATTTTTTTTTTTAATTCATGTTTTATTCAGCCATTTGCTTAGCAGATAGTTTAGAAATTGAGATGTTCAGGTGAAACGGACGCGGAAAATAACGGAAAACAAAACACAGAAGTAGAAAGCTAAAAACTGAAAAGTTTGAGTCGTAGCCTCAGTTGCTAGTGAGAACTATGATCTTAGCCATGATGTTACGGTAAATTTTTTTTTTTTTTTGTATTCAGAATGATGTTACGGTATGATCCGCTTCGACACATGTATAGGAGTATCAGGTACGTATAGCCTTTGTAGCGTTGTGCCATACCTATGGTAGACTTCTATGTTGCCTTTGCGTGCATAGGCTGCTACTTGGAGTCTTCCCATTCAGGGATTCAGCTCGTTACAATGGCTATGAGCACATTTTGGTCCATTTCAGGCTCCTCTTCGAGTTCGTAGCTGCATTGACCAACACTAACTGTTGCGCCGTATGGCCCAGATGCATGCATCTGGAACCCATCTCTTGTCCTCAATACAGCTTTTCCAGTGGAATTCCTATATTGGAATCCTGATCCGCACCACATTGTTGATCGTCAGCGGCTTCGTTATCACCTTGGACGTTTTCTTCTTGCATTTGGTCCCTTTCTTCCAACTCCATTGAAGATGTTTCTACATCATCAACTTCGCTTGTTCCAGTTTCTTGATGATGTATCTCATCATCTGCTACTTCTTGTGTGGTTATCTGGTCTTCTGTGCCTATGTCAGAGACTTTGGTCGCAGAAACCACATTCTTTTGCCGGTCTTTCTGGTTTTTACAGTGTTTGCTGATATGGCCATAGCCTTGGCAGCGGTAACATTGTACATTCTGCAGATCAGGACAATCCTTTCTCTCGTGGCCGGATAATCGACAGTGGAAGCAAATTTTTGGGGCTCCTTGGTACGTGGCTGGAATATATGTATCCATTTTCTCAATGTAGATCATCCTCGAGAGTTCGGGTAAACCGGCATACTCCATGTCGTCTTCCATTCTATCGATAATGACAGAGGCTTCTCCAAACCAGTGTCCATTACAGTCCGTGTATTTGCGTATCTGCTTGACCGCCCCATACGGAATGAGAGCGTATTTCAGGTCCTCAGCAAGTGTTTT